CTTCTCTCTTCTCTCTTCTCTCTTCTCTCTTCTCTCTTCTCTCTTCTCTCTTCTCTCTTCTCTCTTCTCTCTTCTCTCTTCTCTCTTCTCTCTTCCAAGTACCTAGATTCCATTCTATAAGTCTATATAAAGAAAAGAGAGTTGGAGCGTCATAAAACAAGGATGGTCATAGAAGGTTCGTGGTATATTAGTGCTGAGAGTGGGAGATGTGTCGAGAATAACGGATACACATGGACGAAACGGTGTTCTATACACATGAGTAAGCGCAGTACGTACACACATGTCAGACGCACACGTCCTGCAGGCCAAGGCGTGTGATTAGGTAGTATGGATATGAAATGAGCAAGTTTGCGCTGCTTTATGCGGTTAGTTCGCTCGGCGGTGGATTTGGCGCGGAGAGTCATGATGGTGGTAGTATTTGATATAAATGTAGCTGTGAATCTCCCAGTGCAACGAATAATTTTCGTTATACATTTTCACGTTTGTGACATGTGCTGGTGGTGGTGAGATGCGCACATCTCATTGTATTTTGATTCAGGTTGCGGACTACCGTTTGTAAACTAACATTAGTCTGTACCATCCATCTATGTCTCACGCCTTGACAGCCACAGACGAGCCCGCTGGCGATACACCAAGACTTTTCTTGCTGACGACGCGGAATCCACCAAGCGCCAGCACAAGCGCCTCGAGACCTAAAATCACGGCTAGCGTGACCATCGCGCCAATGACGCCCGCGACGACATTCGATATGCCGCCGTTGCTGCCACTCTTCTGGCCATCTACGTCCTGTGTACTTGAGTCTGAATAGGCGGCACACGTCCCTGTGGTATTGCCACAGGTCGTGCACCACTGCTCCGCGTTCCTAACGGCAAACGCACCCAGCTTCGCCTCGAAATCAGCCCAGGAGGTGGAGTTGTCGGTCCCGCCGAAAAGCGGAAAGACTTGGGGTGCATTTGACGCGCTGGCGCTGCCGTTTGCGAAGAGGAAGCGCACGCGCAGGTCATCGCCGGATGGGAAGGAGTCGGTGTCGGCATCGGTGTACAGCTCAAAGGCCATGCTCGAAGCATAGTCTGGGACGCCAGTTAGGTCCATGTATGTGTCTGCCAGGCCTGAAAGTCCGAAGAAGGAGAGGAAGGTGGCGTAGGCGCCAAATTGGATACCGAGCTTGTTGGCACCTTTGGATGAGATGGTGCGGTTGAGGTAGGTGAGGATTTCGCCGGCGAGTTGCATGCCGGAGATGGCGCGTTTGTTGTCGGAAGCATTGTAGGCGAGGCCGTATTCGTGGGCGTTGGCGAGAGTGCGGAGTTGGTAGAGGGTGTCGTCGGACAGCAGGTTTGACGACTGGATGGAGGAGGAAGCGTTGTCAATCGTGGCGACGTTGATAAGGTCGTAGACTGGTGAGAGTTAGAGGATGTTTTGGAGAGTTTCATCACGACAACTTACTTGCGTAGGCGTTCTTGAAGCTCATGTAGTCCTCGGCAAAGGTACGATTTACAACAGGGTACAGGTTGGTGTAGAAGTCGCTAGTGCTGGACAGCTTCTCCTGGTACTCGGCAGACGAGAAGTAGTTGTTTGAACTCGACTTTGCGTTTGCGCAGCCAGAGGCATCCTGGAGCCAGGTGTTGTCCTCGCTTCCAGAGCCAGTGCCCCCTGACACGATGTTGACGGGAATCAATTGGTAGCCATCGAGAGGCGCTGCAACAGTGCTGTCGTTGTTCAATGTCTGCACACTATCGGAGCCGACTGGAGGGTACAGGCCTTGCAAGAAGCCAATGGCCGAGTTTTGCAGAACATTGTCGACTGGCGCAGTAACGGCGATCTGAGATTGCTTGACGATGTCGGATTTCAGACCGAGAACCTTTGAAGTCGCATTGCCGTCGACATATCGGCTCCGCCAGTATGAGCCGGAGTGGTAGACTTGCTGATAGCCCAAGTTGGTCAGGCTGGTTGGGGGAGTGGACTTGGAAGTCCGGTCTCCATGGCGCGAGAACATATAGACGCCCACGACAGTCTCAGCAGTTGCTGGCAGAGCCAGCGACAACAGAGAAAAGACTGCAGCTCCAAGCATATCGACGACAGAAACGGTAATGTTGGCAAAGCTGTCAGGAGCAGATAAGATGCGAGATCTTGAGGACGAGGGCTGGACTGGAGGTGAGTGGGTTTTTAATTCTTTTCTGGGACGCCCCCAGGATCACCAATTGCCCCGCTTTGAACAGCCATGTCCATGGTCCGTGGTGATATTTGCCGCTGCAACACGAGTAGGGTGGGGGGTTGCAATCATCCATGCGTCGACTAGGCGTCTGAATGCGAAGATGGCATTCGTTCGGCTGTGGATGACTGTCTGTGAGCAGATACGGTGCAGGAAGCGCGGAGCGATGTGCGAGCTGCGGTAGGGGAGGGGAGAGTGAAGAGCGAAGAGCGACGAGATAAGAGTACGTCCTGAGGCTCACAAGCAACACAGGATGAGGCTGGAGACGTTATACATTTCCGCATCCGGACTTGGCGATGTCGCAATCACGCAAAACATGCCCGTGAAGCAAAGGTTTGCGGCAACGACTTCGCGCCTCAGGCATATTGGGTTCCTGAGGCAGCAATCGTGGCGCCAAGCTTGGAGCATGCCTGCCTTATCGAGTGGGATGGACGGGATCAGGAGCTTATCGCGACCTCCTTCCCCTTTCGGCTTCATCAGTGGTTCTCCGCGCTTCCACCCGCGAACTACTGCGAGATGCGCACAAACACTCCTCCATTATCACTATTCACTTGACGCATACAACTTTAATTGCTTACACCATGACAGATTTCAGCATCCTCTCACGGCGAATGACTGTGTGCGTTGTGCTCCAGCTACCAGCGACCTTGACAGTCGAGCTCTGTTCGCATGCTGCTCTTCCTCGTGCCGTCTCGATCTCTGTCCTCTACCCTATCGGTTGTCAGCGATCAGACAAACATAGTCCGCAACACCCTACTAGGCCGAGAGAATAGATGAGCTACAGCGTTAGCGGACTACTCGTCGTCTGAGTGTCCCGGATAAGTAAAAGAGCAGAGCTGTGCCAAGACATGACGAAGAGATACTCCACCGGCTCGTCTGCTCTGATCTACGGGTGGCTGACAGTCTTCAGTCTCCACTCTTCTCTGTCGTGTGCTATTCGCTAGTCACGCTGGTCTTGTCTGGTAGGGACATTGGACATCTCTACAGAACTCGTTTCTCTGTCGTGGAAAGTCCCCAATCGTGTGTCGAGAGATTCACCTACCTGGAGTCTCTTTGTGCACGGTCACGGATGGGCTACCATACATGCTACCATACCAGCAGCACATGAAGCACCTCATCGCCAGGATAGCAATGCTAATATTATTGTACCTAGGTACAGGTACAGGTACTCTACCGCTGCCCAATAACTATGATGCCCTTCTATCAGCTGATATCGTTCTTGGACAACTAAGCCGCGCCGGCTCCGATCGCCAAGTCCGCCAAGGTACTACCATTACCATGAAGGGCAGTTCGTCTCCCCATCATATCGCCGAAATTGTTGCTAGGCACTTTGACTCGTTCGCTTCGTACCTACGCTTGTTCTCTGGACTACTGCTGTGCAAAGTAGAAGCATTTTGGAAGGACATTATGTAGTATCAAGCATACTACAGGGTTAACACCCGCCAAATGATCGTCAACACTATCCATACATGCCAGCTTCCCTATTCGCCATCGTTGCAATACTACCTACACCGCAGCATATCGGGATATAAATGCGTGTCATGCCCGGCCCGGCGCATTCTCTGTCTCAGCAGCAGCTATCCTACTTCCATCCTCTCTCTCGCCACCTTTGCCTCCCCAAACAATCTCTCAAACTCTTCTTCCGCAACCTTCATACAATCAAATCCGTAAATCTTTTTCTGCACATCTGCGTCGGCCCACCGGTCCGGCACCTTGCCCTCACCAGCCTTCAACCTAGCAAACGCTTCATCCCTTTCTTTCTTCGCCTTGCCTTCGCCCAAATGCAGTTCCCGTCCCGACGCTGCGGCAATATCGACGAGTGTCTCGGCGCGCTCCTTCCGAACACTCTCGTACACCCTCAACGTCTTTTCAATGCTTTCTGGAGAAGCGTCCGGGCACAACGACAACACAACCCCAAGCACCGCGCCGTCCTCAATTGCCTGAGCTGCGCCCTGCGCCAGATGCGGCAGCGTCGGATGACAGGCATCGCCCACCAGAGCCATCTGACCATGCACCCAGGTCGGCAATGGCTCATGCACACGCAGCTTCCACTCACACACCTCGCCCTCGGGCACCAAGTCCAACATGCGCCGCACCACAGGCGCAAAGTCGGCAAACACGCCCATCATCGTCTCCTTGCTGCCCTTGGTCGTGTAGGTCGCGTTCGTGGCCGCGGCAAAATGCGTGTCCGGCTGCACGGTGCTCAGGTTGTAGATCTGCTTGCCGGACACCGGGTATGCGATGATGTGCCTGCTCTCGCCGATCCACCGCGTCACGGCGTCGGCGTCAAAGTAGGAGAGCAGCTCGGCGTCGTGCGCGCATTGCGCTCGGGTTAGCATGATGCGGTATGCGGCTTGTCGCGTGTCTTGGATGCCGGCTGTGTGGTCTAGGGCTGCTAGCATTGTTGTTCGCGCAACGGATTTTATGCCGTCGGCGGCGAGGATCAGGGCTGGTGTGAGTGTGATGGGCGCCGAAGAGTCGTTTCGCGGAGTGATGGTGCATGTCGGCGGGCTGAAGGATGTGATCGCGGTCAGGGTGTGGCCGAAGTGGAAGGTGATGTTTGGGTGCTTGGCCTGGCAGGCGCGGTACATTGCGCCGGCGAGGGAGGCGCGATGGCCGACCATGTGTGGGTAGTTGTATGTTGCGCGGATGGAGGTGAGGTCGACGTGTGCGAGTTCGGTGTCGGTGGCGCCCTCTGTGGAGGAGTTGGTCAGTATCTCTTGTCACTTTGTGTGTATATAAATTGGCATCAAGCCTGTATTTCACACATCCTAAGCTCGACTGAGTAGCCGATAGTAGCGGAGGACAAGGGAAGGACACCACATACGCCGTATACTCGTCGTCCGGATATCCGTCGCCTCGGCCTCGATCTCGGCCCAGCACCCGAAGCGGTCGAGGATGCGCGCCATATTGGGCGCGAGCTGGATGCCGGCGCCGACGAAGCCCAGATTTGACGCCGTTTCGTATACGGAGATGTTTGTGAAGCCGTGGTGGGCCAGCGAGAGGGCGCTTGCGAGGCCGCCCATGCCTTGTGTTGGTGTTAGCTTGGGGAGAACTGGGAGGGTATGTTGGGATGGGAGATTCGGGGATGAAGACGGACCTGCGCCGGCGATGACAATGTGTTCGTTTTTTAGCGCCATAATGTATGGGAGTGTTGTGTGCGATGGTGGTTAGGAGCGAGGCTGAGACGAGTTTCTTGAGTTGGAGTGACGGCCTTATCCAGTGTCACTTATGTACGGTCGTAGTCGACTGGCGCCGACTTTGTATATATGCATATATATACAAATACTCCACACAGGCGCCGCGTATCGTGGCGGCAAATGGCGTCGTCGCGGTGTTCTGGGTTGCGCATAACTACTGACGGATCTTGACCACGGCTTCATGTATGTTTGCGTTCGATGTGGGGATGTGGGGATCGTGTGTGGAGTATCCTATATTGGTGCCTGATGGCGGTGGGACGCTGGATAAGGCATCACTTCTCGGGCCGACGTCGGGGGAACTTTTTGGGGTTTTCAAGGTCCACACGAGTCAGCGGGCGGCGTCGGCGTTTACGATTTACAGATTTCCAGTCATAGGGCGTGTAGGATTTTTTGTGATATAGTGGAAAGTGGCGACTCGTTGTCTCTGGGAAGGTCTTTCGTCTGCGTATGATCATACAGCTTGACGGCAATTCTCTGCCCGCGCTCAATTGACAATCATGGCGTTCCCAAAGCCCTCGCCGAAACGCCTGTCGAACCTCCTCAAGCCCTTCCGCTCGCAGACCAGAAACTATGCTGCTCCTGGCGAAGGCAATATTCCGCCGTCCAAGGCTCAATACGTTCCTTCGTCTGGTACATACCCCAAGGGCTTCCTCTGTGCTAGTGCCCACGTCGGTGTCAAAGCCTCCAACACACGCTTCGACGACCTCGCGTTGATTGCTTCGGAAACACCATGCTCGGCCGCGGCTGTGTTCACGCAGAACAGGTTCCAGGCTGCACCAGTGACAGTATCCCGGGAGATGATCAGGAAACGAGGAGGGGACGGCATTCGTGCGGTGGTGGTGAACTCGGGATGCGCAAATGCGGTCACTGGAAAAGGCGGGATCGAAGACGCAGAGAAGATGGGTAAACAGACGGATCGATGCTTTGGTGCGGCAGAGAGCGAGGACAGTCAAACTGTGGTGATGAGCACTGGCGTGATCGGACAGCGGTAAGAAGACACAACCATGTGCTGGCACCATGAATGAGCATCTACTAACGCAGCACCAAGTCTGCCCATTCAGAAGATCCTCAATAAGATTCCTGCTGCATACTCGAGCCTCGCAGCCACCCACGACGCATGGCTCAAGGCCGCCCGCGCAATCTGCACCACAGACACATTCCCTAAACTCCTCTCCCGCCCCTTCACCCTCTCCAGCGCCCCAGGCACAACATACCATCTCGCAGGTCTGACCAAAGGCGCGGGCATGATCCACCCCAACATGGCCACCCTACTCGGCATCGTCTGCACCGACGCTCCCATCTCGCCCGCGGCCATCGCGCCCCTCCTCAGCTCCGCCATCGAGCGCTCCTTCAACTCCATCTCCATCGACGGCGACACATCGACAAATGACACGGTGGCATTGCTCGCAAACGGCGCTGCCGGTGGCGCAGAAATCACGTCCGAAGCCTCACCCGCATACGACGAATTCAAGACCGTGCTGACCGACTTCGCCGCAGACCTGGCTAAGCTAGTTGTGCGCGACGGCGAGGGCGCAACCAAGTTTGTCACCATCCGCGTGAAGAATGCGCCGTCGTATGCGGCTGGGAAACGCATCGGCTCGTCTATCGCGCGCTCGCCGCTGGTCAAGACGGCGCTGTATGGCAAGGACGCGAATTGGGGACGCATCCTGTGCGCGACTGGCTACACGGACGGGCTTCCGGCAGGGACCATTGTGCCGGAGCAGACGTCGGTGTCGTTTATTCCGTCCGACGGCAGCGAGAAGCTGAACTTGCTCGTACGTGGCGAGCCGGAGAAGGTGGACGAGGAGCGGGCGAAGCAGATTCTGGAGATGGAGGATTTGGAGATTGAGGTCAAGCTGCGGGAGCAAGAGGGTGGGGAGGAGGCGGTGTACTGGACGTGTGATTTCAGTCACGAGTATGTGACTATTAATGGGGATTATCGGACGTAGTAGTAGACCGCGTGTGTCTTGCTTTGGGATGCTTAGCTGCTGCCGTCTATCTCTCTGTACACGCCTGACGACAATCCATACCATCCATCCAATCGTCCGTGACCCGTCCAATCATCCTAGGTGCCTCCGTGAGCACGTTTCTATCTTTATGTTGAGCAGGTATTCCCAGGTATCGCAAAGAAACTCGTTGCAAGATGCACATTTCCGCCATGTTCATAGATGTATATGCTCCCTCCTGTTACATGCACACCAGACTTGTGCTGAGACCAGACTAGAAAATTCCCATCCGTTGCCCCCAGCCGTCATTCTTGGGGTTCACGACAAGCTCATATGGGAACGGGTTGGCCTCGGTCGTGGTGATGGGCGGAATATGATCTTTCTCCTTGTTCACAATCGTGACAATCTTCATCGCAGCCTTATGCAGGCTCTTCTCCTGAGCACGCCGGACTTTCGGCACATCTGTCTCCGTCAGCTGCCCACTCGATCTGTGCCCGCCCAGCAGCGTCAAAAATGCACATACCACTCTCGTATCGAGGCGTGGCCAGCGTAACGTCGAGCCGCCACTGCTCCCAGCAGACTTTGTCGTCCTTGTAGCTAAAGTACGTCTTCTTCCGCGTCTTCTCGTAGAACAGCACGGCGAGCTGGCCGCGGCCGCGCTGCGGCGTGGTCCCAGACTCGATTGCCCGCACGAGCGACGTGGCCTGCTGGTCGATCAGCGTCTCGAGGTTGTTATCGGTGATGCACGGCAGCGTCTGGTCGAGCAGGTCGCGCGTATACGGCGACAAGGGCGGGAACAGGCGGTGGAAGAAGATGGTGTGGAGGAGTGCTGTTGAGCGCTGGTCAGAGAGGGTATGCGTGCCAGGGTAACGTGGTGTGTATCGCTATTTTTTTTGGTTTTCTGAAGCCAGACCTTTTATGACATCCTTGACGCATGTTGGGTCCGCGAAGACATCGAGAGTGTATTCCGGCGCCCGCCTTTGCTCCATTGCGCGCGCGTATGGGCGTGCGTGGTGGGGTTTTGGAGAGGGGGGGGTGGAGCTGGCTCGGTTACGGGGACGGCATGCGAGAGAATCGAACGGGGGACGCTCGCTCGAAGTCGGGGGCGTATTGTGTGTAAAAGGAGACGGATGTGTGTTTACATTACTTCTTTGGAGTGAGAAGAGACTGAAAAAAGGTGGTGTAGAAGGGAGGGCAGAATCCGGAAATCGTGGGAAAGATGCGGCGCCCGACGCCCGATTGATCAGCTGCGTCAGTCCGCCGGACGCGGGGTGGGGGGTTCCGTGTGTGTGGCGCGGTATGTGGCGGTGTGTCGTGTTGTGGCGCGCCGGACATGGGAGAGGGAGCTTTCTTTCGTGCCTCGGCCTTTGCCTCTTCTGCGCGTCCCCAGCCTTTTGTGCTTTTTGCTCTCTCCTTCAATACACAATACACCTCTTCATCCCAGACTCCTCGACGAGTTGTCTCTGCTTTCTCCATTTCGGGCTTCACGCGACCGTGGACGTGCTGCCAATTTGCACTGACGACTGACGATAATACATTTACTAGCTAGCGTCGGAGGTCTTCCTACACGTCATTCTGTCTCACCCTGGCCATCCCATGACTGCGTCTGTGCAATGATATCCGCTACGCGCAACTGGTTCAAGCGCAATCGGACGAACTTTGCCATCGGAGCGGGTGTGCTGGGTGCGGGCTATCTGGCGACGCAATATGTCTTGTCCAAGATCACCGAGGCGCGGCATCGCATGAGTGACGAGAGGATAGCAAAGGAGAAGTGAGATATATACAGCCAGAGGCGCGCTCACGTCCAGGTGCAGCAGCATGCTGACGTTACGATAGTCTGCGTCGACGCTTCAGCCAGAATCAGGAGGACTGCACATTCACTGTGCTGGCTATCCTTCCGACCGCGACCGAAAATATCCTACAGGCCCTGCCGGTCGAGGCTACGTTGGCTGAGTTGCAGAGGCAGAAGGCGGAGCGTTTAGCCAAGAGTGTGAATTCTGTGACAGAGTCGGATGCCACATCTGCCGTACCTAGCATTGCGGCCGAGACACAGACCGATGGCGAAGGGAAGAGCATAGGGGGCGAGAGCTTCGTCCATGCAAGCCAGATCGAAGCGAGTACCGCGTCTGTCGAGACGCCTGAGACTGCCACGTCCACGCAGCCGAAGAAGAGCAAGCTTCAGCTATGGGATGATGTGAAGATAAGCTGTCAGAGATATGTCCAAATCCTGTGAGCTTCTACTGACGTAGAGAACAGCCATCACGCGAGCCTTTACCCTCATCTACACCCTGTCACTCCTTACCTTACTCACCCGGATTCAGCTCAATCTCCTCGGTCGTCGGACATATCTGGCGTCTGTTGTATCCCTCGCATCACCTCCGTCATCTGCGGCTCCCATCAACCTCGAGAATCATGACGACGATATGGAACATTCCTATGGAAATGACTTCGAGACCAATCGCAAATACTTGAGCTTCAGCTGGTGGTTGCTCCATCGCGGATGCCGTGAGATATTGAACAAGGTCCAGACAGCTGTGAAGGAGACTTTCAGCACTGTGAGCCCTAGAGAGGACCTGACACTGGCCAAGTTGTCGCAATTGACCCTTGAGGTGCGAAGAAAGGTCGAGGGGTCTACAGAGGAGGAGAGACGGTATGTTGGTCCTGTGTGCATGCCATACCCTGAACGCTAATCCGCCTAGATCGAATAAATGGTTGCCTTATCTTCTGCCCTCACCTGGCCAAGAAGGATATGTCTTGCAAGAGTCAGGCATGGCAGGTCCGGTTGAGTCCTCGCCATCGACAAGACCCACAGATGCCCCGTCGCTACGACGTCTTCTCGACGAAACATCCGATCTCATCGACTCGCCTCCATTCACGCATGTGCTCACGCTTCTCCTAGACGCCGGCTTCTCCCATCTAATAGACAACAAACTCGCCCACCTCGCATACAAACTGCCCCCTGTCTCCGCGTCCCTTGCACGTATCCAAGAAATCATCAACCCCGAGGATGCCAAAGCAAAGGTTGCCAACTCGCTCGCCGTCTTCTGCAGACAGGCGCACAGCATTGGCGCAGGCGACAGCAACGAGTACCTGACCAAGATTGAGGAAGTCAAGGACCTCGAGGCATTTGCAGCGGTCGTCTACAGCAGTCACTTTGAGTTTGAAGCAATCAGCCACGACGTTGTGCAGCAGGCCGCCAGCCTCACAGGTGTACAGGACAGCTACGTGGATCTCGGCATAAGCCGGCCTCCAACTGCCGAAGGCGAGCAGGCCGAGCTCGAGAAGAAAGTTGTTGAATTTGAAGAGGCATGGGGTAAGGCACTCAATAAGGAGGACGGCATCGCGTGAATTTTGGGCGTGATGGGCACATGCAGCCTTTGTGTGACATGGAAATGAAATTAATTGAATATAATGATCACTGTCTCGGGGAGTCTACTAGGTACTCGTCATCATAGATGTACGAGCATAGAACACTACTAGGACTCGACCTCAAAGCCAGCATAACCCTCTACTGGCAAAGCATGAATATTCACCTTCGTTGCGAAGGAAATGATCCAGTCAGTCTTCATTCAATCAATGAATGAATGAACCAATCCATCACGGGTACCGCCCACGCATCCCCCCATAATACACCCTATCCCCAGGATAATACATCCCCGGCGCCCAAAACTCCCCAATCGGCCCCCTTCTTCCTCCTCTCCTCCTCATTCTTGCCCTTCCCCCATGCCCAAGCCCCATCGCACCCAGAACCTCCGCCTCATGCATCGCAAACTCGGCGTATCCCTCATCGCCGTCGCCGTCGTCGTCGTCGTATTCGTCATCGAGGTCATCGTAGCCGTCGTCGTCGTCTTCGTGAATCCCACGGCCCATCATGTTCTCGTATTCGAGCTGGGTTATGGGGATCATGTAGCCGGTTGGTGGGGCCTGGCCGTGCCGGTTGTTGTGGTGTGAGGGGCGCCCGAAGGAGATGGGGTTGTTGCTTTGGATGATGGGTTCGGTGTGGTTGTGTGGGGTGCAGGGATTTGGGGCGTGGGCTTGGGGGGGTGGGTAAGGTGGAGGGTGCTGTGAGTTAGCATGGGCATGGGGTTGGGTATGAGTATTTTGGGTGTGTGGGGTGGTATGGGTGTTTTGCGCGTCGGGGTTTCTGGAGCTGCGACTGGGGTTGTTATTTTCAGTGCGGTGCGACGAGGGATTTGCAGAAGTGGCTGTCTGGGTGCGGAAGGTTGGGTTAGGGGGGTGGAGTTGGTCGTGGTGGCCTTCTTCTTCGAAGGCGCTGTATGTGTTGTTGGTGTGGCGGTTGTTGCTGCGTGTGTTGCGTGTGTTTGGGTCTGCTGCGCGGCCGCCGCGGGAGGAGGCGTGGTAGGATGCTCGTGTCATTGTAACTGTATTGCGAGACGGGTTGTTGCGGGTTGATATGGTGTGATGTGGCAGAGTTTATTGGTTGGATGTGGGAAGATGATGGGAGATTGGGAGAGAAGGAAGGAAGAAAGGAGAGTTTTGGGAGGAAGGGAAGGGTATATATATGTAAAAGTGCAAAGAAGCCCGTGCAGTGGAGAGCATGTTGAATATCTGGAGTCTGGTTCACAGGCGAGCTTGGGCTCTGGAAGATGCAACTGGGGTGCCCTGTGCTTGGTCTTGGGAGGAGGAAAGGGGTTGTGAATGTTGAACTGAAGTGTAAGGAGATTGGTAAAAGGGGGTGTAGGTATACCTGCTCTGTGACTTGGTACTCGTCACTGCCAGCAGGTAGTATTTTGGCGAGGAGCAACTCAATGTATGTTATATGCGTATCACTGGAAGATGCTTTGCATGTTGTGAAGAGGACTACCTATGTTACTGTGTCTGCTGAATGCGGTCATATGAACGTCTGACGGATGCAGCATGTTACGGGCATACTTGTCTGTGACAGTATTTTGAGTCGTTCGGTATGGCCATAGTCATTAACAAGGACAAGCCTTGGAAGGAAGCGAATGTTTGTTGTTCAAGAAGACAAAGGGTACCGCACAAGCTAGATTACATGCGAGCGTGTGCGCGTTCGAAGCAAGGGGCTACACAGAGACCCCTTGCACCTTGATAGAAGCATTCAACCATCCTTTTCCTAGCTTTGACTCATAAACAAGTTGTACGGAGTAGTCGTCCCTGTCAGCCAAAGAAAGAGACCATGATGAAGAGATTGTGTCGATCGCATCATAGTTCCATCTTACTGGTCACATAAGACCATCTGTGATCGAAGATGTGTGACAGAAGAATACCGCGATGAGAATGGAGTTTGCAGGATCTGCTATAAGCGTAGTGTTTGGGAAGCGCACAGTGCATGCCAGTCATTGTGAAGCTAGGCTGAAACATATTACCTAAAAAGGGAATACTCGGAGGCTGAGATTTGGTGCTTAGATGACTTAGTCCTGAAGTGTATACGGTTTGCTTTAGGTTAACAATGAGGCAATAAAGCATGTTGAGCTCTTGTTTACCATACGAGAGATCACCTCAAGTTCATCAGGTAGTAATCATACCATGCCAAATCTCACTCTATCCCAATTCGAAAATCACAATATCCTGCTTCCACAAAAGCAAATACACACAATTTTGCACAAATTTCATGTCATCATCATCTCATTAGATAGCTACAGAGCTCGTTCTGTTCTCGTTTCCCCAATCCAATTCCCCGAGTCTCATTTCCCACTCACTACGTTTCGATTGTACGTGCCGACCGCACAGTCCTTGTCACACCTCTTATGCATACACTTCAGGTTGCTGCACACGTTGTTCTCCCAATGGGTGTTGCATTTGCATTTGCAGCATAGCCAGGCTTTCCAAGTCATGTTGACGGTGGTGTTGTGATTGGTGGACTTGTTGTTTGCTTGTTTGTTTTTTGGTAGTCGAGGGACAGATTGAGGGCTTTGATCGTTGCTGGATATGTCGATGGTAGTTGTCGAAGCTGTTGTGGAATATGGTTGTAGAGGAGAAGGTATTTTGGAGGAGCGAGAGGGGATATATATACGTGAGGCAGTGATTCTTCACGAATTTGCTCGTGGAGAGGTTACATGGTAGGTGGACTCGATGTCCTTGTTTCAATGATATAGTTATGATAGGGGAAAGAGTTGGAAGTGCAGTGGCGCCGAGTATATGTTCGATATTACTTGTTGAAAGACACACTTACGTCAATACACCGCTCACTTAGATCTACCCCTGAAGGCGGTATGTAATGTGTATGTACATGCAACATGAGTGAATGGTCAAATACAGACCCTTGATGCCCGTAAGCTGCCACGTTACTCTATAATTATGTACTCAATTGTCACTATAGTCCGCTTCTGAGCCTAAGAGCTGATTCAAAGATATAGCGTCAGTTATCATGTATTCGCGTTACTGTATGAAAGTAAAGGTATGCCCGATGTAATTGAAATCTGCTAGAGTCAGACAGTGCTGTTAGATCTTCATACACAGGCCCTGCGGATCATATCAAAACCTCAGGCATTCCCTGTGTTAACTCGTATACGAAAAAATCGAAAATATATTATTCAATGTCTGAATCATCGACTAAAAGAGATCTTGGAGTGACAGAATTGATCGATGGCTTCAATATTTTCTAAGAGACTGTGACACCTTTTAGGTTCCATGAAGGAATTATTATCTGGCTCTACTCCGCGACGCGGCATATCCTACACAGTGTTAGACCGAGGTCTGTCTAGAACACCATTGTACTCGAGCTAGCAGTTGAATATGTACAAACTCGCTGCAAGACCTCTGATGACTTTGAATGCTCCAAAACACGGTCTAGGGCGACAACTCTCAATTTCTTACCTGTCTCGAGCGTATCACATCTTCCATTGCGCCGTGGATTTGCAATGTCGAGTCACAGTCGCTAAAGTGCATTTATGTAACCACGGACTCCTCATGAGGAACATGCAACTCGAGTGATATATCGCGATCTGTATTTACCAACGACGCACGATGGACGCAGGGGCTACAGCACGGCCCTAGCGCGATGGATTCCTCACGATATGGATGATCCCTGGAGGCCTCATGTGGCTTGATATGCAATAGTACAACGCGTCGCATACATCAGCATCACGGAACGTACTATATGTATATAAGCTTCCTAGATATATTTAGTGCAAAATTAGACTTACATAGATGAGTCTGTGGGCTTTGTCCACGTTTCTTCTGCACGTCATCGGAGAATGGAGAATGGAGAATGGTCAGTGCACGCGCAAGAGCCACAATGTAAATCTCCGCAAACGCCCACGACGTTCGACGAGGGATGGTTAGTGTACTTGCCGTTTCTGTCAAGAGGTCTGTGCTTTGTGGTGTCGGTGGGAATAGTTGTTTGAGGAGTTGAGTGGAATGGCTGTGATGGTGGGTATTCATGTGTCGAGTGAGGCTCGCATGAGGTGATGGTAACAGGGGACCTGTGATTGTACACTGCGGTGCGACGTTGTGGGATGGTGATAGTAGTGGCTAGACCTGTAGTAACTATCGCTGTATGCGCTTCTTTGGACGTTGCGGCGATGTGATACTAAGTATCAAGTAAGTATCAAAGTAAGTATTTTCAAAGGACTGTCAACATCAGGCAGCGGCATTAAGGTGCGAGACGACTTGTCGAGGTTGGAGCGCTGGAGGGACATGATGCGGTGGCATGTTTGGGAATAGCGCCCCCGAGTGCTTGTGCGAGTCAGACCAGGTTTGAGCGTCCGCAGCGAGAATTCATTGTTGAGATACACAGTAAGCTGCAAGGCTGCTAGAAGAAATGTGCGTGTATGCAGATATGGAAAAAGAGTTATTTTGATACTAGTGTATAAAATGATAAATATTGCAATATAACATAATAGAGACAGTGAAATATAAAAGGGTATGGACGAGTGAGAAGTTAGGATAGAGTGGTTTTTCTTCTTGATTCATTAGCAGTCCAAGCAAGAAACATGAATGAATCGTGCTTAGTGGGTCTCTCAAGGCAGGCAAGCACACAGGGATGAATCGAGGAGATTGGCCAAGGCCCATGTGGCTGCCTTGGTGTACTGTGTTCTATGATATGATTAGATATGTAGGCAACTTGAAACTCTGGAGGCGTGGCATGTTTGGAAACAAGCGATCCTTGCAGGCATTTCGACACGGAGGGAACGGGGCGGCAAGTGAAATAAAGTGAAGTGAATTAAAAGTGAAGGGGAAGCAATCGATAGGGGAGATTAATTAGTTGCCGCTGGTTCGGGGACTCGCGGGGGATGGGCCGTGGGTCGCGCAGATCCCGCCAGAAGCCTAAACCGACTCAGGATCCATGGGGCTGCGACCACCAACACAACTGCGGTGCTGGGGTATCACTCCTTGTTCATTTTATTGTTGAGTAGTGTATCGTGCCGTACTGTTAGCACTCTACTCGTTTGTATCATCACCATCATCTTTCTTAGGGCATATAGGTATGGAAGAGATGATTAGAGAGGGCAAACAGAAACCGCGCGGTAAAATATTACCATTAAAACATAACCACTGTAGACGAATCAGATTAATCCGCCATCTATATTCGCCTTTCCGACACTTGTGATTGGCTGTATCTCCTGCCAAGTCGGCACGTAGCCTGTGTTTAGTCCGGAAGCGGACTAGTCGGCCGCTGACTTGCAGATGCTTGAAACGTCCATCGATTCCTGGCCTCGTCTTTTCCATTATCATTTCTTACATCTCCTTGTTTCTTCGCCTTTAAACTGTAGTAATTGAGCGAGAACATCCTTCTGCAGCCGCTCCCGATGTCGATTTTTTTTCTCTGCTGCTGCCCTGCATCTTGTGGCGTTGTCCCATGGAAACAGCATCCTGCCACTCCCGGTTGTCTCGCGTTCCACGGTCTGCTCTACCGACTTATTTATACAAACCGCTATATAGCTAACATGTTCCCCCATCTTTTCCATTCTTCTTTCTCTTTCTTCACTGTCCATCATTGTTACCAGTCTTTCTTACTAGCGCGCATTGTGCATCTCCAAGGCTTGCCTTCCATCTCTCGTTAGCTCTTCAATCCTTTACCGTCCCTTTGTCCACAGTCTGCGACTACAAGGCTTCTTGCAACATACCATTCTTCCAAGTGCCAGCCACCTGTCAAGGATATTCTCTCGCTTCTGCGTACCATACTTGATACCACATCCTAAATAGATCGACATCGTGATACATATCATCGACCATGCGCCGCTCTTTCAAAGCGACTCTGATCGCTGCTCTTGCCATCACCTGCAACGCGGGCTTCACCTGCAATGGCCGCTACTTCGCCTTCTACAACCGGGATGGGAACGCCCTCTCGTACCAGCAAATCGATCCTGCCTTGAGTCCCGGCACTAAGTCCAGCCACCTCCACTCCTTTGACGGAGGAAATGCGCTCGCTGCCTCGATGGACTACAACGTTACCCAAGAATCCACCTGCACGACGAACAAGATCCGTCCCGACTTGTCCAACTACTGGCGCCCGACCCTCTTCTGGAACGGCAACAACACTGGCTTCTATCGCGTCCCGGAGATGTTCTCCAAGATCTACTACAAATTCGGCGACGACGACCGTAAATTTGCTGGCGTCTCTGAATTCCCCGAGGGCTTCATGATGATTGCTGGTAACGCCATGCTCCGTCGTGAGCCCGGCGTAGCACGTACGAAACCTAATCCAGCCGTCAATTGGGCCTGTCTTGGACCTCCTGGTAAGAAACGGATTGATCGCCCGGGCTTTCCTACAGGCTTCACCTCCTGCTCGGAAGGCTTCACCGGCGAAATTCACTTCCCTACCTGCTGGAACGGCAGTCCCCTAGATCCCAACAACCCGCATGCCCACATGTCCTATGCCATTGGCTCCGGCACTGGCATCGATGTATGCCCCCCTGGCTTCCAGGTCAAGCGTTTCCCTGAAATCTTCATCGAATTTTGGTACAACATCTCCTCGTTCGACGGCCACTACTCCGCCACCGACAGCCCCTGGGTCCTGTCCAACGGCGATCCGACCGGATACAGCTTCCACGCCGACTTCATCAACGGCTGGCAGCCAGGCGTGCTCGCCAAGGCCATGGGCACAGCGAATGCTAGCAGCAGCTACTGTGACTGCGGCTGCGGCTGCGACGACCAGAAGTTCCAGCGAGACTCGTGCTTCGGCGCAATGGGCATCAACACCAACAAAGACGACTACCTCAACTGCGCTCCCAAGGCAATCGCCGTCCCTGGCGACGACGGCGCGGTACTTGAGAAACTGCCTGGCTGCAATCCTATTCAAAGCGGTCCAGCCGATGCTACCATGCCTGTCGGCGAAGCCTGCAATGCAGTCCCTGCTCCTACCGCCTCGGATCCTCCTCCTCCCCCATCGGTCGTCGTCATGTCTCCTGAGCCTACCTCTGTCGTCGAGAGTGGAGCCGTTCCTACATCTGCTGTTGTCGACATGCCGTCTCCGCCCGTAGAAACTCCATCCTCCGTCGTCGACATGCCGTCTCTGCCCATTGAAACTCCGTCCTCCGCCGCCATCGACATACCCGTCCCGGCACCTCAACCCTCCGCTCTCGACCCCATCATCCCCGATCCCTCCGCTCTCCCCGTCATTCCCATCCCCTCCACAATCAATCCGGTCCCGGCCCCCGGTCCTGAAGCCATCCCTCCAGTTCCCGTCCTCCCATCTCCCATACCCCCTGTCCAACCTACCGTAATCATACCACCCGTCGAAAAGGCCAACCTAGCCCAGTACCAGTACCAGCGCGAATGCGATGCCGTCGCTGCTGTCACAATCACAACCACCGAACTCGTCACCCTAACCGTTATTCCCGGGCGTCGTACGCCAGTGCCCACCATTGAGGCGCAGGCATGTGGTGCGGACGGCACGGTGTGGAGGACGGTGCAGGAGGTTGTTACTGTTACTGTGGCGGCTGGGGAGAGGAATGTGAGGCGAGGGAGGAGAAGGGGGATGAGGTAGGAGGATGATTGGAGATGTCGGGTGTGTATGTATATATAGCTGTATGATGCAATGTGTAGATATCGCTCGGATAGATCTAATTTGACTCTCATTTGTTCCAACTACTGCATGATGAAGTGAGGTGAATGGTATCTGATGTACGATCGTAGATTAACTGTCTGTCTTTTAGATTACCTTTACCATGAAAGCCTAGATGCAGACCTAGTATGTCTAGACTATTGATATGTAACTCGAGACTCTAAATTGTAGAGATACTAACTCATAGAATAAATTGTGTCTCTTATAGTTCGCTTTATTTGTTTCGAAGATGCGTGTGAATAATAGTGTACCTAGGTTTCGATATGGTGGCATTAAATATATGTACTAGGAAGGTAATAATCTTGAAACGCTTATGGTCCGACGAAGTGGTGTAATAAATGGGCTGTTTTAGTGTCAGACGGATGATGGTATGTTTGGATATATATTCGGATATATTAAAGTTATGACTTTGGAGTACATTGGTTGTTATATCGAATTCTAATAATGCGTATAGTTAAAATGAAGATGTTCAATCGATTGAACTCATTCCAGAAAGTAGATAGCTTTCTGTAGCATATGGATACTATACATTACTATATTAGCTCTGGTATCCTATAGCTGGCTATAAGTATAGGAGCAGTCGGCGCTAACTAGAGACATGGATGGCACTTGTGAACTCCGCAGATTCAGTGAATAGAAAGGTCGTTTGACGTGCCATCTGGGAGTACTACCATTTCGTTCGATTAAAGCATGACGCCATGCGATAATGCATGCATTGACAATTACTATCTTTGGATGTATCTGCGAGACATCGTCCTCATGACTTCAAGCCTTCAGATTGAGCCTGCATACAAACTGAACAAATTTACTGGCTCACATTGATCGACGATTAGCAACAGTCCACTATGGCCATCGAACTACTGCACCTCTAGCGCCTGTCACTACACGCCGCTATTGGCACCTACCACTTATCCTCAATCGCAAACCTCGGCCCCAATTCCCATATGCAAGCAAAACGCAAAATGAGGTAGACGTGCGGGATGGCGCACAGGGAATCTCTAAGGCTTGCAATGCACTTTATAAAAACCCTTCCCTGAGCCCGTTCAAAGGTTCAATCCTGGCCGTCGATCCTCCGCATTTCTTCACGACCTTACTATCTACGACTTCCTGGTTCAGATCCCCTCAAGCTCCCACCATGCTGCTCTCCGACGCCCTTCTCTTCGCCGCCACGGCCTCCGCCGCCGCCATCACATCCCCTCTCACCCCACGCGCCGGCCTACCCAACGGCCAAACCACCGTGCAAGACGTCATCAACATCCACAACGCCGTCCTCGAGCTCGACGCCATCGTGCAAGACTACACCGGCTCGCCCTTCCCGACCTCCCTCGTCAACGGCGTCCCCGTGCTCGAGGGCGTGTTCAAGATCCACAACGTCAACCGCGTCGGCTTCGTCAACGCGCTCGCCGCCCTGCCGTACAGCAAGGCCGAGGATGCCGCTATCGTGCAGACGGTCGAGGACACGGTCAACGTCAGCATCCCGGCTGCCACGGTACATTTGAAGGCCAAGCTCAAGGAGTTTCAGGAGGGTGCGCTGGGCCCCGTTGTGGTGGCGAGCTTGGCGTTGCTGTTGAGTGATCATGATACGTTTAGTGCGGCGGTGGCTACGAAGTTGGTAGGTGCGGATCCGGATGTGTTGGCGAGGGGCCTGGCGGCGGTGGCGAATATTCATAATGCGATTCAGGATGCGTTGTTGTTTTATACGCTGAATGTCGTGTAAGCGGTTGGGTTGTATGTGGGATGGTGGTGGTAGATGCATTCAAGAGCTTGGAAATGTCAAGGGTTAGACTTTTGGACTGGCATTAACTATCAACTGGACGAATCAGCTGTACATAATCGTTCATGATCGCCATGAAGTCCTGGAGATAGGAGCAGTGTACATAGTGGTGAAAGTCTCCTAATAACTCAATCGACTAGTGATATCATGGCTATACGCTACAGTCTCTCTATGAAGGATAGAAGCCCAGGATATCGAAGACTAGACGAGTCTAAGATAAGCTCTAGGAAAGCATTAGGGCTACGCAAAGTTTCATAGCTATAAAGAGGTAACGTGCCTAAAGATATCTTGAATTAAGAGTATAGACGTTTAAAAAACTTACTGGTGGTTATGTCGTTATCGATCTAAGATGATATCCAAACTACTAAACTACTATAAGCTATTATAATTAAGTTCTAGAAAGGAGTAAGACATGTTCAATTAGATTCGAATCTTCAAGAGATGTCTCTTCTGCTTTATATTGAAGATACTTCTAGTATCTGCTGTAATGGTCGTAGTAAAATCTATATGATATATAAGCAGTATAGAGAAGTAGGAGATGAAAAGATAGAAAAAAATAATCATTAGACACAGAGCTAACCTGACCTATATCTATAGATCATACCGGAACGTGTTAGAAGTGCAGGTAAGAGTGAATATTACAAAGTAAGTTATTTAGTTTGGGGCAAAGATATAAGACTTGAGGAAGGTCACCTTCCGAAGGTGTTCAAGACTTTTGGGGCGGAAACAGGCCCTTCCAACTATAGATACTTACCTGCCGTCTTCTTGGCCAACTTACCCTGTGGGTCGACTCTATCTTAGTACCGCTGGCAGAGCATCAGCTACTCTAAAGCAACGCAACTATTATGTGAAATGTTAGGCAACTTATCAGCGTCCATAGCAAAAGTGTACACTGCAGACATCGACACGGGTGCCTGAGCCGGTAATGTCGTAATAATTCTGGTCCAAAGGGATCCGATTGATAAAGTGGAGAGAAGCGGGACGTCGTGCGGGACACGGACTTCTGAACCGAGGGAGGCCAAATCTGCTATCCACTTGGGTCATGAACACGTACTATCCTGGTGTTGATCAGGGTGCACCCCTGTTGTGTATCATGTCTTCAACCCCAAGTTCCCGCTTACCGGGTTTCGTGGAATGTGACATCTACAAACGTGGGCAATTATAGATAAACGCAGTCGACAGCTGACTCACGTCGAGTCTCTCGTTGTTCGCTCTGATACGATACGGGCTCCCACGTGCGAAGGACAATGGTTTCACGTGCATGTTGTGGCGTGGACCTCGGCAGCCGCTTTAGTTTGTAGTGGTCCTGCAAAAACTACTCCTGAATTTCCACAAGGTGTTGCAAAACGTAAAGCGGACAGTCGATCTAACCGTTAAGCGCAACGTTGCCAAGTACCCCAGACGCCACATGTCGTCTAAATTTACCAGTTCCCCAGAAATCAAATGCTCTTGTCCCCTAACTCTGCATGTAATAAGCAGGACGGAATGCTTCCCTCGCAAATTTGGGCGACTTCGACCATCGCCTGCAGCTAGTCAGACTGGCGACTAGCCAATCGAAACTATGTCGTGCCTTTCGTGGCATGCTCTAGACCATGGAAATGCCTCCACGATTCCCATCTTAGCTGCTTTAAGCTCAACATCAATAGCTCTGAACGCCGCTTAATCTCTAGCAGGCATGTGAAGCTTGGAAAGAAATACATCATATGGCCGTGAGCCCTCTCAAACGCCTCGTGGTTCTTCAGCTCTCGCAAATCCAGATTTTTTCACTCGTTCAAATTCACTTCAATCGGAATCATGAGGTTTTCTCTCGCTCTCCCTTTCCTTGCTGTGGGTGCTTTGGCATCCTCAGGTCGCCTCCAGCGCAAGGATCTGACCGAAGCTGAACTCGCGACCCTGAGGCAAGCTCTTGTCAATGCCGCCGACGCTACCAATGCTCTCGACGCCCAAGTTCTCGGATTCAACGGCCCGAGCAGGTCGATGCCCTCCAAGCAGCATCGGACAATGTTATTGCAGTCCTCGTTGCTGGAAAGAACACGGTCGATCAGATCACAAACATGATCACCATCGACCAGGGCTTCACCCTGCTTGACCAGGTGAACGCGCTCAACGACGCTGCCGCCAAGGCCGTTCAAGACGCCACGGACAAGAAGCCAACTCTTGTCTCCGCCTGCGTCGGACCCACCGTCCTCGCTGCTCTCCAAGATCAGCTCGCTGCCGCAAAGGCTTTCCAGGCCTCCGTCGCCAACCGATTCAACGAAGGTGAAGAGCGTGACCTTGCTCTCCAGCTCTCGCAGCCCGCCATCGATAGCCTGCAGACCGGCGTCAACAACTTCTCCGACCAGACCTCGCTCCCTGCAGGCTGCGCAGAGCCTACGCCTTCCGGCACTCCCGAACCCACCCCCGAGCCCACCTCTGAGCCCACTCCTGAGCCCACTCCCTCAGAGACGTCATCCGAGGCACCTTCCGGCACGCCTTCCCCTGAGCCCACACCTTCCGGGTCACCCTCTCCTTCCGGTTCATCGTCCTCCGAGATCCCCACCCCAACTGGTGGGAACCCACACCCAACTGGCGGTGCCCCAGGTACCTCCGGAGGCAGCCCACCAACTGGCGGTAACCCACACCCAACCGGTGGAGCACCAGGCACCAGCGGTGGCAGCGTTCCCAGCCAGACCGGCGGCCACGGCGTGCCCACCCCAACCAAGCCTTCCGGCCCTGGCTTCACCGGTCCCGTATTTACCGGCGCAGCGGTTCCAATGGGCGTTGCGAACGTTGGTGCCTTCGCGGCTGCTGCCTTCGCTGCTGTTGCGGCGTTCTAAGCGCGGAGAGCCAAGATGTGCAGAGACTACCTTCTAGGATACATAATTTGGAATAAAATTCTTTTGAGTGTAGCATTGTTGATACTTTTTCGTGTGTTAAGTTGTCTGGTTGTGATGCTAGGTGACTCGTGCGTTTGTAATCACTAATAGTGCTACGCGGCAGCACGCTGTATGTAGGCGAAGTAAAGCGCGGTCCAAGGGTTAGAGTTGGAGTCGTAGGGTCACTCTGACATAGCACTCATCCATCTTTTTTATGAACATATCAGTGTATGATAGTGCCGTAGTCCATGTGTGGTTTTCGCACTTTGACATAGTATAGAGATCAGACATTATCCGATAACGACAACACGATTCACTCCACGTGGCACTAGCCCCGGGAGCAGCACCGCGGGCCGCTTGGCGCGACTCGTCTAACCAATCCAAAGCCTGGAAGGTGTCTTTGTTCTCATAAGAGTCATCTCGAAATCCTCCGATCAGGCTACAGTGTGATACAGGTCTGTTTCGCTCTTGATGCCTGATCAGTGATGTAAAGAGCACTCCTACGAAATATAACATTCACAACCCATCAAACCCGCGTATTTGACCTCCAGGTCAATTGCAATCATTGAGTCAACTCCAACGAACGCTTTTCGATATCGCACTGCCGTTTGACGCACTTCACTTCCAACTCAAAATATCACCATCACGTAATCACAACTCAATCACATTTTCACTCTCCTCAGTCCCAACAATGGCAGCCTCCAAATGGCCAATGAAGCAATACTCGTCCGCGCAATTCATCGAGTCCGCCGGCACCGTGCTCTTCTCATACCATGAACCATTTTCAAACCCACCTTCATCAGCCCTCAAAATCTGCCTCCTCCACTACCTCCCCGAAAACCAGCTTCTGCTGCCCAAAGGACGCCGCAATATTGCCGAAACGCGTGCCGAAGCTGCACTCCGTGAGACTTGTGAGGAGACAGGCTGTGAATGTTCGATGCTGCCGGTTAGTATGGAGACTCGATGTACTCTGCCCATGTGGGGCCCTGGTGCGAGCGACAGGGCGAGGAAGGAAACAGTTCAGGGAGAGGCGTTCTTCGTTACTCATCGAGAGCTGGGAGACGGAAGCGGCATCAAGGTTATCTGGTGGTATGTTGCTGTGGCAAGGGAGGGGCAGGAGCACATGCCTGCAAGGGTGATTGAAGGGCAGTTCAAGCCGGTGTGGGTTGGATTGGATGAAGCGGAGACTAGATTAACATTCGAGGGAGATAGGGAGATCGTCAAGAAAGCGATTATGCTGGTTCGGGGTGAATGAAAACAATTTCACTTTACGGAGGGCATAGTAGATGCAAAATCATCAATCGCTCTGGGATTGTTTTGACAAGTTTTAGTCTGACTTACTTCCAAGTCATCAGACACCCATGCCAATAAGAATGGTCTTGCTCTGCAAATATCCCATAATCCCTTCGCGGCCTGATTCTCTGCCCACTCCACTCTCCTTGAACCCACCGAATGGTGCCGATACTGAGATTGAGTGTGACTGGTTGATGGCCACGGTTCCAGCTTCAATCTGTCGTGATACTCGAAGGGCTCGAGAGATTGACTTTGTCAGTAGGACGCTCGACAGGCCATAGTTAGTATCGTTCGCTAGCTCGATCGCCTCTTCTTCTGTCTTGAACGTGCGGATACCTAGCACCGGACCGAAGATCTCATCACGGTAGATTGAAGCATCGTCTTTGGCATTCAGAAAGATGGTCGGCTTGATGAAATGGCCCTTTTCGCCGACACGCTCACCACCAATGGCCAGCTCAGCCTCCTTCTTGCCAGCCTCGATGAAGCTCATCACACGGTCGTATTGGGCTTGATCTGCAAGGGGTCCGTAGCTAGTAGTCTCGAGGGACGGATCGCCCATGTTATTGCCCAGAGAGGCGAAGCGTTTTTTCATACCTTCGATAAAGGCGGGTGCGATACTCTCCTGGACAAAGCAACGCGAGCTGGCAATACAGGCTTGCGTAGTGTTGAAAAGGAAAGCGTCAGCACAGACACTATAGGCGTTCTCAAGGTCAGCATCCTCAAACACCAGAGCTGGAGACTTTCCACCAAGCTCTAGGGTCACACGCTTGAGGTTGGAATTCGCGGCTGCAGCTTGAATTTTTTTTCCAGTAGGGACGGAGCCTGTGAAGCTGATTTTGCGGATACGTGGGTGCGAAGCGAGCAAAGCACCCACATCACCTCCACCTGTAATGACATTGACCACACCAGCAGGAATTCCAGCTTCTTTGAAGATGCGTGCGAATCGAATGCAACCGAGAGGAGACTTTTCCGATGCCTTGAATATGAAAGTGTTGCCAGCCGCTAGGGCAGGCGCGATTTTGTTAGCTAAGAGAATGTACGAGACATTCCAAGCACCAATACCAGCGCAGACACCAAGGGGCTCGTACGAGACGATCTTGTAAGTGCCATCGTCGGCAGGGTACTGCTCTCCAGGGATCTTGTTGGTCCAGCCTGCGTAGTCTATCGTGTAGGCCCGAATCAGCCACCGGCTTGTCATTCACAAGCGTCGCGCGCGGACTTACACTTGAAGACCTCAGCACAAAGACCCAAAATCCATTTGCCAGCTTGAACTGGAGCGCCCATAGCGACCGTCTCAAGATGAGGAAGACTGGGATCGTCGTCCGTGCCCTCTCTTCCAGCCTCTTTCTCGATCAGCTCCGCCACCTTCATTAGAACAGCAGACCGCTGCGAAGCTGTCCACTTGCTCCACTCTCCCTTGTATGCGGCCTGGGCGGCATCAAACGCTTTTTCAACGTCGGCTTCGCTCGCCGTTTGTACATCTTCGGTTACGATCGTCTCATTGTTGGGATTCCTGACCGTCAATCTTTTGCCAGTGCCCTCAACGTACTGCGAGGGGTCAGCAGCTGTATCGGGCGTTTAGCTAAGAGTTCTGGGCATACCTCGTTGTTGATAAAGAGACGAGTCTCGTATTTGACGGCGCTCTTCGCTTCTCCGGCGGCGACCATGTTGTAAATCGGGGATAATTTGGTCTGGACGATTGGTGCTCGTACTGCGTTGTTGCTGGACTATGTTCGACGGTGAAACTTGGTATGATGGGAACAAGACTCGAAGATATCGAGGGAGCGGGGAACAATCGAGCATGATATAATGCTAGGTGGCCTGTGTCCATGCTTGTCCTAAGCCGTTGTCGCAAGTTTCTGGGAAGTGGCACGGTAAGATACCTGTCCGTAAAAGGATTAACGCCGTCGATCCTACAGGCTCCATCGACACATCGACGAGAGCCCTGATTTTAATCCTAGGGTGCTATGTATCTTGCGATACGATGTACGTCCACGCAAGTTCGCAGTTGTTGAGCTAGTAACGCGCCGCGCCTCAGTCAGCATGGGGTCGCAATACAGTTCCGAGCGAACCAACCAAATCCCGTCAGTCATCGTCCAAGCTGGCAGTGCATGAGTCTCTCGGACTTAAGTTAACACTTAACGCCTCCTAGGATGTCCGGCGGGGTAATCCATTTCTGCAGGATCCCTACGAGGACATACATATTTGTGATACATAGTTGGGAATTGTACGCACTGTACCCATTCGCAGTTTCTTGAGGCATTTACATCATCTTCGGACCAATTTTTGGTCCATTGGGAACAGAACAAGCCCGTGAGTGAATTGAATGAAGAATACTATACACATCGGGTATGACAATGTAGGCCCTTCAGTGGAGGCCTAACAGTGGCACTAAGATTCGAGTGGGGTTTGGGGGCGGATCTCCATTTTCAGACACTGATCGTCTAATTAACTATGAATACTAGATCTCCTAGTTGCTATATTGCTAGATCTCCAGCCTCCCTCGCTACAGACCCCGCTTTGTTGGTGACAAATCTATGCACATATGGGCGAGATGCATAGTTAAGCATGCACTGACTTCTCTTCCTCGTAAATGACGCCAGCACTCGTGAGCTGAAGACGCTGTTCTGTGTCGATAATAAGCTTCATACGACCTCGCCGACATGAAATAATGCATGAGTGCTCTTCAACGAGCAGTAAATCCTCCATCGACGGGCATGCGAGTTCCAGTTACCCATCTCGCATCGTCGCTGGCCAGAAACACTGCCATTCCAGCGATATCTTCGGGCTTGCCGACACCCGTGGGGTAATTTTGATCGAACCATTCCTTCGACATCTGATATTTCTCCGTGTCTTCGAAAATGGCAGTTCGCGTGTCTGCGGCTGTCAGTACTTGTCCATCATCATCAATGCGGGAAAGATTCAAGTTCAGGTGAGGAACATGGTACGGACTTACGTCCTGGACATATAGCATTGCATCTAATGCCGTCTTTGGAATAATCGTTCGCAATCTGCATAGTCAACAAACTTACCGCACCTTTGCTTGCGGCATACGAAGGTACAAATGAGCCGCCAACGAGGCCATATATGCTGCTCATATTGATGATACATCCGCGTTCGCCAGAGATTGAAGGCTCCTGCTCAAGCATTTGCTGCAATGCAAACTTGCTTGCCAGAAATACCGACTTGGCATTCACAGCTAGAGTCTGGTCCCATGTCGATTCAGGCGTCTCGTGCAGTCGGAAACGTTCTCTGGCCTCTATCGCTATACCCGCATTGTTCACAAGTCTGGGACGTGTTAGCGCAACACAACAAAACATGACCATATCGTATACATGTCGAGTCTGCCCCATGTCGCAACAGTTCGCTTGACCAGCTCTTCGACCTGATCGGTCTTTGTCACGTCGGCCTCGACGAATATTGCCTGCCCACCACGCTCTTGAATCAGTTCATGAGTTGTAATGTTGAGCTCGTCTGGGACCTGCGGGCGCGCTGTTGGCTTCAGATCGGCGCATGTCACCAATGCACCTTGAACTGAATATGCCAACGCGATGGCTCGGCCTAGGCCGGACGAAGCTCCGGTCACTATAGCGACTTTGCCCTGTAGGCGGAGGCTACTGCTTGGTGTAGACTGAGAAGTCATCTTGAAGTCTAGACGACGCCGCAGGAACAATTCGCTGTCTTCTATCGACCTCAAGCTTGTGATCTATGATTATGTCTTCGCATATACTATATCAGAGGCAGGGATGTCCCCGCATGGATGTTCAGCCACTAAAGCCCCCCGATCTCGAGCTAGTAACCTCCGCATCATATATCGGCGTTGCGTGCGTAGCACACGTGTCGTAACCGTCTCTACCTTTATATAAGAGTCTAGATATCATTACTGTATATATAGACCTATAGATTAAGAGGATGAAATTCATTTGAGACAGTTTTCAGCTCTTGAATACTCCAGTTTAGCCTGTATGATGTTTGAAACCTTATGGATCAACGCCTATAGAGAGGTTCTTATATACTTATATTGTTATCGCATAGTATTCCAATACCATTATACATTCATATATGGGTGTTATGTTTATAGCGAGTCCCGGTCAGAAGATATAGAGAAGACTACAAGTGCCAAGAGTTATAGCTCTTGGGTAGGTAGCAAACCTGAGGGTCGCCATACTTGCCGTGCGGTTCGACTGCCTAATTGGGAGCAGTGGAATATCCTTCGCACGTCTCATTCCAAGACCTACTTTAGCTTTCAACATATAAGTTAGGTAAGTGCCTCTAGCAAGGGATCCAAGGAGGATATCTTAGATGTCAGATCTACAATACGGATGGTAGTCTACCCGAAGCCATTGTTGTTCCATAACAGGCAATCTATCCGATCCACTTGTCAAGCTAAGTATCCTCAACATTTTGTTCTTCATACTTACTTTAAAGCTATCTCAACTGGTTCAAAGAGCTAGAAACACCTTTGTCGTTATAAAAATCAAGTGCATAGCATGAAACCTCAATCCCTTCTTGACTACCTACGAGAGCGATCTCAAGTAAGTAGCGACACACTCGACGCTCAGATAGTCGAAAGTCTTGGCCCCTTTGTCGACAACACTTCGAATCAAGCTATCGCATACGGAGAACTAGCAAAGGCCAAACATGCAGATTTGTTGCGCGACGCTGCGGCTACAGCACAAAAGTTCAAGGACAGTAGTGAACTGCAGCTTACTGATGTGTCTATCGCCGAATTAGCGATTGAGATTGCCGTATGTTTTCTTGCCGCCGCATCATACGCATAGCTCATGAACTGATGAATAACAGACCATAAGATTGTGTCTACTCATCGTACCACACGTGACCAACTGCGTGCACGTTCAAGTCAACCCCATACATTCGTATTCAACAGCTCAAATCATCATAAATGCAGAACGCATCATCTCGCTCTTCTCGCTCATTGCACCCGACTTCTCCCCATCACGGGTTTGCATCAAAGTGCCATCGACATGGGAAGGACTCCGTGCTTGCGAGGTACTCGAGCAGCAGGGCATCAATACACTTGCAACAACTCTCTTCTGCATGGAACAGGCCGTCCTAGCAGGTAAGAGTGGATGCACCTATATCGCACCATATGTAAACGAGCTCAAAGTTCACTTTGAAGTTGGGTACATCGATCCAAGCCCAAACTTCCAACTTTGTGTGGAAGCACAGAAGTTCTACGCCAAAGAAAAGATGAAGACGAAGGTTCTGGCGGCAAGCTTAACGAGTGTAAAAGAGTGTGCTCAGCTATCAGGAATTGACTGTATCACGATCGCACCCGCGTTACTAGATGGGCTGAATGGAACTGATGTTGAAGTTCTGGAGAAAGAAGGCGGAGAAGAATATGCAAGCTACTTCAACGAAAGCGGGACCAAGGTAGATGGCAATGTCGATTCTTTTGGTATGGACTATTGGAGCAATATCACAGAAGAGAAGCAATGGAGACAATCATTCAAGCAGAGAAATGACGGCCGTGAATTGATCAAATTGGAGGAGGCGATCAGTATATTCCGTAATGAGCAGGCCAAGCTTGAAGACCTCGTCGCTCAATACATTTGAACACAATGAATAATTCATATTTACGCTGCCATGCTCAGACTCATCATTTCGAAGTCAGCGATCATCCCTTCAAGCGGTTTAACCACTTCGTTGTACACTGCAGCTTGTAGCTGGGGCTCTTTCAGGTCGACGACATCAGGGACGAAGTCGTTGAATAAGCATCGTCTGATAATACTGCAGTACCTGAACCCGAACGGTGTCTTCATAGTCTTCACAATCTTTCTTGCAGTTACCACGTCATCACTATGAGCCACTGTTCTCATCTCTGCAATAGGCTTCTGACAGGCAAGCTCTATTAGGGCTATACCGAGATTGCAAAGACTCCAATTCCTAACTCCGAGTAGCTCACCGAGCTCCTCAAGAGCATCGATCTGGGCGCCCTTCGCGGCATGGATTCCCGTTCGATGGTCCGGTAGTGCCTTGTTAACATGTACGGTAGCGAAGTCATACTTGGCGTGATTGTTGCTGGCTTGAGCCCCGGTGACGATCGCTGGAACAGAAAAGTCTTTCAGTCGCCACCCAGGACGGAGCCAAGGCGTCGAGTTGAATTGTAGCACAGTTTGTGCGAGTAAGTGGGCCAATTTGATTTGGTGTCCCATTGACACGAATTTCAATGCTTGTGTTAGGGGTACCTCTACGCTACTGAGGCCATTCACCTGCCTGAAAAACTCATGTCTATATGTGTTGCCAGGTCCTAGGTAGCCCCAATAACCTTTCGTGGCTTGGCCTAATAACCAGCAACAGATGCTCTGGACTTGCGTCAAGTGAATCCCCAAAGGGCTTGAAACTGAGACATTCGAGCAGTACTGCTTCAACGGTCCATTCTTCGTTATGGTAAGATTACGTCCCCCACATTGATGATCGGTTGGCTGTGTAATCGAAACGCTCCTAACGTTTACAAGAAGACGACTGCTAGATGAACATTAGATGAAGTCGGTCTGACGTCCAAACTGCTACTGAATCGCTAACAATGACTCACCTTGATAGCCCGGTTGCCTTTGGCACGGCGCCACCACATTCATGCACGGCAATGGACAGGTCCATGTGAACGGCTTTTTCTGAGTCAACCTTCGCTGTGACAAGTAGTCCAGCATGGTGACCTTCATGGTTGACATTTTTACATGACCATGCTTGCTCCAACATGGTGTATAGCTCTGTTGAAGCATCTCGTACAGCACAAATATAGCTAGGAACAGGAATCGAGAGTGTGCGAGGCTCATATGCTGTGCTGGTGTCTTCACAAGCTTTGATCAACGCCGAGAAGTCGCTAATCCAGTCTCGTAGGTCTTCCAAATGCTTTTCGTGTCGTTCTTTATTGAGTGCCAGGCTAGCACCTTCCGAGGCGAGTGATGCCCTTCCCTGGATCTCGAAAGTCAGATTAAGATCCTGGTGCTTCGCACCAAAGTAAGCAGTACGTACACTAGTGACCTTTTGATTCATTATCTCCACCTTGGACAAATCTTGTCGGACCTCGTCGAGAACCTCGCTGATCTCTCTTAGATGTTCTTTGCAGACTTTTGCATTCTCTCTACCAAAGACTTTTTCCAGATGCTTTTCGATGAGGTCTTGCAGATTAATGCCAATAGCCATATCTGATGCTGTCCTGGGCTCGCAGAGGATGCCACTCATTAGAAGATCCCAACAGTCTTCGTTGCATCTATCCACTAATGCAGGTCGCAGCAATCGTATACAATCTTGTCGGAATCGTGCTTGGAGACCTTTCCATTTTATCCATAGGCGCCTCGCGACGATATCACGGTGTCGTAGAGTGTCAAGCTTATCGCTGACTGAACGACATGTCTTAGCAACCGTGACTAGTATGGGCACCAACCCGAGAGCAACACCCACAGCCTCCATACCATCGAATATATGACGAGTCCTTTTGACAACGATCCTAATCTGGTGGGCAACTTTCCCAACTTATAGAACCGATTCTACCACAGCCTGATCCCCTCGTTGCCTTGTGACATAGCCTGCATGCCAAGTAATGCTCAGCCATATCACCTGTGGGTCCCTGCTCATCGTTATCATTGATATTCCTTTGCCTTGTGGCATAACCTGCATGCCAATTAATGCTCAGCCTTATCACCTGAGGTTCCCCGCTCATCGTTAGCATTGATCTTCCTTTGCCTTTGATGTATATTTTTGTCTTCTCTCAGGACTATCTATATATTTCGATCTTCTAGCCCGACAGAATGGAGATTTTGGTCGAGGGTGCTCACTCCTTCAGTATGGACGAGGCATGGCTCGATGAGGCCATCGATCCGGCCGAAAAGGGTATGATAGGGGCCTTGCTCAACATGTCCATGATTCTTTTCCCTTTGACCAAGCATACTCTGGGAAGACTCGACTCTACACTGTCAGATAAATACGTTGACCAGTTCCTACGTGATCATCTGATGCTAGGCTTTTGGGGTAAAGCTTTGAACGCCTCCGACGGAGCTCTAGACAAATCCCTGGAGAATTGCCAGAGTCTGCGCGACGATGTGATAACCTTGATGTATCAGCTACTAGAAGCCCTATACCAAGGTCTGTTCCTTCTGATGTGAAGTTAATCATGCTGATAATGTTCAGGCCTAACAGAGTTTGGACGAAATCAATCGAAATATTCTATTAGTGTTAACAGCTTGCTCGAGAAAGCAGAAGCCTCTCTCACAGTGTCAGACACCAGTAATTCTATAAGCAGAATAGGAGTTGATGAGATTTACGAAGATATAACATCGATTATCAGTGCGCTCGATGACCTGGCCATGTCTCTCGAGCGCCCTGCGACTGATACAGTAGTGCGACCGGAGGCAAGTCGCCCTGTTAACATTGGCGAGCAACACAACCCTTTGCAGAACTTTTTTGAACTTATTCAACATCATTTTCCCAAGGCAGACGACAAAGCTATTAAACGACACGCCCAAGCAAACTGTTCCCGGTTGCTGAGACTACAGGACTTGAGAGGTACCACAATGGAACCAAGTTATGCGTCGCATGAATCGAGAGCCAGGATTATGGCCAGAGTACCATTCGCCTGGCTCTTACACAAGGTCAGACGCGAGATGTATCTGCCAGAGATACTCGAAACCGACCGCAGAGGGGTTCCATTTGTTTGTAGTTTCTGTCAGCAGAGTGTGGATTATCGCAATGACGCGTCGTGGATGTAGGTTTCAAGACTCAACCATTGAGACCACCGCTGCTAATATTCGATAGCAACCACGTTCTAAAGGATCTAGGAGCGTGGATATGCCTGGATCCAGATTGTTCATCCTCGAACAAACTATATGGCGATAGAGTGTTATGGATATCGCACCTTTTGACACACATGACAGATCCGACCGATGAGAATCATCCGCAGTGCTCTTTGTGTCTCAAATATGTAGGAACTGCGTTTGTGAAAGTCGTTGCTCATTTTGAGGAGCACTTAATATGGATAGCGACGATGATTGTTCGTAGCTATACATCCTTCGTCGACCATAGTAGCTCTGACAAGGAGTCCACTCATGTATCAATTACAACACCGGTGGTTTATGAAGGGACTGAAGGCGACGAAACGACACAATTCGTTGCCATGCTACAGAGTCTGAAGGCTACACACCCAGCACAACTTTCTACAGTAGCCGAGCAAAGCCATTCATCTGATAGTACAGGAGATCACCAATCAGTCGGAGAATTTCGCACCGTAAAAGGAGCGCAGGTAGCTGTACAGCTACCGATGGGCGATTCTAGTGTCCATTCACAGCTGAACAACGATCTCTTGATTGCAGCACATCTTGGTAGGAGTGACGACTCCATCATCCGGCCCTTCGACGGAACCTCAGACCAAAGAAGTGGTAAAGACAATAAGAGACCTTGGCGCTTGGAAGATACAGAATCTCAAAGCACCCCGTTCTCTCTCCTCTCACAGTCGTTGTTGCCAGCCTCTGAAACGAGCAAGTATAAGTACAAAACACGTTCTACTGCAGACGCTGAGAACATACCATGGGCACAGGATCCAAATATACATGCAAGACCTGAAAGGCTTCAAGAACGTATATCATGGGAGCCAAAGCAACAATTCATCATGGAACGAAAAGTGGACTCAGACTCCATTTCAGGCCCCCAATCATCTCTTCCAACGACTGTAGATGAGTTCAGCGGAAAGGATCGCAAAACTGAAACTTATTTGGCCAATTACAATCATGCCAAGTTGAACCTCGAGCCAGATGACGTATATCCCAGCTTGAAAGATCATAGTGACTTGCTTAATATCTGTTTCCATTGCTCCACGCGAAACTCAGTTGGATGGAAGCGCATGAAAAATGGCCATCTATTGTGTGATGAGTGTGATCTTTACGTAAGGGAATGGGACTATGAGCCATTACATCCAAGATCCGTCGTTTTTGGGGAGATCAATCGTGTCATGGGTACCAACGTACATCCTCGTACACCCCTCCAACGAGTTTTCAGTGAAGAGCCGCTGCCTGCGATTGAAGAGACGGGACGGGAAGAGACGCCACCACATTTTGAGCCGGCGAATATGAAGTAAGTAAAATTTTAGCCCTAGGATGATGGCTTGCAGTACTAAAACTCAATAAAGGCAACGGAATACATCTTCGGAAACCGCTCCCCCTCTAACTCACACCAAACATGTCCCCCCATCAAGTCTCGTACCATCCGACTCCCGGAACCAATCTAGTTTCAATTCAAACCAATCTATAGATGTATCCGCAGGCATAGTGCCATCATGTCCTAGCTCATTTTCTGGGGAAGACAACCAATTTCAACATCCCGAAGTAGAAGAGGACAAGAATCCCAGCGAAAGGCTCATTATGCGATGCTTAGAATATCTTCGTCACCACACCCTGGACGAAAGAGATATTGATTGACATGTCATTGATAAACGCTCAAACAGTCATGAGCGGGTGTTCAAGTACACATGGAAGAATCTCACACCACGTCTACTATATACAGGACTATAAATAATTCCTCAACGTTCAGGGGCGTGGGCCAAAGTCTACAAGATGGGTACATAGTTACTTTCTCTGTATGTACACAGCACTCGGATACGGCTCGTATATGCCCCGTATTGAAAGCTGTTAATTAGTTCAATTAGGGAGAAAGGATATAATGGATGCCTAAGTCGTTGGGCACGATACTCCTTAGTAGCTTACCAGTGGCCTCGTATGTTTACGAGGATAGATGCTTGCCGGGCCAGCTGCATCTCGAAAGTCGTATACCGAGGAATATGATGTACATGACTCTCTAGCACTGCCCGTGCGCCTAGATCCCTTCCTTAGCAAACCATAGACAAGTCAAACAAGCCTGTGATGATTGGGTCATAATCCTGTGGATGCGATGTCCCAAATAGCTTGCTATAATCAATGTACTAATTAGATTCTAGTCATCCATGAATACGGCCCGACTATAACGGATTCTTAGCGAGTAGATCAATATGCAATTTAAGAGAATGCATAGAAATCCTCGCTTTGGCATGAATAGGGTTGTAGCGCCTGGATACAATAGTGACCTGCTCTCGTGCCACAAAGGCAGATAATCTCGGGAGCGAGAAGTGTGTCATAGCACCGAGTTATTTTGTCTAAACGGATAGTCATACAAGATACTTTCGATGCCTCTTCTCCAAGTGTCCATTACGGATACGCTCTACATATCAAACAGGTATATCTCGTCGCATATTAGAGCGACTAAGCGTGAACCAAGACAGGAGTTTCTCAAACCGCGCACAGAGCATCCGTTCACACCACTCATACCCAGCATACTTCGCCCCATGCCTCCCCTCCAAATCCTCCTCCTCACAAGCCTCTGGGCATCTGCCGTGCTCGCCGTCATCACCCCAACACAAACGTACGCCCCCCTAAATCACACCGCGAGTCAAAGCAGCTAACCCGCCATGAAGCCTTCACACCACCACACTCCCGCAGCATCGACGCGCCCTCGACTACGACGGCTATGCACGAATCGCCGCGTCCAGTTGTAGCTGCGGCGACGACGACAGCAGCGGGAGCAGTAGTAGCATTTGCAAACGACGACTCGCAGCACGCACAGACGTAGGTCTCGACGCCGTGGTCGCCGCAGGGCCAGACGAAGATCTGACCACGGCCGGGCTCTCAACATGCATGGGGATTGTCGTGACGGGGACGGCGAAGGCGGGCGGAGCGCGGGTGAGGACGCATTTTATGGCGCATCTGGGGATGGGAGACGGCGTGGACGAGATCTTCGGTGTGCTGGAGGATCTGGTGAAGAACAGTGCGGATGGGCTTCAGGATCTGAAGAGCTATGCTACGGTCGCGAGGCTGACGAGGGAGAATGTGCGGGGCGTTATGGAGGAGGATTTGGGAGAGGGGGAAGATAGGGTGGATGAGGAGGATGTAGAGGGGTTCATGGCATATTTGCAGGAGTTGTATGTTGAGTTGTGTAGGAAGCTGGATGGCTTGGCGGTGATTGCCGGTATAGGTTTCCATGACCCCTCGCAGTGGAATACCATGGACTCGCTTCACGATGGGACTGTTAGGGTAAACGGCAAAGTTCTTTAGGATGAGGCCTCTTTTTACTTATCTTGTTTGTTTGGTAAAGCCTTATCAAACCTCAGCTGACATTTGAGCAGTGACATATCAGTGTCATTCTACTATACATTATGCCTCTATCATGGTGAATGACCGAAAAGAGCAGTCTAATTTAATGACTTAATAGGTAATCATAATGGAGTACTTAGAGTACTAGGTAGTTTCATTAGTAGTAAGAGAAAGTAGCATGGCTGGACTCTACCTTAACTTCTCTAAGGCTCATCAACAACACCATCTCGCTACATCTCCAGCCTCGCCACTCACTTACTTCGAGAAAGGCTTATAAGTACCCCTTCGTAGAGTACCATGGCATGGTATCTCCTCCTATATCACGAGAACAAAGTCTTGCTATTCTCATCTGTGTGATTATAGCTTTCATTTCTATTTTCGCTCGAAGGTGGACTTTAACCATATTATGTTAAGTTAGGGATACACACTCTATACCACTTGGTGGGGATTTATGAGATATCTAGAGGGCATGTATATATGGAGTTAACTTCTAAGGGGGCTCAGGGGTAAGGAGTAGTAGGAATATATTACATGTGTAGATATAGCGTAGTTGTGATATGTGTTCAAACAGATGTATAAGAAGATCATCTGAATGGGAATCGAATACCTTGTTGAAAGTTAGTACTCATCATAGGTATATAGACAACATAGTAGCAACACCATACTAACAAAAAACACTTACTTACACACTCTACTAAGTCTTAAACATCCAAGACGAGATATCAGCCATTGTCTTACTTACATCCAATAGTAGCGTAACACCTCTAAACGAGAATTCCATTCTTGACTCCAGATTAGCTTAATATTTTAGTTTTTCTCCATATCAAATACATCACAACTTAACTGTCTCTCTTTCTCTCTCTCGCTCTCGCTCTCTCTCTCTCTCTCTCTCTCTCTCTCTCTCTCCCTCTCTCTCTCTTCCTCCCTCTCTCTCCCTCACGTTCTACTTCTTCTTCGCATCTCATTCTCTTAAACTACCCTTCGCCCGAAAACGAAATCGCCTATATCAAGTCCCACGCAGCGATGTAACTTGCTATAGTCTATAACACCATGCCGAACTCACATCATATACCCCAGCAAAAGTGCCATCATAAGACATACCCCACCATACTCTCGCCCAGATTGTATACGTATGCAGGTTTCCTGTCCGCGACTGCGTGCGTTTTGCTTAGTCGTAGTCGGTGCTACGAGCTAGGTTTGATTGATTGATTGATTGATTGATGCTTGTCCGTGCAGCGTATGCGAATATATATGGGACATATACTATGCGGATGTAGTAAATACGCATAGTAAGCCAAAAAATGGAGAAGTACAAGATAGGACGGGAGTATGAATCTTGGAGCAGTTGGGCCCTGGACGCGTGAATGACTCAATGAGCGGAGGGAATGGAGGCAGGAAATAGATAGATGTAGCTTTAACCTTCGTCATGAGCTATGCAGCAGTGTATGTGTGATGCACTGTATCCCTTACGTGCGAATCAAGGGGTGTTCATGCCCAGTCTCAACAGATCTGCGCGCACAGCAGCAGCATGTATATAGTCTATCAGTAGTCTAAACCCTCCGCCGCTCCGATACAATCTCAAATCGGCAGGTACGTCACAGACGAAGCAAATCGCGCTTTCCTTTCTAAACCGCACAAATCTATCCAGGCAATGATGCCATGACGACATCTAAGATAGGAAAAAAATCGAGAACGGGGAGAGAGACTTCCATGGCGCGATGGAAAAACCGGCACCAGCGTAACCACGGAATGCGCGTCTGGATCCGTCGTCCAAGGCAGATCACCGTGGTGTGTTATTTCAAATCTATTTTTTCTGTTGAGAAGTTAGGAAGGACCAGACAATGCAATATTTCCGCATCGGGGCAAGTACTTACGTAGAGGGGGTATATATATATGGTCAGTTTAACGGGTAAAGGGGAAAAAAAAAGGTCCGAGGATCACAAGGTCTTCCGGAAGACGTCACGCACTCGATGCGAGATTTTGAGGACCATGTATGGCAGATTGGGGATACTTGTCGAGCTGGAGGAACGGCGACGTGGCATTGTGATTTTGACTTATCGTGACTGTGACTGTCTGTGATTATGATTGTTAGCGCGTGGATTGAGTTAAGGTGAGGTGATATGTATACATACCTACGACGTACGTGTTTGATGCAGACGACAAAAGAAATGGTGGGCGCGACCAGCAAGCCAGGACAGGTAGAGACTGAATGGGCACGACACAGATGTAAACAAGTTCGAGTGCAACATCAGACCGTTTATGTACTCAGCACCCCAAAGAGCGCGGTATCTAGCCACTAGCTGGGATACCTGGGCATGTTCGCAGCCTGCTATCTCGAAAGGAAAGCAAGGGTAAGATTACCACAGACACTCCGTCAGGATCATCCCAACACTTGGCTGCGGATAAAACAACGGGATCTGGATGACGTCGTGTCATTCGAAGCAGGAATAGCTGAAACGCAGGTCACCGGGAATGAAGGATGTTTCGTAGCCCAAAAATAGGGTCTAGGCCTGCTTGGAGGGGATAGGATGGTGTGGAATTGCATGAGAGCAGAGCGCGGACTGTGGCGGTGCCCTCAACCCTCAACATTATCAGTGCAGATCCACGGGTAATAGTGTTAGCACTTTGCAGTCAGCGAATCGGTTTAGGAGATGCAGCATCTTGCTAAGGTTTGAGTGGTGTACCAAGGACTGTGTAGATAGTACACGCAGCTGTTGACGGTCCAAGATGGGCGTTTGGCACTGGTGGGTCAGACTGCGGTTATGCCCGCCAGTTAAAGATCTGTGGGGCAGAAGACATGAATACCACGTGTAAAGAAGATATTATTGTGACAATTATCTGGACCAATTGAGGACAGTGAGTGTCCGCGTCTGAATAGCGTGTTTGGTGGCAGCGATCACCCTTGTTGTGCAAGAGTGGAAGACGCTCTGCTGGAGGGCTGATCCCAGGCTTGTGGTGATGTGGTTGGTTCTTTGCGTAGCACAGTACACCGCTTTGTGGATTAGACAAGCTGTCCTTGTGAGTCGATCTGGTCGTCGGGCCAAGGTCCGTCCAGCAACAAAGTTCAAGAGATAAGTCAATGTTTGATTGCACAGAGACTGGTTGAGAAGGTGGTGGTGAGACATGATTTCCAGACCGCCTTGCATGGCGTAGCGAGCATGACCGACGCAGGTGGTGGCACCACTGAATAATGTCACCAATGTACGTGTGAGATGAGCGCACGTGAAGAGAGATGGCAACAGACAGAAATCTCTAGATAAGTGCAGAGACATCGTCCACTCAGCTCACGCTTGCAGCGGCAGAAGATGTCCCGGAGGCGACCAGGCTTGACGACAAGAGTCAGCGTGGAGTGCTGAGCGAGCCGAGCAGGCAATGATGCAGAGTTGTGGAGCCAATGCAACGGCACGGCGGCAGTGTGCCAAAGAGGATGCAGTGCAGCAACAGTAATTAGCACTTGTCGTCGGTTTGAAAACAGAATTCTCAATGCGACATATTGAGAAGGTTAATGATATAATTCCGGGAAGCTGGATCGTAACGGTGATGTACTCTCAAGGTGCGCGGGTTCGACCGGTCTGCTGGAACATAAGCAGCAAGGAGAGAGCATGGGAGTAACAAGAACTGCCGTCCCTTGCCGATGAGCGATTTATGTCCTGGCTTTCGTCGATGATGCAAAGACGGGCAGCTAGATGGATGGATAGAGAGACAAACTGCGGTACAATCGACTGTGTTCAGTGTGTTGGACAAGCAGGGAGGTGAAGTGTGCGAAGTGGCATGGCTGCAGTCTGATGCAGCAACCCCAAAGTGGCAGCCAGATGCTGATATATCATGGTTTTGGCCGATTCGAACGCCAAAAGGAAAGCAAGGCGTCGCATTACGCACGAGTCTGCGGGGCCCAGCCACAGATCACGAAAAGAAGTCGGGTCAGTGTCCAGTGTGGTCAGTAGGTAGAGAGAGACAGAGTGAACGGACAACAGAAAACAGACTTCGAGGCGGTCAAGAGTGCTGCCAGCGTGCGGAAGAAGTGGACGAAGCGGCGATTTAGTTGTATGGTGCCAAGACCAGAGAGGATAAAAGGATAGATATGGCTATAGGCGCTACAGGGGGTCAAGAGGATTGCATGACAAGAGTACGGCATTGGGCTAGTTGAAGCTGCAGACGTAGACGCACAGGAGGATGCGGCATGATGTACATGAGCCGTGCGTACAGCAGTCTCAGTGTCGGAACTGGACTGCATCAGACCTGTGAATCTATAGCGAGGCTGGCAATCACAGAGACGGCTTTCGTGATATCCCCTCGACAGGGAGAGAGTGTTCATTGAGTTCATGGATTGTCGCGTGTTCGCTGTGGAGACTCGATCAAATGGACCCATGGACTGGGTCTACCTGCAGTGCAAGCGAGGATGTTCCCTCTCTCTCTCTCTCCATTCGCGTTCAGTCAAAGATGATATGTTGAAGAAGCAAGGTGGGATTGAAAGACGGGATGAAATTAATACTCCGGATTGCGTAGTATGACCTGACTGACTGCGGTGTGTTAGCTGGGATGAGGACAACAACAATGGTGATGGTATAAGAGAGGATAGAGGCGAAGATAGCTACAGCAGCAACAGCCACAGTTACCCCCATCAGCGATAATTAGCACAGCCACAGAAAGAGCGAAAGCGAAGGGCAGCCGTTGTATCACGGAGCAGCGTGCGGTCTGTGCTCAGCCCTGTTGACACACAATCGAGCGGGCCGCACGCATCTGTAAAAAGACGAAGAGCTCGGATCGAGACCCCTACCGCTGCATAACGAAAGCCATGCAGTCTGCGCCAAGCTGATACTGCAGGTCGGTGCTGCAGGTGGTGCTGCTTATTGCCGGGTTTTCTCTTTCATGTTGTGCTTGATAATACGTCGGCTTTGCCTTTGCCATTCCGAGCCTCTTCGCAATACCGATATTAGCCCTATACGAGACGGGCTGCGGCACACGATATCGAAGTAGCAATGCTCGGCGTGCTTGTGGCATGCTTACTAACCTATGGAATGCTTGTGTGCTTGAACAAGCATCCTGCACCTTAGAACCATAGCCGTCCAACAGAAGGGGTGGAGAAAACGACAGGTTGGCCAACTGTTCGACTCACTTCCAGCCGCGGACTTTACAGAGAGCTTGGCTCAAAGCGCTCCGTAGCTATGGCAAATGCATCTGCGAGTGAAGTTGTGAGATGTGAGATGTAAGATGTGAGATTCCGGATATGCGGGCGCAGCTGAGTATGCAACCTTGATGCGACCTGTTTTTAGCACTCGCGCGAGAAACTGCTGGCTGGTGATGATAACAGCTGTAGCTCTGTCTCCCTGCCTTTTGTTAGAATACCGCATTAGGTGGTTCGCGAAAATGCTGAAAGGCTGTCCTACCAAGGTCTTTGATGATGTGGCTGTACTGTATGTACTGTATGGTGTGTTTCAAGTCCTCTTACATGGGATGACGGTAGGAATCAGCAAGTAGAGCGACCACTGAACATGGCAATTGCTTGAGTTTGTCTGTTACTGTGACTCCATACCTAATTACTCACTACTTTACAGTAGCAGTAGGTATCTACCTTAGTAGCTCGGTAATATAAAACGTATTAATGCGCTTCCTGCCTTGCCGAAAGCACCACCCGAATGGGAATACGGAATAAAATACCGCAGGCCCAGCAGAGGAATCCACTACGTAGAGCAATATTAATTACCATGGGTGAACGGAACCTCTAGACTAAAGAGGCCTTTTCCACTAATCAATTAGTTGATAGTTGAATCGTCCAAACCCACTTCTGGCTTTTGAGAGGGAGCCTGAGAGAGGGAGAGAGAGAGAGAGACAGAGTCACACTTACAGTCGACTCCCCCTCGGTACCCATTACCAGCGCCAGCGCCAGCACCAACACCAGCACCAGCACCAGCACCACAGCACCAAACTCCGCGCGCTCCCTCCATTTTCCACTGCCTTAGCCCCTCGCACACGACTTGAAATATTCACTGCTGCTGCTGCTGCTCTCTCTTCTTCTTCAACTTCTTTACCACCAAACCATCTCTCTCTTCTCTGTAAGCGTCTCTACTGCTCTGCGCGTCGCAAAAGCGCGTCGTTCGGGAGCGCACTCTTCTTCACTGCAACCTGCCAGCCAGCTCAAGATCGGAGTGCAGTGTTCACGCGCATACGCCAAGCCAGACGGCCCTTTCGCTTTGCCATTCACCACTCTCCGTCCCTGCATCGACCTACGTTGCTTGCTGCTCATTGCCTTGGAAGAGTTGGCTGCGCACACATCTCCAGCTGTCTCTCTGCACGGCGAGAAAGTAGCCAAGCCTGCGAGTTTGTCAGCTGTCGAAGCTGCTGGCTACCTAGGTCGCCTCTCCTCGCCCGACCAACCGCCTACACAAGACCAAGTTTTACCAGCCAGAAGTCGTCGACGTCGGGGCTCCTAGCAGGAGACTTTCGTCCTCGGCTGCTCTGCCAGGGTCCTTGTTACGTTTCCCTCCTGTCCTGGCCTTGAAGTACCCCCTTCGCTGCCCACTTCGTCACGACGCCAGCAACTTCCACTCCGCTTTACAATCACCTCCTTGCTCGACATTTGATACCCTGTGCACCGCTGCCAGGTCCAGGCCGCAAAACTTTCCTGGGTTGTGTCACTTTGACGCGCTCGAGCCCCGTCGCGAATAAGAAGCCTCATCAACTCCTTCGGACCAGCTCCGTCTTCCGACGACCCTCGGTCCTTCGTCATCGCCCCGAACAATAATAAATCCTACTTTTCCCAAACACCCAGACTATTCAACACCACATGTCTACACTCGCTCCGATGAGCCAGCCACCCAGCGCGAGCTCGAAAACAACTGCCTCACCTGCTCCATCCATCTCCACCTCATCTCTGCAATCCGAGGACGGCAAATTCTCACAACTTCCTGCTGCACAACACCCCGTCACCTCTCCAACTTCTGCTCCCTCCTCGAATGGCACTGGAGCGCCCGTCTCTTCTGACAGCAGATTACAGCCCGTACGCAAACCCACAATAACTTCGCGTCTTAGCAACCTACTTGTTCGTAAAGACGACAGTTCAAAAGATGCGACACGATCAAATGGAGACAGCCTGAAGTCAAACGGCGACCCTGCCCCTGCCTCTGTGGCTCGTCCGCCTCCATCCCGAGCACCATCAGTCAACGACAAGAGTAAAGCGAAGAAGGATCAGATCCAAGCCACTATACGCGGTCGCTTCTGGACAGCCGAAGATGGGACCCATGAGCATCACTTAAAAGCTGGTCGCAGACAAGAAAAGCTGTCAGACATGTTCCGAGAACTTATGGTTGGAAAAAGGAAGGACCAGCCCGAGGAACAGCAACCTCTAAGTCTTATGGCGAATTGGGCCGATGTCATGCGAAACGAGAAAGAGAAGCTCACAGAACAGAAGAACCTCGCCAATACTTCCCAGACCCTTGTACAGAAGTACGGAAAGTGCCAAGAGGTCATTGGTCGTGGTGCTTTTGGCGTGGTTCGGATCTCGCATAAGCAAGATAGCAAAGACCCGAAGCGAGAGCAGCTCTATGCCGTCAAAGAGTTCAAGCAAAGACCAGGCGAATCCGACAAAAAATATCAAAAACGGTTGACGTCAGAATTCTGCATCTCCTCTTCAATGGCACACCCCAACGTCATCAACACACTCGACCTTTTGCAAGATGACAAAGGCATTTACTGCGAAGTGATGGAGTACTGTGCGGGTGGTGATTTGTACACGCTTATCCTTGCAGCCACTCAACTCGAAGTTTTGGAAGCCGACTGCTTCTTCAAGCAGCTCATGCGCGGTGTAGAGTACATGCACGAGATGGGTGTTGCTCATCGCGACCTAAAACCGGAGAATCTCCTCCTCACGCAACATGGCTCTATCAAAATCACCGATTTCGGAAACGGAGAGTGTTTCCGCATGGCCTGGGAGAAAGAAGCCCACATGACAGCTGGACTGTGCGGTTCAGCCCCTTACATTGCGCCCGAAGAATATGTTGATCAGGAGTTTGATCCCAGGGCAGTTGACGTCTGGGCCTGTGGTATCATTTATATGGCTATGCGGACTGGTCGTCACCTCTGGCGTGTTGCTCAGAAAGAAGAAGATGAGTTTTTCAATAAATACCTTGAAGACCGCCGCGAGGAAGCCGGATACCGACCAATTGAGGTTCTCCGGAGGGTGAGTTATCAATCTTACCATGTCATGTGAGACGCTAACAACTATTTAGCGACAATGTCGAAATGTGATCTACTCCATACTAGACCCAAATCCAACACGTCGTCTTACCGCGCATCAAGTCCTCCTTTCCGAATGGGTCAAGGACATCAAAATCTGTCGTGCTGGCGATGAGGGCTTTTAAGACTCCGCATCGCAGCTTAAATCTCCTTTACACATCTTCGTTCTGGTCTTGAGATGACAGCCTACACCATCAGACTCAACGGTTGGTCGTCTTCGCTGAGATTATTCTTGGCAGCCCGATTTCCTGTTTCTCATTTAGTACAGCATCAGCATCACAGCGAGCCGAAGACATGCAAATCACTACACATACTCTTCGCACCATTTTTATACTGCACGGAGTTCCGGGAGTTGGCTACAGAAGGCCTCGGGGACTGAAAGCCTTCATGGGCAGCTCTGGACTTGGGAATCTGTTCGATACCATTCTTTGTATTTTTTTTCTGTTTTGTTCACCGCTTCCCAGCGTGCATTGATCCTAGAGAGCGGAGTGGCCTGCGCGCTGGTGAGGGTCAAGTCATGTCAGGCACTTGCCCCGGACGCCAAAACCGGGTTTGTAGCCCTTGCGATTGCTTTCTTTTGTTTTGCAGTGGTTTCAGTCAGGGATGAGGGCTGATATTGATTGGTTCGGGCTGGCGATATAGGCTGGCGATTTGATTTCGGCGAATTGGGTGGACATTGCAGTCTACAGATCAGATCACTCGCTTTCATGCACCAACTTATGGGTGCGATTCACTCTCGCTCATCCCGTGCTTGCTTGGTCTGCTTGCGCGTGCACCGTGTGCGATGGTGACGGCGGCGGGATTATCTGGTCGAACCCTTGGGTGGTTCAAAATCTTTTTTTGCATTTACAGGTCTGGTGTGCATGTCAGGCAGGGTGTGGCGTATGCATGTATAGACTGCGGGATAACAAGGCATGGTGGTATGGAAAACGAGGTTCCCTTCATCCGCTTTGCGCTTACACTGAGTGGGTTAGTTACCTGCGTAGACAGGATTGAGGCCGGCACCGGTCATAAATTTAGGATCACGAGCTTGTGGGCGAGAACTGTTCTGGCTGAATCGTGGGGTACATACCTAGGCTTATGTATCCTGAAGCTCTCGTGGTGGTGGTGGTGGTGGTGGTAATGGAATGGTGGTGTGCGCCAGCTACTATGGGGGGATGACAGATGACCCCGCTGGAGACAATCAATGGCACCTACTCAAGATCTTCTCAACTATCGTATGACTTTGACAACTATTCTGTGGAACTTGAGTATCGAGTTGCGATGGATGGTGTGGCTCATTAATTCGGGCTATATAATCGTGAAGAAGTGCTCATACGATGTCTTGCTTACTGCCGGTGAGACGTCTCTTTTGTTCTCGGTGGCTTGGCATTCTCGTATCTACAGTACGGGCGGCGGGCACCTGCCACTTGGGCAGGAAAGCTTTTTGATGTTCGCGAAATGCGCCTGTGGCGTCACACCTGAACCCACAACTTGACACCTTCACTATTCGCATGATACTTCACACCTATCAGCTATCAGTCAGAACCAGGAACTTGAACTATCTGCTTCTATATCTGATACGGTCCATGTGAAGCTCAGTCTTGTACTTCCATGATATCAGCACCATTTCTGGCCCGACAAAACGACTGCTTCTTGTCTTCTCGAAGGCATGCCCTCGAGCAATGAGAACCAATGGCGCATTCGCATGGATACTTGCCACGTCTTTTCTGCGGCTAGCTGGCTGCAGTGCTGTCAATGAAGCTCATGTCACACCAGTGACGACCACAGAAGAGCTTCATTCTTCCACCGCGTCGCCGACTCCAGTTTCCTCCACCGTAGCTTCACCCATAAGCTCACCAACACCTCCGGCAACTGCGCAATATCTGCAAAAACCCTATACTACGTCGAGCTTGACACTGAAATCGGCTTCTCTACCCTTTACGCCATCGACATGTCCATCGAGGACCGTGAACTACCTCACACATACTCTACCGCAACAATGCCACAAGACATCGAGAGCACCGCTTCCAGAGCCCCCAGAAGCTCAAGATGATATGTACGAGGGGCCATGGGCACTTACAAGACTACCCGATCGAAGTCAAGTGGCATACAGAATACCACAGAATCCTGATGCGGGGCATGCAACACAAACCGCCGCTCAATCAAAGCCGGCGGTGGCCACGACACATCCCACCAGCATAGAATCGATCGTAGACACCGATTCGCCCCTAGATGACACCAACTTTCTTTCCTTCGAAGAATGGAAAAGACAAAACCTGGCAAAAGCTGGCCAATCACCGGATAACATCGGCGGTGGTCGCCAAGCTCCCGACGGCAGGAAACGCCCAGGTATTAGCAATGCTCTCGACAGTCTTGGTGAAGACGCTGAAATAGATCTTGATTTCGGGTTTGGGCCGCCGGAGACTCGCGATCTAGAGCGATGGCGGTCGACCCAACCCAGCACGCAAGGCAAAGAGCGACCAAGTGAGGGAGCAGAAGTACCGATGAGTGTAGGACGCAGTAAAGATGCTGGAAAGACATGCAAGGAACGCTTCAATTATGCCTCATTTGACTGCGCAGCAAATGTACTCAAAACAAACTCGCAGTCCAAGTCTTCCTCATCAGTCTTGGTGGAAAACAAGGACAGCTATATGCTGAACGAATGTAGAGCCGAGAACAAGTTCATTATCGTAGAGTTGTGCGACGATATACTGGTAGACACAGTCGTTCTTGCAAACTACGAATTTTTCAGCTCCATGTTCCGCACATTCAGGGTGTCGGTGTCTGATCGATTTCCCGTGAAGATGGAAGGATGGAAAGTTCTTGGTATATTCGAGGCACGAAACAGTCGCGACATTCAGGCTTTCTTAGTCGAACAACCTCTCATATGGGCACGTTATCTTCGCGTAGAATTTCTGACGCAGTACGGGAATGAGTATTACTGTCCCGTAAGTTTACTACGAGTCCATGGTACAACTATGATGGAGGAGTACAAGAACGAGGAAGATTTGTCCAGGGGCAATTTTTACGAAGATCCCTTAGAGGAGGCAGCCCAGGAGGGGGTTATTTCAGGCGTTCCGCCAATGGAGACTCCTCAGGAACCATCGTCTGAGGTTGTCCATTCGTCTGCAGTGGAGATTATGTCGCGTCTAGTCGAGAAAGACAACAGTAATCCTGTCAATACTATGACAGTACCGTCCCTTACAGACACTTCAGCTCTTCCGATGACCGGGAACGTAAGCGGACAGCCTTCACCCGGACCCGATTCAAGCTCTGCGGGTCACATGACTTCTTCAATCGATCAGGAGTCTGGGCAGAACGATCAACATCCTACCTCGTATTCATTGGTCTTTGTTAATGGAACCTTGACATCAGTATGTAATGAGCACACACCAGACGCGACCGTAGGGTCCTCGAAGGACGATGCCACTGTTATAGTTCAGCCTTCCAATGAGGCCACGCCGTCGACGACACAGATCAGTTCTGCAGAGAAAATCTCGGACCCTAGCCACGTCCCTTCCGCTCCGCAGACATCATCTGCCACACCTGAAGAGCACTCAGTTTCGCCGTCTCCGCCTCATGATTCGAATCATGCAACCCGACAACAACAGCCACAATCCCAACAACAGTCTCACGTTGGTCGCCCATCCCCAACCGTACCCCCGACTCCGAACCCTACCACACAAGAGTCAGTTTTCAAATCCATACAGAAGCGCCTACAGCAGCTAGAAGCAAACTCAACCCTTTCACTTCAATACATCGAAGAACAGTCTCGAATCCTCCGTGACGCCTTTGTCAAAGTCGAGAAAAGACAGCTCTCCAAAACCGAATCATTCTTGCAGACCCTGAATGACACGGTCATGACTGAACTCCGCGGATTCCGTCAACAATACGACCTTCTCTGGCAGTCCACGATCCTCGAGCTTGAAGGCCAGCGTGAACAGCACGCTACAGAAGTGTTCGCCATTTCTTCGCGTCTCAGTATTCTCGCCGACGAACTAGTGTTTCAGAAACGTATGGCTGTAGTGCAAAGCACGCTTCTCCTTCTGTGTCTTGGTCTCGTGCTATTCGTTAGATCAGGGATTGCCGGCGGGCTGGAAGTACCAATATATCAACAAGTGAGTAATCTTAAGGATCAATGGCGCCCAATGAGTCCACCCCAGGGCTGGAGCTCAAAGCTTCGTGCGACCATGTCAGAGGTGCATATTCGTAGGAGTACGCCTACGAGTAGTAATGCGCCTACTGACGACGAAGCGGAGCATGACTCAGACAAAATGCTTAGCCCGCAAAGCAGCCCAGAGAGTAACACCGGAGAAGTCGCCAAAGAAAGGGAGCAAATGCCGGAAGTTCAAGTCGCGCCGCCGACGCCAGAGTCACCACCTGAGGTTTACAGAGAAAGCCAGAGCGGGCCGTCGACGCCCAGGGGGAGTAGAGACAAAGCCGTAATGTGGCCTGCTGACGACACAGATGAACAAGCAGAGATTCCTTTCTCGCCTGTTTCGTCTGATGAGGACGAGGACCATGCTCACGAGCTTATTAACGGCGTATGATTTGCAAGCATAATGCATTGCGTCCATGTTTTTGTTTTGTGTACACGACATTACGACGGTCAAGTTTTGATTTTGGTTGTTGTCAAGCAGTTTTGCGATTGCGAATGCATAGTATTGGCGTCTCCCCAGCGACTTGTTTGTTCAGCGTCATATCACGTTTAGAGGAAAGCTGTTTGGCGTTTTCTTGCCGTTAGACTGTATGACTACGTATATCTGCTTAGCTACTCTACATATACATACACAGACCTATTTCAATATCGATTTCTAGCAGGCTCGCTGCACTCTGATAGATACATTAGTAAAAAATAAATGGTTCTCATCTATCAGTCTAGCTAGAAAAAGTATAAATAGGAGTAGGTTTGAGATACTATTATATTGGTTTAGTGAGATATCATGAGTGTATATAACCTGATACGGTATAGCACTGCTGACTAACTGTATCGTTATGTCGTCAGACCCGTGCCATCTTTGCTCCCGTAATTATTCAGGCGCAACATCTCTCCCACCGCGTAACCCATCGTCGGGTACCCATACTCGCAATGGAGAGCGAATATCACAATCCTGCGAACGACTTCCACCTCCAGCATATAGGCAGTGAGGCCTTGGCCTTCAAGAATACCCGTGTTCGTCGATACCTAGCTCTGCTAGCACTGCACACCACCGCCAAACTATTTAAATGGGATGGACCTTGTAGACCACTTTCGCGGCACAAAATCCTCAAAACGGGATTTTCGGTGCACTTGACAGAGGCCGTCACCATGAACTATGTCGCCCGGCATACATCCATTCCCGTCCCCAAGGTCTACTGCTCCTTCCTCCACAAAAACAGAGCATACATTGTCATGGAGCGGGTAAAAGGCGAGGATTTGGCGCATGCGTGGAGGAAGCTTTCCAAGGAGTCGCTGGAGAAGATCTTTGCGCAGCTTAAGGATATGATTCAAGAGCTGCGGACGCTGAAACCGCCGCAGGATATTGCCGTTGGGAGCTGTGCTGGTGGCTCCTTGTTCGATTCACGGCTGCCGAATGGGTCGCCACGCTTTGGGCCGTTCAAGACTTTCGATGAGTTTCATCGCTGGCTGAGGGAGGATATTGATGTCACGAAGGTGGGCGGCCATGTTACTGATAGCGAAGTAGAGGATCTTAAAGCTATGGTTAAGAAGCAAGATGTTCAGTGGCCGCCCCCGGTATTCACGCACTGCGATTTGAATCCGTCTAATATCTTAGTTCGTGGGGATAAAATTGTAAGTATTATTGACTGGGAGTTTTCAGGATGGTACCCCGTATATTGGGAATATACGTCTGCATGGCGCGGAAATATACTCAGAGAGAAATGGCAAGCAACCCTGTTCTCGCTGCTCGACCCCTATCCCGAAGAGCTAGAAATGGAAAAAACTCGCTGCAAGTGGTGGGGAGAGTGGTGAAACCTGAGCCTCATTATCAGAAGCTCGGATCCATTCTGATCTGGGCGAATGAGCTTGTCTCGCATCATGCTATAGTCTCCTTCTCCTCGAGAAGATCGTACGTAGGTTTCGGCTTTAGCATGTCCTCATGCTCTGCATATCTCCCTGCAGCAGTTTTCTCAGCGACATATTGCCTTGCAAATGCCTCAATCCTCGCCCAATCCAGCTCGCAAGAGCTGACGCAGCTTTGGTCATGCGCAATCGCTGCCAGCGCCTGCTGGATCCAGCTGCGGCAGCGCCAATTCGGATCATCATTCACGACTGGGATAACCCGAAAAAGCTCTACTAGACGCCTTTCGTCGACCACCTTTGCAATAGTAACACGGGCAAGTAGTGTGTTTGTGAACCGAACATCGCCTACCCGCACCTCTTCAAATTCCCATCCGACTAATGGTCTGTTCCTGGCGTGGTAGCGCATTCCGGGGACGTGGGCACCCTTTTCAACCTTCGGCCCAATGAGGAATGCCCAATGGTATCTATAATATCGGTCAGCCTGCAACACGTGAGCCCCAAGGAGACACGCTAGTTACCTGCGTTCCTCGTTTCCCCTGACCCCACTGGGATAAAGAGCAATGTACAGACGATTCTTGTTCGAAGGCATAGTATCTCTGGTTTGGTCTGCCTAGATATATACCTCAGGTTGAGAAAAGCGAAGATGCACCTGACGATGTAGTTGTATTATGGCGTGCCGAAGCAGATAAGAACGTGAGGAAGGAATGTTTGCCAAAAAAAAAAAAAATTTAGGGCAAGAATACTAGTAATGTAGGAAATATAAGTCTGGTAAAACCTGAGACCAAGAATAATGCAGTGAAAAAATGTTTCAGGTCTCAGATGGCATTCATAAGCGCGCGCGAAGCTTCGTTTTTGGCGTCTGGTTTACCACGCACCCGGCGGCAACTACGGCACAGTTCGTCAGCGCTTGCCCTGCTGTATCGTTTATTACCTAGCTAGGTAGGTAGGTAGGTAGCCTCAATCTCTTCCCACCATCGTATACTCAGACCCTACCTAAAAAATGACCCCCGCAGCTCTCACTGTCTCACTTCGACTGCCTAAACTTCTCAAGATGTGTATTGCGAACGGATACCCCCGGCCGGCTAGTACACCTGTTAAGCCGGCGAGCTAGCGCTGAACAGGACGGATCTATACGCCTCGTTCTGAATTGTACTTTGTTCCAGCCTCAGCGTTGGGAAGGGGGTGTGGATCTCTGCGTGTATTGCTGGGACTATGAGTCGAGCTCTCGGATGGGTTGATAGAGGGAGTGGTGAGGTGTGGCTGGTATGTGTGTCCGATATGCGTGCCTTTGTATATGTATTCGAGTAGATACTACAATTACATGCCATGAAGTGAACGTCCAACCACCGTCTCGTTTGTTCATACATTCAACCAGGCATCGTACACGAGATAGGTATACGACACAACACGACTACGAACAGTTCGACCATAGCCTTATATTGTTGTCGCGTGGAATGGCGTTGAAGGCTGTGTAGTTGACCTCGAGACTTTCCACCTGATACAACTCTATGATGTATCATCACATAACCGCTTAGAGCATAACGCGAGTCAATAGATTTGGTAGCGTACGGTATTCACATACAGGGGCTCAGGGGAAAGCAACCACTTGGTCTAAGATGCTGAGAAGAGGGTTAAACGCAAGGTTCTTGTCTGGAATGATGTATGGTGAGTCTGGAAAGATGACTAGCGTCATGCTAGGTTTCACTGAGTCGTGTATATTGCTAATTTGATGATGATGAGAGGGCTCTAGGTTTCAGAGAGTCACTGTCATACAAGATGACTCCAAGTTGACCCAAGTACATCTAGGACCACTCTGCTGTTCCGGACCTACTGCGTGAAACTTTTGTTGTCCTGTTAAAGGTGGAACGCGGAGTTAATAGTCGAGGTGTGTGACAGTTCCCATTTACTATACAACGTGACTAGGCTAGCGAGGGCGAATCCATGTTCGATATTCTAAGACTTAGCAGTGTTCACGCGGTGAGGGGCTCTATTAGGGATTCCATAAGTGATGTTTAATGGCTTTCTTTAAGTTGACTTGGCTTGATGACGATGAATATGACGGTGTTTGCAGAGTGGAATGTGGACGATGAGATTAAGTGTACCTCTGCTCCAATTATTTCTCCCTGCATGTCCGTTGTATGCAAATGAACATCAGCATTGAGGACGAGAAAGCTAGGATAGACTTCACCACATGAATGAGCTTGATGAATAGCTTGAGCATCAAACTTCATCCAAAACGGCGTCCTGAGACATCCCTTACCGAAAGAGTGCTCTCATCTGTTTCGAGTGAATGAGCCGACAATAGACGCACGATAAGTGGCACATGCTCACGTTCCTTCATTTGAGGACCCAGGTGAATGGGCTCCCAGACCCGTCACTCGATTTAGAACACGTGCTCACGAAGGGTTCAGAACTTATATAAGCGATCCCTCTGATAAATTGACTTCTTCCTCCTCGTTCCTACTCTCTCCTCTACATGATCCCCGGTCTATGACTGATTCTTCTTCAAGATCTACAGTCATGGCTGGCAAAGGAGTAGCACCATCACTTTCCCCATCCTCCAGGACTGTTTCGTCTGATCCTGGAAGGACTCCCTCCCCCATCACGGTGCGTAAGTCGGCTCATGGTGCCCGTGCGCGTCGACCCCGTCTCTCTCGGCGTGCTTGTCCAAGTTCTTCCTCGACTATCTTTGACGACGTTCCGCATCAGTGGGACTTCCCATTAGAGGATCATAGATCTCCTTATCGGAACCGCGCCATTCCTGAGAATGACGGGTATGGAGCGATCAAAGCGTCGTCCTCACAAACACTTGTCGACATCAGAAATTCGAAAACAGAGAGGCCATTTGTGAGCTTGAGGAATGAAGCATATATGCACAGAGACAGACAGTCGACCGCCCCTGATCCGAGAAATGGTCCCCAGGCATGCTCTCAGTCGGATTTCCAGTTTATCGGAACGGGCCCGAACGGCACTTCTGCTCCACCACCCTTCAATGCCGGTCAGTCACTGATCCCTAAGCAAAGAACAACCAATTATCCCCTGAGAAATCACATCGTATTCGACGCGGGATCACCCGGGCGTGAAGGTCTTGGCATATCTGTGACCATACCAGCTCAGAAGTCATCTGAGCTCAATGCCCAAGAGTGTCGGCACGGTGATCAAGCCTCACGCCACGCTCCATTCACAAGATTCCATGGTGAAACGGCATTCAGAACCGATTTACCTACTAAGACATTAGATGCAATGCAAGCGACTTTCCAACAACGCAAGGGAGAAGAGCCCCGCTCCTTCGACATGAATATGTCCTCACGAGCTCCCTTCGCACCAGATAACAACCTACCATTCAACCCTGACCCATTCGGACGACCTTCAAATATCATTTACTCCCATGGCCCCACATTCTGGAACACCCCGTTCGACATCAGCTCCTCTGTCCACGACCCTCCCCTGTCCACGACCCTCCCTACCCACCTCACCCACCTCGCCTAGCATATCACCAAGTACATCATCAAGTACATCAGACCTCTTATCAAGGCCCAGCATTCTATCCTCCTCAAGGCATCTACGCTCAGAACTCCAATCCAGCGATGCACCCCCGCGCCGCTCCCATGCCACCCCTTGACTCTAGTATCGGGGTCGACCGTCATGGCAACAACTACAACGTCTCCCACCAGCAGCCCGCGCTCGGCGCAGACGACGACGGCTTCTACCCTATTACTACCAACCCCGTCCCCAGCCATCCCGGTGAAGTCAAGCGTGAGCTCACCCTCGCGAACATTGAGGAGACGCTTGGGCCAGACTGGGCAGTTGAGGAGCAGGGAGTGAGCGACGACGCTGGATCCGATGCCACTTTCGAGGATGAATTGGACGACACTTATCTCGATGAGCTAGACAACACTTCTCTTGATGAACTAGACGACACTTATCTTGATGAGCTAGACAACACTTCTCTTGAAAACCTAGACAACACTTCTCTTGATGAACTAGACGACACTTATCTTGATGGACTGGACGACACTCATCTTGATGAACTAGACGACACTTCTCTTGATGGAATGGACGACACTCATCTTGATGAACTAGACGACACTCCTCTTGATGGACTGGACAACACTTCTCTTGACAAGCTAGACGGAGAACCTTCCAGCAATAAGCCATATGCCGAATCAAACCCATCCTCCACCTCACGACGCCGCCAAGTCACATACAGTCCGTCCCTACCACCCACCCGCTTCCTCCGCTCCTACACGCCCTTGCTCCGCCCACTCGAACACCTCCCCAAATACCTATCCCAAGGCGAGTACATAAAAGCCCATATTACGCGTAGCTTCCGTCGGGAAGCGATGCAGCTCGAACTAGCGTTGCGAGAGGAGAAATCTCTTCTGTCGGAATGCAACAACCCTGCGGACGCGGAGAGCGAGGATATACGGGAGAAGGCGTTTATGGTAAGGCGTGCGATGGCGCGTGTTGAGGCGTATATGGGGGTGATGGAGGCGGAATTTGGGGTGGATTGGGGGGAGGCGGGCCCGAAGGTGGAAATTAGGGAAGGGGAGGGGGAGAGGGAGAGGAGGAGGGTGCTTTGTGAGGGCTGAGGTGGGAAGGAGGTGGAAGGGGATGTAATTATGGGGTGTGAGGTTGAGGGATTCGGGAATTGGTAGGAGGAGAATAGGACGTGGAGGCGCATTGATTTTGGTGAGTTTTGGGGTTTCTAAGAATTGGAACTTCTAAGAATTGGGATTTCTGGGATTGGGACCGCTGGGATCTGATAGGAGGAGATTGGGACACGCAGACGCATGCTGGGAATTGTTTTTGGTCAGTATTGGGGTTGCTGGGAATTTTGATATTGACGGGAATTGTGATTGCTGGAAGTTATTATTGCTAGGAGTTCAGCTTGCTGGGAGTTCAGATTGCTGGGACTTTAGATTGCTGGGAGTTCAAGTTGCTGGGACTTTAGATTGCTGGGAGTTTCGATTACTCGGAGTATGGATGGCTGGGCAGTTCGTAGGACCTTCTTGGGACAGAAACATAGGCACACTACCTATGATACACACCTACACGCACGTCTTACTATGAAGTAGAAAGGATACAGGATTAAATTAGTAGAAGAAGACAGACTGATGAATAGAAGCTATGTCCATACTTTACCTCTTCGTGTCTCTTACTCTCTCACGCTTTACGGCGCGCATTGGATATCTACACTTATTTAGGCTGACATTAGAAACAGCCGAAAGATTCACATCATTATGTTTTAATGCTTTGAATTATCTAAGTAGTTGCTTAAGTAGATCAAAAACACTCGACTACTCTTCAGTGTCCTTGTCCTATATATTAAGGTCTCTCTTACTTGACCTAGTCGCACTTAGTGGTGGTGTTAAATCCTTAATAACGGACAATGCTTCTAAAATGGGTATTGATATATCACAGAGGACAAAAAATTTGAAATTGGAAAGTTAGAAAATTCCTCCATGGCGTAGTACGGGACTTGTTCCGTAAAGCACTCATTCCTAATTCTATGCCTCCTACGTAATGTGCGTGTCATCTAAAGACAGAACTAGTGCCCTATACGATCGTTGCATTACAATATAGCTAGACGATATCAAACTATACACGTTGCTATTGCGCAAATCAAGCTTCCTATAAGTGTTACTTTCGTACATTCATAGACATCGGATCTTATGGACTGGCACAAAACGTACTCGTATAGAACCTGTAGCTTAGTATTCTATTATAGATCTATGTAAAGCTTTAAGTACTTATTTATAGAGCATTATAACTTAATTGGATACCCATGAGATGTTTACTATACAAGTGACGGCGTATGACCGTATAAGTAGTTTATACCCTGGGAGATATGCTAGTAGCATATTCGTCATATCCAGGAAAGTCTTACTACTACCAGAAATGCAGTACAGCTTAGGAGCTCTCTCAAAAATCGAAGTATGCTAATCCTTCAAAATAGAGGTTCCGGCGTTAAGCACAATCGATCCAATAATCTGCCTTCGAGTTTGTTCTCTTCCTTTTCAATTCTAGCTGGACGCTACAGAACATTTGACTCACAAGAGAAGGACAACTAAACAAGCGAAACAACTCTGGTGTTAGATTCGATAAGACACCTGAGCATTCTTCTGCCTTAGCAAGTGAGATCTATGCACTATCTCAAAGTACGAAATCCACCTTGCCTGACAGTGCTAAAGTTCATACAGAGATTGGCTAGTTATGGAAGAGAGACATAGATTGTCATATCTATCTGATAAAACTCTTGATTTAAATCTATGTCTGACTTTTAAATCTATGTCTGACTTTTAGATCTATATCTGTCTTTTAAATCTATATCTGCCTTTTAGATCTATATCTACCTCATCGTAACTAATCTAGCAAGCCACAAAGACCGGAATGTTCTCTTCTCATACTATTTAATGCCGGAGGTTCGACACCGGAAAACATATCGGGTGAGAATGCCTCAACGCAAGAAAAAGCCCACTTTAAAGAACTAGTCCCTGCAGCCTAGATTGTAATGGCTTGATGGTTTTGAGACCGTGGTTCTTCCACTCTTGTACATATCTCTCTTGGCTGATACGATTGTCCACTCGGAACGGGAGAATTAGGATTTCCTTCTCCTGAGCGTACACGTTTTCCGCCATGGTATAATATTGTACCCAGTCTTCCTGCCATACCACCCAATCTTGTTTTTCCAACTCGTAATCCTTGACGAATTGTTTCTGCTTAGTGATGATCTTGGAATATAACTCTTCTTCCCGGTCTGTGATTTTCATTTGGTTCTGGAACACTTCACGCAGGAACTCATTCAATTGAATCTGCTGAGCGAAAATCCTCTCATAGTCGGTCCCCATTTTCTGTAGATATATGGATTGCGAGTCATCACCGGTTGTCCAGCTGCGTATCATTTTGGTGACTCTCCCTTCGCCAGCCGTGATGCGTTTACGTGTGATACTATTCCGGACAATAATTTCAAAATGCAAGCAAAGATCGCTGTGATACCGTTCGGTATTGTCCTTGTCCTTGTCCTCGTCGTCAAAATTGGCGCGCAATTCCTGGCGAAGTTTTAAAAACTTGGAGGAAATCGCCCTTTGGAAAAGAACAAATGTGGAGAACTGGCTGAACGCTTTTTCCGAATCACTCTTAGTGGAGTCAATGTCAGTCTGGGGATGGGTCGACACGTTTGAACCGGAAGGCAAGACGCCAAACTCATTGACAGGCGACCCGGGTTTAACCGCATTTGCATGATACTTCTGCCAATTCTGGTAGAATTTGGGAAGCTTCTCCAGTAAACTAGCACGTTGTTTCGCAGCTTCTGCTCTCTTACTGGTGATACTACTGTCGGCCCTGAGTTTGTTTAGTCCTTCGGATAAAGACATATTGACGTTTTGCTCGAGTGCACGAGACGTCTCAGCATCAACCGTGTCCTGGAGTTTTTGAAACTCAATGAACTCTTTCATAAGCTTTTTTTGCGAATCCATCAGTTTCTCATAATTCTCGTACTTTTCCTCGCGAAAAACATTGTCGGCATCAGCTTTGGAAACCGCCGTAAGATAGCGAATGTGAGGGCTCAGAAGATATGCTAACCGGTTTTCGTCTTCGCCAACCAAGTCATGTATTATACATATGTGCTTTTCCAAAGACTTGTCGAGGTCAGCTCTTAGACCTGGTGTTTTGTTTACGAGGTCAGGCACTATAGGATCGTATGTCAAGCGATTGAGAGGATGCGGGCCGTAATTTAAAGTCATTCTGACTCTGGTATGATAAATGCAGGGAAGATATTGCGTGGGAAAAGTCGTGGACGTATCGAGTCCGGAAGAGCTGGTGAAGCCGTGTTACGGTCCGCTGCTGGGTCGTTCGGGAATCTGAAGGTTGATTTGAGCGCAATGAGGAGCTTGTTGTCTCGGAGCCATGAGCGACATCTTGCCGGACTTTATATATACGTATATCAGTATTGGTGAAGTCCAGGTAGGACTATCAGCGGCCAAGGCATTCATGCACATTCCTTCAGTTGTACTTGATCAAGTTGCTCTACGTACCCAATTAGTGACCTGTTTCGAGCCCACTTATTGCACAGCCAGCATGGTCAAAGGACTTCCTTGGCCATGTTGTTGCTTTCATAAGTGCAGGGGGCAATGCCATTTGCCTCAGTAAACAATGCTGACACACTAGGTCCCGCATGTCTCGCCACGGCCCGTAGACCACACCACGGCCCACAGAGGTTCCCAAGCACTTCCAAGATAAAAACCCTGCTATACTCTGTCCACGTTGCGATTTTGCACCCAGCACAGACATGCAGGACCACGCGAATGGGGAGAAAACAGGATCTGCCCCCTTAGATCGTCGTGCCTCGACAACCTCGTCCTCAACCTCCTCCAAGCCGCACCTCTCCCAAACAACCAGTCAAAACAAGGCCTTCTGGCATTAAGGCCCTTTCCGGCACCGAATACTTACCTCCAAACCCCCTATACACACAGCCAAGACCCGCCACAGGTCCGGGCCGCTCCTTTGTCCACCATCCATGCATACATGGCTCGTGCAGCGTTCCAGCGAAGCAAGGGCGCTCATTCCAGGAACTACTCACAATGACCCGACGCTAACGACCCGCAGAATCCCGCTGATTATTCCAGGAGAAGACACCACGATGTCTCTCGAACGTACGACTATGCGATTTGGTTCGACATCTGAGGACCACTGAAAGTGGCATCACGCACTGGACGTGTAGACTGATCGTCAAGTGTGTAGGACCAGGATTTTCGAGCTTTCTTCTAGACTGAAGAATTGGCGGATCGTAGGATTTGCCTCGAAGCTGATGATGCCTGGATCCTGGTTTGCCGTGGACATACATGCTCACGTTGAGAAAGAACCCTACTCTGCCAAAATTGCGACTTTGTTGGCTCCATTCTTCTCCAACAACGTACATCCTACCAAACCGCCATCCCCACAAACGAGCTTCTTTGAACCCAGTATCATCGATAACCGCAAGCCCAACCATACCAATCCAACAAAAGGTCAAATCCGTGATCCTTACCCCCTTGTCTCCATTCACACAATACTGCTCTCCTCGACATGCACGTATGTATCGATAAGCAAAAACGCATAACCACCTCCCTCTACCCCCATGGCTCTTCCCCATGCCCTCCCATGCCCATTCCCATACTCTTCCCATGCCCTCCCATACTCTTCCCCATGCCCTCCCATGCCCTTTCCCATGCCCTCCCATGCCCTCCCATGCCCTCCCATGCCCTCCCATGCCCTCCCATGCCCTCCCATGCCCTCCCATACCATTCCCCATGCCCTCCCATTCTCTTCCCCACCTCTCCCGCACTACAAAGCTATCAAACCAGACCAAGAAGCAAGAAACTGCAAAGGCTAGGCGGGTAGTATCAATGCACACACCCAACAAGACATATCTAGACAGACGTAACAGCATTGCCGAGCGTCCTCTTTATCTGAATTTGAATGTCGAAATTCGTGCATACTCTGGACTGCTTGGCAAGCTGGTTGATGTGCTGCGGCCTATCTGACATACCTTACCTAGTATTTGAGTCAGATAGATGATTAGATGGGTACTTTCGCCTGGAACTGCGTGTGCGGAGACAGGTCTGTTTGCGGATCGACGCGCTGGCTTCCGGAGCTAATTACTGGGAGCACTTCTGAGGGATCCCAATTCAATTTGGCAGATTATCGATTGAGATACACTTCAAGCAGGAGGACTCTGAGACACAATGATGTGGCAATGAAATATCTGTTGGTTAACGATTGTTTAAACTACACGTCTGCGCCGGTTGTGGCTCCTGGCCTTGGGGAACAAAGTGGCCTCCAGTACACGTCCACATCCTACATACACATACAAGTACACACGAGCAGGCAATCGTACATAAACCCCCACCAACATATCGTACAACAAAAGAACTTGAAACCCCCCGCTTCTAGTCTTGAAATCAATGAGCCTGCTGATTCATATGCGTCGGCAGATTCCAATCCTTGTAATCCATATGCACGAACGCGCGATCCACCGTCGGCACGCTCTCCAGCACATACTGCAGACTCTCGCCCAGGTCATGGCTGTCCCGCAGCGCCGTGTTCTCGTCCAGCACAATGTCGACTTCCACGTTTAGCTTGTCGCCGGCGTGGTACGCATTCAGGCCCTGGATCTGCTTGATCGTCTTTGCGAAGCGCATGGTGAGGTAGAGGAGCACGTTGCGCTCGTCGCGATCTGCGGCGGCGCCGGTGAGGTTCTTGATGTGCTCGCCGGTCGTGCTGCCCCAGTTTACGATCACGTAGACGGAAAGCAGGATACCGCCGAGGGGGTCCAGCCACCAGACTTTGAGCCAGTATCCGACTGGACGTTCGTTAGCTTGATGTCAGGGATCGTCTTGTGAGAAGCTTACCGAGCGGAAATATGATGCTGAAGATGTTGAATACAACATCAGTCATTGCGTCCTGTGCGAGGGCCTGGACGCTCGAGTTCTTGATCAGGCGACACCATATCCAGCATGCAAATTTGACGATCACGGTGGAGCTCATGATTGCGATTGCAGGAACAGTCAGCTGGATGATGGAGTGGTCTCCAGAATTCATGCGCTTGATACCTTCAAGCGCAACCTGTACAAAGGAGGTGACCATGACAACCGAAAATACGAGCACACCGATTGGTTCCAGCCGACGACGTCCAACGGGATAGTTGTAGTAGTCCGTTCGAGAGATGAGATATGTCGTCGTCCACACGATCGCAGTACTGAGGAAGTCTAGAGCGGCATCGACCAAACTGGCGAGAACGGAGACGGAGGATGTCATTATTGTTACTATGATCTTCAGGATGAGGAGTATGGTGTTGGCGACCAAGTTGATGTATATGGCTACCGTGACGATACGAGCGCCACTGTCCATGTCCTCTTCGGGTTCAAAATCTGGCATGCCAGTTGGGGAGTCTGGCTCGCTATCGACTCTCGATAGGAGTGGTGCCTCTTCCCCTGACGGAACCTTGTACAAGTTCTTTGCCGTTCTCTTGACTTTGGATGCACCATTGACTGGTCCGTTATTTGGCGTTGTCTGAGTTGTACCATATGAACCATTAGTCGAGGCTTTGAAACTCGCAGAATCCGAAAGCTCGTTCGGGGACGCAGGCGACTCTTCCGATATAGTTGGAGGGATGTCAAGTCCATAGTCGTTGTTTTGGTACTCCTGAATCAGTGTATGTGGTAGGGACGAGTCGAGGAGGCGATCTATGTACGCAAATTGCTGAATTAAAGAATTGTTGTGTTCGTAGTATTTGCGCCTGTCAGTATAAATTAGAGCTTGTCGTCAAAGTCGAAGCTGGCGCCAGACTTACACAGATTTCTTGCATTTCTTGAGTTCCTCCTCAGATTTCCAGTATTGATCCCTGCCTAGTACTTAGTTTTCGTCTAGTAATTTCAGATCAAGAAGACGTTACCATTGGTAACGAGGATTGCTGTTCCCGATGAGACGCTGGCTGCGCATCTGCGGAGCCATGAGAGCTTCCCAGCCAGAGCTTTCGCGCCTTTCTCTGCCATGGCCAATATAGACACTCTCGTTGTCTGTTTCATTGGCGGCCTCTAGATCTTCATCGTGAAATCGGCTCGGCCTTCGGTCTGCGAGAGATGATATGGTGGCTGAGGAGCGGCTTTGGATCAAGCCGGGCAAATGTTGTCCGCGCGTAGAGATGGCATGATCTTCGGAAAGAGGCAAGTATCCCTTCAGAACCGCGCCGTGGTGGGATCTTTGGCGATAGAGCCCTGGGGAGGTGGAATGATCTTCCAACGAAGACATGGCTTGCGATCAAGGAAATAGCGGCCGGCCGAGCTTGAGAACGAGGCGCGTTGACGGTGTTGAATGTGCGATACAAAGGCAGGGCGACCTTTATCTGGCCCTAGCCTTGTAAGAAGACCAACAATATTCCGGGTAGAGTTACAAGACGAGCGCCTGCGCCATGTATTATAAAAAGAAAGATAACAACGCTTCAAGCTGCCCAGATGAGTTTCGGGGACCCGCGATTGGAGCTCGGGCGGCAGAGTGCACAGAGTCCAGACACAAAAAAAGCCCCAAACGTGGTTGTTAGCGCGACAAGTGCTGTAGGGCCAATCGCTCGCCCACGGGCACGGAGATGCCTCATTCTCAGGAGTCTTGCATCAACATTCCTGTAGGTCGTATTAGCAACACAACGATCGTCTCAGAACTCCGGAAATTATATTGCTAGCAAACAAGCTCCTTCACATATTTAAAAGGTGACGGTTTGCCTCGACAGCCTGACATCAACGTTCGGTTGTACAAACAAGACAGAGCTGTACACAGGAGAAGACCACCAGAAGATCTACAGAAGCGATGAATGACCCCTGTGAGCTCGGCTTGGCTAGAGCTTCATAGTGGCCAAGACACCACTGGCAGCCCTGCTGATTCGTTTTCGCGATACGTATACGTCGGTGTCGTGCTACGAGAATCAGGAACGGTCAACTGAGCATCGTTTGGGTGTTATCGTCGCACCTACGTTTGCTTTGCCAGCAACAGACGTAATTCTATGACCATCAGGCTCCTTCTTCGACGTATCACATTACCAAATTGTTGAGATGTTTCCCTTGAAGGATTTCCGCACGCCCTCGACCGGCAGTTGTCGGCCGATGCCTATCTTGGCAAAGGACGCGGTGATTCAATGTTATGTCGAATGTTGTACCACGTGTGAGTATGTTGTTTGGGCTTTGTATGTCATTTATTTAATATTCTGGCGGTAGAGATCTCTGCTGAGACTCGCTGATGGAGTCGCGTTAATGCATACTTCTGGAATGACGAATGCGACATCGTGCCTTTGAGTCATACAGTCATACGGAATTAGACATAGGACTGGAAGAGATTATGACCATATGAGCGAGACGTAGAATATAAAGTTAAGGATCTCAAACAGCGAAAGAATTCCTTGTAACACTATGGAGATATTGGAGGTCTCGTGACCGCGCGTCACCGCACGGACCTAGTCCAACGCGTGTTTTAACACGCGTCGTTGATTTGATTTCGAATCTCTGCCTCTCGACAGTTTAATCAAGCCTCGACCACTGTCGTCAATTTTCGATCGCCTTCTCATCATTAGCAGATTTTGTTGTCACTGAGTCTGCTTTACTCCCACTAAAGGTGTATTTAGCTGGCGTCAAACAAATCATAAGAGGCTGTTTCGTTCCAGTCGACAACTTCACTGGACACATCACTCCCGCGGGATGACTGACCATGTCATACATCTCGACCGCTCCGCTATGGCACATGAGCGATTGCTTGTGAAGACGAAAGCCCATCAAAGACCAACCATACAACCATTCTTAGCATGCTACCTATGTGACGAGATATCGGTGACGGGGCTATCTATTGAAGACTAGGTTTTTCCTGCTTGGGCAATTACAGCCTGGTACACTGATCGAGTTGAGGCTACAACAAGGAGCTGCGGTGTTTGTGGATGGACGTCGTGGGCGCCAAGTAATGTGTGCTGTCTTACGCAAGTGCAGTACGTATTGCGGTGAAGTGATCGACTGGACAAGAGAGCTCCACTAAATTTTCCGACAACCTCAGCAGAGAGTACAGTTGAAATGGTTGCCCGACTTAGTATGAGTCCTGAACCTTACACCAAAGTATCAGCCACGAAGGAACTCATTGTATCCTGCGATGGGACTTCATCCCACTCCATCTCTTTCTTCGCTCTTCCATGCTCCTATCTTCCACGTGTCGCTAATCATGAGCTTCTAGTCACAACAAGTCCAAGACTCGCAAGATTCGATCCAGCGCTCGTAATGTGCTAGAGCAGTCGATCCGCAGCACTCCGACAGAATCTGCTTCAACGGAGCCGACTTGTTGAGAATCGTTCTTTGCTCCTGTTCTGGATGCTTCGTAGATCCACTTCTTCTGAGATTTCAGAGAGGTCGGGCCACAGACCTGGAAGCTCAGCTTTGTTCTGAAAGACGCGATTACGATTACACGTGCAGAGAGGATGGATAAGCTGGCGATCCGTATGTGATAACTAGAACATCGATACAGGTATTGATCTATCCATCAACAGATTTTGTATGCAGCTCTGGCAGAAAGAAGCTGTATACATGATATCGCTCCACCCTCGCCAGCACTTGAAAGCGCGGGGCATTCATCGGCGGCCGGTCCCAGCAATGGTCCCCTCGGTTTCACCTTCTTATAACAAGCTGGGGCAGATAACAGAGACGAGTCGTAACTCAGCGATATCTTGAACAGGAACCAAAGTTTTAGTCTTCCCGTTAAAAGTACGCAGAATCTTCTAGAGTATAATAAGCAGATTCATCTTCGGTGCACTACCCCCGCATTCATGCTTTGAGCTGATGCGGGGTCATTCAATGTCCATGTTGGCAGCCAATGTCATCTCTTATTGTGTAGCCGCGATCTGCACTCCGATGCGAGGCAGCATCAGGTGATGAGGGTGCACTGAGCAGGTCGATGAATCATGAAGCTCGCCGCAGCAAGACAGCTACCGTAGCCACCAAGGTCACGAACTTGAACGGTTCCACATCGACAATAACTGATCTCCTGTGGGTCACGGGCAGCCCACACGAGCATTCGAATGCTGCAACCTGACCAGCTATGGGTCACTCCTGTTGGAGGTGGGCGAGTGAGTCAGTTGCTTATTGATATGAGATGAGACCACAGACACAATTTCTGGGAATGGGTGGGGATATATGCAAATGACTGCCAGAACGAACGACGACGAGGCAGTGCAGTATGATGATCTCTTTGGAATCATCTGTGATATAGGATTAGTGAGCAACAGCCGTTATGTCCGTGATGGACGAGTCGCCACGGTCGACGTCAAAGAACAAAACCAAAACAGCGAGACGAGACCGATTTGCCGTCCTTCGCCACCACCACTTCAGTTCCTGGCGAGCGGCGATCATTGTGCTCAAGTCTGCGGTCTGGGTGACGAGATATGCGCATTCTCGGCAGATCTAGTTGACCAAAATCGCCATGAAAAGCGGCCGAAAAGCTGGATGGGAGATCGGCGATCGTGTAGTGGGGCATGAACATGTGGAAGCCGCACACGCCCGAATCTTGACCGAGCTCTCTATTTTGTCTTTTTTTTGGTCTTCTGGTCTTCGATCTTCTGTCTTACTGCGGTCTGTCGAAGGTTCTGTAGTTCCTGTCTGCTGGACTGGAAGCATGTCTACTTGCAGCTATCACTACCTACCGGACGGCTGGTGGGCATATACAGCCATGGTTGTCCGAAAGTGTCCAAGGCCAAAGTGGGAATTCCTCGGAATCTCGTAGCCTTTCCCCATGGCGGAGCTATGCAGTCCCAGTATGGAAAAGTGAAAGGCGTCGTCATGCGCATATGATAGTGCATTTTCCGCGGGCGCTACTGTGCGATCCAGCCTGGTGATTGGCGGGCGTGTTGCTTTGGCAGTGAATTGGTTGGCGGTCTGGGCTGCGGTCTTTGTACAAGGACTACTGACCAACCGGGCGTCAAAGCAAGGAGCATCGAGACTGGAGACCAATTGGACGGCGACGGGGACGGCCATCCAACTTTGTACAGCAACACAGCTCTTGTTAACCGCGAAAAAACGAGTCTGGTTGTGCAAGTGATTACTACTTGGCCGCACTCGTCATGGAAAACTGCAATTCCGCATGTTGGGGGCTTCTCCATGGATCTTGCTAGTCTGCCGCGCGAGGGGTGATCGGCTCTACTTAACTTATGCCGTGAAGCTGTCCACGTTCCATCAACTTCGCGACTACTTCTACTTTTCCTTCTTCCTCTTGTTTGTCTCTGAAACCTTCCTCAGCCTCTACCAATCCATCGTTCGTTGTGCTTTCCTGCTTGCTCCATTAGCCTCATTCAATTGGTTTTACGAAATTATGACTAGCGATATGAACAATCCATCATTTGTACCTGGTGTGCTTGCCTCCGAGTCCACCATGAATCCTCAACTCAATCTTGACATCACCTCCTCTCTCACTTGTGCCTCGGAAGCAAAGACAGCACCACGGAAACCTTCATCACAGAGAAGCACAAGCACACCCTCAATCACTTCTCCGACCTCGCCCACCCCCTCTCAAGCCAATGAGATCTCTCAAATATCTACAAACCAGCGGCCTTCTTCCTCACGGCGTCCCAGCACAGCGAGCAAAGACGCAGACAACACACGCCTCGAAAGTCTCAAACGCAATCGCGAAGCTGCTTCCCGCTCACGTTCGAAGAAGAAACGGCGAGAGTCCCGCATGGAAGACACAGCTACGCTACTACAGACCCACAACGACGACCTGAAGCTTGAAACTCTGATGCTAAAGAATACCATTCTGCAGCTGAAAAGCCAGATGCTAGATCACACAAGCTGCGATTGTCACAAACTACGAAGTTACATGCAGGGCTTCGCAACGCATGGCGTGAACAACACTCTTCCCACAGTCACACCTGTGGCGGGTGATGTGCCATCGCAAATATCAGAGATCAAATCCGAGCCTCAGGAGCAGCAGCAGTACCAGCATCAACATCAGCATCAACCTCAAAATCAACACCAGCACCATCACCAGCACCAGCACCAGCACCAGCAGCAGGAGCAACAACAACAACAGCAACAGCAGCAACAGCAACAGCAGCAACAGCAGCAACAGCAATGGTACCAAAACTCAGACTCAGGCTTTGGCGAGACTTCAGGCTTCCCCGAGAATTCGGGCTTCGACGACATGATGGACTTCTATGGGCTTGAGAGCATGGAAGACATGCCCGATCTGCCAATCAAGAAGGAGTCGGCACCGCAAGATCTGCCTTCACTGTCTCTTGAAACGAGCTTGTCGCCACTATCAAATTCGGAGCTCTCACCTTCTCTGTCAGACCGTCGCAGTCTATACCAGCAAGTCCCATCCTTTCGCGGTACAGAGGTAGCAGCGGAGGGTGTGAGCCCGAAAGACATGAGCATATCGCCAGGGGACCTATTTCACAAGAATGACGACGCAAACAATGACTGGACCATGTATCTCGCCGACGCGGACATGCACAGCGGTGTCTGAAAAGATACACAGTGCACCCCTGAGATGGGGCTACGGAAGCTGGACGCGACAGCGGTATCATTTAGCCAACCAAAGTACTACCAAGGAAGGGTCCAAGTTAGGAACCAATGGGCACCAACGGAACTTACCACGAGCTCACACCAAGAGCAGGTAGTAAACCTATGTACCAAACCAAACTCCCCAATTTTGGTCTAGAAGACCGAAAGGGAAGCCGCGGAATCACCCACGGAGACTTTTCTTACAGGTGGCGCCCAAGAGGTACGCGCCACACCCACAACATGGATGGAACCTCGCGTAAACATAACACACACATACACATATCGAAAGCAGGGCATACAAATATATCCCAGAGAGTTGCTCCCTCTGTAGCAGCACATAGCCTACGCTACATACACTAATCACGACAGACAGGCACATAGCTCTAAAAAGTAATTTGATACACAAATCAATGCAAAGTAGAAAATAACAAAACGTGTTCGACAATCCTTCTCTTGTCGGGTTATTACTACACGCACATTTTCTGATTGAAAACCCAATACACACGCACCTGAAAATCAATAATGCCCTCTCTTGCCGTCAATGTCCTTCTTCCCATCTTTTCGTAGTGTACATGCCTGGCCTGGGGAACGCCCCACGTGTTCGTCCAGTTCAGGTTTCTCGTGATTACCAATCGCCATAGATCGCCGCCACGGCTACGACGGCGACGGCCCTCTTCCAAGTGGCTTGACGCTAGGTCTTTAACCTTGGTGTGGATGCCTAGGTATAGCTAGCTACGGTCTAGTGTACCAGATCTCGTCATATCTGATCGTGTGTGGCTGGTGGGAGAGGTGGGCTGGTGGGTGGGATGAGTAATGGATGAGGAAAGAGCGTGGTGGAGAGTGCTGCTTAGCCTGCTATCCTATCGTTCACCACAGAGTAGATTTCCAAACTTTGCACGAGGATTCTAATAATTCTTACCGGTGCATAGCAGGGACTACGGTGGGAGGGGAATGAGTTGGGATATATTGGATAGAGTGGGAGTTATTGGCCGGTGCGGAGGTGGTGGACGTTGAGAGGGAGATAAGAGAGGAGAACTAGAACATCACGTCTCGAGTGAAGACAATGCTTTTCTGGGGAAGGAAGTAATCCGTCAGTTTCCGAGGCTTGTCTTGGGTATCGTATCGCGAGCTGAGACATTATATTCCAGGCCGGATATTAAACGCTGATATATCGAGCGCCGCGGACGCAACGTCCGTTAGAAGATCTCTTACTACTTTATATTCCTAGGAGGACAATCCACAGCAGACCAGCCAAGCTCGCACATTTATCTTCATATCGGCGCATAGAACCGAAACCTCCGCTCCGGGTCGTAGCGTTGCTTCAGATCCCTCAGCTTCTCCAGACGCCATGGCTCGTGGCCGTACATCTCCTCGACACTCTGTTCGCCGTTGGCATAATTGACATAACTGCCTGGTTTGCCGTGCTTGGCGACGTCGATGCCTTCTACGAGTGCTGCTCGCAGCTTGCTGCCCACACTCCATGCTAGTTCTGCCTGCTCTGCATTGCCAATGTCATGGACGAGCAAGCCCCCGCTGGAATAAGAAGGTCAGCACAAACAGCCTTCACGCTTGATATATGTATGGGCAGGACGTCTCACATGAGGATATTGCTCCTCCGCTCCTCCGGAGGCACCGCAGTGCTATCTGCCGGAACCTCCTTTGCCCCATTCGACGCGTACACCTCAAGCATGCCGAAGCTAGTCCCTGCGCCTGGCGTCCTGGCGTGCTCGGAGATGATATCGTAGAACTTGCGCATGGCCTGGGGGTCGAAGCGGAGCAGGCTGGCGGTGATGACGTTGACGTCAAAGGTCCTCTGGCCGCCGACGCTGTCCTCGCCGAAGCCCATCGCGTCGTGGAGCTTGCTGTACTCTGTGACGGTCTCTGTGGTGGTGGAGAGGGGCTCGAGGGCTTCGAAGGGGGCGCGGAAGGGGGCGGCTTGGGCGTCGGTGCCCTCGTATTGGACTTTGAAATTCACGATTGCCTGGGGGGATGGATGGATGGGTTAGTCGTCTTTTTTTCTTTGACGGAGGAGGAGGATGCGGTCTTACGTTGTCTGGGTCGATGGCTGGGATGTGGATGAGGTTGCACCACAGGAGTAACTCGCGCGGCGCATTCATCTCCGGCCCGATGAACTGGTTTGCCGTCGCCATGACCTGCTCCAGCTTGTCCTGCTTGAACATGTAGTTTGTCACTGTCCACCGGATGCCGGTCGGGATATCGTAGATCTTGTATTCGAGACTCGTGACTATCCCAAAATTGTGGCCCGCGCCACGCAACGCCCAGTACAGGTCGGGATGGGAGTCCTTGTTGGCCACGACGATGCTTCCGTCTGCAAGAACCACGTTTGCAGACACGATGTTGTCCGCCATGAAGCCATAGTGGCCTTGCAGGAACCCGTGACCGCCGCCGAGAGCAGGTCCAGCCAGAGACGTCGTCGCGCACAGCCCAGTCACTGGAAAAAAAATCAACGCTGAGTTCTCCCGGGTTCTGAGCAGCAGAGTAACAAGCAGGACATACCTGTATGCTTGCCAATCGCGAACAGCGTCTTAGTAACTTCAATAGAAAGTGTCCCCCCACCAATAAACGCCGTCTTGCCCCCATTCCGCCCATTAACCTCAATGCTATTAAGACCACGCAGATAGATCTGAATCCCACCCTTCACATCACTCAAACCCTTCCAAAACCCATGACCGCCAGATTGCGCAAGGAACGGTACCCCATGGCGATTCGCAAACTTGATCTGCCCCCCTAGCGTTACTACGTCCCAGCCATGCCATGGCACCTAAACTGCAGCACAACTCACCGTCTCCGCAACGTCTTCCTCGCTGCCAACTTCCACCGAGGCGATGTACGAAGGGCGTATCTGTCCCGGATTCCAGCGCGACGTGGTTCGCGCAAAGTCGTCAGATCCGGGGAGGTGGATTGCCGCATTGGGCGAGAGTCGGGGGCCGAGATCGTGGAGGATTTGGTAGGGCCCGGATTCGGCGGACATGCTGGGAAGTGCAGAGTATGCTGGCTGTGTGTGGAAAATGCTGGAAGATGGCACGGATGGAGAAGAATGTTGTTGTTGTTGTTGAGAGCTATATAAGCTTACAAGCTGATCGGGATATGCAAGCCCCGCTTCGTGGTACGTAGATCATCACTTTTCGCAGCATGGAAGGGTAAGTAGGACCCACTTCCCGGGGCTGACATCGGGATCTCTTGCGAAAAAAGAAAAAGAAAAAAATAAAAGTGTGGTTCTTGTTTGGCCTCTCCTTCCTGCTCTGCTGTAGGCGGGAGGCGCTCGTTACAGTAAGCTTTGTGTCACAACGCTGACATCCCATAATCAGAGTCGAAGGAGCATGAGAAACTTGGAAAACAGTACATGCATTGTGAAGCTTGTCTGCGAAGTCCCGGCTCGGCTTGCCGTGGTGGTAATGGTCTCGCTGTTCCAAGCTGCGACTGTAGATTGCGCCTGTGTGTATGTGGTCTCCGGGACAGACTTCCTTTACGTGATCTCGGTATAGAAGTCGGAAGGTACGTACCGGATCAAATACGGTGAGTTTTGCTACCATGCAAATGGCTGAGCGGGGAATGTGCGTCGGGCCATATGATAGTGGCGAGGAATGATACGATCATAGTAGGACATAATGCCTTGTTACGCTAGCATTTGTTAATTTACATTGTAAGCAACCTATCAAAGTTTACAGAATTGCGTTCCTAAACTAAAGGAGTCAACTGCTTGGAAGGTCTAGACTTACTAGAAGCATTGTGCGTACTTCAGGTATGTGCTGTGATATGAGAAGATGTATACCAAGAATCTGACACTGTGGGTAAACCGTAACTGAACAACGGTGAGGGTCTGTGTGGTCAGCGCAAAAGCAAGGCACGACAGAACCCACGAGCAAGGATATCCCTACATCATATGGAGACTTCATGAGAACAAAGGAATCCTCATAATGTAAATGGAAACCTTCTAGCCTAGGTCTACCAACCACTTTCATACCCGCAGTCCGTCTTCAAACCATTTCATTCTAGCACGACGTTCAACCGACTCGCGGGAGGTTTCATTCAAGCCCTGAATCATGGAGACGATTTCTCTGGATGCGCGTCTGGAGAAGATTCTGGAGACGATTTCTCTACCGCCTGGCATATCGAGCGAGGCAGACTGCGAAGTTCTGGAATATTGGGACTGGGACTACAGCGCTATAGTCCCATCTCCCAAGGATACTACGGTTGGTACAGAGCCTGTGACGTTTGACAGCAATGAAGGCACACCGATAGGGGGTTTTATCTTCGTCAACGCACTGGCCGACTTCCATCCGGAAGATGAACTCCCCGTAAGAATACGGCAAGTTGAGGTGAAGAAGGGAAAGACAAAGGGTATCCCAGTCCGTGCCAGAAACGCAAACTTCGAGAAACGAGAAATGAAGTTTTTCATCGCCTTTTGGAGAAACGACTACCACCAAAATCTCTTTCCCATTCTTCGAACGGCTCACGACAAGGTAAAAGAAAAGTCCAAGAAGTACAAAATAAAACAAATGTATTGCAAGGTGTTTGAGCTCTACCGGCCTGACCAGCAGGCTCAACCAGAATATGTACAGCGCGGCCTTGCGCCGAATGCCAGCTGTGACGAAATAAAGTTCCGCGACACTCCTGGCGCAAACTCCGAACAAGAATTAACACCAGATATCATTCGTGCTAGGCTGGAGCGTCAGGAGACGCCTTCCACACGAAAAATCGTCATGCCAAGTCAGGAGAAAATCCCTCGTATCTCTACTATGCCGATTAATGAACTCTTCTTGGACGAAGTTGAGCGCTATCAGCGTGGACAGAGGGTCAGACACGACCTCAACGACGATATCGACCCAAGAGGATCCACGTTTCCCCTCTGTCGTATCCAGGCATACGACGTCCTCCTGAACATGGCAAGGAAACATATGAAGCTCCAGACGGATGCCACGAGGAGAGATTACGACAACGCCATCAGGGAGGCAAACAGGCTTAGAGAGAGTCCGGATGACAGTGCAATCTCAGATGAGGAGAAGACGATTCTCGAAGACAAACTGACCAAGTGGAGAGTCGAACGGTTTTGTTGTAAGACCATGCCAAAGCTCTTGAGAAAAATTGACCGCCTCGATGACTGGTTCCACTTTCAGAGGCTCGATAGACGCGATTTATGCCCCCGTCTTATGCAATTGGACGACGACAAACAGCTCCAATTCGCCGTCGCATGGTGTGATATCTGGCACGCGCATCTGGAACTCTCCGCCGAATTGAACAAGAGAATTCCCACGGAAGTCTCCACCGAACCGGACAAAGAATCACTTATGGACAAAGAGATAGGGTGGCACGCGAGCAGCTCTCCCAATCCGCCACAAACCACACCAGATCTGGTATCAGACGGAAAGTCAGACATCGTTCGGAATGGCTTCTTGCTCAGCAGCGAAGGCCGTCAAATATGCAAGGAGATCGTCAAAATTCTAAGGAAAGATTGTCACCAACTTCTTGAGAAATGGATGGCCGACGTCCGACAGTGTGAGACCATTTTAGGGGAGGGCTGTATACTCAGCGAGGAGATCCGGCCAGATCCGGATGGTCGTGGGATGACCGACTTTCTAGTGAAATTCGTAACGACCGCGATGTTTAACAGTATCAATTATGTAGGCCATCGCGGCACCACATGATACGAGGGGGTATCGGCTCAGGTTTGCCTATACTATCTCTACACTACGTTTATTATCTACCATTCTCTCGGCTTATGTCTTGACTCTCGGCTTATATCTTGATCTCGGATTTCAAGCGGTAATACATACGGCTTGACGGACTGTGGTCCAGACTACTCAGACTGAATACAATATTTTAGACGGTGCAAAAGGGGGTCTATCAGAGCTTGTGGATGAAGAAAGGTCTAAGACACACCCGCAACCCCTATGCTTGTTCGTACAAACTCTGAAACATTTTAAAGCTCTGAGCTGTATCTAGAAGCTCGTTAGACTTATTCATATAGATGGTTGCAGATATTTAGACAAGTGCGCGAATAGTGGTAGATCTGTTAGAGACATGGTGTCTTGTAATGTCAACATAGAGCAAAGAACCGTTGCTCTGCTCACTTAATATAGTGCCTGAGTATAAGAATGATCCTTCTTTGATAAGGTTCGCTCAAGTTTCCCAGCTACTGTAACTGCAGCCAATGCTAACAATTTCTCAGTGACGATGTCACCGAGACCATTAATCACTGACTATAGTATCGTGCCTTAGCGAAATACATAACCAAGCCATTTAGCTGCCGCAAGGGGAGAGAAGATGTTCGTAGAAAAGAGCTGGAATCGTCACATGCGTGATATGTGGGCTCTCCAAGTAGGGAGATAACAAAGTCGTGGCGGCATAACTGAGGACAGATCTAAAGTACATCAGTGGCAAATTGTACAGTGTGATTCAATCTCTACGTTGTTCAGAGAACAATGGGAATCCTAATTCTCACATGCTTTCCTAGGTTTATCCAAGGTTTTATCCCAGCTCCATTATTCTGTCACAGGCTGCTGCATCCCTTTACATTAGAAGATGTCTCAACATACTCGTATTATTACTCACTATGGCTGTGTTGGCACAATGATGAAAAAGGTCATTCAACGGTTGTAAAACAAGGAGTTGCTTCCGACGTCCTTCGTGAGATAAGTCATAATAAATTCAGCCACTGCGTGGAGTAGGCCAATATAATCCTCACTGTTAGACTATGAGCGTTCATCGATGATGCGATGCTTTCATTTGTAGGCTTACTTGGGATTAAGACCTTATATGACATCCCGATCATGACAGTAAATCTGCCATCCTGAGAAGCTACAAGTCTCGCCTAGAAATCCAGAAAACTTAATGGCTACTCCACGAATGGACTTGAGGTGGTTCGAGGGCGACATAACGCCAGTTCGTGCCTGCCTTCAACAACGTGGCGGTTGTACTCAATGTAATGAGTCTGACAAAAGTCACACGACATCGAATACCGGTGACTACCCGAATACCTCCATCATGAAGTAATACTCAACTTTACAACCCTCCTCCCTCCCCCTCGCCGTCAATCGCCAACACCAATCTGCAAGCTGATAGCCAATAACCGGTGGCCCACAGAAGAACACACCAACTTTAAGCTCTTCACTATCATCTTTCTTCAGACCATTCAGCCTCCAGCTCTTCTCTTTCCTCAATACCTTCATATCCTCATAGTGACTGGTCATAATGCGTCCTAAGTCTGGCCGCCCGAAGTGTGTATTGTTCAGTAGGCCTGTGATGGGCGAGCACGGGTGCTCATCCGTGCGATGCATCTCCAAGAGCCAGCGAAAAACATGCTCACTAATGTCTTTGCGTTTCTGCGTAACATGTGTTACAATATTGATATCGAGGTTCTTGATGGTGGGTGAATGCTCTTCCTCACGCTGCGCTCGGGTCACAGTATTTAGCAGTTCGGCAAACCAGAGTAAGTTGTTCCGGTCCCGTACAAGCCAATGGAAATCGATGCGGCGGAAACGTGCAAAGTGGCTCGCGATGGAGGTGTTGGTGGGTAGTTGCCGAAGCTGCGAATCAGGAATACCTTCGGAGGTAGCTTGTTCTTTACGAGCAGCAGCTTTGGTTTCTAGGCGTGTCCGCTCTTCCTCTTCCTGTTGTTGCAGATCTGTGAGAATACCGGAGAAAGGCGTCACACCAATGCCGGCTCCAAAGACCATGCTGAAGTCGAAGTCTGGGAAGCGTTGCGCGGGCGCGCCGAACGGGCCATCGATACCGACGCGAATGGGTTTCGATTCTCCGACTTGGGCGAAGCCATGAAGTTTACCGGTCCAGTCGCCGTCATTCTTAACGTGCACTTGCATAACGTTTTCGTGGCATGTCGAAATCGTGAAGGGGTGCCACTGGAACAAGGAAATGGAGGGAACTTGTAGGAAGACGTATTGGCCAGCTTTGTATGGCCAAATGCGGTACTTTGGTATGTGCACCGTCACGGCCACGGTCTCCTTATCAAGTACTTGCAGTGTTGCAGAGATGCGATGGAAGCCTTGTACAATACGGAGAAGTCGTTCAAATACGATCAAGATTGCGGGAAATGCGAGAAAGTAGCCTAGCATGGTCCATTGGAGTAGTTGAGTGCTGCCATGAGCGGCCAGAAGGCCAATAATCGGAAACATTAGAAGATGGCCTAGCTGAAAAACTTCGTAGTTCCATTTTCGGATCACCGGCATGCTCAACAGAGCCAGGAGATAGAAGCAACCCAGGGCCGTCAGCCCAGTCCATCCAGGTGTAGAGCGAACGTAGTCGATATACGCTTTAGGCACAGCATCCGGCCCTAGGAGTACTGCCACGGCTTCCTGTCGATTGGTACGACTTCCAAACACGAAAGATCCTGTAAGATGGCCAATGGCGTGCAAAGTCGCAAGAGCTATCGCAGCGATTGATATCTTGATGTGAAACGACTGGGAGAGGTCCCAGTTCGCAAATCGAGAAATGGTCTGACTTTTGCGCATAGATGTGGTGAAATATCTTGACATCGATAAGAGCAGGAAAAACATGGTTCCATAGAGCGAGCCAGCGCATGTCTTTGCCAACACGACACCCCATCCAAGCGCATCGCGATATTGCGTCTGAGTGATGTACTTCACCATTTGCCACACACCTAGGCCAACTTGAATACTGACAACCAAGATGAGGGTTAGATATTCCGGTCCTTCGACGGCCCACCAGACTCTGAAGCGCCTATACCAGCTCATACGTTTGAGATAGTTATCTTCCTCTTTCGCGGCTTCCTTGTCCTGCTCAAGAGAAGGAACATTCCACGAGCGCACGATGTTCTTGAATTCTGCAACAGGTATCGCATTCTTATCGGATCCAATGATACTTCGAAGAAAATCGTGGCGATCCTGTTCATCCCTGTCGCCGTGGTTCAAATGATGGGAAAGAGGCTTTGGCACGATCTCATCGTGAATATGGTCCAGCTTTCGTTCCAGTTCGGAATAGTCAATAATGCCGTCACTATTTTTATCTAGCGATTTGACAAACTCATCAACTTCCTCGTCCTTGAGAAAAACAACCCCATCGAAGGCGTGGGAGGTCATTGGGACAACAGCGACTGGCGTTGTGACAAAGCGTAAGGAAGACCTGAATTGACATCGCCTAGGCAGGCCCTCTTGATCTTAAGAAGTCGTCCAGCCCAAGATTTAGCACGCCAAGCGCAAGGTGCCACGGATGAAAATTTACCAACAGTCCGTCTTGGACAGATGCCAGGACTCAGGACAGAAGCTCCTTGGCCGCTGTGGCGTATCAATAGAGGCGCGAAAGCCGTCCTGGACCGACGGTAAGGCCATGAACGCCTTCATTTGAGTGGTCAAGACAGGTGAGAGAGAAGGAGAAACTAGAGAGACTAGGATATCTTGCGACAATACTGACGTCTTTTCTCGTAAGGCCAATTCCTTCTTAGCTCTACCTGGCCGGGTTAATTTTTAGTCTGCCTTCTCCGGCGGTCTTGCAAGCTCGGCATGTGCCATAGTTGCCGTTGTGTCAGCCACATGAGAGACACAAGGGGAGTCGCATGAAGGAGCTCCACGTTATCTCGAGAGGAAGAGACAGCAAGAGAGATGGTAAATGAGATAGAACTTCATTGGCTTCGTAGCTGCTCCGTGTCAGACTGTCAACAAATTCATTCATTGTGCCCAGCTTGTCACTCTTGGCATTAGGTTTACGCGATATTTCCCCCTCACACCCTGCTCATATAATAACACACAGAGATATTCATGAGTGCAATCAGTTGATAAATATGTCTATGTAGTTTTGAACCTCTAATAAGTCTCTGTTCTAGCTTAGTCTATAACAAGAGGATCAGAGAAAGAGAGATTATAAAGATCAATGTTCCTCGCTTACAGTTACGCTAATCCTAATGATACTAGCGCCTTGGCGATCTCATTCTAAGGTCGTTACTGCCTGTCTTTTTCTCCCCTTAGACAACCTCTATGGTAATAACCTTCTAATAGTAATACGATATATTATATCTTCGGAAAAGGTTAAATCATAGAATGATTATGTTATCTCTAATTATACTACTGATACCGGATCTGAATCTCTAGTCATGTATGATAAGTAGATCTTAGTACTCATAAGCATGTTAAGTAATTATATTATACTGAATATAGCTTGTTTTGATGGTAATTTATTGAAATGCTTTTTCCGTACCTCTACTCAAATACTCCATCCGACGCGACCTTTCGATCACGTATCAATGTTCACAACCCGAACATGATCTGCCATGGCCTGGGTTCCTATTACTACCAGCGCCTTGGGATTAACCCCAGACCTCAGACTTTGCGGTCTCTGAGTCGCTTTTTCTCGCCATCCTATGTATCGTTTCGATCTCCTTTTCGAACAATGTTTTCGCGTCCAGATAGCGACTACGAAGATTACTACTGCTATACAAGTGGGCGGTGGCTATGGAATGAAACCTCTCAGCTTCGCGAGCGGTATAAACGTTTTAACGTGCTTGAACTTGAGAAGGTCGCGGCTAAAAGTGCAGGCGCGCAGGCTTGTGTATCGATCAGCAAGCTTGCTGAAGGAGGATTCAATAAAGTCTTTCGGCTTGTCATGGATGATGGTACTGTCGTAATCGCGCGTATACCTAATCCTAATGCCGGCCCTCTGTTCAAGACAACTGCGTCTGAAGTCGCTACCATGGATTTTGTATGTAGATTCGGTTGCTGTGATGTTTAGTTGCCTGGGCTGATACAACCGGATTCCCAGGCACGGACTGTCCTTGAGATCCCTGTGCCAAAGGTATTATCTTGGAGCGGTGATGCTGAAAATCCCGTAGAGTCAGAGTACATTCTGATGGAGGAGGCGACTGGACGTCAACTCGGTGAGGTTTGGGACGAGATGGAGCTTGATGATAAGCTCAAGATTGTGGACGATATTATCGCTATCGAGAAAAAATTCCTGTCACTATCATTCACACGGTCTGTTCTTATGAATTAGTATGCTCATGCCGGCATAGTTGACGAATAACCACAGTTATGGAAGTCTTTACTTCGCGAATGATGCTTTCCCGGGCTGCGAAAAGGCCGAAATCATTGGAGAAGTGCCGCAATCATTGAAAAGAATGGTCGAGGACCGATTTGTGATAGGTCCAGTCGTTGATCGAGATTTCTGGCACCGAGAACGAGCGTCTATTGGTATTGATCGTGGCCCCTGTGAGTTATATCGTCTATGACCACAAAGTGCAGTTTTGATTAATGAGCTTCTTAGGGAAGAGACCTCAGGATTATTTGATCGCAATTGGCCGACGACAGATTGCCTGGATACGTAACCATGCCGTCCAAAAGTCGACAGGTGGTTTAATTGCAACCTCCGAGGCGCAGCGCACCCCAGATGCTCACGTTGTCCTTTACAAGAAGTTCCTGGACGTTGCTGAATATCTATTACCCGAGGGAGATCAGAGTAGACCTACTTTATGGCACTGGGATATTCATGCCCCGAATATATTCGCTCAGGACGGCCATGTCACTACTCTTATTGACTGGCAGGATACGTGGGTCGGTCCTTTGTTTCTTCAGGCACGACATCCGCGGCTTGTAGATTACAACGGAGAGGTTCTATTGAGGTTACCTGAAAGCTATGAGACCCTTAAAGATGAAGATGAGAAAGTTCGCGTTCGGACTCAAGTTGAGAAGTCAATTGTCTTGTGGGCATACGAACATGAGACCAAAAGCACGAATCCGATCCTCCACGACATTTTCCACCTGCATCAAGGCCGTACGAGGCGTGATACCGTGAACTTTTCGACCAACACGTGGGACGGAGACATTCTCCCCTTTCGGCAATGTCTTATTCGCATAGCACGGTATGTTAAGCCCATACGCACTACTTGAAGTCGATATAGACCACTGATATACAAGAACTACAGTCACTGGAACGAGATCAACACTGAAGTTCCTTGCCCAATAAAATTCACAGATGAAGAGCTTGAGGCACATCTCCGTGATTCAGAAGGCTGGAATGAGCTTGCGGACTTCTGGGACTCCCTCCAAGGGTTTGTACATCGCGACGGGTGGACGACGAATGAGAATTATCCGCAAGCACTAGAAATGTTCGCAGAACTTAGGGAGCAAGGATTGCAGAGCTTGAGCGGTGACGAACGCTTGGCCTTTGAGGAGAGCACACGCTGGGCTGTCAAAAAGCCTGAATAGATTGATTGAGCGTGCAAAGTAAAGAGACACATTCGAGCTGAACTTGGACTCCCCTCCTTCCCGAAACACGCAGTGATGATGAGAACAACGAAGGGATCGTCTATGGCAAAGAGTAGTTACAGGAATGTATGTATAATAGCGCTTGGGAATTTAACACGTCTAATCTGACTAATTTAACGCTTTCCATAAATATCAGGCTGCCCACTATAGGACTCAGTGACCAGAGAGCCGACTATGATAACATAATTCGCGTGGGGTGTGGAACGATTTTCGCTGTTGCGACAGACGCCTCGAAGAATTGATGTATCCTCACCACTCACATTTCTTCCGAGTCTCGTTTTCCTGGTGGACATAAATCTCCGATGTTCCCAACAGTCCACCAGATATTGCATTGGGATGCTCCTCAACCATCTTGGAATCTGAGAGACATCTAGGAGTATCTGAGCGTGTATTATCATACTGAGACTGTGCTGTTCATGCTATTACTCCAAATCTGTTCTGCTGGACGAAGATGACAGGATGATAATTAGCTCCTAGGACGCATAGCACTTTCAAAACATGCGCTATGTATCAATCACCATGAGGGCCATAGATAACCCCTTCAACGAAGCGCAACTTCCGAACTGAATATTTATGGCGCAATCCGGAGGTTTACCACTCGAAGCTGTGGGCGTGGGTTGTAGCTTCCATGCCGTTGACTTCGGGATCCAGGTGGAATATGGTGAGCCTTTGACTCTGCAATTCAATCTGCAATGATATCTTCCTTTCTCTACATAGATTCCTCCCTCATCTGTACGTTAAAGTATGCCCTAAAGCGACCACAATGAGTGTGCTGTTGTTACAGATTTTAGACCAGATGAAAGAGCAAGGAAACGACTACGCAGACAAGCTCCATGGCTCAGAGTGCTCTTTCGATTCTTTCTCGTTTGCCGAATCGCACTTGGGCGAGACCACCAGTGAAGTTCCCAGTAGGAGTGTACAACCAGACACATTTCCAACGCGACAGCTGTTTTACCTAGGTCAGTAATCACAGATCAAGCTCGTTCTGTATCGTAGCAAAGCGTTGTCATTTCCTTAATTCGTAGCTGTTGTTGATAATTTCACATAGCGCTTGTACGACTGGCCGAACCTGTCGCCCTTACTTCGATATATCCGTACGCTTACAGGCTCGTGGTCCGTTATCAGGATGGCGAAGAATCGAATGCGGCCTTTCACGCAGGCCTCCTCATCTCGGCGTTCGCCTTTGCCGAAGCCTGCACCGGCATGTATTGGGGTGCACTCTCGGACAGAATAGGCCGAAAACCAGTACTGTTAGTTGGGTGTGTAGGTACTCTCATATCCCTCCTCTTGGTTGGCTTTGCGCAAAACCTATGGATCGCCTTAGCTGGCAGAACACTCGGGGGCCTGCTGAATGGGAACATTGGGGTTATCCAAACTATGGTTGGTGAGCTGGTACGAAAACCTGAACATGAGCGTAAGTTGACTGGTTTACCTGCTTGATGCTTCGACTGAGAAACACCAGCTCGTGCATATGCTGTGATGCCATTCATATGGTGTATTGGAACTGTAATTGGCCGTGAGTTTGATGTCTCAACTGCTTTCCTTGTGGAATACTAACGGCTAACAGCTTCAATTGGTGGCTTGTTCGCAGAGCCTGTGAAGAACTTTCCATCTATGTTCTCTTCATACGGACTCTTTGCACATTTCCCATATCTTCTGCCCAATCTCATATGCGCCACTTTACTACTTGCATCAATCGTTACAGGCTGTTTCTTCCTTACAGAAACGCGTCCAGACTCCGGAATGGGCGACCAAACCAAGGACACCGCGGACGACTCCCAGATGACAATCTCAGACGCTACATCATGCCTCTCGGGCACCAAATCATACGGAACTTTCGATGGTATTGGAGAATTCCAGAACCAAGAAGAATTCGAGCCCATCAATCCAGCACGAAGACTCTCTGGAGATACAGTCGTCGCCGATATGGAAGAGCCAAGCGTCTTCAACAGCAGCGTAATCACCCTCATCGTCGCATTTGGCATATTCACCTACCACACCATGACCTATGACAACCTTATCCCTATCTACCTACAAGGCCGCGACTCGGACGTCCTACGACCTCACCACATACCCCCACTTCTACAAAGTCCAGGACTTGGTCTCTCCGTGCGCGAAGTCGGCATCGTCATGAGCATCAACGGAGCCATCGCGCTCTTCATCCAAGCGATCATCTTCCCCTGCCTAGCCGCACGTATTAGTACATGGCGGCTCTTCATTCTCGTCACCATCGGCCATCCAATTGTCTACATTCTTGTTCCACTGCTCCCACTGCTGCCGGAAACGTGGCTATATACTGGTATCTACGCGTGCTCCTTCATACGCGAGTTCTTTGCCATCGTCCAGTATCCGCTGCTACTGATCCTTCTTAAGAATGCCGCCCCGTCGCCGGCACATTTAGGCAAGGTCAACGGTTTGGCTGCTAGTGTGGGCGCTGCGTGTCGGACGATTGCTGGGCCCGCATCTGGCTTGCTCTGGGGACTTGGCCGGCGCATAGATGTCACGATGCTCGCGTGGTGGGCGAGTGCTGCTATAGCTCTCGTTGGAGCAGCTCAAGTATTCATGGTGCGGAAGAAGAAGGGTGTTGGCACTGGTGAAGATGATATCGAAGAGATCGGCACTGGAGGATGCTGAATAAAGTGTGACCTTCTTGACAATGAATTAATTCGCTTCGATTTAACCTTCTACGACGTTCTTGAAATTAACATTCATCTCTAGAAATTATCCACTCAGATCCAGCATTCCTCCCCTGCCGGCCATGCACCCCCTTTGTGCGACACCGTCTATGCCTCCGCGCCATCCAACACATTCTCACTAAAGCAATTCCACCTATTGACAAAACAAGCGTTTGAACTAGTACACCCGTTCATAATGACCGTCCTTCCCCTGTCGAAATGTTTCGCAAGATCGTAGCACTCGCTGCGTTTCTGGAATAGAAGAATATACGCAGCTTCAAAGCTGTCATCACGAACACCGAGCTTTCTACTTTCCATTGAAGGCGAGACTCGCAGCTGAAGCAACAAGTCTTCCCGAATACTCGCAGATATCTGGGAGAATGACTATATGGTTGCATTCGACTGTGAGACGGACCAGATTGTACGAGAAAACGGTCGATGATGGGACACCAATATCTCCAATATCGATGACTGCTGGTACATTGATACATGGGTGAGCGAGGGGACAGAGAGAAGCCTGGTGATAAGCGAATCATTCGCCGCGCTCAAGTTCACTGGCCACCTGGATATCGAAAACAGTATACCTTTGTCTCGATTTCGAAATGACAAATCCAGGCCCTTAGTTCTTGCGTGGAAGCAAACATAGACTCTTGTTTTCCCTGGCGGTAATTCAAATTCACAAGATCAAGAATTGATGGATCGAAGCAGGCAAAGTCAAGTACGACCACTTGAAACAAACACTGTAGACAAATTCAACACGTCCTAGATTCAAAATCGAAGATACATCAACAAAGCGAGTGACATTCAGTCCTGAAAGCTTCCATCCCCTCCCTAGCCCCTATCACGCCGTCTTCCCATCCAACGACGCCGCATACCTCGAGTCCGCCTGCAGGCCCTCCAACAACGCCCCCAACAAATCTCCCTGGACACCCTTACCCTTAGTCCGCTCAATGCGTTCGTTCAAGCTGCCTTCAGCCGCAATCCCCATGTACACATCCTGCTTCCAGTCGTAATCACCCCACGCATTGATCAAGATATCGTAGCAGCGTTTCGTCGCATCCAGCACGTCAAGGCTTGGTTCAGGACCCAAGCTGACGCTCCAGGCGGAGTCGCTGGGGATGCTACCAAGTAGAAGCTTTGTGCCTGTTGGTGTGGGAGTTGATGTGACGGGGATGGGACGGCCATCGGCGCGCTTGGCGGTGATGGAGGTAGAGGAGGAGGGGGTGTGAGAGAGCAATTTGAGAGACCATGAGCGGGAGGCAGGAATGCTGGACGACATGGGTGTTGTGGCGCCGACGCTCAGGACACCGGCTTTATGTTCATACTTGATGGGCGTAGAGGAGAATTCGACTGCGCGAGCGTCAGCTTCATCGTCGGCCTTGGGACTCGTAGATGAAGAAGAAGAAGAAGAAGAGTCAGGAGAGGAAATAAAGGTGAAGTCACCATCGGACGCCTTTTCACCGTTTCCATCGTCCTCGATAAGAGTAAATGCGCCGTCTGCACCGACTACGAGGATTATTTCAATGGCTTGTGGGTTCGGCACGCCGTTGGGAATTGGAGATGCGGCGTCCAGTGGGATGATGGCGCCTTGTTTGGCCAAGGCGGGGACTTGAGAGAGAAGACGATAGAGCGAGAGGTCGCGTTCGCCGTCATAGATGAGGCCGGTAAAGATGTCAACCCAGCGGTCAGGTGGCAACCAGACGTCAGTGCGGCCGTGCAATGTGTCTTTGGCGCGGGGAGAGGTGCAAGGAGCAACGAGGAGCTCACTGCCGTAGTAGAAACTGTTTTTGTGCTTGTAGGCCAGCTCGCGATCAGGGTACTCGTAGTAGATGGGGTGGATGAGTGGGATATCGTGCACTGCGGCGCGGTGATTCATGGTGTAGAGATAGGGTACGAGACGGTGGCGGAATCTCAATGTGTCTTCCATAATCGCGCAGTATTCCGGGCCGAATTTCCAAGGCTCCTTGAAGTTGAACATGTTGTTGTTGCAATGTAGACGCAATATGGGTGAGAAGCAGCCGAGTTGGTACCATCGAGTTTGTAGCTCATCATCCTTATATCCTTGCATATGACCGCCAATGTCATGGCTCCACCACCCGTAGCCAATGTTGGTAGCCGTAGCTGTGAACTCAGGCTGGAAATTGAGAGACTCCCATGTCATCAATACGTCTCCTGAGAAGCCGACTTGGTAGCGATGGGAACCTGGACCAGCGAAGCGTGATAATATCAGGGGTCGGTGGTTGTTGCGTCCGTTATCAAGGAAATGATAATGGTTTAGCATCCACAGAGGATCGATGGAAGGGATCTTGCTGTGTTCACCCTGTTGCCAATCGACCCACCAAAAATCTATCCCCTCTCTTTCAAACTGATGACAGATAATGTCAAGATAAGCATCCATGAATCGACGATCAACGCTATCAAATTCGATAGTCTTCTTTGTTGAAGGATCGACACCCATGTGCCTAGCAACCTTGTCATATAGTTCTTCGAACCAACGAACACCTTCAGCAGGATGGTCATTGACAGTGAGATACAGATCGCGATTCTTGAGCTGCTTGAGAAATCCTACCGGGTCAGGAATAAGATCACGGTCCCAGGTGAAGCCGGTCCAGCCGGATCCTGGCCAATCTGGAGGAAGATCGACCTTGTGCCAGTAAATATCGATGACAAGAATGGCAAACGGGACCTCATCGGCGCGAAAGTGGTCCATCAGTTCAAGATACTCTTGAGATGTATACTTGTGATATCGTGTCCACCAATTACCAAGTGCATACCGAGGCAGGAGGGGCTGGCTCCCGGAGATGGCGTAATAGGCCTGGAGTGCTGCCTTGTAGTCATGCCCGTAACAGAAGAGATACTCATCAGATCGGTTGCCGGTCTGGCGAGTGCCGACCCAGCCATTCTTCTCAAACAAAAATGAGTCCGTGTCATTGATCCTACCAAACCCAGATCGAGACATTATACCATGGCCCATGTCTCCCCGGCCGTTGACCATGTCCAGAGTACGAATGGTGCCTCCAAGGTCCTTGATCTCGTCACCATATGCCCATACTCCAGCAACGTCGCCCTTGAGGTTGATATACAAACCTTCCTTTCCAAACTTTTTCTTGTCATAGAAGAGCTGGTAGCGGGTCGTAACGATCTCAATTTTGTCATCATGATCCCAGAGGTAATACTTGGGCACAGCTAGTTTCCTGTTCAGGGCAAAAGTCGAAGAACGATCCTCGAACTTTCCGTCTTCAGCCCATTCGAGTCTGATGAGACCATCAGTCAAAATAGTGAACCGATACTTATCACCCTGAATGACTGCCTCGGGGTTTGGCACTGGCTCCGTATGAAAGGAATAACGATGTTGTTTACCGAATTCGTAACGCATCCTGTCTTTGACCCTGGCAGGGAGTTTCTCTTCGAACCTGTCCCGGAAGCTACTTTTGAGCTTGTCAAACATAAGGCTTGATATTGAGAATGGTGGGCTTTTAGTCGACGGGTGCGCCCGTACTTATCCAGTGGGTGTCTCAAGACTATGCGGGGTTGAGTCTGATGATTGCTGACACCTGGGAATGGGAGGATGACCGGGAAAGGTCTGCTGACTCCTGACGCAACAGACACAGCAATACAAGTTGCGAGACTTTATAGCTGCAGACGATGCTGATGTAGCACGACAGGAAGCAGATGTTCACAGACGCTGGAAAGTGAATGAAGATCGAAGCACGAAGGGAGCATGAGGTGGGCACATGTAGCAGAAGGGGATGAAAAGGGAGCATGAGACAAGCACAGTCGACTTTGGGTGGTGTCGTCGGTCCATCGTGACGGCTTCCATCGCGCCCGGTGGCATGCAGGTACCAAGATACATGGGAAACGTGACGCTGTCATTGGCCACGACCCGGCGTTGACATGGGCTCAGTATGCGTATATATCGGCACGCGCAGCTATGTCAGGGAAGGCGCATTGCTGTGGGGAGACCACGTGTGGTCCTTGGCAGAATACCTCTCAACCAATCAAAGAAGAGTATCTAGTCCAAGTACAGTAGCAGCAGAAAGTCCGGGGTTCATTCCGAGTCTGGGGTCTGGGGTTTGAGTGTGGGGTAATAACACACACAGTTTATAGTATGTACACTGTTGCCTTCATGGGCATTCTAAACGTACACTATGCGTTGTGCAATATTAAACATCTCGTAAAGGTAATCAACATCCTGCGCGCTTTGTTCCGCCGTCTTACTCTATCTTTATGCTGAGAACGTAAGCGACTATTTCTCTTGGGGCCGATAATCTGACACATCACGTGCCTTCTGGCTCCGCCACCGGCGCAGAGGCGTTGTCACCGTGGAGTTGCGTGAGAGCTACAGTGAGGGGAGCATTGAGGCCGTGTGGACTTGGGCTTGAGTGCATACGAGCCAAAGACACGCAAGCTCAACCGCGTCGGACATATTCTTTATAGCACGACATCTAGTCGATGGTTTGTAGATTATAGAAGTGTACTAGACCCTGTTCTAGTGTGCTCGACTATAGTAATGTCGGTGGCCGATTTGATCAAGTAGTTATCTAAGAAGTATTATGATTCAAAGCGAGACCAGATAGGCCTCTCAATCATCAACGATCGCGATTCCGAGCTCTCCATCAGCTACTGCACCCAGGATATCGTCAGGCTCTTCACCTCTCTGACCCAAGACCCATTCCAGTGTCTGGCCCCACGTCTCGCCGTTGTTCTCGAACCAATCACCAAGGCTCTTGACATACATCTCCACTTGTCCTTTCAGTGGTGCATTTTCTTTAAGCCACAAGATCTGTTCGGGATCTAGCTTGAGCATGTCCTCGACAACATAATAATGAGGGATATCATCGCCCCAGCCCTCGCCTCCAGGCTCGTGATAGCTGGTAGTCTGATACTTGCGTGAATGCCATGACGTATTGTTGTGTGCGTGGAGATGATTCGAGAGGACATCGGGTGTTGTGTGAAATTGACTGAAGAATGGGTTCACGGCAGGGGTCTGCGGAGGCGGCGGATAGTTGAGGTGAATGTTGAACAGCAGCTGGGGAGCATAGCCGTCCGGATGCCGTTTCTTGAACTTGCGAGCAATGGTCCCGTTCGAAGGGCACACGTTTGAGTGAACCACCTCCCGCATGACGGCATGAACATCAGCAATCTCGGCGAGTTCGACGGTACTCCAGTTATGCAACAGTGCGGCACGATCAAGCACAACCAGTTTGTTCATACGGCTCTCGCGAGGATGAGCACGATTGTGAAATGCACGAGTGTAAAGCCACAGCCGATAGATCGCGCGACGGAGGCGGAAGCATTCGTCTGGTTTCAAAAGGCGACGGTGCTCGAAGTTGTGTTTCCATTTTTTGAAAGGGTACAGCGAACACCATTCCTCGGCTATGCGACCATGGTGGACAATCTGCTTGAGCAGTAAGAGGTTAAATGGTACATCGCGGCTGAGGTGCGCAGCTTGACTCGCATTGTGAGTGAGAAGTTGGGTTAGGTCGCGTAAGGGACCATACTGCGATTCAGCAGCATGCTCAAGAATGGGTAGGTTACGAGATGATTTGTAGATGCGACGGAAGCGGTGACAGGTGGTCGAGAGATTGATGGTGTCGATGATGGTAGTACATGACAGGTATATGTCCACCAGAATCTCGGTCGGGAAGTCTTCGAACAGCATGTTTACGGTTTGTCTTGAGCTGTGACGTTTATATTTATTTTACAGTTTATTTTTTCTGTTTCTTTCTGTTATGTTCTTCTTTTCAATTGTAATTGTACTTGACTTCGGTCAAATTCGATATGATATAGGTAGTCGACCCAGGACAGGTGATGTCTTTGGAGTCGAGGGGAACGCAAGGCCTCAAATGATGTAAACCCCTACCTTGGGGCTATCAAAAGGAGTTTGGATGGTTACGTTGGTAAAAGTGTTGACTATCAAGTCCAGCTTTAGAAAGCTGAGATTGGGAGTGGTCGCCATGATCGTGATTGAAAGCGAGTGTGGGAAGATAAGGGAACTTGTAGATGAGTCTGGAGGCAGAGAGGTTAAGAAATTGGAACCTTGGAAGGGATATCCATTCAGTATCAGACGCTAAGATAATGGGGTTAGCGCGCCAAGATCACCTCGAGTAAGCTTATTGGGTCAAAGTGGATTCGAGCTTCAAAATGCCTCATGTCGTGCACGTTGCTCCCGCGATATCAACATGTTTGCAATAGCACATCAACCTTCCATTCGACATAGACAGCATTACTAGAGAATACCAACGCCATGTCTTTCGTATCCCAGCAACCTCAGAGCCCCCTGTTCTTCACACTCCCTCTCGAAATTCGCCAACAGATCTACGCCCATCTCCTTCCCAGCACAACCACCATAACCCAAGACACCTCCACCAAATCTCGTTTTCCCTCGCTGCGCTCCCCCTTTCCCTCGGAGTATCCCAGCACCGATTTCCTTGAAAAAAACTTCTCCGATGTGCGCTCCAAACCTATAGACAACGGCATCGTCTGGCAGCGAGGCTGCACATCCCTCCTCGCCGTGAACAAGCAAATGCACTTCGAATGCGCCGATCAGATGTATGGCACAAATACTTTCGTCATCAATATAAGCTATAATTGTATCAAGTTTGCTTATCGCTGGATTGTGCTCGCGAGTAATCTTATGCCAAATCGCGACTTGCCGTTTTTGGGATTTAGAATTGGGTATCTGGCAAGGATTAGGAACTATGTTGTACATGTGGAACAGGTGGATAGTTATACTGGTAGGTCTTTGTGTCGAGAGATTGATGCCCTGCGGGCTTTAAAGCTTATGTAATATAGGTATGGTCAAGTATAATTGTGGTGGGCCCGGATTGCCCGCTGGATTGAGGCAACAGGTATCGATGCTGGTGTCTGTGATGGCGTCGGCGACGGAAAGCAAGCCTTTGCATAGGCTACACATTTATCTTCTCGATTCAAATCAGGGGCAAATACGACGTTTGCGGTCAATTCCCATCCAAGCAGAGTCGAATGGGAAGCCATGGACAGTTCTAGACCCTTTCAAAGTCTTGCGCAACGTGCGGATGCCGACCATCACAGGAGCAGTTCCCTTTGACTACGCAAATGGGCTACAGGAAGCAATGCAGAGCTGAGGTCAGCGTAGATGAGATAAAGTCCAAGAACCTGTGGAACTATGACGTCGCTACGTCTATCAACGCTGGGTATAGGAAGGAAACTCAAACACTTGAAAAGCAGACCCTATGCACACCAAGACCTCTTAACGCTCGCTAGTAATGCTCAGATCCAGACCAAAATCTATCTTACATGACAATGCACTTCTCGCGGTCTTCACCGGTAGCAGCATGGCCTTGACCCAGCTGATTTGGGCCTACACTCGACATCGGACGGCGCCCCGGTAAACGACTTCCGGGAACTTGGCTTATAAGACCTGGTCCAGAAGCTCTCCTCCTACCACCGACTCCACTCGCCTGAGTATATGCACTTTGGTTCGTAGCTACAGGCCGAGCAGGCTGTATCGGTGCATGGGCACTCGCTGGGTGTGTGCGAGGCGGGTTATAAGGACGACCAGCTGCCGCTTGTTCGTACGTCGGGGGCGGCGCATCTTCATGTCCATCAGATGGAGCTGATACAGCACCATTGCCTCCATTGTTGTTGTGAGTTCTTCGAGGTGGGATCATCGGTCGAATCTGCGGCCCACCTAGTCCAGCTGGGGAGGCACCGGTGCCATCTCTGCCATTGCTCGAAGATATGAACTGCTCAGATAGCTCGTTCTCGCGTCGTCTTCGAGCTGCTAAATCTCGGCGATGTCGATCCTCTTCTTCTTCCTGGAGCTGTAAAGCTAGAGCAAGATCATGATCTTCCTGTTCTGTTGAAGCAGCGGGAGGCGATCCTGCGGTCGGTTCTATAGTGGAGCCTGTGAGAGGCGCGGGATCTTGTGGCCGAGGCTGACCGCTTCGGTTGTTCCTTACGGCTTGCCAACCTTGATCATCATCGGCATCCAGTAAACTCCTGATCGGGCGTTCCTCGGCCTCATTGCTAACAGTATTGGCGTCTGACATATTACCTACTGGTCTGAAGTCGCCCGAGAACAATTCGCTACCTCGACCATGCACGTCTACAAGACTTTCCCATACGATCTCTTCATGGCGGGAATAGCCTGCATCGGTGACAAGCGTGAAGATTCGCCCCGTGCGTGGCTCTTTATACAGTGTTGAAAAATGATCGTTCCGAAACAGGATAGCCACTTGGCCAGGCTTAATATTCTGCGTGATGACGTCTAGCCCGTATTCTGTAAGTTGCGTTGGCCAAGTGCGGAAGAAGTCCTTAATGGACTGTAAATCCTGAAACATATCCTGCTCTTGAGGTGTCAGGCCTTGGGCCTGTAGCTTTGTCTCTAACTCCTCTTCGTGGAACTGGACGTTCTGTGCATCTTCGTACGTCTGGGCTATCCTGTCAAATGCGGCGTATGCTCGAGACTCACTTGGCGGAAGCCAGCCATGGATCAATGGGATGTTGAACGTGCTATACATCCGTAGCTCTTTCGTGCTCTCGAATCCGCTTGGCGCTCGAGTTGGTGCACCATCGGCCTTGACGAAACGTGGATTGACATTCATACCGGTATGTAATGTTACGAGAAACGAATACAAATCACCAACGTCTGGAAGCTGTTGCGCAGCATCTCCTCGTCGACCTGACATCAGTTCATCGAACACAGCATCCAATAAGAGTCCCAGGCTGACTTGTTCACGGGTTCGTAGCGTTTCTATCAAAGCCGTTTCCTCTCCATGAGGCGTCGACAGGACCAGAGCGTTGACAAGACCAAGTAAGGGGCAGGGTCCATTCGTATTTTGTGTAAGAATGGGTGCTGGTCGGAATCCTTGCTTCTTGGCATCGTACCATCGCATATGCTTGATCTGATAATGCTCTTTGCGTTGCCTTTGGGATCTCGTGCTAGGTGTTTCAATCTCAGGTCTGCTGGTTGGCTGACCGTCGGTGTTGACGTGTGGTCTTATTGGCCCAGCATCATTCCGTGGTGGCAAAGGAAGAGCTTGATCGAGTAGAGACGGCTGATGTGCTGAATGAGATGCACTAAAAGCAGCTTCTCCTCTGAACCATTCATCTTCGGCGTTCTGTTCTGCTTGGCGCTTTTGTGCTCTTTCGGCTGCGGCCGCCAGCTCCATTTGTTGTTTTTCACGTTCTCTGCGCTCCCAATCTTGCTGCTCCTGCCAAGTTCGAGTTTGCGGATTCTCATCATTTTCCTGCGTAGAAGGCAGGCGATGGTTACGCGAGCTAAAGGCATCCAATGACGATATATCCATGCCAGGATCCCAGGGACTTGAGTTTTGGCGTTTTAATTGTTCCTCAGCTCTGCTAGGGATTATTGGGGCGTGACTTGTCCCAGGCGAATCGTCCGCGTCGTGGACTTCAAGTCCACTCATAGAAAGTCTTGATACTTCTTCAACGGGCGTCCGCTGCGATGGTAGCTCTACCGCAGCCAAGCTGGCAGCCCACGGATTCGTTGCAGCCATACCTGTCTTGATAGGCTGGGCGAGACCATCCTTACTAGACACACTTGATTGTCCTGTAGATTGGTAACTAAGGTAGGGATTATGAGACTGCAAAGGCAGACCTTGGCTAGATGTGGTACTCGCAGTATAGCTAGATGGCTCAACGAGGGGTGGCGTGGGATCAGGACTCTCTCGAAATATCTTAGGCACACCTTCCGGTGGTCCAACGCGCAGTGTCGAGGGGAGGCTACCTGGCTGTGGTCTCGGAGACGCCAAGCCACCAACTTTAAGTGCTGCAGGCAAATCGTGCTTTCTTGGGGCTTCATCTACATCAATCTCTTCGAAATCCGAATCCCATTCGTGATCATCATCCGAGTCCGACTGGTTTTGCTTAGGATCAGTCTGTTCGTGGAGCTGCTTCAAAGTCTCCAATGTAGAAGCAGGGGTCTCCGGACTTGCGGATGCATTGTGAAGAGTTATATCTTGTGTTTCGGTCGCAGGAGATTGTGACATCGGCGCATGGTCTTCAGTCGGACTGATCGGGTACGGAGGGTTGTTGATGGCTTGGGACAGCGGTTTTGGAACGAGATTGTCGGCGACTGGCTTCCGACTGACCATCTTTATAAGACCGTGTCTAAGAGGCGTGAGGTGGAAATAGTGCTATGACCCATTAGTCAATTGGGCTATACTCGACGAGAGACTGCAATGTTGGGTGGCAGTGTTGCGAGGTGGTCTTGCGGGGCAGCCTACCGTATGAATGCTCCGCTAGCACATATGGGATATGCGTTGATCATGAATTGTTCGCAATAGTGAAGGAGCAAGGCCTGTATATGAGGTTCGATATGAGAGACGGGTAGAACAGGGTACGAGGTACACGAGAGTCGAGGTAGGGTGGCGGAAACACGAGGATGAATGTTGCGTATGTTGGCCTGTAAAGCTTGCGTGGCCTGGGTAATCCACGACTCGCCCCGCGTGTAGGTTGTGAGCTTACTTTAGTGTGATTGTGAATGCGACGCCTAGATTGTTGGCTCCAACGTGGCGCATGGAGCTTAGAAGATATTATGTTCCTGTTGTACTGCTCGGATCCGATTTACGATGACGAAGTGCTGCGTGCTGGGTCTTGGTCTTAGGGATCAAACTAGCTGTGGCGGTGCAGCTCAGCCCTGTCCTAATTGGTGTCCGCGTGAAACCCTCTGCCGACTCTTGCATGAGTAGTGTCCGTCCAATCAAAGCGTGGGCGCCACAGCTTTAAAGCTCCCACGCTAAAGAATATCTATACGATCCATTCTTTAAGTATACGGTTTGCAGAACTTTTCGACTGTGTCGCCGCGACGCAGAAACACGGAAGCACGGAAGTGGATCCCTATTCCTATCCCGATGCCTGGCTCTTCACTCACTACCTAACCTACTCTGGCCCTGACGATGCATTCATATATCCGCCCGAATACCTATGTCTGTCTCCGTTTACCTTCAGGTGTGTTAAAGGTTACGGAGATTGTACCTAACACGTACGTTAAGAGACGCGATCTCAAGCGCATGCGTGCACACCTCCTGCTCGAATACAAGCTTATATAGATCTGCAGTATTATCTCAATAGGGAAGTATGGTTCGTTTCCCACGAATCTTCTCATTGGCCGCCCTTATCACGTAACATTCGAGCTCGTTGAGCTTGAGCACGACGAGAAGAATAGAATCGCTACACAGCTACGCATTGTTCCTGCCTCGGAGCTTCATGCCGATGCAATTACAGAACCCACGGCAAGCGTTGCCGACTCAAGGGAGGAAAAGGTAGAAATAACAAACGGCGGCGTCGAATTTGACATTGTAGGCGAAAATGGCGAGGTCCTCATGCGCAACAATCGCCTGACGGTGGACGATGCGTCACGGCAGGCATTGACCTACGAAGAGATTGAAGAGCTCAAGAAGGCAGGCTCAGGCTCAGGGAAAGATATAATTGCTAAGATCATGGCTTCGCATAATGCTCTGGACGAGAAGACATCGTTCTCACTGGCCAAATATACTCTAAGGAAGTCGAAGAAATATATGAAGCGCGTGACAATCTTACCGCTAGATGTTGCGATGCTTGTCAACACCATGTTGGATATTCAGGCGGTACGGATAATGGAAGTGCGGGAGGAGATTCTCGGCCTCATAAACAGCTGGGCAAACATTCACTATGGCGGATCGCAGAGGATATATCCTTCAGAAGACGGCAGTGGCATAATAGGAGGCGGCAGGTGGCTCTGCATTGACGACACAGGGGGCATTTTGGTCGCATCCCTTGCGGAGAGAATGGGAATTCTGTATTCTGGAGAAGACGACGAGAATGGCGATTGGGACGAGGACCAAACAGAGCAGGAGCAAGGGGCGCATGACGTGCATCATGATGTTGCACAAGAACAACCAGAGAATACAGAGCAACCAGCAGCGCGAGCTGAGACACAGAAAGAAGATCTTTCGATAGACCAGCCCCCTAGGCGACGGCGGAACTACAACTTTGTCCCCGAAATGTCCGCCAAAACCAATACTCTCACTGTCATACACTCGGCGGCGCAACCCAACCTCGGCCTCCTAAAGTACTTTGGGTACGACACATCAGCCACTGTCACAACGCATCCGTTCTACCAACACCTGAAGACGATATCGTGGCTACAACTGCTGCATCCCGAAGAAGATGCTGGATACGAAGAGCCGGAAGAAGTATCCCCTGATACTCTCGCCTCCTGGAAAGCCGGCAAGCGGGGAACATACTACCGCAAGCGACGACGCTGGGAGAAAGTTACACGCGTGGTCAATGAAACCCGCGCCGGCGGCTTTGATGGAATCGTAATAGCTAGCACTATGGATATAAAGGACATCCTCAAGCACACAGTGCCGCTGCTCAGGGGTGGGGCGCAAGTCGTCGTGTACTCGCCCAACGTGGAATCGTTGGCTGAGCTCATGGATCTTTATTCGAAGGATCGCAAGGCGCCGTATATGCAGGAAATTGCTCAAGGCAACCCCATTGATGAGACCGACTTCCCTGTCAATCCCACACTGCTATTAGGGCCTATGTTACAGACTGTGAGAGCTCGGCAATGGCAGGTTTTACCTGGTAGAACGCACCCTATGATGATGAGTAGGGGTCTTGCTGAAGGATATTTGTTCACGGCTATGCGAGTGTTCCCCGTGGATGGTAAGGTGGAAGCGAGAGGCAGATTTACGAAAAAGAGGAAGACAGCTCCTGAAGATTCAGTGCCAATCTTGAATGGCGCAGCTAAGAAGACTAATCCAGGAGAAGATGATACGTCAGTGCTCGACTCACCTGCAGATGGCGATGCCAGTATGGCAGATGCATCATAGCACACAATGAAAAGTTAAGAACACGTCCAGAGTATACAATGCTTTGTGATGTTTGTATTGCTGCTGGGACTTTGCCATAAAAGCTTACCTATTTTGGCCATACTCTGAGGCCCTTGCCAGCACGCTTTATGCGTAATTCCCATTTCCACTTCCGACCTCATTGTAACCCTCACAGTTGCTTGCCCATGAATTTTCTTTTCGTAAAACTCAGCCACCACTATAACCTGTCAGCACACGTGCGCAGAGTATCTCTTTTCGAAACATACTTTACTCGGACTGTCTCCGTCCGCGTAGACCCTGTTTAGTAACCTCACCGCTAATTCCTGCCTCATTTGGCCCATATAACCCCTCAGCGCATCTACCTCATTCCGCTCTCTGGGTGCCTCAAAGGCTTGGTTTAGCGGAAATCCCACATCGCCCGGTACCGCAAAGTTGTTGTCCAACGCAACCGTCATGACCGCCTTTTCAGCCTCTCTCCTGCTCATGCCCGGGCGGATCTTGCCTAGAATCTCGCTAATGTACAGAATTCCATAGATGAGCACGCGATCAGCGGGACCCTTGATCTCAAAGTTGCGGAAGAAGGTATTGGCGCGGAAGAGTGAAAGGATCTCGTCGAGCGGGTCATAGGATTCGTGCGAGGCATCGATTGTGAGGTCGGATTCGCCGGCGGGGAGTGGCGGGAGTTGCAGGGCCGGACCGCGGGTACGTGTGCGGAGTGGGAGGAGGGCAAAGTTTCCTTGGGATCGTCAGAGAGCGTATAAAGTAGAGATGGCGAGAGACCGGGTGAAGGTTGAGATTTAGGAGGGGTTGAATAGGCATATACCTGCTAATTGCTGGTTGGGCTCATCGAGGAACACAGAGTGATAGGCCTGACAAGTTGTTAAATATGGGATAAGACAGGGAGCACTCCTGATGGTACTCACTGGCATCTTGAGAGCCACTCAACTTAATCAAAGAGGGGATGTTGAGTTGCGCATTGCAACTCCAGTGATGATGCGGCGGTCGTGTTATCACCCAGGTAAGGCTGAAAGCGGGATACAAACTACGCCTAAGTCAGCGTACGAGAAGGGTTCATTCAACTCCAAGGGCCACATTGACCTCACCAGCTCACACCAGAAAGCTCTCTTACAAACACCCGCATACAACCAGAATGGCTGACGAACTGCTGGAGAATGTGCGCGATGCCCTGGAAGGTCAGATCGTATGTCCATCCCCATCTTCAGCGACATTGCCTTCACTAACCATGCTTCTAGGACTTTGAGGGTCAACGGTTGGCTGAACTTCTAACCACAGCCCTACTGGCTATATCTGGGGTAAGATCGGGCTCGGAGGTTTCAACCTAGCTTCAATTTAACGCGATGACAGATTATCGCCTTTCTCTACGGGTATATCGCCCAGGACATCGCTTCAACACTGTACATCGGACTCGGCGGAGCTGCCCTCACCTTCCTCGCTGTCGTTCCACCATGGCCCCTATACAACAAACATCCTATCGCATGGTTGCCGAGACAGAGCGGTGGTACCTCGGGGATCAACATACAAGTAAATGGCAAGAAAGTGAACTGAGAGAAATTGGGAGCACGGCTATTTAAGACGATACTTTGGTTCAAGAGCAGCGTAAAATACGCTGAAGTACTATTTGCACATCTCCTCTGTTGTGTTGGTGGCATCTTGTGGTGCTCCATGATGTCCTTGTCACCCGCCATACCGCCATACCGCCATACCGCCATTCCACTTGCCTGTTTAACGCCATAAAGCCATGCATGAGCTTCAGTCGACCATGTCAGGCTCAACAGTCGGACAGCTCCCAGAGTCCGTTGTTGGCTTCAGTATCATGGTCGTAACCATATCCAGACCCAGATTCTCTACCTTCCGTATTTTTGAAACTCCCAGTCTCTGTTATCCAGCGGACATACTTGACGGGTCTTAAGCCAACGTGAGATGCAATGGAAGTGGAACGCGTGCTACGAATGATTAGATAGAACTCGGAGGACTGTATGATTTCGGCATACGTTACAGATTCCCCAGGCGACTGTGCATTCTTCACTGGTAGCCGAAGCTTGATTGGCCTGGCATTCGATGCACAGATCCATGATGTGGTTGCGGCAAATCGCACAATTATCGACGACAATATCCCAGGCCCATAGCGCAACGGCATTCCACTATAAATGTCAAACAGTGTTCGACAGTAAGTTCATAAAGAGTCCTGACCTTCTTGACCTCGAAACGCTTCTTGCCATCCGCAGCTCCTTCTCCGCTGGCACCGGACTTTGATGACTTGACTTTGGTGGGCGCCGCCGATGCAGGTGCATCAGTCATATCCACGTCGGCCATATTTGTGTATGTGTTGCGAAGTGTATTGTATTCTGTGATGTCGAAGCTTTTGTAAGGTGGAGGAGCTAGGCTTCAGCGATGAGCCTGTAGGCAAGTAAATGCGATGAGCGTGGGTGCCTGGCTGTATTCCTAGCGAGCTTCAAGAGTCGAGTTTGCAGGGATATGAGGCGAGGTGAGGTGTTGCGGAGGAGAATATCCCTAAGATCTTCAGAAACATTTACGCACGCCACTTAACTGTCGCGAGTACGTAGTGACGACGGCGGGGACGTAATTATGTATAAGGTTGCTTTCAGCCTTACCAGAATAGCTCTATTATTATGCCTGGGCTATGTCTGCATTCCGAGCAAACCCCGCTAGAGGAAGCTGGATTGGGCGCAATGCTGGGCAGCCAAAAGGCCGCTTGTTTCCAGCTTCTCTGACCAGCGACGACGACACTTCTTACGTCTCAACAAGAACATTCACAGATATGATCTTCACTAATCCTTTAAAACCCTCCGACATTCAACTTCTTCGACTAGAAATCTATTATTCATACTCAAATTCACAGTACCTGCATCGTTCACCTACAACGTGTCCGCCTAAACCACGCCAACCTCAACGATAAAGACCATTATATTGCTCCTGTCGTCTTGTCCTACACATCACCGGTTCATTGGAAACTGCGCGACTTGATCAAGGTCTGCGCTTGCCTCACATGTCCACAAAGGTCTTGACACCGCCTCAAAAGGCTCCTCGCGTGAAACATCACAATTCCACCGACGAGACGATAGGCGAACCCAACACGTCACATACAACCCCAGTACGGTCGAACAGAAATCGCCAGAAGAGCAACAAACACAACCATGATCAGAATTATCATTCCGAATCTCAGGTGGTCGATTCCAATACCGATGTGGAAAACCAAACGACGGGCAATGTGACCGATGATGGTGTCGCGGGCTCCGAGAGCGCCCAGAACATGAAGCGTAAGCGCCCTCCCAAACCAAAAAGAAGCCCATATCATGGGAACGAAGGGTATGGCTCGCCACCGTACAGACATTCTGGCCATGCTGTTGTACCAGAGCCGGTACCTGCTACAACGCCTGGTCCCAAACCGATGGCATACGCTGGTCCTACGTTTCATGCTTCTCCTGCACCTTCGACTCTTCCGAAGCCAAGGTTCTTTTCGAAATCAGTGCCTGCCGATGTGAACGAATCCGGCCTCCAGGCCCGTATGGAGGCAGATCAAAGAAGAAGTCCACCACCTGTTGGGGAAGAAATCTCCGTACCGCCACGGAACGAGGAGTCACCTTTGGATTTCCTATTCAATTCAGACCGAGAACAGAAAGCGAAAAGAAGTAGTGGGGTCTTGACACCAAATAGCAGCACCCTCGACCGGACTGACTCACGCGAAAGTTCTTTCGGTGGTTTGTCCCGGCAACACAATCGACAGCCTTCAGCCGGGTCTGGAAGGTTGTTCCCTATAGAACTTGAAGGAAGCGATGCCAATGCTTCTCGCCATGGAAGTCACCCTAGGAGCCCGAACGAAATATTTGCGTCGAATCGTTCCAGAACTTCTCCTTCGACACTCCCACGTGCCCGGAATCCCTATCATGATCAGGAGAATATGACTCAATCTCTGAAAGCCAAATTATTTGGCCCCCCTGGACGAGATCCTCAGACAGGCGCCAAAGCCACGCCAATCCGGTCCGACTACGTGCCAGAGTTTCACAGTCCTTCTCCATTCAACCGTCCCGGTCCAGGCTCCCGAAGCACATCCGGTCCTGCCACTCCGGTACAGCAGCAGCAAGATCAGGTTCCTATGCTTGACACATACCACTATGGGAACCGGAACCTGTCGCCTCTGTTCAAAGCTGCGCAAGGCGACACTAGGCAACGATCGTCAGGTCTACGTCAAGAGATTGCATCGCCCCAGCAACCAAGATATTCGGCATCATCCAGAGACGCCGTGCCAACACCTACTTCTCCCGGCCGCTTTGGTCCTTTGCCTCATGACGTCTCCGCATTCTCCAGAAACTACTTGAAGTCGCACATATCCAATGCAAGTCCAATACCGGGAGGCCATCAAAATGCATATACGCAGCCTGTGCCACGTTACTCAAATCCATCTCCAAGTGGTCCACTATATAAGTACCATGCATCCTCAGTTGATCTGGTTCCCAATTTACCAGATAGAGCACCCTATAATCCCACTCAACCAACCGGCTACCGTGCAACTTCAGCTGGCGCATCAGCTTCTCCAGATGTCCAGGATATGGAATCTAGACTTCGCCAGATGTTGAATTTAAGTGGTAGCAACGGCAGCAATACTGGCCTGGGGTAGAGGCAGTTTGGTCATTTCGATTTGAAATTGGCGGCACGAGTGTACTGTGATATTTGAGCTGGGATTCGATGGCGTTGGGATGGTTTGCATACCTCGAGTTAAAGAGTTCACTTTGTCATTCGCGGTACCTTTGTATTCTCCTTTTCATTTCTGCCATTTCCTATCAATCTTTATTTCTGCATTTCTTCTTGTTATGTTCTCGTCACAGATCGAAACCTGGTGTTTGGATGATTCATTGGTGTGCTTTTTGGGCCTCGTCAGAATGCATGGGTATTGGCAGTCCTTTTACTGTATATTCTGCCTTGATGACAATGATCGACATCTAGCACGAAACCTGGGTTGGCTAAGTCAGCTCGCCAAGAGCGACTCGGGAGCGATCAGGTAGAACACGATTGGCTCTTTATGAGATAAGATATGTTCGATACGGTTCCGCTATGTAGTCGATCAGGACCTTACATATGATGCGGCGATGACACCGGACAAAATAAAAAAGCTTGCAGCGCATGCGGCAGCGACCTTAAGATGGCATTTTACCTAGGTAGTGTGTGATATACTATGCGTGAGATATACGTTGGACGTACCTGCGTACAGTGAAGGGACATTAATCCAGGACACTTTACTGCCTGAAATGTGCCTGAAGTGTCACTCACCAGACTAATGTCCTAGCACGGTATCAGTTGAATGCGGATACATATGGGTCAAATCGAACAGGTTACGGCTGAGAAGCCTGACCAGGAAGATGAAAATCACGCGAGCACGCGACAGAGAGCCTTATTGCTTGGAAACGAAATGATTGAATGCCTCGTACCAACATTTCGAAAACTTATTGTGAAAGCTTATTCGATCACTTTTATCGGGTTATATATCAGCAAAAATAGTGGAGGAAAGTCCACCGGTCAAAATTCGAATGCTCATATAAAGAGAGTGGATACTTGTAGTAATCCAAGTTTACCTTAGGACAAGATGATATAGAGCCAAGCTACTTCAGCACAGTTCAGGGTATAGTTTAGACTTGAATTATCTCAAAAGTGATAGGTTAGTGTACGTAGATCTTGTGATAACGAAGTTTAATGTAGACGTAAGTTGGGGTAATTCGAAGAAGAAGAATCAACGGGAGACATGACTTGTGAAATAGAAACAGTGAGTTTAAGTATAATGGACTCAGCTTCCCACTCAAGGAATACATTTTATCTTGCATTTCAAGAGGCTTTGTTAGATGAAAGAGCAAGTCTCTAAGGTCTACAAGTCCCCCACATAAGAGAGCTCTTCTATAGCCGGGGACTAGCTAACTCGTAAGGCAAATTTGAGGTGCAGATTTTTCCCAGAATAAATGATAAACATGAATTTTGACAGTTCTATTAGTGATAGGAACCCTTATGAAAGGAATAAAAATTCAATTTAAAGCTGTTAACATTAGTTTTCTCAGTTCTGTGCCATTACACCAGGTCCAGGCGGAGCCCCTGACCAGTTACTCTCCACCTCGAGATCTTGTTCGAGATAGTCTTGACTATATGCTCTAGATATCTTCCATACCTAGCTGAGAATAACTCATGATGAATAAAAAGATAAAAGCGGCAATGCGCAAGTATAAGGAGGAACGACCTAATTAGATTTTGGAGACTTCTGCCAATATCATGCCCGTAGCCAATGAGACGTTGGACCGTTGGACCCACTTTGCATCATTAGCGAGTGCGCCTACCGACCATCTTATTTAGTAACTACAACTTAAGACTACTCTATGGAAGACACCGCTTTTTACACCCACAAATTCATAATTGCAGCTCGATATGATTGAGTTTGAGGAGAGGTCCCAAGCCTTTCTGTCCTGGCTGTCTACATCGTCTGTATCGCTCAACAGTAAGATTTCCTTGGCAGACCTTCGGAGCCAACATGCTGGGCGAGGTGTTGGTAAGTCTTGCAAAACGAAGAAGCTCTTCCCTTCATAATTACTTTTGACTTCCAGATGAGCTCTGACTGACTCTATGTAGTTGCCACAAGCGACATCATTGAAGACGAAATTCTCTTCACTATCCCTCGCGAGGTCATACTCATTGCTGAGAACTCAGACCTTTCGGCAAAGCTACCGCAAGTTCTAGAAGAACTAGATTCATGGACCGCACTGATCCTTGTCATGATGTACGAGCACCTGAAAGGTTCCGCTTCACCCTGGAAACCATACTTCGACGTCCTACCTCTGACTTTTGATACTCTCATGTTTTGGACACAAGAAGAGTTGGAAGAACTACAAGCCAGTGCAGTCAGAAACAAGATTGGGAGGGATTCGGCAGACAAGACCTTCCGCGAAACGATACTACCTATATTTCATTCGAATGGCGCCATCCTCTTCCTGAATGGCAACTTCATATCCGATGAGGAGCTGCTCAGCCTTGCTCACCGCATGGCCTCAACCATCATGGCCTACGCTTTTGATATAGAGAAGAAAGACGGAGACAAAGAGTTTGATGAGGAAGGATACACTTCTGATGAGGATGATGAGGTCCTTCCGAAAGGAATGGTTCCTCTAGCCGACATGCTCAACGCAGACGCCGATCGAAACAATGTAATTTTGCCCGATTCTCTACCCACGAAAACTTACTCATTGAACGCAGGCCAGACTTTTCTACCAGGAAGATGCACTAGTGATGAAGGCCATCAAGCCTATAGCTGCGGGTGAGGAGATCTTCAACGATTACGGCCCGCTACCCAGATCAGATCTGTTGCGCCGCTACGGATACGTCACCTCGAACTATGCCAAATTTGACGTTGTTGAAGTCTCGCATGAGATCCTAATTGATACTGTGGCCCAAAATGGCGCGATATCACGCGAAGAGATAGATTCTAGAGTATGTGTGATCTTTGCCTTGGTGTCACCTATGCCGAGCCCCGCTAATCATCATGTAGCTCGAGTACCTTGACGGCGAGGGGATCATTGACACAGGCTATGATATTTGCCGACCAGTCCCCGGAGAGCCGATACAGGAAATCTTCTCGCCTGAATTGCTCACAGTTATTGCGGCTCTTTTGATGCCTACCGCAGACTTTGAGCAAATGAAGGAGCGCGGGAAGCTCCCTAAGATTGGGAGTATATCTTCGAAAGTAGCCAGCCTACTGTCGAAGCTAGTAAGGAATCGTGCAATGCAATACGCGACAACCTTTGAGGATGATGAAGTCGCACTCAGCTCACTGCTCGCAAGTCATACTCAAAATAATCTATCACGCCATTCATACCGAATGCAAATGGCACTGGAAGTCCGACTAGGTGAGAAGTCTGCACTCAGAGAGGCTGAGCAAATTCTACAACGACTGGAAGCCACCGCGATCGAATCGGAGAAAGATCATAAACGTAATCCAAGATTTCACACTGATGATGGATCAAGCAAAAAACGTAAAGTTGGCTAAGCGTGCAGCGTATGCGATAGATCTTACGTCTCAGTTCTACTGACAAAAATCACGACTTTTCGGCGTGATAGCCGACCCGTACCTACTACAGAGTACATCCGCATCCGATACACAGGCCAAAGTTCTCGCTCGCAACTGCCACGAACACCATCGCTGGTTAGCCGCTGCCATTCAGCAAGCTGATGACAACTCTCTAATGTACATACAAAATTGCCTCCCACGCCAGTATTGAACATGAGCAAAAACTCCGGGCTAAAACACAGGTGGTATCTTGTAGCAGAACAACATCCAAAAGGAAGAGATGATGGGAATGGGAATAAGGGAAGAAACAATAGGCGAGACCATGTTCATGTGAGCGTGTGTAAAATGTTGCCCACATGCCGATCGATAGTTACGAGGCGGCTGGTTGTCCTTTCGCAATCGAGACTTTGAACTCGTCTTCTTCACCGAAACTACATTCGCCTGCGAGTAAACGATGGGAATCGGTGGTTGAGAGAATACTCAGGCTGGTGGAGGTATCAAGTGTTGCCCAGACGCTGATCGATGATGGCCAGGTGGCTGTCCGCCTTGACTTCTTCGTAATTGAAGAGTCGAAGTTGACCTCTCCATGAGGACTCTGTACTTCATATGTGAGTCCGAATGTGGATCGATAACGTAGAGCTCTTCGTCCTCGTCGCTGTCTCTATCATATTTAAACCGGTCGAATGTGCGATGAGCATCATGGTCGCTTATCTGACGCTTAGCCGTAGGTCGATCGTACATTTCTAGATCGCCAAACGACCGCTTAAGTGCCCGCTGTCCAGGGTACAGCGATTTGCTTTCTTTGTGAGACGGGGAAGTGTAGGCTCTCGGAGCATAGAACTCATTGGCATTATCACGATCTCGCTGAATGCCTCGGCGATCAATCATGACACGGCCACCACGACCAGTACGACGCCGAAATGAAGGTCGCTTTTCTGGATTTTCCCAGGGAGGAACGCGAGACGTTTCATACTGCACGTCAAAAGAATCTCTACGACGTTTGCCTACAGTTGTCTCATCAATGTCCATGGGCTCACCTTCCTCGGAGGCGGGTGGAGTCGGTAATGCGACTACGATTGCAGGCCTAAATGTGGATTTCAACGATTGCTCTAAAGGAGGAGTTATTGGTCGCCAAGTCATATCGACGTATCCCTTGTTCCAATCTTGATGCTTGTTCAAGTTGTCATCGATAAACGATGTGATCGATTCCTTCTTTCTTGCCTTCTGGTCTTGCAGGGAAAGAAGATCGGAGTCGAAAGGACGACCGTCAGCACGTGGCAAGGGCGTCTTCACACCCAAACCTGGTACACCACGCTGTGCCATATTCGGCTCGGCCTTGGGCTTGGGCTTCTGTGCAGGCTGGAAGGTGTCAACAATCTGTGACTGTGATATGGTCTGCCGGTACTCACTTTCTGGTTGATGAGGTCGTCATCGTCGCCTTTAATGTTAAGGGTTCGTCTCATCTCCCTGACGGCCTTCCTTTGCAGGAACACGTCTCGCTCGAGCAGAAGCGCCTTATGATCTGTTTGCACCTTGATAACAGTCTTGCGCATGAGATCTCGAGCCTGCTCAAGTTGCCACCTTAATGTATTGCACTTTTCAGTGGCTTGTGCATCTCGGCCGCGAGTCTTCCGTGTCTGCCGGACCTCTCTGCGTCTGAAGCAAACATAGGGGTCTGCGTCGTCCGTTTCTACATTGGTCTCAAATTTCAAAGATGGTGACAATGAACGATTACCGTTCGCTACCCTCCTTGACTTCCAATGCTCATATACCACTTTGGCGAATGTCCGAGCTTCCTCGGGAACTTCGTCGCTCATCGCTGCTTCCACGTCGTCATATGAAAGTACTGGAGCGTTACTGACAGCAGCATAAGGCTGTTTCGAAGCAGCTGTCTCTTCAAACGAATTCATCAATATCTCGAACTCATCCACGGTGCATTTCAACTTTTCGTTCCTCTGGTTCGCAACCTTCAGAAATACGAAATCACTGTGGTCCGCAGTGTATGGACATCCCGTTCCGTCCTCAACGGTCGAGGAGGTACGAATGTAAGTTGCAGGCTGTTTGAAAGCTTTAGGATAAAGCTTGTCGTACTGCTTCTCATTCTGCACAACATCAGGAGTAGGTATGTAAAGTTGTGCAACCTTGCCACCCACGGCAGCAGCGGCAGAAGCAGATATCACAGCTTGCAGATGATGTTCCTGTTGGCTGTCAACGATAGGCATCTTAAAAATTATCAGGAGCTATTACGCACAGTCTCTTCAGCCTTTTCAACACCAGTTTCTACTCTTGGGACATGCCTTTGCGCTTCATCATCGACGAGACCGTCAACTTCGCTCTCTCGCAATACTGGCAAGCTCTGCTTTGTGGAAAGCTTGCGCTGTCGAAAGCGCTGGCCAGTTACTCGCTGCGCCATGATAATGTGGATAATCTGCCTGCCTGGATGCCTGAGTGTCTGAGGCAGAAATAGAACGAGGCAAAGGTGAAAGCCAAGGTTTAACGATCATCAAAAGCGATAGCAAGTTATTGTATTTATCGTGAGTCTCGAAGACAGCTGTGAAGACAATAATGTTTGCAGCTTGATGACTGCGCAGTATGGCTTTGATGGAAAGTTGCGTTGGAATAGAGGTCTTGGCGGAGTTGGATGCAGAATTTGGTGAGGTCGAGGTGAAGTTTTCACCGTTGCAGCGGGAGAGGAATGGGCCTCAGATGGACGACCCAAGCGACCATCAAACGCGTTGCCAGCTCGCAAAACTCACCAAACTTCGTATTACGACGAAACCAGTAGTGCTGAGATGATTTATCGACTTATTTTGATGACCATGACGCGTTGTGGTCGTGATTCTGGATGGAGAAGTTGTCACAAGTAGCTGGGCAATACGGTGGATAGCGCTGAGGCGGGCGGGTCAAGTGGAAGCAGTTGGGAGCCTGGGAGATTGTTTTCGCAGGGTTGGGGTTGGCACTTGCACTTGCTGGCTGGGGCCTGGGGCGGGCGGTCGTGGGCGTTGGTGACGAACGCGACCTAATACATACAGTACACCAACGCCCCCAAAGCACCCGACGCCCAAATTGCCAGAACCTCTGCGCCCACCTACCCGTACCCTGCCTAATTAGTGAAGGGGCGCCAGATCAAGCAATCGGCACGTGACCTTGTTTTCTTAGCCGACCCGCAACTTACCTGGTTACAGCACCTAAAAGCTCAAAGTGATGGGCTTGGTCGTAGGGCAGCAGGTTAATCTGCTGTTGATAGATGGACGAATATGCAATACCATGTTCAGGTATATGAGGTTCATTGTTAACAAGCAGCTTGCTTCTAGGTCGATTTCACGACTACGCGCCGCCAGCTCACGACTCGTATAATCTTCATCCTTGGGTGCCATGCTGGTACCACATCCAACAATCCTTAAACATTTATGTTGCTGTTAGTGCCATGCAAAATAAGTTGAAGACAAGCCGACAAAGCAATGAATTTCCATTATTGCCACGAAACCTATCAAAGTCCACATCCTACTTAGGAACCTACACAATATATCTTGCGTTTGTTGACTTGAGACACATCTACGAAGCATTTGTCAATTAGACTCTAGAATAGCATAGACAAACGGGACGTCGTCTTATAACATGCAGAACACTGCAGTGACGTTGCTCGCTAAGGTTCCTGGCCGAAACCGTTGTCCCGCCAACAACATCGGTAAATAGTACACTTATATTGCCCTAATCCCTGCATGCAGGTAATTACCCAGTCCTTACATACACCGAATTTAGAATACGCATAACGACTTCATAAATTCCACTCTGAATCTTTCAACCCTACCGTTACCTACAAACATCAGCTATAGTGGTGCAGCCTTTTCTTGCTTTCCATATTCAGCATGTCTTCAACCATCCTTGCCGATCGCGACACCAACCTTCCTCCCACCAATGCCTCAATCGACACTAAGATACAAGAAGCTCAGAAGCCACAGACTATGGAGTATCATCGTCAGGTGTTCGAGAGTCGGCTGAAGAGTGGACAGTAGGTTCGCCTGACGGTGCACCTGAATGATGCAAGACTAATGTGCATTCGTAGGGCTCAGCAGACTTACGTCTCACCATCGGATAACATGCTTTCTCCTGCCTCACAGAAGCTCAAAGACTTCAAGAGCAGACATGGTCTCAAGAAGTAAGGATTGTGTCTGATTGACGCCAAGCACCCGTGTTGACGAAGCTTCATAGGTCCAAGCCGCAGACTCTGTTCGCCAAAACGAGTGCGAAAAAGTTAGAAGCCGCTCGCGACACGCCTATGTTCGCCGATCTCAAAGATGCTGCGAAGCCAATTGACACTGAGAAGTGATGGAATTATCTACACTGTTTCCAACACCACAAAATGATGTGCTGCCTTGGAGTATGATAAAAGGTTGATTGAGCTCCTATTATCCCGCGAGCCATACATAGGAACAATAAAATGCGAGGGATCGGCGTTGCACGGGTTCGGTATAGGTTTGGTCCTCATGATGTACCATAGACAACCATGAATACTGTTGGTGGACACGTAGGGTCGTTAACGAAATTCTGCATTAGACATAAGACTACAGACTGCTGAGACGCAACAACATATATTCAAGAGTCTGGTTACATCATTGAATACTGCTGAGGAGACCTGTAGAAACTAACCTGGTATTAAAGCTTATCTAGTCTGGGTCCTGCAGCCGAGATCCACCGGGCTCTCGACCGTCCATATCTCCCACACTTCAGCTATACGGAATTTCCAATCATCCCAGACCACAAGGATAACATGACATGACATCCGGAATCGATAGTTCCCCTGAGATCATCTCTCAGGATGTCTCCTCCAGTTCAGAGAGACAGATGTCTCAAGCTGAAATAAGTGATTCACGGATCCCCGCTAGCTCCGCTGTCTGCCTTCCCAACTTTACAGGTGCATTACATGGTGGATATATCTCAGTCGGACTCTAATTTCATATGCAGCACTCCACTCGCTAGTACTTCTAGCTGATTCTGCCCTTCCTCTGGGCTCCTTTGCATTCAGTAGTGGTCTAGAGTCTTATCTTGCCCATCGCACAAACAAGTCATCATCTGGTAGCAATGGAGCTGCGTTCCATTCATTTCTGCGTCTATCGCTCTCAACTCTGGCGAGCACAGCTTTGCCCTATGTCTTTACGGCATACCGAAGGCCTTCACGCCTAGAGGATCTCGATAACGACATTGACGCCAGCACTCCATGTACGGTAGCTCGTCGCGCAAGCATCGCGCAAGGACGAGCCCTGCTCAGTGTTTGGGAGCGGAGCTTCAAGCCTCACTATGGCGAAGCAAAGGATGAGGCGCTGCGACCAGCCATCGATGCTCTCAAAGCCTTTCAGTATAAGTTGCGCAACGCTGTTGAGGATATACCGGGTCTAGGGATCAATGCACACCTTGCACCGATCTGGGGAGTTGTCACGAGAGCCATGGGTCTTTCCTTACAGGACTCAGCATACATGTTCCTATTCTCTCATGCCAGGACCGTGATCAGCGCCGGTGTGCGTGCGAGTGTGTTGGGACCTTATCAGGCACAGCACGTGCTTGCCATGCCGGAGTTGCAAGAGATAATCAGGACATTGTTAGAAGCGACGTGGAATACAGAGGTAGAAGATGCTGGACAGACGATTCCTGCCATGGATCTTTGGATTGGCAGGCATGAAAAACTGTACAGTAGGATATTTAATTCATGACATCGCAAATCGAGGATTGAATTCTGTCTTGGAACTGATGAACACCTGAACACCGTGCAATGGTACCATCGCTCCAGCCCGTGTATATCTGGAAACCTTCCCATGGTCGTTCTAGTAATAGCGAGCAGCGCTACAACCTTCTCCGTCCGGATTTCGCCAGCTTGTCGCCCGGCTTGTGTCGTGACTTGAAGGCGATCGTGTTTCTCGGCTTCTTGTACTTCGAGATTCTTTTCTCGACGCGTCCGCCTTTCTTCTTGGAGCTTGATGATCCCGTAGTGGTTTTCTTCTCACCATCGATGTCCATTGCTAGACGGAGTAAGTATACATCACCTTATGCTTCTATGCATCATCTTACCTTCACCCTCGACATCATCTGCATTTTTCTTCTTGGTTTCTTCAATGGAATCAGCGCAAATATATATCTGAAACTCCAGAATCTTTGACTTACCCTCAGTCTCGACATCCATCTCATCCCGCTCCGGCTTTGGCTGCTGTGCCAGTTCTAGCAGTTTTGCCGAAAGCCGCTCCGTGCGGGCATCTTCGACAGGACCAAACGTCTTCTTCCTCAATTTCGTGTTGTTTGACTTAATTCTGCTAGATCTGAGACCCTTCGCCATTCTGAAAAACGATTGGGGATTATGAAAGGAGCGCGATTTGCAATGTTCGAAATTAATTTTGGTACGAAATTTGAATCTTATCGATAAGCTTACGCACTAGCACCGTGGCTGTGGAAAGCGAATCCAACCTCTTCTAGCTTGAAGAATTGGTGATGTAGGAGGCCACAACGTCACCACTCTCTACAGTTTAGACACAACCTGAAATGTTACCCATATATCCGCTTGGAAGTTTCAAAGGAAAGAAAACGAGGAAAAATTTGAAGAGGAGCTCGTGTTGTCGGTTCCAGAATATATCCGAATTCCGTGATACTGCTGTTAGATTGTGTGTCCTGAACAGGGTTAGCAAAGTGAAATTTATCGCTTGAACTGTGCCAATGGCTTGCGATCATCAGACTCGATTACTCTCCATAGTGAATCAAGTCTTTAGCACTGTTGTCAAAGGGGGAGTCGTAGTGTTTCGGGCAGGCTACGGCCTCCCTCTTAACGCCGCTGCTATTCTTTCCTCCGCGCATCGCTCTCTGCATTTCACCTCTCGACCCGACCGCCTCCAGGATTGTGCGACAGAGCAAAAGGCCACGGAACCATCGAAGTCCGCGTCGGAAGTCTCTCGAAAGCAGTTCTCATGCCTCTCGCTAATGAGCCTCGACTTGACCGGATTGCTACTTCTCACGTTTGCTTCGTCGATCGCGAGCGTGGACCATAGTCAGCAATGGCGACAGCTGGACCGGGACTAGCCAGTCATGCTCAGGCTCTGACGCAGAGGATCCAAAGGTTTACGAACCCAGAACTGAAGGAAATTTGCAGAAGCGAGAATCTACAAGTATCTGGTACAAAAGCCGTGCTTCAAAGGCGGATAGGCGATCGTACGTTGGCTAAGCGGTAACAACCTGTCTATACGGTCACCATGCTAATGAACAAACTAGATATCAGTTTACTTGTCGCGGAAGGCAACGCTATCCGTTTTGGTAATCTACGTAAAAGAATCTATGATATAGCCGGAGGGCCCCCGCCAGCACCTATACATTCCACGATGCCACCACACGCGCCCCACGGTCGCACCGTGGCGAATAGCCAATATGGCCCACCACTTCCTGCTTCTGGCCGGTCGCAGTTTCACTGTATGTTCATTCTGGCGTCTTGAGAAGGACATATGAGACTGATTGGTATCTACAGCAAGAATGATGTTCAAAGATTCTCCGTTCATAACGAGACAACAGCTTTTGGCGCAACCGCTACACCTATCAGGTATGTTTACCAACAGCACATATCGGCAACAGAGACAGTTCCTAATGAGATGAGCAGCCACACCGTCCGGTAAAGGATCTTCCTCGACGCCGATTACCCTGACAGGAGAAATTGCACTGCGCTTCAAAACAGAGGGGGATCTGAAGATATTGATATATGCGGCACCGGATAGCCCGCTTGGAGGCCAATATACCCATACTCTAGTGGATATTGCCTTTCCCCAACATATCGAAGTCAGGGTTAATGGAGATGAGGTGCGGCATAATTTCAAAGGGCTTAAAAACAAGCCCGGCTCAACGAAACCAGCCGATATCACGGACAAAGTCCGAAAAAACGAAGGCTATAAGAACACTCTTACAGTCACGTATGCGTACACGGACAAGGCAAGTCACCCGCCGTCGCCAACAAAACAGGTATGTTCAAGGAGACGATGCGTGCTGTGAACCTCGAACTGCACTCATATGTTTTCTGAACATAACTTATTACGTTTGGCATACCAAATCTTTTTATACTAATAATGTGTAGAAATGGGTGTTCGAAGCACATCTTGTACGCAAGCACACAGCTGAAAGTCTTGCTAAACGAATTGAGCAAAAGGGTGTATTCACGAAAGAAAAGGTCCTGAGAGATAGTAAGTAACCAGATCCTTGGGCCGATATGTACTTATGCAGGATACAGTGCAAAGGAAGGCAGAGGACCCAGATATTATCGCAACGTCAAGTGTAATGTCCCTGAAGGATCCAGTATCCGCGTCACGCATCACATTACCCTGCCGGTCAAACGTCTGTTCGCATAATGGCTGTTTTGACGCTACTTCATTTCTTCAGCTTCAAGAGCAGGCGCCAACCTGGGCATGTCCACTGTGCAATAAGGCGATATCATATGAAGCTTTGGCTATCGATCAGTATGTTGTTCAAAGTCTGACTACTTCCTTCATTAACGCAACGACTAGATATTTCCAGGAAATTCTGCAAAAGACGTCGATTTCAACAGAGCAAGTCACGATCGAGCCTGATGGCCGATGGCACACCGGGGCAACGGAAACGCCCAATACAAGAAGCAACGGAAAACAGCCGATGCAGACTAACTATGATGACGAGGACAGTGATGATCTTGTGGAGATAACAGATCTATACATCAAACCGGCATCATTGTTAATCAAGGACGAGGCCTTCGACAGGCCCAGCAATGCTCTACTCGCCAGCACGCCTCCAATGTCTGCTCGAGTGTCAGCAGCCCCAGGAACTGGATCTGGGACCCCTCGAAGTGGCGGTAACGGAAACAAGAGGAAAATTGAAGTAATTGATCTCACCTTTTCAAGCGATGAAGAAGCTCCTCCGCCAAAGCGGCCTGCTGCTGATGCAACACGAAGGAGCATGAATGGGCTCAACAGTCCGTACACGAATGGGAGCTCTGGCCGTACGTCAAATGGCTCTACATCGTATAGCACGCATGCGCACTCAAGACCATCTAACACTGGTATGCCGTATCGCGAGCGCTCCCACCATGCCTACACTCCTCCCACCTTGCCTCCTCCCCCTCCACAAACCATTCCTCGCGCATCGGACTATTCATCTGCCAACTACAGATCTCCGCCCCCGGCCCATCGATCGTATTACTCTCCGCAGCAGTACTAGGAGCTTGCCGCTCAGACATATGCCCTTTACTAACAGTGTTTGGTATAGGCTGAGGAATCACTAGGATTTTTCTCAACTTTCCCTTGTCGTGGTTTCATCTTATTGCATGTGCAATATAGGCTTTCACGGTGCGATTTCATGGACGGCAGGAGTATCAGCATGGCGTTAGGCACAGCACATTGGACCGGAGAATCGCGGCGCACTTTTTTCAAACTATATATCTTTGATGACCGGGTGGGCTTCGTCTTTCTCGATCTTCGTTGCGGATGTTTCACATATCTTGAGGCCTGGAGGATGGCTACGGGCCCTGTTCCCGACGTGAGATGCCAGCGGCGCGTTTTTCAGGGGGGAAACGGTTGTAAAATGATTGATTCACTCATGTTCTACTATAATGGTTTTATGGTGTAATCGAATCCTCGTTCTATGCTGCCCTTTTCGACTTTTACGTCGGTACCCTCCCTGTTCTCCTTATATACGCCTTTTTCCTTCACACGTTCGTCAACCATCCATCTATCCCACCGCACCTTATATCATTCACACCAAAGCTCCTCCCACGGAAAGCCCGTCACCCACACCGCGAAGCGCAGCAAGAGAAGCAACAGCAAACGTGACATTCGCCGCCACACCCGCGCCCGCGCCCATCGTTGTTGTTGTCGTCGTTGTCGTAGCCGTCGTCGTCATCATCATCGTCATAGCAGCCACATGCGCTGCCGCAGCTGACCGAAGCACCAGCACCGCCAACTGAGCGAGCGCAAGGACAAGCACGAGCACGGTAATGTATCCGATGGCGAAGATGGCAATGTCGCGCAGGATGGTGTGTATGGCGGTGCGTAGGGCGCGTATGCTGGCGTGGATGGTCGCGAACATGGATCTGGCGATGGGTGCGAGGATGGGCGAGAGAAGGAGGGAGAGGAGGAGGCTGGTGTGGTTTGTGGTGAGCATTTTTCTATTGGTTTTGTTGTTGTTTTGTTGTTGTTTGGGGTTTTTTTATGGATGGTGCGTTGGTGTATCGTGAGGTGTGTTGAGAGATTAACGGATTTACGTATTGACGGAATGAAGGTGTCGGTGAACGAGTGGACGCAAGTATGGACTTGCTCGATTTGTTGGTGAGGAGTAGGGGGAGAGGAGAAACGAAGTGAACTTTGTGGAGGATGCAGAATATGTTTATATCAATACACGTGGCTCATTGGATTATCTATTGACTGCTGATATTCTCCGCAAACGGGGGCTGGGTGTTGCCATGCGCGCCCACGGAGAAATGTGAGCCAGTGCGAAGCTGCATATTCTATTAATATTTGGCGGACATCCTCGTTACGGTCATTAAGTTTCCCCCCTCCTTCGCTTCGTTATAGTCAAGTACATGGCCAAGTCCGACTCTACTGGTTCTAGCCTCAGCCTCCCGAGTTCTCATTCTCATGGCCCGAGTCCTAAAAGATCATAACTTGGACTGAATACCCACATCCCTCGTCGTACGGAGCTCGACTGCCAAATAGCCACCGAGTGTCCGAACCATATGATTGTGGAAATATATCCAACCAGCCTCCAAAACCTGTTTGGCCGGAGACCAAGTGCTTTCCCGAGTTTGATCACATGATCTTCGATAAAGATCATGACGGCCTGCGACATGAAAAATTCAAATTCGCGGTTAGTGGAGAAGTCCCGGTGCGTGAGCATTGCGGCAAAGCCATGGATGGCGCCGGTGACCAGAAAGCCGGCGAAGAGCTGCGTGTACCTGGACCCAAACGTGCCTTTGCGGAAGCGGAGCACGTCGCGTGCGAGCCAAGTCCCGATGCTGGAGGCTTGCTTTGTGTATTGTTAGAGAAATGTGCCGTGGTAGGTCTGTTGACTGGGACGGAGGGGCCGGGGAGGAGACTTACACGTCGCATCATCATGTGCCATACGGTGCCCCAAGACTTGCGCACGGTGTACATTTCTTTTATATCGCCGAAAGCTGGGAGGCATTCCTCCACGGGGTACCCGCATAGTACGAACAGGATATTCAATATGGAGATGCCCGACTCGACACTTACGTATATGACGGTGATGTTTACCCAGCACAGCGCGAAGCTTTCTGCCCATGACGCGTTCTCGAGTCCTACGCTTGGCTTGATGTGCTCGTTTCCTTTGTATACGCCATAGGGGGTAGTCGCGAGATAGGCTACGATTTGGTCTTGCACGAAGAAGAAGACTGCTGCGCGGACAAGCTTGTTGAGGATGAACTTGCTGCGGAATATGAGTCTCATGTGGGACTTTGAAGTGACGGGATTCAATACTGACCTAAGAGGATATCCTGGTGGATAAGAGCGAGGGGCCTTCTCAGGTTGGTGTGACCAGCCAATACCTCGCGTGTTGAATTGCATTCGGAGTGCAAACCAAAACCTGGCGAAGAAGCCTTGTGGAACCTCATCTGTGTCTGCTTTTGTGGCCTGAACTGTTCCTGCTTGGTGAATCTTGTGCCATCTCTCTTTGTCAGGGCTGGCCAAGATGATCCAGTCGAAGTAAATAAAGCATAGTTGTACGAGCCAGTTGTTCATGCCATACTCACGGGCATAGGATGACAGGTGCTCTCGGTGCACAGCCTGTGCCACCAGAGGTACTAGGAGCGGTAGAGTAAGACATACTCGATTTAGTCCCGGATGAAACGAAAAGGCAACGAACAAAGTCAAGTAGAACAAAGGGATGTGAGATGACTCAGCAAAGATGCCAAGGATGTATTCAAACATTTTGATACGGCTGTCGAGGAATCCAGGAGGCACAGACTACCGTACACCATGGTGGCTATAAGTATATATATGTAGTGCATCGTGGAGACTATTACACCAGATGTCAGATCAGATGGCAGACCAATTGAAACATACAGTGTGGGATCAGATCATGCTAACTGTCAACGCCAATATTACCTAGAGAGGTAAACGAGCTGCGGGCGCAGTATACGTCGGGTTGATCGCGATAACTCAGGGCCCCTGTTACATTATCCCATACCAATCCTAGAGCCTTTGGTGTCTTGGTACTGGACGTAAAGACGCCTGCACCTGCAAGTTCGCTTCATACCTTGCGTGTCTTGCCATTACTACCAAGTCATTACTTGGATCCTGGACGCCAAACAGTCCCGATTACGACGTCGTTCCCAACACGGGAGGCCATTTCCTGCAGATGCTGCAGATGCTGCAGAAGGATCGCAAACATTACCAGCCACCTGGTCAGCTTTAGCTCTTTGGCTGCAGAATGTATGTCTTCCAATGATATACGAGCTTGTATAGATAAGGGGGGAGGACTTCATGTTTGGGCTAGGAGGCAGAGGTCCAAGTGTAAAGAGGAGCTAAGGTGACCGACTCCCGGCTATCCATCTAAGTACAATGTGTAGGCATGTTTTGATAGAAGAAGGATGAGGTAGGAAGACGTCATAGTGGCAGGAGGGTTGGATGTGGTTGTGGTTATATAGAGAAGCACCGATATTGATAGAGTTCAGCTAGTTGCCTATCTAATTGCGTATGGATCTATGATATGTCTTGCAGGCATTCGGGTGTTATAGAGCAGGGGTTCTAGTCTTGTTCCAACCTGTTACCATACCTTGTCAGGTTAGTCAGCAGATGAAGTGGTTAGCGTATCCCCAAGTGAGTCCAGCGCCAAAACAACCCCAACAACCCCCAAGGAACCCCACACTTTGCAGCCTAAAAAGGACGGAAAGGGCTCCCGTCTTGGCCCACGCTCGCGCCCACGCAGGCCCGAAGGTTCAAGGTTTGACGCCCACGCCGGCTGCCGACAGCCTTAGCCTTAGCCCTCGTCCTCGCTATTTCTAGGGCACTTGCTTGTGGGTGGCAGCTAATTACTGACTAGCCTAGAGGGGCCAGGATTATTAGCTAGCCTGCGCTTCAATCGTCGCCGCCCCGTTAACCCGTTGTCCCAGATCCCATCCTCTTGTGACACTGCAACCTCATCTCTCTCACCACCACCTTCATTGGCTTCTCATCCATATCCTTTTCATCGCTGTCGCTCCGTTCATCATCGCTGTCGTCCTCGAGACGCCTGTCGCTGTCGACAACGCTTCCCGTCCGTCAAACTCTGCCTTGTTACGTGCATCAGGCGCGTCCTCGGCCCGTCCGCCTTGCGCTGCAATTGAAGTCTCTTTACCAAAGAGCACCACCTTCTCGCCTCGATCCAACAAACACCGCAAACGAGCTGTCATATCAGCTGATTCTCTTCGGACTCTCGAGCTGTAATCGCCGCAGGCACTATTTCAGCATAGAACGCGCGATCGAGCCTACGATCAACAACACGACAAGATGTACAACGCCCACCGCGGCATGCCTGTACCAGGTGCGCCTGCAAATGGGCGTCTGAACGAGTTGCTGGACCAAGTGCGCCAAGAATTTGAGAATGAGGCAGCTCGCAACGTGGATTTTGAAAGACAAGGTAAGCGACGATCGGATTGACCGCAGGTACGGACGTTGATTGCTGATCTCGATGCGCGTTTAGTTGCACAGCAGGTCAATGAGATGGAACTCATCCGCCAAAGAATCTTCCAGCTCGAACAGCAACAGGTTCAAGTCAAAGAAAAGTAATACTGCCACTTCTCGATATATGATCGCACATCATCTAATCGTGTCATCAGGTATGACGCCGACCTCGCGCGCCTTCAGAGAGAGCTCGATGCTCGTGGAGGACCAAGTCACCTCGCTCAGCACGGCAGCTCGCAACATGGTGGTCCATCGCAACCTCAGCCCCCTCCGTCAATCGGTCACGGTCCTTCAAATCTTTTTGGTGGAATCATGGCCGGAGGTTCTGGACCTGGTGGTCAAGGACTCGCGCCGCCTCCCCAAGAGCCTCAGGGTCCTCAAGGCCTCCCACCACATATGCCACAGGGACCACCAGGACTCAACCCTGCGCCAGGTCCTCCCCAGCATGCTCCATTTCCCGGATATCAGCAACCGGGCCCGGCAGTGAATGGTAAGCACACTCCTTTCTTTTCTCTCCAGTCTGCATATTTGATTCCGCAACCTACCGATGCCAATAAAGGCAATACTGCGGTAGGAGTGCTGATTTTTGATGCGCTTCAGGCTACGGCTCTCATGCGTCACATCCCATGTCGTCTCCTGGAGCTAAACATCGTCTAGGTCGAGGAGGTCCCCCCGGAGGTCCTGCCACTCCGCAGCAAAATCCTTCCAACCCATATCCTGCCTCGCCCACAGTTCCTAGGCCACCACCAACCCCGAGCCACCCAGCCAGCTATCCGGGCATTCGTCACCTCCCTGATGTCGGGAATACATTGGCCGACTTGCATCCCCAAGATCTGCCAGACGAGCTGAAGCGGGAAGGCCAAGACTGGTTTGCTGTGTTCAACCCAAACACCAGGCGATCCCTTGACATTAACCTGAAACATACCTTGCCACATCAAAGTGTGGTTTGCTGCGTACGCTTCAGCCATGATGGCCGTATGGTTGCGACGGGTTGCAACCGCTCAGCTCAGATTTTCGATGTCGAATCTGGCAATTTGATCCATCATCTACAAGACACGTCTATCAACGACGAGGGCGATCTCTACATCCGTAGCGTCTGCTTTAGCCCCGATGGGAGGTTCCTCGCGACGGGTGCCGAGGACAAGGTCATCAGGGTATGTTTCCTTCTATACTGCGTCGAGGCTTGATGGAAATACTAATATACCCTAGGTTTGGGATATTCACGCACACACCATCAAAACCTCTTTCACCGGCCACGAGCAGGACATATACTCACTTGAGTTCTCTCGAAATGGTCTGCTCATTGCCTCTGGCAGTGGCGATCGCACAGTCCGTCTTTGGGACCTCGAACAGGGCACTCAGAGAATGCAATTCACCATTGAAGATGGCGTCACCACTGTCGCCATATCCCCCGATAACCGTTATGTCGCTGCCGGATCTCTTGACAAGAGTGTAAGGGTCTGGGACACGACCAGTGGGTCATTGGTAGAGCGCCTTGAAGGTGAAAATGGCCACAAGGACAGTGTCTACTCAGTGGCCTTTGCGCCAAACGGTCATCAGCTTGTCAGTGGCAGTCTAGACAAGACCATCAAGATGTGGGACTTGAGTCAACCCGCACCCCGTCTCATGCAACATGCCGCGAGACCCAGTGGTAAATGCACACGCACTTTCGAGGGACACAAGGACTTTGTGCTCTCTGTGGCTGAGACGCCTGATGGCGCGTGGGTTCTTTCTGGCTCGAAAGATCGTGGAGTCCAGTTCTGGGATCCAAACACGGGCGTGGCGCAGCTCATGCTTCAGGGACATAAGAATTCTGGTGAGTTCACAAAAGCTTGAGGCGGCGACCTTGAGAGTGCACTCGGCGTGAGAACGGGCTAACAATCCATTCTTTAGTGATCTCAGTCGCTCCAAGTCCCATCGGGGGCCTCTTCGCCACTGGCAGTGGTGACATGCGTGCGCGCATTTGGAGGTCAGTAATTTCTTTACGTTCTGCCCTACATTTCTTCCGATCATTATCATCGGCATCACTACTTATCTCCTTGCGATTCTGTTTCCCTCTCTACCTTACGCCGCTCAATCTTCCCCTTCCTATTCTGTACAAGCGCCTCGACCCTGGCACAGCTACTTGTCATCCTCGTCCCTGTCCAGCACGATGACCCCCAACGTGGGTTGTTGGTGGTGGCAGTTGCACAGAGCCCGATATATGGTGACCGTAACACATCGCCTACTCTTCCACGGTGACTTGTTACTCACTTTGTTCTCGCTGCTATGGAACGAGCATCAAGCAAGTAGTTGGGAGTTGGTCAAGTTGTCATCCTTGTTCGATACCTGTCCAACTCGCTCATCGTTGCCACACTCCACGGCTGCTGCTGTAATTGTTGGCCGCCTCCTGCAGCGGATGGCCTCCTCGATGATCGCGGCACATGTCAGCCTCCATCGATATTCATCTTCTTTTTGTTGTCATTATCCTGTGTCCTCTTATTGGTTACATGTGTCGCTGGTATTTGCTAACTAGCCTGCAACAGTTACGAGAACTACCGAGGACCTCAAGGGCCACCTCCGCAGTAAACACCTTCAACAAGCTACTTACTCGTTGGAGAGTCGGGACGGCACAGATCAATCGAACACGAACGATGGCTTCTTCGCCTGTTCTACCCACTGTATCTCTATTCAGCTCCTTCATCGCCATATTTTGCGCAATACATGTGCAGCCGTGTCAACACCTGTCTTAACTATGGTCTCCCACCACTAGACCTGGACATTTGCATTGAGCTTCAAATCTGGCAAGCGAACTCCACTAATTACATTATTCGATTGGTTTTTGGGCCCATCACTTTTCGAGCCAGCATTTGGAACAGCAGTGGCGCAATACGGATCATCCGAGGAATCTGTTTTGGATCTCGCTAAAATCGACACTTATTAAACAGTGATGAAGGATATCCTCCACCACAATGGCGGGGATGTGTGCACAATGTGCGCCATCTGCCGTCGTTTTATATATGCAGGTGCTCGAGGAGAGCAGGATTGGCTGGCGATACGATTATATCTAAAGGGCTTGACTTTTGAGGGTTGACTACTTCCGTAGTTGTGTTATAGATGGTTTATTATTCTTTTATGTGCATGCTGTTTTGACGTCCGGGTCTCCGTGTCCGTGTGTTTGTGTGCCTGTGGCTCTGGCACATGCGGTTGTGTATGTGAACAAGAGTTCGTCTGGCCTCCACTCTAGACGGTTTTGGCCGGCTGTGGAATAGGACCCGCCTATTGCACCGAACGAACAATATTCCTCTTCATCCTCCACACTCCACACAGCTCCATGTTGAAATCCTGTCTCCACTCGCCCCTATTCATCTCTCACTCGTACTCTCCTGTCTGTGTCTCAATACATATACACAGACACAGCGCTCCTGGCAACTGATCTACGAAATACTACCCTCCCCCTCGTCTTGGAATATGCGGCCAAATTCGGACCTGTTCATTCCCATGAAAAAAATAGTCTTCTTTTGGATGTGTTGTTGGTTCTGATCTCGGTGCTTGGTGCTTAGGAACACTTTGTTCTGTTTGTTTGTTTGTTTGTTGTCTTGGTTAGGGATGTAGGAATAGTGTAGTCTTGGGTAGGTAGAAGGAGGAGGGGGGAAAGGGAGGAAAGTAAGGAATGGGTAAGAGAGAGAGGATCAGGGGGAGTAAAGAGGAGAAAGAGGAGAAAGAGGAGAAAGAGGAGAAAGAGGAGAAAGAGGAGAAAGAGGAGAAAGAGGAGAAAGAGGAGAGGTAGGTTATGGTGTTATCACTTTCATCTCGCTTCGATTTGAAGGAAGTTTGGGGGGTTTTAAGTGTGTGTGTGTGTGTGTGTGGTGTGTGTGGCGTTGGGTTCAAAGTTATGAATAGGGATTGGCATAGGGGTTGGGATAGTAGAATAGAGGTGGATGTGAGTGGTGTTGAAATACGGAATGAATGAATAGCTACGTGTATTGATCTGTGCACATAAGGTGAATATGTGTGTATCTGGAGTTTTACATATATATACTATACTATATACTACGCGAACTGCAGAGGGCCATGTAGGAATCTCTTCCCTAAGACATTTCTATCTAGTCACTTCGTAATAGAGCGAGTATTCCCAAGGATCGCGATATACATAAATCCACCTTAAAGATACAAATACCAGGTATGTCTGACCACGTACACCACTTTACATGCCACTTCATATCACGTATTATTTACAAGGAAGAGACTTGTCAGCTGTTCCATACACAAAAAGCCCGCCATATACTTGCTGTGTGGAACTGACTGTATGTTCGATGTCCCCGACACTTCGACATATAATCCCTATGAAGCGCAAAACTGTCAGGAGTAGATGAATATGCACGACTGAGAGTGCGAGTGCCAACACAAGAAAGACACCTGGAAATAGCATGGTAGTCGCTGACGCATACACACATCCTCGTCGAGAGGTCGGGGAGCCAGTCAGGCAGATTAAACGGGTAAGTCCCACGCAGCAAGGCGATGTAAGACGCGATTTAAGGCTGGCAAAGAATGTACGTCAAAAGGATGGGCGCATTTAGGCGCGCTTACTGTGCATGCATGCTGATGTGGATGAGGTTGGTGTGGTTGATATGCATGCTTTGGCTGCTATGAATGCTATGGCAGTAGATTTGCTTGGTGATGTTGTTTTCTTACTGGGATGATACTGGGAATACAAGAGGAAGGGGGGGAGAGGACAAATAGATTGATACTGGTATCAGACTGGAAGGTATGCGCGAATGGTGAGGATAGAGTGGTGGTTGAGTTGGGCATTGAGAGGGTAGCGTTACTGCACGGTCATGACTGTGATAGTATTCTGGGATTGCGATCAAAAAGCTATGTCAACACTAATTCACATGTGTACATACATGCATACGGTAGCGCGCATGGCATGGGACGTAAAGGGGGAGAAATGAAGGAGGGAAACAGAGAAGTCACTTTTCCGCCGGGCGAGGCAACAGTGATCATCTCCAATGTCGTGCATGCATTCTGTATGGAGTTGAGGGTTTTGGAAGAAAGTGGAGAAACATCCTTTCTGGGAATGATTGGAATTAGATTGTCGAGTGAGAGATGCTGGCCGTGTGATGGGTTTGCTTGGGAGGGATGGCTTTCCGGGTGTACGACGAATGATGTGGGCGTGTTGCGTATAGACACAGTCAGTGGTGTTTTGGTCTTATTGGGTGGTCTTGATTGGGCGTGTTTGCGTGGACTGTGTGTTGTGCGTGTTTTTCAGGATATATGTTGGGCTCGCGAGTTGGTCTAAGGGAAAGATTAAAATGTGACGAGACTCTGGTGGAGGGGAGTGAAAGGCTGATAGAGAGCGCTGGGAGTGGCAGATAGAACAAGTGAGATCGTGTAGCTGCGCTGATACGAACGGTTAGCTGCTGATTTGGGTGATTCGAGGTGGTTGTTTGTGTGGTTTCTGCATGACGAGTAGGCAATGTTTGCCGTTTCGCGGTGCCATGCATATCGATCTCTTTATTCAGTCAGGTCTTTCAGACAATCGAGCCGACTCGAGCACTCATTGTCTGTGATGTTCCATCAACAGTCTCAATACTGCTCGTTCCTCACCGCGGTCACGTCTGAAGGATAAGACGGCACTGTGCTCGTTGGTCGAAGCCTCACTCTGGATATCCTTGCCCCTTCGCCACTGTGCCGTCCATCATTTCCAGATCCTCCAGTGCTGTCCAAAAGACCCCAGACCGTAACTAGACAGCGAAGAGCCTTGTATTGATGTCTTCGCATTCTCGTCCTCGCCTATCATCACCACTTGCAGACGCACCTTCCAGCATGTATTAAGAGTCAGACATCAAGTTTGACCACGCCTCTCGAGTCATCATGGAGCAGATCCGAGTCATACCCTCCTATCATTCTGCCCAAACATACGCCCCCGATAGAGTGTCGAGGATAGGAGGATAGCATAGTATGGTGCGATCTCGGGCTGCTCCGCGATGCACATCCCAACCGCTGCATTTCCCAAAGACGTCCCTTTCATTCATTCTTTCTCCCTTCACATCTCACCATCTGTACCATGATGTGCTGTGCCCCTCTACTCTACCTACCCATGTCATAAGTGCCGAGTCAACGCGGTGAGTGACGGAGCGGTCATTGGAGGGAAGACGAGATGTGGAGTGCAGTGGACTGGAACGAGGTCGCGTGTCAGCATCTGCGCGGCCGTTGGGCTGTGATGATGAGTAAACCTACGGGACAAGGCTAAGTTAAGTGTTGCAGATCTGGGAATGTACAAGCGATGTCATGACAGTTGGGGTAAACAATGGGAATACATGTCTGGCGGCAGGAGTGCGGTGTTGGGGTCTCAATGCTCTGCAATCCGTTTGCAGTTTCACGTCGAGTAAACACTGCCATCCAGAAGTGTTCCGAGAGACACAATCCATTTATTTCACAGCCAGTGTGATATCTCATCGCGAGGTTGACAACGAGAGAAGGCTGAGAGGACTTTGTCCAGTGTCCAGATTCGTCACATATCGAATGGCGGGCTGTTGGGCTGCGACGTCCCAGCACATAGCGATGCTCGTGACCTATAAGGGCTATGCTAGCGTGGTCCACTTCGCAGCCACCAGAGCGGATAATGAACACAAGATGGGAATAGGACCTGTCAGGATTCACGAGGTGAGTCTGATGAGACTCACCAGCTGTGTGGACCAAATCTCGGCGAGTGAGCGATGAATTTGGGTGTGTCCTTCTACTGGCTACAAAAACGCCTCTCATTTCGATCCGCTCAAGACCATTTAGCAGTATGCAAGTGCAGGTATACAGATTCAACAGATTGTTGGATACAACAGGGATTACAATGGCCGCCAGTCGTATGCGAGGGCCTCAACAGACCGAGTACTCATGCTTCATGCTATACTCGAACACGTCAAGACTTAGTATAGGGTAGTGAACTAATAGTAGGCTACCATTTTTAGAGTGTCAAGGAAGATTCATTCATGCTAATATTCTCCGTGGCCAACGAAGTGGTTAGAGATCATGCAGTCCTGGTGAGTTGTTATTGAGGCGATCGGTGAGTTCTGTAACCCCTGTTAGATGGAGGGCCAGATGGATGGATGGCTACTGTACCTCCCCGCCCGCGGACGCGTGGATCGAGGCTCGGAGCCTCGCGCGCCGCTATTTCTTGCGCTGGCAGACGGTCCTTTGCCCTTTCATTTCGCTGTATATTTTTGGGTCCATAATGGACGTCGATATTGACTGAGTCGACGTGGGGAGGTGGGAGATTTGGGGATATTAGGGGGTGCTACCATGACGAGAGTGAACGAGCTGGGGGTAAGCAGCTGGGGTGAGGGGTGAGGGGTGAAAGGGGGGGGGAGGCGGCGATGTGCGGCGAGATCCAGGCGAGATCCCGGCGGGGTTGTCGCTAATCCTGGGCGGGAATCGGGGGCAGACGGGGGGAGGAGGGAGTTTCCTCGGGCGGGAGTGGAGAGAAATTAGCCGGGCGGTTGGTGGGAGCTGGGCTGGGCACTGTCCTTGGGGAGGCGGCGGTGGTGGCGGTGCGTGCCGTCATCACTGTACTGGGAATTAAGGTGTACTCACCTGATTGAAATATGAGCAGATATATAGCATAAGTGGTATTCTGAGACTATAGAGTTGCTTTTTTGTGTCAGAAGTTCCAGCAGGAGCCGCGGTTGATGCGTTAGATGCCGCCAAAACAAATGCTGCTCGTCCTGATTCTGCCTAGCTCGGCGCGTTTACACTGCTAGGTGATAGGTGGGTGCATTGGTGAATCGAGTCATGTTGATGTTTACGTTCTGAAGCACATAACGATAAACAGCGTGACAGGAACCTCACCGCCGCCAGAAACAAACCAGGAATCAGGATTCTACGCCCGCAACTTACATTACTTTGCGCGATAAAACCTGACAGCCATTCGATTCTCAACATCATTCGCAAATATTCTCCGGCCACGGACAGGCCGCTGTACTATGTACGACGCACAAGCATGTATTGCAACGTCTCCCACGAATCGCAAGCCGTGAGCCTGGCGTCTCTTTCCCTCAATCTCCGTAGCGCTCCCTTAAGCACTCTGATATACAGCAGTCTACGCGCGTGGAAGTAGCGGTCCGATGGCACTACTGCAATACTCACTCGGGAAGGCAATGCATGCTGTGGGCTGCTATATGCCGAACGACACAACAGGGCCGAGGCCTGTATGCCTGTAGTCGTATGGCGGGTAATATCTGCTTTCGATCGTGACATCCTGGCGGATCCTGGAGCTGCGAGATATCGGATCTGGGGACCTTGCAGCTGTGTTCTATTTTAGAAATGGTGGCTAACGTACTTGGGTGTCTTGGTACCTGTTTTGGCGCGGTGATTTGGAAGACTGGGATTTTGAAACTGGGCACGTCCGGACTACCGCGAGGCTGATTGATCGTGGCAATTGATGCAGGGACGTCAACTTTAGTCTGGTCCACACATGCGTCTTGATGGTCCTGAAGTGTGTTGGTGGTCAGGGACATGGGCTATACAGAGTACCAGCAAGATTGCCATCCCATTGTATGGGCATGGGTTTCTCCATCGTCACCATGTGCAATTGGCTGCAGTCATTACTCAAGTTGGCAATAATGAATGCAGTCCGACGTACTCCGACCAGATGTTCAATATCTTGCTCATTATGAATGCCAAAAGAAGACTTCCATATAGTCGAAATTTTCAATCCATGTCCTTGACGGTCGGACGGACGGCGAGCCTTCCCCGGCTTTAGTGCCCGAACACATGGATAGGCAGACGTGTGTTGCAATCCTACCATCCCACATCCGTCCGTTCAGGTCATCAGAAGCAAACTGCAGTAATTGTATGCTATCAGATCCTTCCAGAATAATGCGTTGCGTTGAATTGAAAGTTTCGTCTGCGTCCAGAGATGTTTCTTCAGGCGGTGAGGGCAGGTAGATAGTGCAGTCGTCATGTTGTGCATAAATACTCGTCTGTGGCGACACAGCGTATTGAGCCTGTTACCTGTACCAAGGAACTGGAACCGGATTGCTGTCACGGAAGCCACATACGAAGCTGAGACCAGGGGTTGCAAGAGTGATTGCCACGGTGTAGCCCGACCATTACGTGTGCATAATTCTCGTGGAGAAGGTGTCCACGAGGCTTGGAAAGTAGCATCTGGGTCGTACACTGAGATGGAGAGGCTTGCATGTATCTGGTCAGGACAGGGAGCTCGATTGGCGAAGGATGCAGCTTGGCAGACAAGGAGATGCAGCAGCAGGCTTCGTCGCCGAGGAGTTGAACGAGGGATCCTCGACAGGTTTGGCGAAGAGGATCCGGGAAATATCTAGCTTCAAGCAAGGAGTCTGAACTAGATCTTGCTCATCAGAAGACGGTCCGACAATCGATGCGGGATGACGAAGCTGGAGCTGTGCTCACATCTAACCTGGTAGAAAGACAAAGAGAGCCGGAGTCAGAGCAGACAAGGCCAAAATCAGAACCTTCAAGCATAACTATCCCGGCAATATGGACGAGCCGGCGGCGTGGGGAAAGGCGGAAAAGTGGAGCGAAGCTTGACTCGCTAAGTCATCAATGATAATCATGGCAACACGCTTTGGCTTTGTTTAGCAGCAGGGACATGTCAGACTGCTCGGATGGAGATGGAGATGGAGATGGAAGTGAAACCACTGTCGAAAGGTAGTGTTGACAATAGCACCGGTGTATAATAGTGGCTTTGGTTTGTTGAATGTTTATGCTTGTGAGATGGTAGTGTACGGACAATGTTCACTACCGCGAACGAGCCAAGGTCAACGAGGTAGGGGAGAAACGAAGAAATTGCATGGGCTCAGATTTGATAGGGTGTCCCAAGGCCAGGAGACAGGGTTAGGAGACAGGAACAAGAGACAGGGTGACAGGAGAGACTATCGGTATCCACGCTGGTGGGAAGGCAAGTGAGGCTGGCCCTGGGGCTAAGGTGGCCATTGACATCTGTTGTGGGTGTCGATCACTGCTGTGTTCTGTGCCGCGACCTCCACTCCTTATTAGTATCCATTATCTACGAGGCGAGCGAATCACTGAGCCTCTGACAAATGAGCGGAGCGGATGTGCATCTGGTTCTCGTCATGGCTGAAAGGAATAGATTGCTTCCTCTCCAGGACCGCGTTTGCTCCGTCTACTCATGTTTGTTTCGCAGGTAAGCCTGGCAGGAACGTGGGCATCAAGTGTGTATTCGTATCTCATCATGATATAGGTCAGACATCAGACAAAAGGGTTTGTTTTGGCCGGTAGGTAGGGTGGTGGGGAGTGGGAGGGCCATGTGGGCAGCAGCAAAACAGGCCAATCACAGGTGCCAGATCGGGCACGAAGGTTCATCCCGCAGGCCGCCGCCGCCAGCCAGGCGCCCAGAGGCGGGAGAAGGGATTTCACTATGCTGATCAGGACCTCTATACAGCTACAGAATGAAATGTTATTCGCATGTCAAGCACGAGACATAAAAACTGCGACAAATGTAGAACTTATCGTCCGTTGTTGTGAGCCGCAGGTTGCTATCTACTGTATCAGTAGGCACTGTGTTGTCTGTCTGTTTAGCAGCTCAAGTAGCGGCGGCGGCGGCGGCGACGGGGGCGACCGCGTTGGTCCAACCGCCTGGGGCTGCCCACTCCCGCCCTAAAAGTCCCTCCCTCCGTTGTGGGCGGGTCCTTACTATCACAACTTGTCCGCGAATGCTATATACTATTACTATTCACTGCTCGCTACTCACTACTCACGAACAATGCATTGCCATGCCAGTATCATATTTCCCGAATCGCCCTCCTACCACGCGCCTATTTGTTTCTCGGCTGCTGACTTTATTCTCCGTCACCATGTCCAATATCAAATTCCATTTCCCCCTCTCGTCAGCAAGAAACAGAGCATACACACGTCTGTTCCATTCTCGTTAGAGACAATCCAAGCAGCCAGGATTACGCCGCCCCGTTCCCGGGTCCCACGCTGACGGCGCAAAGCTGACTGCACAGATCCTCGCCCTCGTGGGACTTTGTGCATGCTAGGTTTCCAACTGACCGATTTGGCAAGGAGGACGCGTTGGAGTCAGGGGAAAGCGTGTTCTCTGCTCCGCTACATGACACTACACAGAACCAGCTCTTCTGGGAATTTCACCATACCAGCAAGTCCTGCGTATGCAGCTTCTTGAAACCGTCCAGTCCGTATCCCCCTCGGTTTGCCGGATTCGCTACACGGACTGCTTACCAACTTGCCTTCGTATACCCTAGATTTTCGATCCCACTCATTGAGACCGATGACATGCCAACATCTCAGGTATTCACATTGATTATTTGACCCTACTTTCATTCAATTGTCCTCGTCACCTCAGCTTCAAGGTCAGGTACATGCATCATAAACGGACCGGCCTTGTCACTACTATTTTGGTCCTTCTGCTCGCGAGGCACCCATCTGATCTTAACATCGTGTTCCACAGACTAATTGTACATTTTGGCGTTGGCGTCCACTATCATCCATTCCATACTCATATCAAACCTAGGAACACGTTCGTCATCCTTTATGCGAACGATGCTGATGTTACTATCCACACGAATTGTTGCAACTCCAGATCCAACGAGACTGCCCCCACGCGTGCTCTCACTCTTCTGATCCATCACTAGAGCAGCAGCCATGCCTTCATCGCGACTGGCCCCCATTACTCACCACAGGCCTGCAGCCGGGTTTGATGCTGTGGGTCTAGTGGAGAGAAAAGTGGACTTACTTAGCCTAGCCATTCGATGATACCCACCCCCCCCCCCCCCTCTTCCCTAATCGACTCCAGACTTCTCGCTCGGTCCAGGATAGTTTTGGTCGGGAGGCAAGGGCCGTAGGGACCCTTGCGCATCGCATCGTCCTTCCATGCCCCGATCATGGAGGGCTGCCGCTGCCACATTGTTCTACTGCCACGCCAACATGCCTACTCTCTTGTCATTGCTCCCAGCTCTCCAAACACGGGTCTGCAACGAAGCGCCGTATGCTTTGACAGCGTGAACGGGGCTTACAGCAGCGGGGCCCGAGCGCACCTGTCCGCTCATCTCTGTTTTAAGTGTCTAGACGCCTCGTTGTCTGACCCTGTCTTCCCTGTCTTCCCTGTCCGATTCCTTTCCTAGATGGTCCTAACCCCGGTTCTGCTATAGTGGCTTCTGAAATGCCAGTATTCCTGTATATGTAGACCCTATTCCTCCTACCAGGCTTTCGGACCACAGAGCCTCCCTTTGACTATATGTTAACGCCAGTAACACACGTCCCTACCTGTCATTTCTCCTGTCAGATCACATTGGGTCTGGTATGATTATCAGGAAGATCATCGTGATCTAAGTTGTCTATACCAACACCATCCTGTTGTATATCGACATCACTCACTGGGCTCCAGTCGGACCGTAACCAATGGCAGCTGTTGTTGCACATCATCAGAGTGCATTCTGGCCTCGACGATCAGAGCAAAACATGCAGCCGTTCAATATGGCCCAATTTATGCCTAGTTATGGTCAGCCAACCAGGCATAATTCACTTCCTACGACAAATATCGGATACCAGACTCGGTATCAACATCAGCACGAGAACCACCATCACCAACAACAACAGCAGCAGCAGCAACAACAACAGCAGCAACAAGAGCAACAGCAACCTCAACAGCAACAACAACAACATCATCATCATCATAGCCAGCCAGCGCCAGCGCCAACGCCTGTATACAATAATGGACCAGTCGTGACGGCAGTTCCATTCCAGTCTGGTACATACGCCATGGAGCACAAACCTGTTGTCACTGCCATGCCCTTTCAGTCTGGTACATTCGCAGTGGGCCCCATTAGCATGGCCAACTACAACGTACAACCGGGTTTCAATCACATGGGCCAGATCAATCAAGTCAACTACCAGCATACCTTACCGCATTCTCAACCCCAGCCACAGTCGCGATTCGCGACTGCCACAGGAATCAATGTACCAATCGTGAGAGAGGCCAAGAACGGTATATCGATCTCCAGCCCTGTCGTCAAGTCAGAAGTCGGATCGCCCACTCAACCATCCCAGCTATTTCAAAGTACAGATCAACAATTGGACAAAAAGGTCGAAAGCCACGCAGAATTCAATACAGATGTGGATACACTCATGAAGGCCATCCAACAAAAGTCCAAAGATCCCAAGGATGAGTCTTCCGTGTCTACTCCTAAGGTAAATCTATCGCTCGCCCGCGGTTTCAACGTTGCGCATCACTGACACCCTCCAGCCCGTCCCCAGCACGACCTCTGGTAGAAGGACCCTTAAGAAGCAGTATGAATGTACCGTCACCCGGAATGGTAAGAAATGCGGCAAACTTTTCACGCAAAAAACCCATCTCGAAATCCACAACCGCTCGCACACCAACGAACGGCCCTTCCCATGCCACGCACCTGGTTGTGGAAAGTCTTTCTCACAACTGGGCAATTTGCGCACGCACGAACGCCGGCACACAGGCGAACGTCCGTACCAGTGCGATATCTGCGGCAAGACCTTTGCGCAAAGGGGCAATGTGCGCGCTCATCAGGCGGTACATGGGGGTGTGAAACCATTCATGTGCCGGCTGGACGACTGTGGGAAGACATTCACGCAGCTTGGTAATCTAAAGGTATGTCACAGCCTTCTCTGAGTACCTCTTTCTCGTATATGACCTTGCCCGTTTGTACTCTTCCCATCTATGTATGCGCATTCTGACACCGGCAACAGTCACATCAAAATAAATTTCACTCCACCACAATCCGTTATTTGACATCTAAGTTCATGTCCACTTCGTCGTCCTCCAGCATGACGCCTACTGAGAGGGACCTCTGGGACTATTTTCAGAACTTGTACAAAAACTCCAACAAAGGCATCAAAGGCCGCGGCAAGGATCGGCGCATAAACCCGTCATCGACATCTACATCGGGACTATGTTCATCGCAACAGGGATTGTCCACATGGTCGTCATCTTCATCCACCGCCTCGTCCACGAACGATAACATCATGGTATCGAGCTCGAGCCAATATGGCAGTGAGAGAGCGAGTTCGCTAGGCTCATCAGAGCATGAAGGGGACACACATGACCATACTAGTATCGCCACTGGCTACAACTTTGCAGCGCCGGTACCCATGAACGGGGGTGTGGATGTGAACGCTAGTGGGGGTTATGTGGCATACTCACAACAAGGAAATGCTGGTTATGGAGCTCCAGTATACTCTGAGCGGAGCCCTTACTAGGTACATGTGAATATGTGTGAAACGGACTATACGAGTGTAATGATATACAATGGAGGGATGACATGGGGTGGCACGGCGTGGCGTCAAAAAAGCTTTTCTCATAACAAAGCGCGATAGGTATGGAAAAAGCTTCGCAACAAAGGGTGGATCTTTTGAGCGATTCTTGGACTTTGTATTTGGTCTATTTTGGAAGTGTTCCGTTCTCATGTTTATGGTTCCTCGTGGATTATACAGACGGCCTTCTCGATATCCTCTTTTCGTCGTCTTGTACATTCATAGATACTATGTTATCTCCCTTTCGATACCCTTTTGCCACAGGCGAATATGAAATTCCGAATTTAGTCTTTGACATTACTCCTCCCAACTCGGCCATTCCTCCTCTTCATCATTGGTGCTGTGTGCTATATTCAGGCAACTATACACATGTCGTGTCTATGCCAGGGCTTGTTTCCAGACGATCGACGCCTCGATCTATGGTTCCCTGTGGGCTGCAAGGAACGATCGCGTGTCGGACTATCGTGCAGTGTGCAGAATGCCATGCGATGATCAACAGCACATAACGTTCAGCAGAACGAGAACATGCGATTGGACCGCGGAACCCGTATTAAAGATGCAAGCACGACGACAATACAGTAGGACAGATGCGCAATGCAGTGTTCAGTGAAAGAATCGCGTGAACGCTTCCAAATCATCACCACTGCTTCACCCCCCCAAACAAACAAACGAACCAACAAACCATGACCAAGAGAGAGAATAGCATGGCACAATCATTCTACAGAGGTATAATGAGGCGCGAGTATACACCATATCGCATTTTCCTGCCCACATGGCGGTCTCTACTGCATTTTGCAAGACGGCATTCTGGACTCCCGTTCCAACCCCCTCCTCCCATGTGTTAATAGAATCACAAAGAGATCCGAGGGGGGGGGGAGCATGAAGACGACAACCATGGCGACAAACATGATGATGAACGAACATGGTAATCAGAGCTGCTGCAGCCTATATCTCAATCGGTGCTATAACATATCTCTTGCCGTTTTCGCGATACATATGCCTGCACCCGCACATGTCCATACTTTCGTCCCGTGTGCCCCGGGCGCGCGGAAAGCGGCCGTGGCGTCATTCATGCATCTATACCCACCCATACATAGATCTATACCCATCTCATCCAATCCACCGTATGCCAGTCATCCACGCAAGTGTAACGTGCTTGAGGAGCACAGCATCTGCTAATCAAGCATTGGACGACAGGGTGAAGAAATGAATTTTTTTTTCTTCTTCTTCCCCTTCTTTGCGCTGGATCGTCGCGAGAGTTGCAGGCAAGGCATGCATGGGCAGCGCGTCGGACATTATGTATTCGCCTGCACCGGAGAATCTGACGTACAGGATATTGTAACATGAAACGAGGGGACTCGCAGCGCGGGGTCTGGTTGCGTGTGAGTGGCGGGTATTTTCATGTGCTCGTTTTATGCATGGCTGTTGGAACACGGCTTGGTGATGATGAGTGATTTAGGAGTTCATCTGTGTGAGTAGTAGGTTTGGGTCTAGGGAGAGTGGGACGGGTTAGGTTGCCAGTGAGCCGTCCCACGCGAGCGGTAGGAGCGGACACTCACGGGCGGGAACGAGGGAAGGGAATTGGGCTAATATTCTAGTAATCTGATCTATTGATCTAGCTATCAGATCTAAAATCTCACCTTCCTGTACTTACTTACAGATTAGGGTCTTACCATGCCAAATAAGGGTACTGCACGGTATTCTCTGGTTCATGACCCAAGCAGTCCTGTTCTGTGGATTTATCCGAGAGAGAGAGAGAGAGAGAGAGAGAGTATATTCCAAAGGAATCATAAGAATATGTAATGTTTTGTCTAGCGCACTCACCAGAATCTGCGATCAAAAGTCACGTTTCGCGACATAGTAATTTGATTACACCCTTATGTAAAGATCTACGACATTAGAATGGAGCTCTCTCGACGGCATGTAATTCTGTATACTTTTTATAACGTGCAGCGCTGTAGAAGGATATTAGTTTATAAGCTAAAAAGTCGCCTAGTTCTCGGCCTGGAGTATCGCTTTTCCGGCATGCCTTAGCGCCTTAAAAGACTATCCGCTGCCGGCCGTAGGCTAATCAGAAACCTAGCGCTGAGGGTAATTAGCCGCGGCTCTAAGTGGGAGTGAGCGATGTGCGGCGCGAATTAGTATTAAACTAGCACCTAATAGGTTGAATTCTGCCGGGCTAGCTAGTACTATCGCAGTCTAGCTCTATTGGGCGAGACTCTAGCAACCAATTAGAAAAGGACTATTAGCATTAGCGTAGTATACGTGCTTAATGAAGAGATAGCTACCTATATAGTAAAAGTAGCCTCTAGTGATAACTTTAAAGGCTTAGTAGTTACCTACATTTACTATAAAGGTAATAATAACTTCAGAGCATAGAAAAAGGGTCTAATCTAGCCTCTATGCCTTCTAATTAGGTGGCGTTAAAATATCTTCAGTACAGAGTAGCATTTAATGAATTTTGATGTTTATGTCCGTGCGCGCACAGACTTTGATTTTAATTCGCGCCGCACCGTTTATAAAGACCACTAACAAGAATGTCTACTTCTATACTTTACTGGTCTAGAGAGTTAGAAAATCGCTCGCTCGTGCTTAATATAATTAGAACATTCAACTTCTTAGTATAATATAGAAAATAACCTTCGGAATCTTAGTTCTTCGTAACTTCCATTCTACTACACGATGGTCTCTCTAGTACTATCTACTCTCTTTATTTACCTCCTTCGCCTTCCTTTAGTTACGGCACTACAATATTATATTGATCCCTCATGTGACGATGGTTCTCACCGGGGTGTTAGACCGGCAGTTAAGGAAGCAATATATATGGCACAGCGAGCTTGGTCTCGTATGGAAGCTTATAGTAACGATCAAGACATGCAACATCTCCTTCAAACTCTTTTCATGATTTGGGATATACAGTCAATCTATTTCAAGACGGTTTTGAATACAATGGAGCACATAGGAACGGCAACAGAAGTCGAATCGGAGCCAGATCAAGGACAAATAGTAACGCGTATCTTCTGCGACCGCGATGAACGATGGCAACATCTCCTTGATGGTCGACCGAGAACGGATGGGAAGCCGAACATACGCAAATGGAGAGATACGACACCTCAGTTCACATACCAACATGAGGGGACCCTATTCCACCGATTCATCATACCTACAGAGCCGGAGTGTAGAATACAGAGAGACTCGCGGGAGGCAGTAAAAACGTCCGCTGTCACATATATTAGTATGGATGGGCAATATAGTACCATAACCATCTGCGATCCATACGGTCAACAAAGAGTTACGACGCTAAAGCAGAGAGGGAGCTTATTCCCTCTTAAACCTATGCTTAGAGACCGTCAGACCTCGCCATTAGATACGTTCTTAAGCCTAATAATATTCATTGAGTTCTTGAAGACACCGGAGCTTAGACGTACGTCTGATATATCTCAAAGATCTACCTCAGAGACTAATAGATCTGTTAGTGACCGGCGATCTTTCCTGGACTTCTTGGAGAGATTGTATAGAGATAGGACCGCTAGTGGCAACAAAAAGACCACAAAACTATGGTAAGCGTTATCCAATTATTTCTATAACCTACAGATAAGCACTAACGTGTTATGTTATATAGCGTTCTTTGCAATGCTTACACTCCTGGGAGACTTTCGCATAAAGCTTCAAGAGGGTGCACCGAGTGGGTACATGGGTCAGTTAACTTGGACACGTGATTATCACCCAGGAGCCCCTTGGCCACCACTGCCCCCCAAATATACGCCAAGGAATAGACCTGCATCTCGTTAAGCTGTATAATCCTTCAATGTCTTCCAAGATTCCCTCGAACATGCCTAAGAAGGAGAAAGTACCTAGAAACATGTTGCAAAGTTTCCCTTCGCAAGAATGGCCTTCGTGGCGCTAAAACAGCTGCTGCATGTTACAACGAATGAGAATAAGCTGTCGTTCTCTCCAACTATTAGAAGTCTAATATACACTGATATAACTAATCAAGGCTATCCCTAGTTTATCTTCAACTATCAAGTCGTGGATAGATAGCTCTGGATCTGTGGACTAAAGTTGGGTTGGATGATGCTATGTGCAAGACACTCACGGAACCTCTATGACGTATACTCTGTGGATTATCTGACCATACTGCAAGTCATTTAAGTTAAATACCTCCCCTTCGGCTTCTTAGAGCTATCAGATGTAGTCTAGCTGATTAACAGGGCTGCATGTCACGCTGATTTAATATTCATACACCTGGTCGTAGATTGGCCGATCACCTGGTGGTGCCACCATATATTCGGCCTTGCTCGGTGTTAGGTGTCATGACTAGCCAATACCTTCGTGTGGTCAAGCTTCGACCGATAGACTTAACAAAAAAGGATGCGCTACACGGTCATACCTTTGCCAGTGTTTACGTCTTTGGTGATCTTTATTCAAGTTTGTAGTGCTCGTGCCTTCAATAAATGCTTATGTGTCATGTCTAGAAAAGATACTTTGCTAACTAAAACACGAATCGTATAATTATCATTCCTCTTGGTCGAGATTCCATTTGATGGACCTAATCCAATCCGTCTGTACCTTCACACAACTTTCTCCTTGGTGAACATCAAAATGCCCCTTGCCTTTCTCGAGATGCCATCTTTTGGGCTGCTTCAAAACATGAAATATCTCGAGTAGATCTTCAACTGGAGAGATCATATCCCGATCACCCCCTATGATTAGTGGTGATTTGGGACTTGCGCGTTTCAACATCTCCTTGGGGTGAAATGTCAATAGCCTGCAGAAACTCTGGATCGTACATCTGTTGGTCCAGGACAGACAACTCTTCAGATATTCCAGTATGAAGCCATAATCCTCCTCACATGACATCCCTTCCAGGAGGCATTCCCCTTTGGAGCCCAGAGCAGGGCAGTAGATTGGCTCTTTACCACTAGATCTCCGACCTTGATCTTCCGCGGCAGTATTCAAGATATAACGTAATGATTCAGGGCTGTAGGAGAACGACGAAGGAGGACTAATGGCGATCACAAACTGCATTCGTGCATCCAAGGCTCCGGCACAAGCTGCAGTCGAAGCTGATAAGGATATTCCCCAAACCCCAGCACATCTAGGATCTACTGTTGGTAGAGATAGAAGAAATGTGAACGCATCAGAGTAGTCCTCCATTTGCTTGTAAGGTTCAACGTCCTCTCGTGGAACTCCATCACTTTCGCCAAAGCTACGTGGATCATAGAGTAGCACAGTGATTCCTGCAGCATGAAAGCGGTCTGCAATCGTTGGCGCAATCATCTCTTTTACACAAGCAAACTATAGTACGTTAGCGCAGCCTTAATTACCACGTCGCTGAGCTCATCTAATCTTGTGCGTGGACGATTACTTGGAATGGGTATGATAAATCAGATGGACGTTTCTAGTATTGCATCTCGACTGAGGCATACATACCCCTGGTGACATAACAATACCAGGCCCTTTTTTCGCTGTAGGATATAGCCAGCCTCTTAGAGTAAGTCCATCTGAAGTTTTGAACTCAACATTCTTGCGAACTTGCATCTTTGAGGTTGGGCTGAGCGAGTTAACCGAAAAGAAAATTAAATGATAAACAAGAATTGGGTGACTGAATGTTTTTAGCTCGACAACTAAGCGGGCAAAGGGTACAAGTAGCAATTTATACCCTTCACATAGGACTTTCTCCCTATGTTTCTAGTAAGTGTAGAGTCTTACTTGTATAAGTTAGTGCCAGGCCCGACACCTACTTCATCGAATCTAGTCACTGTGGCGGTAGGTGCTATCAAAGTACAACTCGCGTGATAATCGCATTGGTGTCATACAAGGGTGGATAATGGTTGCATAAGAGTTGTATAATAGCTAGCAGGTCTCATTGGGCTCGCATGAGATCGCGTGAGATCGCGTGAGATCCTATGAGGGTCAGACGAGAAACTATCGGTTGTTGTATCATGAGCATTCAAGGAACCCCATGCGATAGTTACAAAATCATGTGGCGTACTGCAGGTACCGCGTGAGAGTTTTAGGGATGATTCAAACCTTATTCCAAGCTAGTCATAATAGACGAGGTCTACTTCTCAAGTGCACTAGACTAATATTCAATATAATACCTTGTTTGACTTATATTGCGTCAGTTGTAGCAACACAGAATCTACTTATATTAATTACCAGGTACTCTATTATGAGAAGGGGTATTGAATTGACGTGTGAAGAATTTGGTTATCATTTCATTTGAATTCATCTTTCTTCCTCCTTCTTACTATTGTACTGTCCTATCATTGCTTAGAAACTAGGACTAAGAAGAAAGTACTATCATCAGAAGCATGAGCACTGAAAATGAACTTATTGCAATTTGCGGGATGTCGTTCCGCCTACCAGGTGGTTTGAACACATCCAAGCAATTTTGGGACTTCCTTGTCGAAAAGGGCGATGCGCGTCAGCGAGTCCCCAAGTCCAGATATAACATCGATGCATATTATTCCTTATCCGGAGAGCCTGGCACAATCAAAACAAAGCATGGGTATTTTCTTGATGAGAAGGTGAATTTAGGCCATCTGGACACGTCCTATTTCCAGTTCTCCAAGAGTCAAGCATGTAATATGGATCCTCAGCAGCGACTACTGCTTGAAGTCGCCAGAGAAGCCCTCGAAGATGCCGGTGAGAAAAATTGGCGTGGGAGCCGTACGGGCTGCTACATAGGAAACTTCGGAGAAGATTGGCTGGAAACATGCGCGAAGGACGATCTACGCACTGAGCAGTATGGCATTGAAGGGACAGGGGATTTCGTACTTTCGAACCGCGTTTCTTACCAACTGGATCTACGAGGCCCGAGGTAGGTCAAGATAGTCAGATGGCGACCTAGCTGACTTTTGCTAGTGTCACTGTCCGTACAGCCTGCTCATCGGCACTGACGGCTTTACACGAGGCTTGTGAGGCAGTTGCGAACAGAGATTGTGATTCTGCCATTGTTGGCGGTACCAGCCTCATATTGGCTCCGAGTATGACTGCTAGCATGTCAGAGCAAGGTGTTCTTGCCCCTGACGGATCTTGTAAGACCTTTTCAGCTGATGCCAACGGCTACGCTCGTGGCGAGGCAATCAATGCGATATACATAAAACCACTGGCAAGTGCAATTCGCGATGGGAATCCAATTCGGGCTGTCATCAGGTCTACAGCAGCAAACAGCGATGGGAAAGGTCGCGGAGGGATAAGTGCTCCTAGCTCAGAGGCCCAGGAGGCACTAATTAGGAGGGCCTACGATGTCGCAGGAATTGAAGATTACTCGAAAACCGCCTTTGTCGAGTGCCATGGTACAGGAACAACTGTGGGAGATTCAATTGAGATTCGCGCACTGGCAAAAACATTTGGCCCGTCGGGGGGGGTTTATATCACATCAGTCAAACCGAACCTTGGACACTCTGAAGGTGCATCGGGGCTCACATCAGTAATAAAGGCGATACTAGCTCTTGAAAACCAAGTAATACCTCCTAATATCAAGTTCTCCGAACTTCATCGCAACGCCGAGCTGGATACTACCAACCTCAAGGTTCCCACCGAACCCATCCCTTGGCCCAAGTCGTGTGACGAGCGAGTCAGTATCAGCTCTTTCGGTATTGGCGGATCAAATGCACATGCAATTCTTGAATCGGCGAGAAGTTTCGACATTCCGATAATAAATCCCACAGTGGCTTCCGACGCACCTCAACTATTGGTGCTTTCAGCAAGTTCACGCCAGTCTCTAGAAGATATGGGCAATAACTACAAGAGCTTCCTGGATGAGAATCCTGACAGTATCGATGATCTCGCATACACGCTTGGTAATCGGCGGGAACATTTGCCATTTAGATCATTTGCAGTTATGAGTAGATACGCCCCTTTTCGTCCATCTCCGGCTACGAAGAGGAAGGAGGATTCCCATCTAGTTATGATGTTCACTGGCCAAGGCGCTCAATGGCCACTCATGGGGAAAGAGCTCCTGCAAGAATCACAATATCCTGTTTTCCGAAGGTCGATACAGTGCTTGGATGAACATGTACAAGCCTTGGAACCTGGCTGGAGTATCCTGGAGGAACTTCTTCAATCTCCCCACGAGAGTCGATTGGATGAAGCCGAAATCTCACAACCATTATGTACAGCAATTCAGATTGCTCTGGTTGATACCCTCTCTTCTATCGGGATCACCCCAGCTGCAGTTGTTGGTCACTCTAGCGGTGAGCTCGCCGCAGCTTATGCTGCAAGAGCACTTACAGCAAAGGAGGCGATCATTGCAGCTTTCTATCGTGGAGTTGCCGCAGGGAAGCAGACAAAAATGGGAGCCATGGCTGCTGTTGGTCTTGCTCTAGAAAGGGTGGAGCAGTTCCTGATACCAGGAGTAGTGATTGCTTGCGAGAACTCACCCGAGAGTGTAACGATCTCCGGTGATGTGGAGGCGGTTAGGACTGTTGTGCACAAGATCAAAGATTCTGAACCAGATGTTTTGGCGCGAGTCCTGAGGGTGGACAAGGCATACCATTCTCATCATATGACGGAGATCGGAGACGACTATCATGCTTTGATTACCAAAGACGTCGTTGGTCAGACACCTAAGAAACTCTTCTTCTCCAGCGTCACAGGGGCCTTACTAGAGGGAAGTGCTCTTGGTCCTGATTACTGGCAAAAGAATCTAGAGTCCCGAGTATCGTTCCGGTCGGCTGTAAAAAATCTGCTTAACCATGAAATTGGGGAGAATGCCACTTTCATAGAAATTGGGCCGCACTCTGCTCTATCGGGTCCTCTAAGGCAGATTCAAGACGAATGCCGGAGTTCCAACCTTTACATACCATCGATGCTGCGAAATCAAGACTCTGTTGAAAGTTTCTTAGTAGCTGTCGGGCAGTTGTATGTCTCTCATATTCCAATGGATCTCGAACAGCTGCTCCCCAGAGGAAGAAGCCTTCCAGACCTCCCGAGATACCCCTGGAGTTATTCGGATACTTATTGGCTAGAGTCAAGATTGAGTAAAGAATGGCGGCATCGACAGCACCGATATCATGAGCTGCTAGGAGTAAGAGTAAGGGAGAGCACAGAAATTGAACCTCTATGGCGAAACCTCTTCAACCTTGAACATGCCCCCTGGATCCGTGATCACAAGGTCAAGAATGACATTGTGTTCCCCTTTGCAGGTTATGTCGGCATGATTGGTGAAGCTGTCCGACAGATCAGTGGCATTGAAGAAGCTTTTGTTATGCGACGTGTAGTTGTTAGTACTGCCCTCGTGTTAGCAGAAGCCAAACCCATGGAAATAATAACTGCGCTCCGTCGCCATCAATTGACCGACTCCCTAGAAAGCCGATGGTGGGATTTCACGATATCTTCGCACAATGGTCATAGTTGGATGACTCATTGCACGGGTCTGGTGTAATCTCAGACTGAGAAGCTTATTGAGAGACCCCCAATCACCATGCCTTTGCGCAAAATCACATCCGAAAGATGCTACGCAGCTATGCAAAAGCAAGGTCTGAATTTTGGGCCGAGCTTCCAGTGTCTCCATGACATCCGGTCTGAAACCTCAATTCGTCTTGCAACCGCCATGGCAGCTACCAAAGGAGCAGACCAGAACGGCTATCATCTACCCCCGACTATTATCGATGCAGCACTGCAGCTGATGTCAGTGGCAGCCACCAAGGGTTATGTTGGAGATTACACCGAGAAGACGATAGTGCCCGTGAGAGTCGATAAGTTGAGTGTGTACCGCTGTACAGTCAATGTCCCAAACGACTTCCAAATCGTGGCCCAAGCGAATTTCACTTCAGCAGGTGATGTCGTTGGCGAAACTAGATGCAATAGTACCGAAGGCATGCTCCTGGAGGTTGATGGGCTGCGACTAAAGGCTATTGAGGACGTAGACGAGCATGAGAATGATGTTTCTGCTTGTCGGACTGAATGGGTACCTGATACTGATTTTGTCGACGTGTCTCTCTTAATGAAAGAGGCTGCTGACGAATCTGGAGCTGACAAGCTGAACCAAGAGCACTTAGAACTTGTTTTAGAAAGCTCTGAACGACAGCTAAGAGGATTGAAGTCGGACTTACCACACATGCAGAAGTTTGCGACTTGGATCAGCAGTCAACTAAAAGAGAAGAACAGCAGTAATTTCGCGCATCTGAGCGACAGGGAGCTCCTTCAGAGGATAGAATCCATCACAGAAAGGCTCCATGACTGCTCATCTGGGAATACGGCGCAGACAACTGCTGTCAACACTATCTTGAACAATATCAAAGACTTGTTCTTAGGTACGGTGCAGCCATTAGACATACTCCAAGACGACGATACCCTTCGAACAATGTACCAGACAGGGCCCCTAGACATCACGGAACTCTGTCGTTGCTTAGTCTACAGCAAGCCAGGCTTACGTATTCTGGAGATTGGAGGGAATACCGGTCATGTTCTTTCAAGTACGCTTAGCGCCTTGTTCTCACCGACTGGTCAACCACTATTTTCAGAGTACGTATTTACCGATGTTTCTGATAGTATGGTGGCCGCTGCAGAAATCAAATTCCAGAAGTATTCGAGAATAGAATATATGGTCCTTGATATCAGCCAGAACCCATCAAGCCAAGGGTTTGAAGGCCGCCACTTCGACCTCGTCATTGCTGGTAACGTTCTCCATCACACGGAAAGTGTCTTCGAGAGTTTGAAAAACATCAGAATGCTTCTGAGGGCAGATGGTCGACTACTCTTGCGAGAGTTGTGCTCAACAACACTGAAGGTTGCCAACTACGTCTTCGGCAGCCTCCCTGGCTGGTGGATAAGCCAAGCAGATGATAGCTTAAAGAGGCCATACGTGACTCCAAATAGATGGATCTCAGAGCTACAATCCTCAGGCTTCGAAAGCTCGAGGTCGATAGATTCTGATCATCAGGAGCTCTATCAACAAAGTTCCCGGATAACTGTCAAGCCTACAACTAACAGTAGTATTCGCAAACGAGTCACAATCCTTTGTCACGCACCAACTCATGCAGAATCATTGAATCAAAAGCTCCAGGAACGAGGGTATCAAGTCGACTGTTGCTACGTAGGTGATTGTGTGATCCCTAAAGATCAAGACATAATCGCTATCTTGGATAAAGATGAGTCGTTCTTTCATGATATGGATTCCCATCATCTAAAATACTTTCAAAGATTGATTAACAATATTGGAAATAAGGGGATTTTTTGGGTTACCCACCTTTGCCAAATGCAATGTCGAGTGCCAGACTTTGCTCAGATCAATGGGATTGCTCGGACGTTGCGCAAAGAATTGTTCGTAGACTTCGCAACGTGCGAAGTGGACACCGTCGATTCCTCATGGGATGTGGTTGTTGATGTCTTTAGCAGGTTCCAAACACAATTGGGACAAGACCAGCCTCGAAAGGAGCTGGAGTACGCTATTCTTGATAGGAAAGTATACGTTCCGAGGCTTTTCCCATGCTCGCTCAAAAAGGAGCTCCAAGTCTCCGACCTCGATGATAGATTCGTCTTCCGCACAAGTTGTCCTGGCCAACTGAACAATCTCCACTGGACTCGAGCAATATCTGAGTCGCTCGAGAATGATTCTGTTGAGGTAGAAATCTATACCGCGGGCCTCAATTTTCGAGTATGCCTATCTAAAACTCCATTGTTGGATAATGCTAATGGATCTCGGTGATTAGGACCTGATGGTAGCCGAGGGCATTGTTGAGTCTTCTCAACTAGAGTTTGGCTCCGAAGCAGCTGGCATTGTACGCGGCCTCGGACCTAGTGTGAAAGATAATCTCAAAATTGGTGACCGCGTCATGCTTACATGCTCAGCGGCATTTGCATCACGTATCGCTATCTCCGAGCAGCGCTGCGTCAAGATTCCCGACGAACTGAGTTTCGAAGATGCAGCGACTATGCCTTGCGTCTATATGACCGCAATATATTCTCTATTCGACATAGGAGGCCTTCAGGGAGGACAGGTTAGTAGAGACTTAGCCATAGTCATGTCTATCTCGTTGTTTGGATGTGCGTAGTACTAATTATAACAGTCAGTACTCATCCACAGCGCCTGCGGTGGAGTTGGTATTGCCTCCATCCAACTCGCAAAGATGGTCGGGGCTGAGATCTATGCGACTGTGGGAAATGAAGATAAGGTGGAGTACCTTATGCAGACCTTTGGTCTGCCCCGAAGAAGGATCTTCAACTCTCGAGATGTCTCATTCTTGGACGATCTTATGCGTGAAACAAGTGGAAAAGGAGTCGACTTGGCACTTAATTCTTTATCGGGCGAGCTTTTACACGCTACCTGGAACTGCGTGGCTGCCTTTGGCAAATTAGTTGAGATCGGTAAGCGAGACATACTGGGCGGTGCCAGACTTGATATGCGGCAATTCCTAGAAAATCGTAGCTATTGCTGCGTTGATCTAGACCAACTCGGCTTTTTGCGGCCACAAACTTGTAAAAGGTAACTTGCGATGCACATTTCACTGGGATGAAGCTGACACTAATCAAGCCTCCTTGAACGTACTATACAATACTTCAAGTCTAGCCGTATACTGCCTATCAGGCCGATCAAAGTTATGCCTGCATCCTCAATTCCTGACGCGTTCAGGTACATGCGTAAAGGTCAGCACATGGGTAAAATTGTTATTTCGATTCGAGACGCCTCCGGCGAAACCAATATTGGCACTAAAGTCAGTGACCGACAAAGAGACATTTGTCTAGATAGAGGGGCATCTTATCTCCTTGTTGGCGGCCTAGGTGGTCTAGGGCAGTCGGTATCTAGGTGGATGATCGAACGCGGTGCCCGCAAGCTCATCTATCTCTCCCGAAGTGCCAATGACGAGTACAAATACCAGGAATTCGTCCAAGAGCTACAAGCAATGGGTTGTGACGTTCAGCTTATACAAGGAAGCGTCTCTAACGCTAAGGATGTAACGAAGGCTGTTCAGGCAGCCAAGGGGAACCTCAAAGGTGTACTACAGATGTCTATGGTTCTCTGTGACAGGGAGTTTGGTAATATGACCATAGAGGACTGGACGGCAGCTGTCGACCCCAAGATCAAAGGAACATGGAACCTTCACAACGCAACCATCTCGGCCGGGGCCGTGCTCGACTTTTTCGTACTATTCAGCTCCCTTTCCGGTACGCTTGGGGTTCCAGGCCAGACCAACTATGCTGGGGCAAACACATTCCTGGATGCTTTTGTTCAATATCGACTGGACTTAGGCTTATGCGCATCGGTCATGGATATCGGACCGGTTGAGGAGGTCGGCTACATATCTCAAAGGCCGTCTTTACTACGTAGTCTGATCAGGTCTGGGATGAATCATCACTTATCCGAGAAGGACTTGCTTGAAGCTTTAGCAGTTTCAATCACGGCCTCGCCAATCATTACGCCCAAAGCAAAAGACTCACCTTGTCGAATCGTCATCCACAATAGCTTTGCGCTAGGTGTCAATCCGAAAAGCTTCAAAGTCGCTGGCAGCGAGAATGAAACACTCCGAAATGACATTCGATGGTCCTTTGTGGCGGAATCGGACACATCAGATTCTACTGCCACTGCAACAAATGTGCTTCAGCAATTCATCGCAGAAACTAGACATGACGTGAAGCGTCTGAAGCAACCGGAATCATTAGAACTGATCACGACGGAAATCGGCAAGCAGGTGTATAGATGCCTTCTCCAGCCAGAAGAAGATCTGGACACATCACGATTCCTGTCTGACTTGGGATTGGACTCTCTAGTCACAATTGAATTGGCTCGTTGGTGGAGACACACATTCAAGTTCAGCATTAGTGTTCTTGAGATAACGAGTCAAGCAACAATTGATGGGCTTGGGGCGTATGCCGTCGAAGGTCTGTGCAGTCAGAATGTCGAAGTATAGTTATATGGCTTCATGATCTCAATTTTGAAACTATAATGTATTAGTCACTGGCGATTTCTTTATCTCTAGCACTTACTGTGTATAGCGAACCTATGGTTTTCCACTCTTTTAGTTGATTTCTATAAGTCCTCCGGGATGGTATCTGGTAGTCAAGTGTCTTCGAGAACCGGACTTTTCTAATGACCAGCCTACCGCCCCGATCTGAGTCATGATCAGCTATAAGATGACGAGGTGTTACATGCTACTCTTTTGTACCATGTTTTTTGAACTTTCGTGAAAGTGAACCTCTAAAACAACTGTGAGTTTTCTCGAACATCAAGTATATATGCCTGCTACGTCTCGTGGCGTGTGTGCAGAAAATAGTATATAATATCTTGAGAATGAGCTGGCGTTGGAATGTCGTTGCCCAGATACGCAACATACCATATCCGGATCCGGTTAGTTCGAACCTGAGATTAATCCATACCCGGGATGGGACCCGAACTTGATTGATAACTCCATGCCTCACGCTTCAACCTTTAGGGCAAGTGTCTCTGATCCTCATGGATGATTTATTGAACGGCAACTTGTCGCCTGCCACACCTTCCAAAGCCCCAAAGCTCCAGCTACCAGCGACATGTGACCCTCCGAGCGAATCGAATCCGCCAAAGCAAACAGTATGGATAGTACGCAACCCCACATTGCACCTCCCTGCATCTGATGCACGACGTTCTCAATCAAGACCTAGGAGAATAATACTGATGGATTGTCCAGATATTTGGTGCCACGGGCCACTTAGGCCATTCGCTCGTTCGAGCTGCTCTCAGACATGGCGACAGAGTCACCGCGGTGGGATGGACGGAAGAGAACAAGATTGAGCAGATGTCACATCTAGAAACCGAGAATTGTCAGCCTATCCTCTGCGACGTCCGAGTAAGGAGTAGTGTCTCGCGCGTTATCGATCAGTGTGTCAAACGTTGGGGTAGCGTGGGCATAATTGCAAAGTACGTTTAACTCGGCGTAAAATTAAGAGGTTGACGTTAATGATGACAGCTGTACTGGTTACGGTAGTCATTGACTCCATTCCTGCTATGACTACGACTCACCTTGCACAGGCGTAATAGCTCCTACCGAGGACCAATCTGAGTACGACCTACGGAACCAATTCGAGACCAATTTTCTCGGTGTGCTACACATTCTTCAATGCTCACTCCCCATTTTCCGTACCCAGCTTCACGGTCGATACTTGATATTCTCCAGTACAGCTGGCGCCCTTGGCGTTCCTGGTCTCGGACCATACTGCGCAACCAAATACGCCGTTGAAGGCTTGATCGAGAGCATTTTGTACGAGGTAGATGCCTTTAATATTAAAGCTACGCTTGTTGAGCCTGGGCATGTCAGACTTGATGATACACCCGGAGACGGTGCCCCCTTTAAACGGTATGGCCAGTTTCTCATTAAACCTGCGAGTGCCCCTTACAACGATCGGACGGCGCCGGCCGGACATGCAAAGAGACTGGTTCAATGGTTAAATGACCGGCAGCCAACGTCAGCAGTAAAGAGTGCAGAGCTCGTATGGCAACTGGGACATTGCAGCTATCCACCTCTGCGACTACTACTTGGCAGCTATGCGGTGGATAGTATCAGGGACAGACTCAGATCGATCATTGAGGAGATCGAAGATTGGAAGCATCTGAGTTTTCCTGTTGCACCAGAAGACGTAGAAGCAGATGATGCAGGAAGAGATGGTGGCGAGGAGGTTGAGATGCAGGATGGTGACTGAGCTGGGTATCATATTTGGAACATCAAACCCGGCCGTTTTCTGTCGAAGTTGCACTGGTGAGCCGAAACAATTCCCGCACAGATTACAATCAAGACTAAAAAAGTCTTTGAGAAAGATTGCAGTGTACGAGGTGAAGCGAGTCACTCGAAAGGCCTCGTATGCATACGGATGGCAGCGGTGGCGTGGTGAGTGGACCAATCACCCGGCTAACTAGATGAGAGCTTAGTGGGAAGTGGTGGCATCACTTGTCCATCGATCTCAGCGGATCTGCAACCTCATCTCAACAGACCCATCGCCGTTCACCACTATGCTATACTCACCAGTCTCAGCAATTAACATCCTCTCTTGACACTATCACAGACTGCGTGCGACGAGACTCGATATGACGCCTCGGTTTTCGACTCATCGCGAGTTGCAAGCCTACTATGAGCATCAATTTGACGTTGATGTCGCAGAAGGAAAATATGCTCCGTTCACTCTACTCCTCACGCTGCTTCCAGTCCTCTTAGCATATGCGTATTTCTTGCTTCCCCATCGTAGGTTTTCATGGGTACGCCGATCGCGATATGCTATATATACCATAGTGCTTTCATACCTGGTGTATGTCAATATACACTATCGAAATAAGAAAGTAGCCACAGCTTTTGCTGTTGGACTTGTATCTACGTGGACTCTACTTTGGTTTGGCGTCATGATGCTCGTCTACGACCCACAGACTGAGTTCAAGAGAGTTGAGTGGGGCGGAAGGAGGCGCCCAGCGAAAGAGACCATGGTGGATAGGAGTAAAAATGGGCGAAGACGTGCATCATCATACCAGAATCTGCATGATGCCATTGTGCACGAGACTACACAGCCCTACAAGGATTCATATTGTCCAGACACAGGCATGTACTATTACAAATGGCAACACTACCCCGAGGAGTCTTTCAGCAAACGTCTTCTATGGGTCACTGATCTTCTCGCGAACTTTCGCGCCATTGCTTGGAATTTCCACGTACCCGGGCCGCCGCCACCACCCCAAGCTGTCCAAGATGAACTGCAGTACTATACTAAGGAACAGCAGACTAAAATCGGAGACTCTAAACTTGGTGCAGACGGCACACAGGGCTACAGCACCCGAAAAGAGCTCCTCCAAAAGAATCTTCGACTACTTCTGCTAGGCTATATGAAGCTCGACTTTCTCAAGGTCGTACTCATGAAGGATCCGTACTTTTGGGGCTACACCGATGCTGCTCCGCCATCATACTACCCCACCATCGTAGCTGAAACCCCATTCATCGTAAAGTCATCGCGTCTGATTTTTACGATGGTCGGAGTATGGGTCGCCATTGAAACAATATTTAGCCTCTCGCCACTGTTCTTCAGCGGACTTCTCGGCCCGAAATGGATTGGAGCACACGCGGAGCCATGGGTGTATCCAGACACGTGGGGATCATTCAGTAACATATACGATCGTGGGCTTTTTGGATTTTGGGGCAGCTTCTGGCACCAGACCTTTCGTTTTGCCTTTGAAGCACCATCCAAACCTATCATCAGGGTCTTTGGTGTGGACAAAAAATCGACATCTGCGCTGCTCATCCGCCTCTTTACGGCATTTTGTCTATCTGGTTTGATGCACGGCATGGGTAGCTACACTTCTGCTGGCAACACGATAGTGGGTAATACAAGCCCCTTGACTGGATCCTTTCTCTATTTTCTGCTTCAACCACTTGGACTGATGCTTGAGCGCTTCGGTATCAGTCTGGTGAGAAAGACAGGGCTTTCACAACGCACACCGAAAAGAGCTGCCCAGGTTTTTAGATTTATTTGGGTGTACACCTGGCTGCATTCGACTTCCAGTCTCCTTGCCGATGACTTTGCAAGGGCAGGGATTTGGCTATTTGAACCATGTCCGATAAGCCCTCTGCGAGGGCTAGGACTTGGTGTGGAGGGAGACGGTCTGTTTACATGGGGCCCACCGAGTGAATGGCTGTACTACTACAACAGTGGGAAGTGGTGGTCATCTGGGTATCATCTTTAGACATAGCATCACGGGTTATAGCTGTACTTGGCCTATCATGGAAGCAACTGAACTGGGATGTCAAGGATACATGCGACGCATATGTATAGATATCGTGAGATAGAAGCCTAATGAATGAGGAAGAAGGTCTACAATATTAGTTGCGAGAGCGTACCCAAGTTATACGCAATACGACTAGCATAATAATCCGCTAATAAGAGAAAGCACTTCTCAGCCACGAAAGGCATAATCACCATGATTAAGCTCACTAGCAAAGTATGTCAACCCAGGATTAGTACATGTACGACATATATCATATCTATTTACCCTGTTCTGTCATAGCCCGCCTCATCGGAGCTATCTAAACTAAACCCCGGCCGAGTCGCATTCCGAACATTTCACATCCCCATAATTAACCACCACCACCACCACCATCGTCGTCCAGAATCCCACCCAAAAAATGGCGCACACGAAAACGAAACCTCGCCGACGATCCCTCCCACCCTCCAAGACCACCCACAACAAACCCAAATACTCCATCAGTAAACCACCTCATCCACCGTCCAAACCCAAGCGCAAACCCCAGCAACCCTCAAACCCAGCATCCTCCAAGACCACCACCACCAACACCTCCTCCTCCTCCTCCTCCTCCTCCTCCCCCCCAACAATCCCCTTCTCCCCACACGACGCCATCCTCCTCCTCGGCGAAGGCGACTTCTCCTTCTCCCACACCCTCATCTCCCAGCACGGCTGCGCCGACCTCACAGCAACAAGCTACGACAGCCGCGCCACCACCCTCCAGAAATACGCCACCGCAGGCGCAAACACCGCCTACATCACCGCCGAAGGCAGCCGCGTGCTCTTTTCCATCGACGCCACGAAACTGCACACTTGCACCACCAACAGCGCTCTAAAATCCCACGTACAGAACCGCGAGATCGTATGTACCGACGGCACGACGCGGCGCGGCACGGGGTACGACTACGTCGTGTTCAACTTCCCGCATACGGGCGGGCTGTCGACGGATGTGAACCGGCAGGTGCGTGCGAATCAGGCGTTGCTGAGTGGGTTTTTCCGCGGGGTGAAGGGGTTGGTGCATGGGGAGCGGGGGAGTGTACTTGTGACGCTGTTTGAGCGGGAGCCGTATACGCTGTGGAATGTGCGGGATTTGGCGCGGAGTGAGGGGTGGCGGGTGCTGGGGAGTTGGGCGTTTGATTGGGGGTGTTGGCGGGGGTATGGGCATGTTAGGACGGTGGGGGATTTGGTGGGGAGGGATGGGGAGGGGGCGAGTAAGGGCGGGGAAGAGGGAGATGGGGAGAGAGGTGATGTGGTGGGGGATGGTGTGCAGGAGAGGAGAAAGCCTGGGGCGTGGTCGGGCAATGACCGTGCAGCGAGAACGTATTGTTTTGGGCTTCCTGGCTGGACGGGGACTGGGGAAGAGGGCATCATGAAGCTGCTCGGCGGCGCAATGGTACCGCCCGGCCAAGGCAAAAAGCGGAAGAGGAAAGCGGGCGGAGAGAGTAGTGATGATGATGAGTAGTATCTGACAGAGGAGGACTGTATACAACGCCACCCACACACAGTATGACTGTTGCTGCTTGTACATAACGATATACCCGCCATTCATATAATGGCAAAACCGAACCCTCCAACGCCACGCTATCAAATCCAGACTGACCTAACTCTCTCTCTTCCCCTGTGTATTATGATATAAATACCTTCTTGACATCTTCCTCACGACACAGCTTGTCGAGTTCTGTCGGATCTCGAACCATGCCCTTCTCTGTACCCAGTTTCTCGTTTGCTTGCCGGAGGAACTCTCTTCCGTATATACGCCCATGTGGCAGAACGACTGGATCGGGGTCGACATGGCTCTTCGTGTGATGTGCATAGGGAACGTTTCGAGCCAACTCGTGCAGCTCCTTTGAGCATATAGGACATAGAGTCGAGGCTGCGCTGGAAGCGTTACCTGACGAGCTCGTATGTTTTGAATGACAGGCTGGTGTCTTGAGGGCGGAGAGACCAGCAGACAGGGCGATATGAAGAAGGGGGCGTTTCGGGAGGCCGAAGATTGTGTGATGCGTCTCCACAAACATGGCGGCGATATCGTGATTACGTTCCGGAGAGTACCAGGTCTTAGAATCGTTAGCATGAGCAAATACATTTTTCGAAAAAACCAGACGACTTACCAAATAAGGCTCGACCTGTACATCCTGACGAAGCACCAGCATCGCCGCAGCCTTCATAACCACAGCCCTATACTTCTCATTCGGCGGGGTATAGAAATGCTTCTTTGCATGCATCAAGGCCTCATTCAGCTTGCCCTCCCGCACAAGCATGATATACTGCGACAACCGCAGCTCAAACACAAGATGAATCTGCTCCCCCTGTCAGTCCCTGCCTCCTGGAAACCCCCCTATCCTATGCACAACTCACATTCAGCTTTTTCAAATCCTTGCCATGCTCCGCACACCACGCCAACGCCTCCGCCGTTCTGCCCTCCTTCAAGCTCTTCTCGATCCGCAAACACTCCACCATACTGCCCACATCCACCAGCTTCTCAATCCCCTTCTCGGCCGCGAGCTGCCGCGCACTCTCAACATACCCGCTCCGCAGCATATAGTCCACCAGCAGCCTGTTCAGCCGCGTCCTGCTCCACTCATCATACTTGACGTCCATGACCGTCGGGATGCGCTCCAGCGCGCGCAGATGTTCGATGCGCGCCTTGCTCTGCTCCTGTAGTTCTGTTTCCTCGGCTTGTAGGACCTCGAGCTTGCGCTTGAGGTTTGCCATGCGCGAGATCAGGGTGTCGAGGGCGGAGACTGGGTCGGAGGTGGTGGAGGCGGAGGACAGGGTTTTTGTGAGGAAGGACTGCTCGCGGTCGACTTCGCGACGGGCGGTGGCAAACTTCTTGCGCGAGAGCTCGTATGGCACGCCGAGGAGAGGTCGTTCCTGTATGTCATGTTAGAGCGGAGCGTGTGCGTGTGGTGATGTCGACGGGGAGCTTACGAGGAGGATCTGTGACTCTGCATTGAGCTTTATCGCAGAGAGTTCGGCCATGGTGACGGAAGTGATAGGTGAAGAAAGGATTCTAACGAGGGTGCTTCAACTCATGAAGAAGGTTGTTTCGACCCCGGAAGCTCATGGATGTGGTCCCAAGGTGGCTGTAGACGGATGGCAGGTAGTAGAGGGTGGGGTGGTAGATGGCAGAGGTAGCTTGAACACCGGCCGCCTATAGTGACCGTATAAGTTTGAGCGAGGAACGTTATTGCCACACAAAATTAGTCTAGTAAAGAGACTATATGGTGTCTTTGGAACGATTTCTAGTACTGAACGCTTATGCTGCATGAGAGATGTCTTTGTCGAGCTGTTCTAAAGCTAAGTCACAGCTTGGCACCCAAACACTATAACATCACATCAGGTCAAGCTAGTCCTTCAACAAACGCTCCTCAAGAGCCATGTATTTCTATACCATCCTTCCGCTAAGCGCGGACCTACAAAAAATATATAAAACCCAGCAGATTCTCAGTACCTAGCCCAGTATGCCGAGGCTTACATAAATTCCGAAAAACGCCCTGCACCAGCAATCCACACATCCTTGTTTTGCGGAGTCCAAATGCAATTAGTACTCCTGAGGAGAGTAGTCTTGGAAAGGAAAAACGGTAAACTCGATACAGCTTTGAATGTGTCCATTACTTTATAGCGATATGGCGCCCCGGCGGCTTTCGCGGATGTGTAGTAGGCCTTGGCTGGCGCAAAAGATGAGAAAGGCCTGCATATTACAACGTTAGCTGGTGCTGAAATGTGATATCAAATAGGCTGTGAGGTATGGTGAGAGGAGGTTTCCGGCAAAGAAGACATACCCCGTATACCGCCACAGCGCCGAAGACCGCTCCCGCAACCGCCGCTCCATCCTTAGGATCGTCTGTTGAACCCATCATCGAGTGGTGATTTGCCTGTCAATAGTGTCAGCCATAGTCTTCAGTATCTATCCCCTATCTCAGCCAGGGACCTGGTCCTTTGTTGCTCTTCTGTTGCATGGAGTAAACGGGGCTTGCGTACTTTAAACAGAGAACCGATGATAGAAAGGATTATGATAGCAAAGACCGATACGACGACGCTGCCAGATGTCAGGAACTAGTTCGCAGCTCTCGTCTTTTGAATCCACATACCATGTCCATGCGTTCAGCGCAGATACGACGGGCTTCATTATGGGGGCGGTTGGTGTAGGGACGGGAGCCTGACGTAGGCTTGGATTGCGCGGTTCCGGTCGAGCAGACTGAGGAGCTTTGTAGTGAGAAAGTTTGTACTGCAAAGTAGATACTGAGTCTGAGTGGATTGCTGATTGAACTTTGGCAGGGATGGGATTTATGTCTGGCCTGATGACGGATGTCCAAGTTCGATTGTCGAGTCGCCGCGCGCAGCCTACCTACGACGCCAAGATCTGGTTAGTCAGCGCATCCGTAGCGGAAACATTCGGACATCCACGACAAACGAAATAGGTACGCTTAATATCTGGTCTCCGTTCACACAAAATGTAGTCATAGCTTTTAGCAAGATTTATTAGAACTATAAGACATATAGAGCGCGAGCTCAGCGAGTGATAGATCTACGTAGAACTGCTCGTCCGTATATTCCCCCTACCCACACCTCAGTGGGCAACCAATCGAGTCTGCTTTGCAGCGACCATCACCATTATGATGCCCATTTTAAAATCCGGCGAACAATACAACAAGGGTATAGAAGCAACAATAAACGATTGACAAACCCACGATTGCGCTGTTGATTTACAAGAAGAAATCAAAAACAGCACGCACACGCTATGCAAAAGAGAGAGAGAAAGAACACATAGCAACATAGCATGAGATATACCTTGTACAGCGGATATGAACCCTGTCGAACGCCTCCTAATAATAATCGGCTCAGAAGCCGATGTCTTGGTAATGATGACCATTATAGACTTCTCGCTCCCCCTCATTACTGGTAGTTAATCACGCCACCGCGGTTTGTGGCATTTGCGAGAATTGATGGGCTGAGAGATTTTGGTACGGGCTGTAATCAGGCCCGGAGCCATGGCCTGAAGCAGGGATACTGGCCGGCGGAGGTGGATAAGGGAGATCGGCTCGACTCGAGCTGTTCTGTGCATCGATGCCGATTTGCGGGTCTGGGATCTGAAAGTCGAGCTGCGAAGAACGTTAGCATGGGGTATTGTAATGGGTCTTGCGCGACGCAGCAACGTACGGTGAGATAACCCGTTCTGCGCAATTCAATGATCCGCACGCCCTCTGGCTCGCCAACCTTGTGGTTCCAATCCTCAATCCACTGCTCCAACTTCCTCAATTTTGACTTGACCCCGGAAAACCCTAGGTCGTCCCAGAGCCACAGTGTTGCAACGCCCAGAATGCTGTCTATCCACGCACGCCCACTCAGTGGATCGAAAGCTGCCAGGAGCTCTTTGTTGATGTTCTTGACCACGTTCCGGAATGTCGCCTCCGGCACCAACGGGTCTAGCACTTCAGGATACAGATTAGCAAACGTCGGTGCCAAGTCGCCCGCTACCATCCAGTCTCGTTTGACTCGTATGATTCGCGTCGAGGCATGTAGCGGCGAATCCAGAGGTACGTGTGGATTCGTGTGTGGGAAGCACGGATGCGAAGGACCCCATGCGTATTCTTCGTCATCGTCTGCCTGATTGGCCTCCTCACCCTCCTGAGTTCCGTCCAAAGGGCCCAGAGCCGATGTGAACGAGTTTCTCCTCTCGAGCGGCAGACTGGCCTTTATGGACATGCGATTCAGCGACCTCGGCTCGCCTGTTTCCAGATCTGACCCATGGCGCGCATTTGTAGGTGGCTCGGGGGTCGAAGCACCCTTGATACCCGCGGCAGCAGCTAGTTGCTCCATCTGAACTTTTTGCTCGTCTATTAGCGGTGAACGGTATGCGCTGTGACTATTTCGCGGAAGGCCAATGCTGGTTCTCCCAGTCAAGCTTTCTAGACCTGCCGAGGACGACTCGACGTTCAGACTCGAGGGATGTGTGAGGCTCAGACGATTGTTCTTTTGCTCCGGAAAAGTTAGCAGGGGGGAAACGTCGCCAGGCTCTGCTCGAGAAGGTAAACTTGCAGCGATCTGCGGATAGGAGATGGGAAGGTTCGGCAGCGGAGGAGGACCGCGAGGCGAGAAGTTGACCGGGTTCCAGAGTCTTGCAGGAGATTGTCGTGGAAGGGTATTCGCAGGATTGTTCCAGCCTCGATTAAAGATACGGTTCGTCAGGGACCATCGAGCAGTAAACGGGAGGTCGTCGCTGGGTGGAGTGCACGCAACCTCGGGCGGTGATAGCGGTGATCTAGGCGTATGCGACTGGGAGGCCGTTGTTGCGACGTCGAGGAAGCCGAGCTAGAGCACCAGAGACTATGGATACGCGGCGCCTGGGGAGGTGGTGATGAGTCCGAGTCTGACAAAGGAGAGGCCGTGATGGGGGCAGTGAGGTTGCGAGCTAAGCAGGTACCGAAGAGGCTAAGCCGGATTGGGTGCGATTGAGGAGCGAGAGCCAGCATTGGGGGCACCGGAACGCTCACGCACAATGAACTCGTGCGTCGGCAAACACCATGAAAGAACAAGAACAATGTATACAGTACAGAATTGAGAAGCAACAGAGAATGTTTTGTCAAGCAACTAGAACGAAGAACCAAGTAAGGGCGTTTTGCATAAATGAACAGAGGGGAGCAGTCAAAGCGTGCCCGTGTGTGTGTGTGTGGAGGAGGAGGATGGAGTCAAGGTAATAAAGAAAAGGCAATAATGCGGCTCAGCAGCAATGCAGACCACGGTACCTATAGCAGCAAAAGCATTTATTTTAGTGGATAAAAGTATACAGACGCGCCGCATGATACCCGTCCAGATATATTCACTTTGGCCCGTCCCGACACAGACGCGCACCATCTCATCTCATTGCTTGGACAGACAGGCTTTTGCTCTGGTGGTGGAAGTCTGGATCGATCATCTGGGGCTAAAGAATCAAGATCCAACAACCACACAGACAGCCTTGACTGCGTCGAACGGCAGACTTATCCAGGCGAGTCCTTGTCTCCTCCCCGCGTGCGGGCCACACTCAGACACGAGATGCCACACACCAAACGCCAGCATTGGCCCCAATGTATCATGGATGATGCCCGGTGCTGTCCATCCATCAGTCCATTCCCAGCTGTTTGTTCCTACAAATCTGCCCTGCACTGCCCTCGTAAAGGCAAAAAGCTAAAAGTTCAAGGCCACGCAAAGAAACTTCCAGCCTGACGTCGACACGAACAGCACGTTCAAGTCCATGGAGCAGGATGAGGTTCAACAGCTTCTAAATTAGTTCAGGCACGAAAGCATACTAAGTACAATAGCACCACACATCGTTGACTCCTCCCCAGGCTAAGTTAGAACCCAAACCACCGCCCAGACCCCCCATCAATTCCCCTCTTCTTCTCATCGGCATCCCCTCCGTCCCCCAAAATAGAAGACGCACCTCGCTGGATAGACTTTCCCCTGACAGCGGGCCCTACAACATTCCTCGCATCATCACTAAATTTCATCATCTTCATGATCACCACACCACCTCCACCACCCATGAGTAATGCAAGAAACAAGCACGAGTCAGGAAAAAATCATGCCACTGCCACTACTACATACCACAATCGAGGACACAGATAAAAAGACCAGGATCCCAGTGCACACAGAGCATCGGGCGCACACGTTCTCAAAGTTACGCCACGAGGGCAAGGAGCGAGAGAGATGAGGCGCATGATGTCAGTTCTCAGTTTTCAAGCATCAGTGACATCCATACTTCCAGCTCGTATCTCTCGCTCTCAGTGCCTCTCTGCCTGACTGCTTCCAGAGATGCCGCCATTGCCGTCCCCTAGAAAATAACCAATACAACAAACAAACAAAAAAAACCGGGTCCATTCTAGGCAGGGACTACCAGCCAGGTAAGAACCTACCTCGGTATGCACCCATCCTCTACATAATAACCAATCGCATACTTCTTTTCGTCGTGATACAACAACAACAACACCCACCTCTGAACAAAAACAAAACACACAAACGAATGAAACAGAGTACTCATTCCATCACACAGTCCTACTCCTAAACAGATAGCAAAACCAAATCAAGAAACACATACATACATACACAACCGCCAAATACCCCTCGCCATTCATCCCCTTCCCCTCTCTTCCACGCCCCTAATCACCTTACCTACCCACCTTATTAATTCCCATCCCATCCCATCCCCTACCATCCCGTCCATCCATCCCACAATACATACCGGTCGGTACGTACCTGACCAAACCCCGACGATCCCCTCCCCATTACAGTAATCCCATTGCTACCCGACGGATAGACTATCCATACCAACTAACTTCCTGATGTACCGTAGGTCCCTCCCCTCATCTCTCCTCCCCTCCCGGCGGGTGGGATCCATTGCAGCAGAAGCAGCAGTAGTAATAGTAGTAGCAGCCCAAGCCCAAGCCCAAGCCCACCCGACGACGACTACCACCAAAAACAACACCAACCAAGAAAAAAACCCCCCTTGGGAACAGACACTAGAGAATGCAAAAACGTGGCTTAGTTTGACATCCTTCCCATCGTCTGGTGGTTCCCGCGGCCGCCGCCGGCTGTCGTCAGGACCACCCCGCCCACCAACGTGTTTGCTTTTCGCATTTTCTTTCTAGTCTGTCTACTACTAATTACCCCCTTTCCCGCTGCCTTCGGTGCACACTACACAGTATGGGTTTGTCTCCACACGTCCTGTCCAGAACTATAGTTCATGTCTCTAGCTCGAGCGGGAGAGAGGCAAAGCTGCAAAGTACTAACTAAAATTAATTACCGAAAATTGTTTGATCAAAACCAAAGACCAAAAACAAAACTTGACTGGATGCGGTATTTGGAATGGGTGAAGAAGAGATGATTAATCATTACTAAATTAATGGCCACTACATACAGATATCGAGGTATAGTTTGTTGTGTGTGTAGCTTAAAAGTAAGGTCTGGTCTAGCCAGATGTTATTTTTCTTGTGCAACCCCGTTGCGAGTTGCCCATATATATGAAAGGCCGTTGACGAATCTTACCACCCGGCCGTGAAACCCTGGATATCATATTTTCCATCCTCTCTGCAGATACTCTCAAAATCATGATCAACTCGATCCGAGTTGCCCCGTTTGTATCCCAGCTCTTTCGGTCTTTCTATCCCAGTCCGTCCTCGTAAATACCGATCCCTGCGCGGTATGAAACACTGCGCCCAAAATCCTACAATACCTCCCTCCCTTCGTGACATTGCATTTGCGGCAGCGCCCTCTTGTAACACTGCGATACCATCACACCCTTCAATGCGCGCCCTTGGCCTTCGCCTGCATCTTTCGCATTGCTTCTCGGTGCAAGTCTTGCATATCTCCTCTGCGCATTATATCATCAAAGAACATGTCGCGACTAACAGCCGCTACTTCTTCTTGCTGTTTTGCCATTTGCGACTGCCGTTGATGCTCCAACATCTGCTGTCTTCGGTTCTCATCCACGAATCCTGACTGCCGCGACGGAGCAAGGAGTTCGCGTTGCGACATGCGCCAGCGAGCCATTCGATTTGCTTGCTCTGCAGCGTCAACTCCGGATGTCCGTTTTGGCTGGTGTGAGTCGTAGATGGCATGGACCTGTGTAACAGGCGGCGGAATGAGTTGCATAGTAGATTGCGTAGGATTCAAGGTATTCCTCTGCGGACCAGAGAAGCGACGCTGCTGCAACATTTGCTTGCGCTCAGCGAGCGGGATGTCATCTTCGTCTGTACCCAGTGGACTCGGCGTCGCCATGTTTCGGATAGACGCTGAATCAGAAGGTTGTATGGCGCTGGCAGTAAGAAGATTTGGAAGTGATGTACTGTTAAAGTTCGTGGACGTGATGCGACTGCGCATCATGCTTTCACGTCGGTTGATGAGCGTATTAGTCGGTAGAGGCGTCGCAACATCCCTGCTCCTGGCTTCTGGATCCTCGAGAGGAGATTCTTGTACGATCTGGTCAATAATTGGAGTTGACGAGGTACGGAACCCCATCCCTCGACCCCCCAATTTTGGAGCTGACGCGTGTCTGATCAGGTTTGGTTGGGGGATCGTGGTACTACTTTGCGTTGTCTCTTCCGCAGGAAAACTAGGTGGTGACTGAGCAATCCTTGAGGCAGGACGCTCCAGTCTCTCCAGTGCGCTGGCCCGGCCATTCATACTAGGAGTGGGTATATCTCTGGATTGTCTTCTCGACACTGGGGCCGCAGGCTCTGGTTGAGCGGGGATAGTTTCTGCCATCGTCTTTTGGAGATCCTCAATATTCACGGGTGCAGCAGCTTCGAATGAGAAGCCGGTCTCAACCCGGGTTCCTGGAGACTCTGGCTCTTGAAGCTCAAGATTATCTGAGCCGAGACCATCCTGATCAGCGTCTGCAGCATGTTTGATCCATTCGTTGGTACGATAAATCAAGGCTGTCTTTGATAGCTTGTCGGGTAGTTGGTCCGTGATACTGGTAACGCGAGACACCCTCTCCGTACTCGGGCTCCCCAGAGCTGAGTCGTCAAGATTGGACTTACTGTCTTCTGGTATTGCTCTTTCCAGCTGGCGTCTTTCTCGAGTCGCACCATGCATTACATGTTTAGGATTGGTACTAGGAGTTAATGAGCCACGAAGACCATGCTGGCCGATGGAAATGCATGAAGCATTCTTCGACGACTCAATTGTGCCGACTTCTGACGCAACGTCCATGAAGCTTCTCGGACGGCCTTCTGAAGTCGGGCTGAGATTTCCATCCGGTTCGTAGACATCGATCTTTGGTAATTCGTCTCGGATATTCAGCCACGAGTTTGGGCGAGAAGGAGGCGCGGTTGGCGGTAGTGAAAAGTCGTCCATGTCCAGACCGTCTAGCGTTGCTGCAATCGACGACCTCCTATCCTCTTCGATATGCGGGATGATGAGGTCTTCCTGTGATGAGGACACATCTTGAGATCTGCGATTGCTGATCTGAGATAGTCTCTTGAGACTAGAGGTAGCGGAGAATCGTTTAGAACCACGTTTGCTCGCTGTATCGTCATCATCATCACCCCTATTCGAGTTGGTGTGTCGGTTCGAGGTGAAAATCGGTATTGGTAGTGGCATGACAGCTGGAGCAGGGACGGACACGCGCAGCGACGAAGAAGCTCGCAAAGATGTCCTCCTGCTACCGGTCAACTTAGCAACCTCACTCACAAAAGAGTCCGGTGATTTCACTTGTTGCCTGCGGTCGGTTCCATCGTTCAAAGAAGAGCAGTACCCAGGTAATTCCGAGTCTCGTCGTGTCGTAAAGCTCTTGTCCTGGGGATCAATATCATGAATCTCGTCCTCCTCGGCAATTGCGACTGTCACTGTACCAGTGTCTGGTGCAACGTAGTAAGGAGAACGCGTATCGTTCATCTTATCAATGTTGAGCATCTCAACGGACTCCTGGGGTGTCGCTTGTGAGGAACGACGAGACGTTTCCTGACTCGCACAGCTCATCGACAGCTTAGGCACATCGCTGATCGATGACTTTGACTCTGCGACAGCTTTGCCATGTTCTTTGTCGCCGTGTGTGGCTTCCCACTCCTCTTGTTCTCTCGCGACTTGATTTTGATATCGAAGGTTAGCTTCCGAGTCTAAGGCATCTAGGTGCTTCTGACGTTCGACCTGAGCTGCAGTCTTCTTGTCCTTGCGCTCCCGCACAATCTTCCACAGCTTCAACTGCGAGATGACGGCAAAAAGGGTCAGAATGATGATCGCGGCGATTTCCACAGTCATGCCACGAGTCACCGGATATGTCTGAGTCTCTAGTGGGAAGATGGCCCTGTTGTTCAAATCTGTGCAGAGTCAGTACCAGTTTGTCTGTGGAACAGTGTCAACGTACTCCACAGGTAGATCCAGAATTCTTTATATCCTGCTCGACTGAAACAATCGATTCCAAGAACAATGATGGTAGCTCCAGAGAACGCTATGCAGCCGATGGAGGCGTAGAGACGAGTATAATGGCTGAAGGAGAGCGAGAATGCGACTGCGGTGAAGGCGCAAATCAGACCAACTCGACCTCCTGTTGACTGAACAAGGCCTCCGGACTTCAGAGTGAGGAACCACATGCCAAGGCAAAAGCCGCCAAGTAAGCAGCACAAGCCTTCCACCATGTCTTTAAAGATGAAGGTCAGACAGCCAAAGATCAATCCAGCGCTCGTAATGGCCACCAAATAACCACCCTGGACACCATCACTGACATCTTCCTTCACAACATACTCGATCAGGACCTGCGCGAATTAGGTCCAATCACTGCTTGGTAAAGGATGAATGCTCACCGTGACAGACAGACTTGCGAGATATGCAGTGGAGAAGAAGATTTGTACCCTGTAAGAGCTTAGTGACATGAAAACAGATGGGAAGCGGGATCGTACATCTCATGTCGAACACCAATAAACCCATAAGCTCCACCAGTCAACAGCAGGATGGCTCCACCAACACCGACAGCTGGAGAGAGTCGAGGTGTGATGGGCAGTTCCCCGGAAGCATTGTCGTCTGCCAAGAGTCAGATCGAGTTCAAGCCAGATATCATGTAGAATGAGGATCCTTACATATTTCGGAAGTCGCCGTGGGATCAGGGTTCTGACCGATCGCGGTTGGAGCGTTGGAGTCAGCATTGGTGCTTGTTGCGGGTGGCTGTATGGTCGCAGTAGCGGGTTGATCGTGAGCTGACGATGGTGGACTGGGGTCTCTGGTGGATTCAGGAGCACTGCTGGATATAATTTCGGTTTGTGAATGTTCGTCGTTGGTGTTTTCGTCTTGTCGCACGTTGTAATGGGGTCGCAAGGCAAATGTAGGAGTGAGAAGGACGATGAAGGTGAATATTAGGAGAATATAGCGAAGGGACTTCATAGCGAAATAGGGTATCTTGTCGTATCTAGGAGAATTATAACGCAACTCTTAACAAATAGCAATTGCCATGATCCGAAGAGCGATTGGGATCGGAATCAGAGGGAAACTGGAGAAAGACAAAGTCGGAAGTAATGAGGGCGCATAGGTAAATGAACGAGTGAGGACGGAGGGAGAAAAAAAAAGAAGCAGCAAAGAGTGACAAAGAGCGTAGCGGAGTGAGAGGCTGGAGACGAAAAGCTCCGGAGACACTACTTTAGGTACAGCAGCAATTCATGCATACAACAGAGATCGGAGAAGAGTGAGATTGAGGTGTATAGAAAAGAACGAGTGCGGAGGATGGTGGTGGTGGTCGAAGTGACGAACGACTCGGAAGGAGTAAGATCAGGCAAGACCCATGCATCAGATCATGCAGGGCTGAAGTGCGATTGGTGCGCACAGGACGAACAGACCATGTGGGAGGAAGGGAAGGATTGGCAGGCAGAAGATTTGCAACGAATGACACGAAACGGGGCAAGATGAAAGGCGTTGTGTGGATAGCAGCGGCACAAGTGGCAGTGGATGATTAGTGGAGCAGCAGACATACAGAACAAAGCTGGAATTAGGTTACAGATAGGTACAGATACGGATGTCAGACACACAGCCCATGATCCATGATAGACCAGGGGCACAGCGGGCCGTGGGACAGACTAGAGAGTGTCTGCTATGTATACTACTGCTATTTGCTCAAACAGCCGTGGAGTAGTAGTAGTAGTAATGGTAGTAGTTATGTATGTGCCTATAGGCGCCAGAACAGGGGGAATAGCAGGACAGGCTACGGAACGTGATGCTCCTCTACGTCCAATAATTCCACATATTCCTAGGAAGATGCTGATGCCCATGTTACAGCTGCCAGAAGCTTGCTCACCTGCAACAGGGCACACAGGACACAGACACAGACACAGACAGAATGAAGAAAATACACACAACAACCAAGTGGAGCACACGTTCTGCTTGACGCTTCACCCTTCACCCTTCACACTCCACAACTCACGCAAGCTTCACGCACATTGCACAATTCGTAGTTTACGGAAAAAAGAAAAGAAAAAACCTCAGGCAGGGATTCCCTGTATAGAAAGAGCACTCTACGAATCAATAATAAAATGATGTGTTGAACTCGACTACGCGACTTCCACATCCGATTATGGAATAACACGTCCCAAAGGAGACGGACATTGGCCGGTGGTGCCTGCCGTTATTGGCTCTCGGCAACAAGCGAGATTAGGTGGAGACAGGGAGATGTAGCTGAACTGCAGTGCGGTACCGCGTTGTTTTTATCCCGTCAGGCGCTGTTTTCATCATGCACCTCGTGAGTCGCTGCTGATAGGTGTGACGGGCAAAGTGGGTGACAGGAACGTTGATCGCCAATCGCCGCAACACTTGTTCCCTCTGTCTGTCCACCGTCCCCACCTGAGCACCCTTCTACCTATTTCTCCAGTATGCTCTCCTCCATTACAAGCATAAACATCTATGCGGCATGATACTTCAACTGAATCATGAGCTGATAGTGTATATACATGACGTCTGCTCTGGGCTCCAGATTATGACGTGCGCCTCGACATATTAATCACCCATCCTCATCTGGATAAAGAGTTTGGTAGCTATCGATTGCAAGGCTATGCCCATGTTTCTTGGCTGCGGGCCCGACCTCAACGCCGGCCCTTGTCAAATTTCGCCTCGTCCCAATCCGCCAAAGCCTTGCGAGCATCTTCATCACCTCGCGCGCATCGAGGCTACGATGCGCTTACGATGCGCTTGCGATGCGTTGCGATGCGCTGCGATGCGATGCGATGTCGGTCGCACGGAGCATCATTCCCCACTGTGAATGAATAGTCGCGTTCGAAATCTCCGCTCGTGCTTCATTCTTTCGCGCGTTGCCCGATCGTGATGCGTTTTTTGTGTTTCCTCGGGTATTACAGTATATGCCTCTCCCATCCGCGCGCGCGACCCAGGACTACGTTTTTTTGGTGAAAACTAGAGAGATACGCACGTCCTGTCGTCTGTTGTTCAGCACGGTAACAATCATTTATCAGCTCGAAATCTCGGCTCGTGTATTGGTTGCAGACGCCATGCATAACTCCAAAACTAAACAACCATAGCGTTACAAAATGTCCGGACGCCTGGTTACGCCTCTGGCAACTTGTGGCTGACGGCTGTATATCTGAAAAGTTCCTTTGTTGCAGAGTAATTGCAGACATCGAGACCGACTATCACGCATGGTTGTAGCCGCGCTGCTAGAGCATGTTCAACCTAATTTGTCCATCTTGTATACAACAACACCGGATGCTACCAACTGAAAAACTGTATCTGTACCCTCTGTTCGACCGTCTCTCTCATCCTCTGCACAAAGCTCATTTGCACTAGACAACAAGGCGTACCACTTCCTCTCCTTTGTGCAGTCCTCTATCGTAGCGCAGAGCTATTGGCTTTCTGCAAGACTCGTATGTCATCACAATAGCCAAAAACCCATCTCATCCTACCAATCCTGCCCGCTCATGCTCTCCATGAACCAAGAAACTGCCATGTACAGCGCCCACTCACAAACCAGATCGCAAATGTGCCTCGCCCAATCCAGCTATGCACAGCAGTAGAATCTCCCGAGAACGTTGACGCATATCCCTCCCCCGCGTGCATGCTCTCAGGCAAAACACCACACGTCACTGGCATCACGTATCCAATGCCTGTCTACCGTCTGAGCGTGCACCCGACCCGACAATCCAGACAATTCGATCAACCACGATATCGCTTGACCATGTATGCCTCCTCCGCCGAGCTCGAGCTGAAAGTCCCTTTGTCCTGCCTGCCAGCCAGCCTCCCTGCCGTGCAACGCCGCACCGTCAACGTGTTTAACCCACTCTCCATCTTTTGTCCCTCCCTCCTTTCAAAAAAATGATGCAGGCGCCACTCCGTTACACTGCCTCGTACGGGTGGTGGTGTTGGGAGGTCCAGAGCTAGAGCCTACCTACCTACCAGGCTGTCTGTGTTTAGTCACGCAGATCGCGGATATCCGAGCCTTGTGAGTCCCAGGGCCGAGGAAATCTGTCTGGCATCATGTCTTGTACTGCGTTGGCTTCCTCGTAGTGAGTGTCTGTCAGATTGAGTATATGCTATGTAGTGTATGAGAGGGGGATTAGGGATTGCTGGATGTGCACGAGATAGCTATATACTATAAAACCCACGTATAGCTTCTTTTTGAACTGGGCTTTATACAGTGTCAAAGTGTTTATCAGAAGTGAAGACAATCAACACCCATACCACCTCTCTCCCCCAAGATCTTGCATTTCTGGAACACGATCAGATCGGCTTGAAGCATTGCATTGCATGCATTGCATGAAACTAGACTTTTCGTCAAACACTGGGTTACGACCCAGATCTCTCCTCGTACACCTGCGATCGCACTACATGACATATCATACCATACCAAACAAGATCTGCCTTGCTTGCTTACCTGCTTGCTTGACAAGCGCTGTTTTGACAGCAAGGCCCTACCTACCTACCTACCTATCTACTGGGTTACTAACTTCTGTCATTGGACGACTGGATGTCCAGTCAGTCAGTCCAGTCAGTCAGTCAGTCAGTCAGTCAGTCAGTCAGTCAGCCAGTCAGCCAGTCAGTCAGTCATCCACGAGCACACATCCGATTCGACTTCGCACAATGCCATGCCATCGGGACATCTCGCAACGCACGATACGGAACGGGTGCCGTCCAACAGCTAACAACAACAACAACCGACGACGACAAACAAACTTGCTCGAAATACACGTCCAGCTAACTACACAGATCCTGCAAAACGCTACACATGACTCCCTTGTCCTTCTTCTTCGTCGTCATCATCATCATCGTCGTCAAAGAGACGAACCAGCACATAGATTACTAGATAATGGATCCAGACACGTTTCTCGCACGCACAGTATATCATGCAACTTTATGAGTTTGGGTATATATGGTACATCAACGGTAGCTTTATCTGCCTTGCTTTGCCTTGCCTTGCCTTGCCTCGCCTTGCCTCGCCTTTGTCTGCACTGCACAGCCATCTCCATCGAGCCACGCGTGCAGCAGGCACGACATCAACGACTTTTGACGCCCCCGCTTTTCCTCTCGACTGAGAAGTAATCTGCTATCTGCTATCTCTGCTGAACGGACGACACTGTCCCCCCCTCCCCCACCCAATCTTTCCCGTTCCCCGCCCGGACCAGGCTTTCTATGTCCACATCACCTCGCTCAGCCGCAACAGACAATCCTCCAGCCCACGCTTAGCCATCAACTGCTCCTCGCGTCTCCCACGACCGCTGACCTTCGCACTAAAGCACAGCTCCACCATAACCTTCAACTCCTCGTAGCTATACCCCTTGCCCGCAGCCCCGCCATCACCAATCTCCTTTGCCCGCCGGACAATCTCTTCCGGGCCGCCTTTGAACAGCGCGAAATAATAGGTTGCGCGGCTCAGATCGCTCGCGGGCTCGATGTTCTTCAGATTCTGCTGCAGCACGAGGACGTTCAAGTGGAGCCTGTGGTGGCCGAGGTCGTTCATGACGGCCACGCGCGGCATGAGGTGGAGCAGGAGGCTGGACAGCAGCATGCCGATTCCGCACACGACGAATGCGTGGGACTCTGCCGGTAGCGTGCGGCCCAGATCCTCGTCGAAGCCGACTAGGTCGCTGTTCAAGGCTGCGATGCTGGCGTCTGGCTCGCTGACTTCCTGCTCAAGCGCGAAACTGCCACGCATGGAGGCGGTGACGGCATGCAGCACGTGGCAGCGCATCTCGAAGTGCAGAGTCTGCAGCACGCTGGACGCGAGCTCGGAGAAGGAGGCCACGACGCCGTCGAAGGCTATGGCGGTTTCGGGCGCGAGGGGCAGGTACACGGCTTGGTTGTCGGGACGCGAGTTGGAGGATGTGGCAACGAGGGTCCAGCGATTGCGTTTAGGTTGACCGGGGCCGGAGTGGCGGGGCGCGGACGAGTTCGTTGCACGGTCGGAGATGTAGCGGAGGGCGTTGACTTTGGCCGCGAGCCATTTCTGATGGAATTTTGATTAGTTGTGGTGAGTGAAAAGGGGATATGATCGACTAACCATGCTAGTGTAGAGCATGCAGAGGCCTGTGATGCTCTTCCGCTGCAGTATGAGGTCTGCTTCTTCGAGAGGATCTTCATCGCAGAGGTTGATGAGGACATTGATTTCCTGTGTGAGGACTTGGTCTACGTCTTCGATAGGCGGCTGTAGAAGCGTCTTCAGCACACCAGTGAACTCATCCATCTCCACAAACGCAGCGCTCTTCTTGAGCCGACTGCCCGTCTTTGCCTTCGGCTGTGTGCGTGACACCAGCGCTTTGTACCATCCAAAGCACTTGTCGTAGTACGTGACCATCTGTGTTATGATCAGCTGGCTGATGCTCTGGTCATGCGGCAGGTTATCCAGCATTCTGCAGAAGGCGATGATGAGACCGAAGAACCGTGTCGTGCCCTTGAAAACAGGCTTTTGAGATACCTGTGCCCATTGCGAGTCTTGCTGGAAAGCGTCCACTTCGATGAAAGTCTGGGCGCAGAGCTCCACAAGCGTCTCGTCTAGCTGGGGGTGGAATACATTGACGAGGAAGTCGTCAAGGAAGGAGGTGAGGGTGCTGAGGATGATATCGGAGTTTGGCGGGACGACTTCTTTGAGGCGGCTAAGAAAGTCGAGGGATGGCGGAAGGAGGAGACCCATGTTAAAGACGCTGGGTTCGACGAGGAGTTTATGGCCTGTTGCACTGCCATCATGCATGGCGGCGCTGTTACTGACAATGGAGCCGTCTGGTTGTTTTGCTGCAGAGACCAGCCCAGGTACGGATGATTTGAGGATGAATTCCAAATCGTCCTTGTCTGTTGCAAGTTCGGTCGACTTAAGGTCCATTTCGGAGAGCTTGAACATGCGCTTGTTCTTGTCACGCGGTGCCTTCTGGAACGGATTGCCGGATGCGTTTGTCGCCTGCCCAGGTCGATATGACGGATTATCATCTGTCGCCAGGTAGTCATGAAGTAGCGAGCGTATCTCACTCTGAAACAGCTTCCATAGTTCCTTGAATCCACGGGTCAAGGTTTGATCTTCAGCTTGCCTCTCCCTTCTCAGAATTCCTACAACTACGTCGTGAACCACACGGTGGCCCTCGGCAATGGCTTCAAAACGTGCATACAAAGTCCACAGGAGGTCATTGAGAAGTGCTGATCGAGCGTCATCTGTGTCCAGCGCGAAATCGTACTTGCTGTAGCCCTTGTTCGCATATGCACGCAGAGTGCTTGGATGGCGTTGCGCTACCTCATTATTGGACTTCTCCCCGACTCTAGACAGCTCTATCGGCAGCCGTTGCTCGATAGTGTCGATAGCGATGTCGAGCCGACCGAGCTTATTCAGAGACTCGATGAGGAGGTGTATATAATGGAACGTGTCCGCTTCAGGATTGCGAGATGCATCGTCAATCATGGCCTCGGATGTATCCAGGCGTTCGAGGAAGTAATACAGAGCTCTACTACGAGAATCTATCGTTGTAGATCCATCTGCACTGGCGGCCTTTGGTTGATTCTGTGCGTATACTTTCCATCTGTCTTCACAGTACGGCGACTTCAGGTATAGATGACTGTGTAACTCTTCGATCAGAATGTCTGTCAGAGAGTGCTCCTGGTTGCTAAGGTATACTTTCAAGTCACTTAATGCCCCGATGCTTTCCATCTCGGACTTCCTGATGAGCACCAGCGCATCTTGTAATATCTCCACTGCAGTCAGGAATCGCTTCTCTGATATTCGTGCTTCTAACTTCTCTGGGACCAGTTGCAGCTCTTCAATGGTGGCCAACACTTGTAACATGTCATCGTAGTTTTGGGAGGCGGTCGCGAGGCCCTTGAGCTCAGGCTTCGTAGTCGCTAAGTTTGTCTTAGACACAACGAGAGAGTCTTTCAGAGTCCTCACTCGATTCTGGGAGAATTGGAGACTGCTCTGAATCTTGTGGAAAGTTCCAATAGAGCTATTAAACCCCTGATGGTGTTCGTTTACGATAGCTTTGAGGGCGTCTTGAAGTCGCTGGTGCGTGTTTTGAAAATCACGATATCGATTTGCTAGCCCTAGTGAGCTTGGATCCAGGAGCTTCAATGCTATTTGCACCGGCACGCATTCGTCCTCGGCCATGTAGTCCCAGTCCTGTTTAATATATTGCAGTACTTTTTCGATCTGCTTGCCCCCATCACCTTCCCCGTAGCCTTTTCCTCCACTGCGATCTCTTCTCCCGTTGAAGTCGCCACTTCTACGCTGCGCTTGTCTACGCTCTATACTGGACGGTCTCCCCACTTTTGGCTCTTCCTCGAGACTTTGGCTGTCGTCAAATCCTCCGTAGCCTCCAGGACGTCGACCTTGTCCGCGGCGTTCGGGTATCGGGGCTCTTGAAGATGCGCCTCCGATCCCATCCTGATCGTGGCCTCTTGGAGAGCGCTCGCTGTAGTAACCATTGCTATAGCCCCCTCCACCTCCGTTCATACCGGCGCGCGAAGGGGGGAGACGAGACATGTCGTTTACTGTCGATTCAGATTCGAACGGTGGAGACGTATGTATAGAACATCTGGCTCTGATTATCAAGAGAGACACATGGAGAGTATCTCATCAGTCGTGCAGCAATCGCATTCGAGGTCTCTCGGCTTGAGGTCTCTCGGCTTGAAGTGCATGCAGCCTCCCGAGTTATTCAACTTGTTAGCCAGTACGGACGCATTGATGTACTAGCGCACGGGACCTTCCCTGGTCTGTGGATGGCAACCTGGTAGTCAAAATGCTTGGCGCATACATAGCTAAAACATGGATGAATAAGACACGCAACGCAGAGGGTGATGGTCGCATGTGTCGTTATAAAAGTGATGAGAGAATGATATTCTACGCAAGCTAACGTATTGAAGAAGTTGACTCATACCCCATCACTTGCTAGCGTTGAAGAATAACTCGGTCGTTACGCCCAGCACGACGTGCTCACTACAACGCCAGTTCGGGGAACTGCCGTCAAACAATGAAGAAACATACTCCCATTCTCTCCCCATTCATTCTATAGCAATTCTCTCAAGAAAATCACCCGTCACCATTCCTCCATTCCAGCACCTCTGTGAGCCTAGAAAAGACGGAGGTTTCAATCCTATGCACCACTTTCGTTCTCATCCTTTATGATCCAAGTGCTTTTTCATTACTGCGCCGGGACACCTGCAATATCGATCGCGCAACGAGATATTCAAAGTGCACAAACCGGCGTGCGGATATCATCCACGACCGCTATCTGGAGCAATTTACTGGGTCTTGGCGGCAGACTCGGCTTGAGTACGAAGGTTGGCAGAAGTGGATCCGCCGGTGAAGAAACGGGCGAATAGGGGCTGTAGAGCTGATCGGAAGACAATCTGGGCACCACTTTCGCCAGGTGTCAGCTCTAGAAGCTCGTTTACTTTAGGATGGAGGGGATGCTTACGCGGTCTGTGGAAGCGACATCCAGAGGATGGCAACGAACTTGAACGTATAGTAAAACGCTAGCAATTCAGTTAGATATATGTATTTCAACGGAGTGCCTGTCGAGAACATACGGAACCAGTACACAGCGTTCACAGCGCTCTCGAACACACTGTTGTTCGTTAGTCAGGAAGTGCAACATACACGGAGTCTCTACTTACGTCAAGAATGCGTAGACTACCCAGTACTAGAATGACAATGTTGTTAGTCACGTGTAGGAGTATTAGACAAACGGTATGAATGATAAATGCAGCTCATGCTTGCTAGTATTGGCTTACAGTCAACCACTGTGAAGCTGATTAGCATTGTTCGAATGTGGCATCGCACGACTGTACGACTGACTTGTGTATCATCTGCCTTTCCGGTGCTGAACAAAGCATCTAAAGAGTAGTAGGCAGGAAGTGCGAACCCAGCGGTGTTGACGAGGAATTCGCCAGCGATGTTGAAGAATATGAGGAAAAAATAGAGGGCTCCAAGTCCGAGAACTACGTAGACTTTCGGAACGGAGGTCTGCTTCTCAAAGTCATTGAGAATGCTGTATTTCGATAGCTGTGGAAGAACGGTTCATGTCAGTAAAATGCAAGAGAAGATCGATCAGAAGGCCGAGACATGACACATCAACTGTTGCTGTGTTGTTGGGTTGCTGGGAATGAGGGGTATATTGGTGTGGATTCATCTGAAGATAGCGTACCTCCTTATCGAGCTGCGAGATTTGATGCTGTGCGCGATCTTGAATAGACATTTTGTCGGAATGTCTGAGGAACTAGATGAGCAAATAAAGGTGTTCGACGAGTTTTACTGGCGTTGAAACGTGAAGTACGAGAGTCCGGAAATGATGTAAGAGTAATGTCGGGGACAATATGGTGTGGTTTGTGGGTGAAGGAGCGAAACGACGTAATCAGCGGGTGAAGTGTGGCAGGGTCACCTGACTTTCGATCTGCAAGCGCCGGAGCATTCTCCATTTAATGATGAGGCTCCCTTGTACGACATCAAGTTTTCATAACGCAAGATAATATCTTAAGACCTATTAATGTCCGTTCTAAGGCAATTTCCGAATGAAGAAATGTTGTTGAGATGAGAATGTAGGTCCACGTGACTGAAAGATGAGCTAGCGGCCTTGGCTTGGCACAAGCGTTGTCCGTCCAGCTCTTGTTTGGGTAAACAGAAACATCACAACTTCAATTGACGACACAACATTAACGACGCAACATCTCGGGCGCACCTGTCGGACTACTTTCGCTAGCTTACGATACTAACATCTAGCAATTTATCGATCGACTAGAGGACTAAAGCGGCTCATCTCCTGCGGTCGCCGCGCATTCTTGGATCAAAACACGCTGGCTAGAGACTTCCCAGAGCTTTGCAAGCCGACTATTCGTGCTTCCTATGCCAAAGAGAATATAGATTAGGCCTTTCCCTAAGACTTTCTTGAGACAGAACCACGGTATGTAAGTTTCCTCGCTATCGCACCATTTCGTGCTCTGTGATATACAACATGATCGTTCTAGTCACTTGTAAACACGTCTAATATTTGAGCACTAGAGGTTCGAGCTTTGCAGCAGTTCAAACAATGTCACATATACATTCTCATCTGGGCAAACGTCCGCACTCTGCCACAACGTACAACTCAATCGAAAGCAATGGACAGCGGCCTGTTTCTCGAGCATCAACTACAAGTATACAATCATTCGATCACCACAGCGCACCAACGGACAGTCGTCGGCAATCACAATTTAGCCATGAGCAATTCGCAAACTTCGACGCGGCGAACAATTCGGGTGACCTCAAGATTGAACGCGCCCTTCTCAACATGAAATACGCGGACTCCAATGGGCAACACGGGAACGATGCACTTCTGGACGCATCCCTACATGGTCTCGGAGAAATAGCTCATATGAATAGCCACCATGGTCAATTTGTAGGGATGCAAAATGGAGGCGAGTTCGGTGGTCTTGGAGACATATACGACCAATCGCAGCATATTCAGAATCTGCCTGAGAAGAGTCAAGAGCCCCAGCAGAAGAAGAAGAGGGGTTCACAAGCAACAGCTACCAATGATCGCGAGTTGAGGGACCTTCTAGCATCGAATATGGATCGCCCACTGAAAGACGTCGCTATAGAGGTTGTCAAGACTGAGCGAACCCCTCGATCCGAGAGAACAAAACAATTATTCGCAATGCTCTGGTAAACAATGCTACACATAGGACACTGTTACCACCGTACTGACCATGACATAGGATCAGGGCAAGCTGCAAGAAAGCCAAAACGTCGGTGCCACGAAATAGGGTATATTCGTACTATGCCACACGTTGCGGTCTCGAACGTGTGATACCTCTCAATCCTGCATCATTCGGTAAATTGGTGCGTGTAATGTTTCCAGACATCACAACAAGACGCCTAGGAGTGCGCGGCGAGTCAAAGTATCATTACGTGGATCTAGCCCTCATTGATGATAACGGCCACCACAACACACCCGAGGTTGACCGTGCCGTTGGTGCACATAGCAGAAGTAACTCCATGGCACCAAGTAGTATGCAGTTCGCTACGCAAGCTCAACCAAGGTATGCTTACCTGACCTGTCCCATGGCCAAGCTGACATGAGAAGTCAACAAAGAAACCTGCCCGTTGACGCCGCAGTTTTTCCAATTCAGGAGGCGCATACCTCAAATCTCCAGTTACCACAATTAATTACAGAAGGTCAAGACACTCATTCCCGAATATATGCTGATCCTCTCTCCTCCTGGGGTTCTGAGAGGCCCAGAACAAGTGTCATGTACGCCCAGAAACTCAAATTCTTACTGCCGCAGCAGCGAATAGACGACAACGTTGAGCTGGAACTCCCGGATATATTTGAATACGTCCCAAGCAAAACAGACAAAGATGCCGCCTATGGTCTTGCTGCTAACTACCGTACGCACTGTACTAATCTTATGGACAGCTTCCGGTACTGCAAACCCAAAATGTTCAACAAAGTGTTCAAAACTTTCATGGGCAATATGACTGTTCCGCTGGAGAAAGTCTTCCATCATCCAGACACAGTACCGTGGATCAAGGAGTGCGACTGGCGCATGTATCAAAAAATGATTCGCTTCATTGCAGGAATTACTTTTCAAACACTACCTCATACGGTTACCACGTTTTTGAAGTCCATTGCGGCTACACTCCATACTCAGATCACCCACACATTCCAGAAAAGCCCGAACCACGTTCTGGAAGCCAAACTTGAGCCCGCATCTCTGTTCGCACATCTTCTTCACCGCTCGCTGATAACGAACGAGTCTGCACATACCGCCACGGCATTTTTGCAACATGCAGAACAAGTTAATCTCATGTGGGGCGATTGGACGCAAAGGGTCAATGTCAAGCGAATAATGGAGAGTGAACTCCCAGGATGTGGCTACGAAAATGCTGAAAAGATCCTGACCAATGGTATTCGTGACTTGCTTGTAAATGAGAATGTTCCTCAACCTACCGAGGGCGATTCGTTTTCTCAAGGTCTGAATGAACTCTACGCGGCTACGAAACCTTGTGCCACCTCCGATGAAGGCTGGATCGATCGTATAATCAAGTTCGTTGATAACATACCGGCACTGTTTCCACAAGCCAGCGCAAGGACGTTACTCGCCTGTGTCAGCACGATTGGCACAGCTGCTCTGAGAGAGATCACCGCAAATGGTGGATCCAGTTTCCAGGCATGGTGGGCCATCAAAATGTTCATCGATGAGATGTGTCTTTGGTTCGCCTCTCTTGGAGGATTTCTGGAGCATCGAACAACCCTGCCGCGTGATCTTCAGGGCCTATCTCCATTAGGTCTTGGGCTGGAAGGGGTTGTGTCCACCACGGGCGGCGATACAAACAATGGCAGTCGGTATAGCAGTCTTGTTGAAAACTTTGGTGCGACTAACTTGCCTGGAAATGCCCAAGGGGGCTATCAACAAGCAGCTGGGCCAACGAACGAGCGTATGATCTATCGTGCCTAATCATGTGAAGTGACATAGACTAATATTGGTTTAGTTCACAATGAAAACTACCAACACGATCTCACTCAACATCAGAAATTCGATAACGACCTTGACGATAGTGGCATCGGCATGTCCTTCATCGACGACTCCGATCTAGCTCTCAAAATTGCGTCTATACCTCATTCGCGCACCGATCATCATTTCACGGCTCAGACTGTAGGCTTGAGTTGACCCGACCTCGCCGACACGGTCCGCTAGGGCTTCACGACGCATATTATCCATGCAAATTACGAAAGAGACGACACTATTCTGCACAGGACAGAGGGATGGGTTGGCTTTGTGTATAGCTCTTGATATCCTTAGACATTGATCTTCAGGCGTCATAAGGGTTTTTTTCCTCTTGGACATGCGGTAGGGAGTTTGGTCCAAGTTCTGGACACGGCGAATATGGTTCTCGTAGGCGAATAGTGCATTCGCAGAGACTTTTCCGTAGTGCTATGTCTGGCTCTGAAGACTTTGGATTGCTGGTGTATATGCGCAAACTAATATTGTTATGATCGCGACGTTTTACTCATTTGCAGATGGGCATAGTTCTAAATAGATAGAAAGCGCCAAATGCTGCTTGTACTTGTCCTTGCGGCCTAGTCTCTAGATTGGCCCAAATCTCATTGGAAATCGATGGAAAAGTATATGCATTCATTACACATCTTTACATTCACACAGGTATTGAGATATTGCGCTGAAATGACGGCTCAGATTATTCCGATCTTCAATCTTTCTCATCCGCGTCCAGCAAGAACTCTTCTACAGCCTCCTTGAACGGCTCTGGGTTTTCTGAAATTACCCAATGACCAGCCTCAACATCCGCCAGGCTGAATTTAGGAAAGAATCGGCCGACAATGGGAATTACGTCGTCCGGAATATAGTGACTCTTTGTTCCCCGCACAAACAGCGCAGGTTTCTCATACCGCACCTTATCCGGATCTACAAACGGAAAGCTGCCAAGCTCGTCCAGTGCTCCAGCGAGGATCTTAAGAGGTACACGAAATCGCATCTCTCTCTCCCCTTTCGTGCGCACTAGATTTGTCAAGAGGAACAACCTTATAGCCTCATTTTTCTCGTACTCGGCCAGTATCGCGTCGGCCTCTTTCTGCGACGTCACGCCAATGGCCTCGATGCGTTGCATGCCGCGCACGTACTGATGGAAGTAAGATTTTAGTGTTGCATCCACGGGTGCGTTATCGACAGAAATCAGATTTGCAACAAGATCAGACGAGCGAAGGGCGACGGCCATGGCGGTTTTTGCGCCCATGGAATGCCCGATTAAGGTGCTGTTGGTGAGAGAGTGCGTGCGAATGAAATGTTCGACATCGGAGGCGAGGGCAGAGTAGGTGTGCAGCGGGTGGTGAGGCGAGTCACCATGGTTTCTGAGGTCCTGAACGGCGTCAATCATTGTTGTACTGGTGAACACGGTAATGTGGGCAGTCTCTCGACATACGAGTGCATATACAGGTCTCTTCAAGTCTCGCGCAAGCACTCTATTCGCGTCAATACACTGCATGAACGCTTTAGTGCTTTCTGCCTTACTTACTCATGCTCCTGTTGTTCTTCTTAGAGCCAAACAAGCCGTGTAAGAAGAGAATTGGAGCATTGCGATTGGCCTCCTCCTCGGTCGGTGGGGAGTAGTAGTCATATGCGAGGTCGAGCTCACGGAGTAGCGGCGAGGTTGTAAAGCTCCTCCGAGGCTGTGCTTTCAATTGACATATACCACACCTCAATCGAGGGTAGAGCGTGACTGGCCTCATGAGCAGTGTTGCAAAAATTCAAGGGGAAGATCAAACTCTCGATGTTCGGCCGGGCTATGTCATCCATATGCGCCTGCATAAGCTAAATTATGTAAGCCGGGTCCACAAGTAAACTGTCACAGGCCAGTCGGGAACGCTGGTCGTTCGAAGAGCTGAGTATTCTCTCATTAGGATAGATAAGGTCGATATTGGTGATTATTGCGAATGGCGACGGACACATACAGCAGCGTTCCATTGATAGGAATGCGAGACAGGGAGAACGTAGGCATTGCCTGCGGACATCGTGATCACATATCAAGAGCGCATTGTCTAAGGCGTTTTGATGGTCCCATTTTTCTCTTAGAAACACTCAAACACCAATCCCATGCTAACAGGGACGAATGACCAAAGAAGCATCCATATATCCATATCCCTTTACACCTCCTCAAGTACTGTCTCCTTGAACTCGCGCTCAACAGCCTTGCCAGAATCATCTGCCGAGGACTCGCCGTGGAGGGACAAAAGAGCACCGAGGTCGAACTTGGGTTGCTTCAATAGCTTCACCTTGCAGACGTATACCTACAAATATGTTAGACACTTTCTGCACAACCAATGATTGTTCGTTCCGCTTACATTCTGGAGAGGGTAGATACCCTGGGTTGCCTTCTCGATCTCACGTCCAATAACCTCCGGGATCAGCTTGGTGGTCAGCTGCGACAGTGTGCAGCTTGAGGCCTCTCGTTGCATGATCTCAACCATCTTCTTTCGGATAGCACGAATCTGCGATGAGGCAGCATATGTGGTCTTCTTGATCTGGTTTGGGCGGCGTTTCGTGAAGCCAATAGTGAAGAGACGGAGGAGGTAGTCGTCCGTAGTTTTGACAACTACGTTGGCATCGATCAGGGTTTGCCATTTACGAACAAGAGATCGGAGCTTGTCGGATGTGAAGTCGAGACCGTGGAAGTTGGCGAGGCAGTTCTTTCCTTGGACTTCGTCGACCCGTAGCTTGACCTTGCGGAAGGCGTGATCCTCATCCTTTTGAAGGTCGGCCAATGAAACCTCGAATATCCTTCCTTTCAGAGAGTCGTTGGCGTTCTTGAGACCGGTGGTGCGATTGACGAGGGTCTTTCCAACACTACAATCATCATGTTAGTATTGGTCGAGCGTATTGAAGCGTCGCGATAGCGTACTCTCGGATCTGGAATGTCGAAGGGGCCTTGACTGAGTACCAGTCTTTCTTCGCAAAGGCGTCGGTCTTCTTCTTGAGACCCTTCTTTCCCTTTGAAAGACGCTTGTTCTTGCCGACAGCCATGATTGCGACAGATGTTCTGGGTGGTGTCGCAAGGGGTTGTCGAGGTCGTGGTATCGTGAATCCGGTCGTAAAGTTCCAAGTGGGCTAAGAGATCGAAAACTGTGCGCAGCTCGCTTGCCGGAGTATCGTCGGGCATATGGCGCCGAATCATCACGTGAAGTTTTAGTCCGCTCTCCGGGGGAGACCCACATTGGTGGACATTGTCAGCAAATAGTTTAGCTCAGTGGTTGGTTTCAGGTCATGTCTGATGCTAGGAGCTTGCAAGACGGGTTTCTTGTTATTAAGACCAACTACGCATCTTAGCTAGAGTTCAAGCTTGGTTTTCGGAACCGAAAATGAAACACAGAATTACATACTTTCTGCATGATCCGTCTGAGTTTGATATATCTCAAATTGAAGTAAAGTCCGATGCACTTTCTGTAGACTCATTGGATGCCGCGAAGGAGCATCGGATAACACTCGGTTTGAGTGAACTTCCCCCCGAAGTAAGTATTTGTATGAACAGTAAAGTGACCCTACTAAATGGCATATTAGCTTCGGAGAGCTTTATCAGAATGTTATGAGCTTCACCTTCGGTGGACGCGGCCCACGCCCTACTACCATGTGTCTCCTTTACTGTCACGGTCATCTTCAGGAATGCATCTCTTTTACACTCCACAACTAGGGAGCTCTCAGTATGTCGTTTTGCAAGGATTCATTTTGTCTGCTGACTTAGGTCTAGGAACTTCTTCTGCTCAGCCTTCAAGCAGATATTCGGGGATGACCTGAAGTGTATCAATCCAGCAGTGCGTGTCCCCATTCTCGGCAACCAAAATACTAAGTCTATTAGACAACGTTCACTAATGTCTCAATCCTCTCCGAACGCTTTGCCACAGGTGCATCTCAACAGTATCATACAATGCTTTCCAGCCTCGCTGAGCTTATCACATATCTATCGCACAAAGTCTGTAAAGGCCGCGATTATGCCTGCATTAAACAAATGCAGTCACTTTCCAGTGCCGCCTATCTCGACATTGACTATGACACGATCTCTCACGCCCTAACATTCACAGCATTCTGGGACTCCGCCCCTTCCTCTCACGGTTGGACAGACAAGCATTCTCAGCTTGGCCCAACACATCAAACCGAAGTTGGCATCCTGAACTCAGAAACTCCAACAGAGCCTGAAGAGCTTAAACTAGGTGGTTTTCTCACCGTCATTGGCGAGGACGATCACCCGAGTCCAACGCTGTTTGCCTTTCCGTCCCGGCATCAGCCACTCCCTCAATCATCGGAGCTCGACTACCGAACAGCTTTCCGTGACCCAACCGGGCTCCATCCTGTACTACAGCTAATCTTTCCTTCCTCTCAACTGGAAAGCCCAGGTGAATCCTGTGCTCTGCATACATACCTCACGCTGCCGTCATACCTTTTCATTGATAAGTACCAACTCTCCGACCCGCTATTTCTAGCTTCGCAAAACCTAGTAGCCCTGCACTCGATTGCAGGTGAGACAGATCTAGAGGCGCCTGACTGGATTATCAAGACGTGGGGTTCAGCCGCCCTTTTAGAGCTCTCAACCTCAATCAGTACTAGTGCTTCGGCTGATGAAGAGCTGACAGTGTCCATACCGCTACATCTGAGGTATCTATCTCCGAGCAATGCTACCTTGGGTCAAATTCAAGTTCCAGTTCCGTGGCCGATTGTGTTCTGGGCATGTGTGGCAGATGAGGGAACAAAGATGAATGTGAACCCGTTCGATAGGGTAAATCTGGGATACGACGGATTGTTTGGGCCTAGGACAATGTTCTACCATGTACCTACAGCACCGACAAAGATCCTGGTTCAACATGTGCGGGTCCCGATTCTGAACCTTGATGACGCACAGTATGTGGAGATTGGAACAGTATTTGCGATTGCGTTAGGGTCGCTATGGGTATTGTGGAAGTTGCTGAGAGTGTGGACTGGAGGGTACCATGAAAACGTGTCTAAGAAGACGCAATGAAGTCGCGCGACGATTACAGTGTAGGATCAAGTTCTAGAGTATGATATTGGCCTCGACCTTTAGACTCTGCATGTGCGAGAGAAGATAGTATAGTCTCCCCTTGTCAGGCGCCCGCACTTCATCCAAGTCTCCTGCATAGGCAGGTATTTACGAAATATATTGCTCTCATTGGAATACAGTTTGTGTGACCAATGCACACCATTGAGTAGTACGCGTTGAAGAGATAGTCCATCGGCACCTTTCTAAAAGGTATGTATATAAGCAGTGATTGTCAAAGCAAACTCTTTAGACAACGACTAATAGGTTGCTAGGAGACATCCAGGACCAGTTGATGAGATCATGTCGAACAGGTTCAATGAAGGGCTTGCGCTATGTGCGCCTGTCTGTTGACCTGTTTTACACCCTTAATATGTCCAGAAACTCCGCAGTCGTGCAGTAGTCATGCAACTTCGTCATTCTAACAATATTCGAAGCGCCTGTGAGAATCGCAGGATACCAGACACTCATCTCATTTCACACGCAGGGAAGTATCGTGGACCAGCAAATCCATACGTGACAACACTCTGAACGTCGATATTCCCTTGCGGGCGAGAGCTGTAGAACTTGAGCAGTATGTATTTCGCTGAACTACATGTCGCGTCAATACTGTACGTGTAGCAGGAGGAACAAGGCTTACAGCGGTGTCGGAAACTTGACCGTGATCTTGTTCTTCTCCATGAAAAACTTGGCACTCGGCGGCAATGTCACAGTTTTTCCTGAGTCTGCTCGCGGTTCGATTTGTCTGGGTTCCGACCTCCTGATAGAACGAGCATATCCGTACCTATCTCGGGTCTCCCTCCATTGCCGTGTGTAGTCAACATCGAAGTCGGTGTCATCCTGGGCCCTTGCATCACGTCTCATGCGGTCGGCAATGACAGCTGTGCTGGACTCTTCGTCGACATCGCTTGAATCATCATCTGTCACCGGGTCGATAGCATATGAATCATCAGGGTTGGCATCACTCGCATGAGCAGTGTGGTCCTGGAGAAGCCAATCGCAATTTTCTTCTGAACGTGACAGGGATTGTGAGGGTTCATCATGTCTCGAAACATACATTTGCTCCATCCGCCGCCGAGTCCAAGCTTGGTCACGCTCTGCACGATCAAAGTCTGCTTGAGCTCGCTCTGACTGACGTTGGCGAGAGCCCTCCCATACTTCAGGATCTTGTAAACTCTGAAGCAAAGATATCGGTTCATCGTCTGGTGTCAATTCTGGCGACCACGGATCACAATGCCTACTCTCATGTTGTGTAATTTCATAACGTGAACTCTGCTCTGTGAGCTCATCTGCAGACATTCCGACAAATATCAATCCTTCTTGTACTCTGATCCATGTTAGCAGCGCATAGACAGCTTTTCGAGGATACCTACGGTGCAGTAAAGCCTTTTCTAGGGGCCCGGATGACAATTTGCTCTACGCAGAAAGTTGTGCCGCCTTGGTGCTGGAGTAGTATGTTACACTCAGAGCTCTTGGTACAATAGACACTCCGATCGTTTCGCAATATATTCTCTGGGCGATATAAGACCGATCTGGAATCTGCATCGGCATATTCGCCGCCGTCACAACTGACAATTTCCATTCTCAGCCTACCGGGAACGACTTGGCCAAAATGGCCATACGAGAAACCATTAAAGGCAGCTGGTTCGTCGTGAGAGTGGTCGAGCTTGCGGCGCTTTAGTCTTGTGGAAGAAGCATCTTCCACATCTGACATAGGAAATGTATTCCCCACGGACCGACCAAGAGTTCGCGTGGAAGGTTGGTGTTGATGATTGGAGTTGGCAAGCTCGACCATACTTGCAATACCATCTAATGTGTGACTTGCCTCCTGCAATGATCTGAATAGAGCGGCATTTTCAGCATCGCGCTCGCGCCTGCGGCGGCGCATTTGTGCGACATGATTTTCTCGAACTCTGTCTGTCGGTGTAAGTCGTGAAGGCGGCGGGTGCTCCGGAAGACTTGCGGAATCATCATGAGATGACTGGTCTGTTGTCCGTCTATCAGATCGACGGCGACGTGGGGGCATCGGAGCAGCCGGACTCCAATGATCTCTCCGGCGTATGTTGTCAAAGATGTTGGACCGTTCTCTCCTATTCCGCTGCAGAAGATCTCGCTGAAATGGTGAGGTAATCGTAGGATCGGTAGTGTTGGATGTCAGATTCGACGTGAATGATGCAGGTGCAGCAGAGGCGTTCGTTGCAGGTGGAAAGTCAAAGTTTCTAGATATACCCGAGTTCGCAAAGGGTGTGCTGGCCCCGTGTCGACTCATCTGGGCCCATGTGTGAAGCGAAGCTGGTGGTAATGTACAAGGGCCTGGGTGAAGCTTGTACGTCTGACGCCCCGGTAGTAGCGGTCAGCCCGAGCTCAGTGCTTGAAAAAAGGTGAATGGGCGTGAAAGTGATTGTGCAAGTGACTTGAACGGTTGAGGATTTGACGAGGGTTAGAGGTGGTGGTGGTGTCGTTGTGTAGAAGAATGGCTATGCCGCAAGCCTGAGCACCGTAGGACGTAGGTGACATTAATAACGTATTCATCTAAGGGCTGCGTGCCTATTAAAAATGAGGGGTGAGCAGAATTAATTTTAGCTGCACAACGTCAATAATGGTCCGCCGTAATCCCCAGCCGGATCTAAGGCTTATCTGCTTAGCGCAAGATCCCTGTTTTAGAGAATAGCTTTACTCCTTCGAACTACGACGTACGATCAATCGCAACGCTATACCGACAGGTACAAAAGACCATGATAATATGATGACCGCTCAGGCAATAAGCGCAGGTTCGTCACAGAGTCTCAACACTGTAGCAAGAGCCTTTTCTAACAAACCTAGATGAAATTGCGCTGTATGACCGCCAAATCAGACTTTGGGGCGTTCAAGCGCAAGAAAAGTGCGGATACTCAGAATGAATCCAGCTTGTAGTGCTCTGTACTAAAGTTATCCTAGGATTCGCAATGCGAATGTGTTACTCGTAAACATCAGAGCTCTTGGGAACGAAGTCGCCAAGAATCTTGTCCTCGCAGGCATTGCGTCCCTCACCATCATAGACGGCGCTATCGTCACCGAAGAAGATCTAGGCTCACATTTCTCGATATCTACGGCGGACGTTGGCAAAAATCGCGCCCTAGCTGCGCAACCCCAACTGCAGAAACTGAATCCAAGGGTAGCGATATATACAGACATTGAGGACGTAACACTCAAAGGGCCTGAATACTTCGCCCCCTTCGATGTAACGATTGCGACGGACTTGAACTTCAATACGTTCTCCCAACTCAGCGCCGCAGCTCGACTTTCGAATCGCCCGTTCTACGCAGCCGGAGTTCATGGGCTCTACGGCTTCATCTTCGCCGACCTTATACAGCATGACTTTGTCATAGAGCGAGAAAAATCGAATATTGAGACGAAGATACAAGCTGAAAGCTCTACAAGATCTATAATCGCTGTGAATGTTAAGCGAGAGAATGGAAAGCGCTTACCCGTCGAATTGGTTTCGAAAAGAGAAATATATTCGCCGCTCATTCTTGCAACAAGTTCACCTTTACCACCAGAGGTACTAAATAACCGCCGACGGATGAAACAAGTTTCCCCTTTGCTGACTTGTGTCCGCGCTCTCTGGGAGTTTGAGAAGCTATTTCAACGTCTACCGACACATTCAAAAGAAGACCTCCAAGCTTTCACCAGGCAAGCTACAGAGACACATAAAGAATTGCAATTACCCGTAGAGACCCTTAAGTCCGAGTTCCTGCGGAGTTTTTTGCAAAACCTCGGTTCCGAACTCTCTCCTGTTGCCGCGTTTTTGGGCGGCCAGCTCGCGCAAGACGTTATAAATGTTCTAGGCCAACGAGAGCAACCAATTCAAAACCTCATGCTCTTCAACGGGGATGACTGTAAGGCGCCAGTTTATGCCTTGCACCCCATATTTGCACCGATCCCGGATACCACGATTCCAATCATGAACTCCGTCAACCCGGCTATATCCATGGGTATGAGTACGAACTTCCATGACGCATCTACCATAGCGTCCAGTAGCAATTCCCGTAGTATGAATGATAACCATGCTACCATGGACTTGAGCAGTGCTCCCCCAATGGGCACCACTGATCTTACTACATCCCCCGATCAGAGCAACCGAGGCCAGGCTTCGGATCATAATGGCACTACTGCCCCGAGCAAATAACCGACCACACAAGCTCCGGAGGCATGAGGGATATATTTTTCACGCAGGATCCTTCTTATGTGCTGGAAAAGCGTTTGATTCGATTTGCATTCATGGCGTTAGGAGTGCCTCATCATGCTTCATCATAGAAAGGCTAATGTAGCCAGCAAGCGTATAAGGAGCTTTTGGAAGGCTACAACAGTGTTGGAAGTGTACAACAGAGATCATGCGCGCATCCAAGGTTTTTGATCTGTGACTACCCTCGGTCAAGTATGTAATATTAGGCAATAATGCGCAGTATGCCGTAGCGAATACCCAATGTGACACTATAACATCCATGTAACTCCGCGTAGTACAATTGTCCATGCCTTGTCCATGTTTCTGTGGTTTAGACAGTTCCCGCAATACTCAAGTCCCGGATTTCTTGCAAAACCTCTTCCACCCGTGCGTCTAGATTCCCTTGTGCATATTGGTCTCTCGTGTCCGCGTCCAGATACTGCTGCACCTGTGCCATACGGCTATATGCCTCCGCACAGAATCGCAATTGGATCTTAACGAGTGCCTCGAAACTGGGATCCAGATATGGCACGCGCAAGTCGATAAGTTGTGGTAGTTCGGTGGTAAGGGTTTCATTGAGCTGGTCATATTGCACTCTCGCAAGTTGTTCATCCTTCTCAGCCCGAGGGAGCTTTGTTACATCCTTGTCTGGCTTCTCAGTCAGTTTCCGGACCTGTGCGCGCATACGGTCGTAATCCATCTGTTTGTGTTCGCGCTTGGTAATGGCAGCGTTGATGTCGGGAAAGTAGGAGCAGAAGCGGGATATAGGGTCGAGAACGGTGGTACTGGAGACTGTCAGTTCTGTTACCCTGCTGAGGGTCTGCTGGCAGTATACCGGAACGGGCCGTCAAGTGCCTTTATCGTTTCTGCGTCGAGGTCTGAAACCGCTTCCTTGTAGCTTCGCGAAACACCGTCTGTGGCACCAGCGTCGCCATAGAATGCGTCGATAGTCTCTGCTATGCGCATCTGCGAAGCGGTCATTGCTATCAATATAGTCAGATCGGGGAGCATATCGAGGCCGTGTATACTGATGCCCCACCTCTCAAGGAGTCTAGATATCCTTTTGACTCTTTCTGTAACTTGTTCGCCGCTGTTTCCATGACTCGAAATCGCCTGTTACAGTGTAAGAGGTTGACTGTGTCTGGTAAGTTAGACTCCTCACCTCAATTCCGTTTCGAAGTCGCGGTCATTTGTCCTCTCAACTTGCCCAGTCTTCATAAGCACCTGGGTGGTAGCGCGATTGACGCCTTTCTTGAATCCTACCAGTAAAGCGAATGTCAGGAATTGTACTTTGCCAAAGATAGACGATCGTACCTTGCCACGACATGCTCGCGATGTCTTAAGAAATGCAACTATGATTATACGAAGCACGAAGGGCTTTAGCGATTCTGGTACGCGCGAGTAAACTCCTTTAGACGTGTGAAGTTGGACAAAGACTTCTGTATGTTTATACCAGGGAGACGGTCGTTAGTCAGGTGAACAAGGGCAGGTACCAATATTATCTTGAACTTCTTGTCTTTGAGGGTATTGCGTGGCTGTACAAAGCATCGTCATTGCCGCGAGGCAGTGGCGCAGTCTGCCAAGGCTCACGTTCAAGATATCGCACGTGATTGCGAACTTCTACGAAGCTTTCACGATCTTAAATCTTAAATTGCTTACTCTCATCAATGGTTGTCATAATCCTTTGTTAACTAAGGTCCGCTCTTTATGTCAGCCTCTCTGTCGAGGTTGGCTACTTCTTCTCGATGGCATTTACGGGTTTCTTACAGCTGTCGCCATTCTAGTGGCGTCCGCTCTCTCAGCACTCATACAACACCCAAAGTCATAATATCCAAGCATATAGAGGGTCGAAAAGATCCGGGCATCACGGTCTTCTCAGGCATCCAGCCTACTGGGATACCGCATCTTGGCAATTATCTAGGCGCACTTCGTCAGTGGCGCGATCTACAAAATTCGGATACGGAAGTCACTCCAGTTTTCTGCATTGTAGACCTTCATGCTTTGACAACAGTGAATCCACAGGAGGCGGCAGTATTAAGGCAACGTAAAAGAGAGACTTTAGCGTCCCTTTTAGCAGCAGGATTGGATCCCGAGAAGTCCATCATCTACTTCCAATCGAGTGTATGTAGAATACACAACAAGATTTACATGTCTGATCATTTTGAAGCTTCAATATCATGCTGAACTCATGTGGATCCTCAGCTGCAATGCCTCAATGGGATATCTTACCCGTATGACCCAATGGAAGGTAAAGGCCACAAGTAAACATGTGCCCTAGTTGGTATTTCGTGCTAACAGATTATCAGAGTAAAATGGAGCTGCCCGATGATGCCGAACTAACTACTTCGTCCCCTGGAAAGCAGCTCAAGCTAGGCCTGTTTTCTTACCCAGTACTTCAAGCTGCGGATATCCTACTTCACCAGTACGTTTGACTCCATACTGGCTCATATCCGCCTAACCACAGGCAGGGCTGACATTGTGCCGGTTGGGGCAGACCAACGCCAGCACATTGAGTTCACAAGAGAACTTGCAAAGGGCTTCAACAACATTTATAAAGACGAAAAGACGTACGGAGATGTATTCAAGCTGCCCAAGATTCACATTCGTAAGTAATTGGCAAGAGTTTGGATAGTTATAAAGTATTGAGTGACTATAGCTCCAACTGCTAGAATCATGTCGTTGACAGATCCAGTCGAGAAGATGTCCAAATCACACCCGAAGGAATCCTCCCGTATCGAGCTCACGGATTCATCGGATGCCATTCGCCGAAAACTTCAGAAGTCGGTCACTGACTCGATTGAAGGAATCTCGTACGACCCGGACGTCAGACCTGGCATCTCCAATCTCATTGACATTCTCTATACTTTAGGTCACCCAGACCTTGGTTCATCAAAGGGCCCGGAAGGACTTGTACCAATCCTTAGTACACTCAGTAAGCTCGAGTTGAAACGGACAGTGGCAGACGCCATTGACACAGAGCTCCGGCCAATCAGGGAGAAGTACGTCAACATCATGAAAGAGGATAAGCAAGATTCAGGTTTCTTAGACAACATTGCTGTCACCGGAATGGAGAGAGCAAAAAAAAGAGCAAAGTCTACCATGGATGTGGTGCGTCTTGCGCTCGGTTACGGGCATTGAGGAGAATGGTGTAATATATAAATGTATACAAGACACATTTACAATGTACATCAACAGAAGTTTCGCGACTAACACGCGTCCAGAAGCTACATCCATATAAGGTGGACAGACCATAATTGGTTGCGCTCATGCTGATAGAACTAGACCTCAGCCTTATTTCTTTGTAGCAGTGTGCAGTTACAAGATCGTTTACATGATGTCTGCCGGTTAGCGGTTCTCAACCCAGCTCGAGGATGCTGCCCGGAACGCACAGGGGTAGCTGACAGCTGGCACAACATGACGCAGCTTGAGCCTTGCCCTAATCAACCACTGCTCAGCATTTGCTTGCATGGATGCGCTGGCATGAAACAGTTCTACAGTACTATGATGGCAGCAAAGCTAAAAGGCTTGGCTGTCCCTGCAGTATAAATCTGGCTAATCAGGGTATGCCAGCGGTGTAAGGCTCGAACCGGAGCTCGGCTGTCTTTGTTGAAGAGTGCTTAGAGTAGAGTTGTGCCGATAACGTTCCCATAAACACATATCGGCTCTTAAAACCATGGAGGTGCATAGAAAGGAAAACATGAGTCGTTGACGACAAACACGACGATCAATAATTGATAGTCGCGGCCGCCTGGCGGTGAGAGGTTCGCACCGGAGATGATGGACCGCTGACTCAGGGGCGCTCTAGATCAGATTCGGTACCCATGCACAGCTAAAAGTTAACTGTCAGGGTCGTGCGGAGTTGTCAACACTAACGCCTTTTCTCAACTTGAACCTTGTTGCACCACAACCTCAACTTCATCATCTGGCGCCGGCTTTGCATTATCGACCGGCGTTTCCTTCCAGAATTATGTTCATTCGTGTTCTCTGTTGAAGATGATTCTCTTCTAATGGTCAAACTATCGTTTTCTACTCTATACTGAAGGAGGTCAGGCCAGCGCATCACACTGCAGCATGCAGGCCCCGCAGCTTTACTCGTGCGGGCCTGGCCGCCGCGAAGTCTTCATGATACTGGCAGCATGCATGATGCGGGACTGCCTGCTTTGAATTCACAATTCACAATTCCCACGCGTGTTCCACTATGATTGGTACCTTGACCCTGCTCTACTGAAGCATGTGCCTCTAGTTGGCTGGTTCTCTTAATAGTCACTGTGTCGTGCAACTGACTTGTCTTGGTCCGTTGAAAGAAATCTCTGCTGAGTTGTTTACTTCCTTCACTGTCTTGTAAACAGTGTTGGTACTTTTCTACCTTCAACCTTGAACACCTAAGCATGCCGAGTTTCTGGAACCGTTGGTCGCTCAGCGGAAGCAACGAGTAAATCATATCCACTGTACAGTACTCCGAAGTGTCTGACACAGCTATTGCAGTATTCCCAAGCAGGACAAGAGCGTTCTGTCTGATATACAGTACGGCTCACAGAAGCTGGGTAGATTGGGAAGTGCAAGTGGGCGAAGTCCCAAGGAGCCAGATTCTCCCGTCGCGACTTCCCCGGTCGACGGACCGACCACCGGCGAGCAAACAACGCAAGAAACGCACCAAGACTTAAGCGGGCGTACAATCCCTCTGCCACCACCACCTCCAATCCCTGAGAGCGAGCCTCTCGAAGCACCGACTGGCCGCAAATCTACAGATTCACGTCCACACACCACGGGACGCAAGTCTTTTGATCGTATTCGGCATTCGAGAAGGTCCTCCGATCTTCAGCGTACGAACAGCAAACCAAGGCGTTCAGGCAGTATGCGCCGTGCATACAATTACATGTTTGGCGGCAGCCACGGCAACCAGAAAGAGCAGGCCGACGATTCGGATGCACAGACTAACAAGGAGAATGTGAAACCTGAGAACGCTTCAATCACGCGGGGCCCTCCGCCAACTTCAGCTTCAGCTGAGAATGGAGAGCATGACGTCTTTCACGAAGTCTCGGAAATTCCCTCGGAAAGTTCGAAGAAGGCAGAACAGTCTCCTGAGAAGCTCAAGGAGGACCTAGCTTGGTACAAAAAAGAGTTGGAAGAGGCTGCCACCCTCATCAAGTCTCAGCATGAAGCTATTGAAAATTCTCACAAGAAGACAGACGAGCTTCAGAAAGAGTTCGAAGAGAAGAACGCCACGCTTCACCAACAAAAAAAGGCTATCGAGGACCACATGGTCTCCGTTGTTGTGCAGCAGGTAAAGGAGGCCAGAGAGTCCGAACGCAAAGCTGTCATGGCAGAATGCCAGCAGGATTACTCGTCACAACTTGTAAGTATTCACAGACCGACGTCTATGGAACTAGCCGCTAAGTGTTGACCAGGAGGATATGCGCAAAGCACAGATGAGCGAATCGATGGCCATGATTCGAGACCGGGATGCAGCGCGTGAGGAGCTAAAGTCTCTCAAGGCTCGCAACGTTGACCTTGAGATGGCCAGCAATGGCGAGCTTACCGCTCACAAGTCACGTATTGGTGACCTAGAACGAGGACTCATCGACAAGCAAGCTGCTCACGACGAGATTTCTAAACAGCGGGCAGACCTTCACGTGCAACTGAACGATGCCTCAGCCAAGATCGCCGATCTCGAAGCTGATCTTTCCGAGACCAACAATGTCAAAGCCGAAGTGGAAGAACTCCGCAGTCAACTCGACGAACTAAAACGGGAGCGGTCTACATTTACAAAGGCTCTCGAGTCCACAAAGGCGAACCATGGTGTCGTGGTATCACAACTCACGACGCAGCACGAAAACTCTAAAGCTGCTCTTGCCAATGCAGAAGCCTCCAATGAGCAAATCAAGGCCCAGATGGCTGGCCTCAAGGAAGATCTCTCAGAGCAGCTGAACATCTTGCGCGCAGAAAGATCCACGTTGAGTGAAGAGCTTGCTGCCGCCAAGGCTGCTGCTGAGTCTCTTACAACCGAGCATACGTCTCAGGAAGAAACTCTCAAAGCCGCACTTGCCACCGCAGAGGAATCAAATCTCCAGCTCAAGGGCCAGCTTGAAGAGCTCCAAGCTAGTCTGGAGACAGCTGGTACCAGTTCCAAGGATCAACTTGAAGCTTTCGAGTCACACAAGTTAGAGAGCCAGAAAGCGTTAGATGTTGCCCTGCAATCATCTCAAGCTGCTACAGCAGATTTAGCGAACATAAAGGCATCCCTCGAAGAAACAAAGGCCGCTTTGAAAGATGCCCAAGAGCAACATGAGCTAGTAAAATCACAGCTCGCTGAAAAGGATGATGCCCACGGCAAGGCTCTAGCAGTGCTTGAGGCTGATCTTGCAACCCATAAAGATCATCGCGACCAACTCCTTTCATCCTCTGAAGAGAAAGCAGCCGCTATTTCCAGCCTTACCACCGATCGGGATGAGCAAGCTAAGGCACACGAGGATGCGAAGTCGAAGATTGCTCAACTTGAATCGAAGCTCTCAGAGTCTGATGCCGTCGTTGCTGAGCGGGACTCCCTTGTACAAGGTCACGACGCAACGAAAGCACAGCTTGCAGAGGTGGTCAAAGAACGTGACGGATTATTGGAAACTCATGCGTCGACTGAAGCTAAGCTGACGGAGATCACTGCTATGCTTGCTGAGGCCGAAGCTTCCCTTTCAGAACACAAAAGTGCTGCAGAAGCTAGCGAGCAGAAGCTTGCTGGCGTGACGGTAGAGCGAGATGGACATGCGGAGTCTCTTGAGTCTGTCAAGTCAGAGCTCGACAAACTTACCATCGAACGCGATGCCCATGTCAAAGCTCACGACGCTACCAAGGTTCAGCTGGCGGATTTAACAGCTTCTCGAGATGCCAGTATGGAGAAGGTCGATGGCATTAGGTCTGAATTAGACACAAAAACAGCAAAGGTGGAGTCTCTCGAACAGAGGCTCGCCGAGATGGAGAATGAAATAGCCAAAAGTGTTGCATCACTTTCTACGAAGGACGAAGAGCTGAAGGAAGCTTTAAAAAGGACTTCCGACGTCGAAGATGTTGCGAAGGAGCTAGAAGACCAGAAGGCTGCTGCTGCTACTCTCACAACAAACCTCGAAGCAACAAAAAAAGAGCTCGAGGCTGCGCAGACTGAGATTACTGCGTCCAAGGTCCAAGTCGAAGAGCTTTCGAAGATCGTGGAAGTGTCCAAGCTACAGGTTGAAGAGAAAGCTACCAGGACGACAGACCTTGAGAACGAACTTGCCAATGCAAAGGTCATCGAAAGCAAATATGCCGAGCTCCAGCAAGAGCAAGCCAGCTTGAAAGAAAAGCATGATGAGCTTCAAACAGCTGTCACGAAGGCTCAAGACCAAGAGAAGATTGCTGCAGAAGGTCTTGTCTCCCGGGAAGCTGAGGTTGCAGACTTGAAGGCTGAGCTAGAAGTCCTCAGCTCCAAGCTACAGCAAGCTACGGAAGCGTCGAAAGAGGCCGAATCGGCCGTATTGCAGATTAAGGACCTAAAAGCTAAGAATGCTGAGCTTAACGCAACTCTCATTTCCTTGCAAGAGAAGTCAACTGAGGCCGAGAATGCAATGAAAATGTCCGAGGAAGCATCTGCCAGTGCTAAAGCAGCTGAGGCAAAGCTCCTTGAAACTGAGGCCAAGAATGCCGAACTTGTAAAAGCTCTGTCTGCCTCCGAGGAAGAGTCACAGAGTCACAAAAAATCATTGGAGCTAGCCGAGCAGAGTCAACAGGAAGCTCGTGATACGGCAGAAAAGCTGAAGTCTGCTGAAGCTCGCACTGCAGAATTGGAGACTGAACTTGCTTCGCAGAAGGCACTCTCAGAATCAAATGGCCAGACACTCAAAGATCTAGAGAAGGCTCACGACGATGCGCGCACAGATTTGAAAGCTAAAATCTTGGAGCTGGAGAATTCTCACGAGCATGCCACTCAACTAAAACAATCTCTTCAAGATGCTAGAGTTAGTCATTCAGCTACCCAGGAGCAGCTTACTGCTCTTGAGGCTGCGCACACAGCAAGCTGGGAGAAGGTCGCCGCAGATGTGGAGAAGACGAAGAAGCGTGAGACTGAGCTCCTTACCGAAATTGATCAGCACAAGAGCGAGAAAGACGCACTGCAAGCCAAGCTTCTAACTTTTGATGAGAAACGCCACGACTCAGTCGTGCCTGGCCCGGTCGACGTGACTACTGAAACTGAAAAAGTGGTAGACGAGCCTAAAATTGACCACACGGGAGATACACCGTCGTCCGATGAAGTTTCCCCAAGCACCGTAGCTCCCACTAATGAAGATGCTGTCACCGAGGAAACAGATAAGTCGAAGACATCTGAAGGTCCATCAACATTGCAGAAGCTCGAGGGCGCGGTGGAGTCTGCGATAAAGGCGACCGTCGATACGGCAAACCATGCAGTCAGTGCCACGGATGAGGAGACATCGAATGCTGCCGCAGACACCGACAAAGTCGTTTCCACAGGCGAAACTTCTACGAGTAAGACGAGTAGTGATGATGAGAAAGACTCTCCGCGACCTTCGCCACGTAAAAGCGTCTCTTTCAAGGACGATACTCCTGGACAAGACACAGTCGATAGCGAGACTGCGCCAGCAGACTCTGCGCCCATGGCGGTCCAGGCAGACAGTGTTGAAGAGCCTCCCCAGGCAGTAAATATAGAGTCCTCCGAGGCTGATGAGCCTACTGGCACCGCGACTGCAACTAAAGCTACTGGCGATGAGGAAGAGGAGGGTGGAGAGGAAGAAGAAGACGAAGACTCCGCGCCTCCCACCCCGGGCGGTAAGGAGAACAGCGATCCTTCGACGCCAGCACCGAAGACAAATGGCAATGCCAAAAAGAACAAGAAGAAGAGCAAGGGAAAGAAGAAATGAGACACGATAACACCAATTATGTAGTGACGCCGCAATGCTCACGCACAGCAGAAAGATGTCTCATGGAGACTGAGGACAATGACGAACTTGCAAGGAGGACTAGAGGTTAATGTTGGCGAACGCACGGGTTCGATAATTGCACTCTGATTCTTTACACTATATTTAATGTTGCTTTGATCGATTGATTGGCTTTCTTGTTTGCGTCTGCTAGATACCATCTCATACCTGCGATCATGATGGCTTGTATTAGGACTTCGCATCAATGCACGCATAGTACCTTCGCTTTTAAGTTCACAACCACCAGACAGCCGCACTAGCAGTGAATTATACTTGCAGCCTTGCGGGGACTTCGTACTGTCAACACGATACAGGAAACCAACTTGCCAACACATCTATGGAGGGGCGCAGGGCAGCGAGCAGCTCTCCAGCTGCGAAAGCTCTGTAATGGATAGCGGGGTCCTGCAGAACCCCTGCCTGATATGTAAGAGCGCGACCAGACGATTTCTACCCCATCATGACCCGATTGCAACGAAAGAAAATGTTCCATGTCATCTGCACGTCAAAAATATACTGTCAATCGTCGTAGCAGCTCGCAGATTCATACTAGAGAAGCGATAATAACAATGAGGTTCCGCTCATAACTAATACATCGGCGTCTAACGCTCTTTCCCCGGCACTAGCCTTCAGCTCAGTAATACGCCTCATCAATGCTCTTTAACTTTAGCATTCTATACTATCCTTTCGCAATTGATCATCGTTGACGGCATATCCATATATTTATTTCAGTATGCCTGCAGCACCAAAACAGCGCAAGGTCGCCATTGTTGGGAGTCGCTCCGTCGGTACAGTTACCTGCTCTCGTCTTCTCACGGCTTCGCCAGCTTGTAATCTCATGCTAACCATCATATGTCTTAAGGGAAATCCTCACTGACCGTGCAATTCGTCGATGGGCACTTCGTTGAAAGCTACTACCCAACAATCGAGAACACTTTCAGTAAATCCATCAAGCTGAAATCGCAAGAGTTCGCCACAGAGATCATAGACACCGCGGGACAGGTAGGCGCTCGATTCAGCTCGCCTTGTCCATTCGTTGCCTCGTGCTGAGCTGAAAATCGGGAGGCTGCTGACGACCTCGACTCTTCAAATTAGGATGAATACAGCATACTCAACTCGAAACACTTCATTGGCATCCACGGGTACATGATAGTCTACTCCGTCGCGAGCAAGCAGTCTTTCGAGATGGCTCGGATAATACGAGACAAAATACTAAACCACCTGGTGAGTGTAGCTGAGAATACTATGATTCGACGCATCACTGACGCGTCTGGGTGCGTAGGGTACCGAATGGGTTCCTCTGATTATCGTCGGTAACAAGAGCGATCTGCGACCAGAACAAAGACAAGTACAGCCGGACGATGGCAAGGCACTTGCAGAGGAATTCAAGTGTGCATGGACCGAGGCCAGTGCTCGTTATAATGAGAATGTCTCAAAGGCATTCGAGCTACTAATTGCAGAGGTAGAGAAGTCTCAGAACCCAAGTGAGCCAACGGGGAAGAATGGGTGCAATATGATGTGAGAATAAGAGCATAGACGTTACCGGGCATCAACCATCGAAGGAGTAGTGGCGTACTTTTGGCTTTATCTGATATCGTCTCAGACAAGTTTGTATTTGAAATAATGCCATGTATATTTGGCAAGGCATGCCAGATCTTACTTCAACAGGTCGTGTGCAAATCTACATATGCGGTTAGTTTCAGATTCTTCTGCAAGTTACTACTGCTAGGGCCTCAATCTTCAGTTGAAGACTCTATAAGGTATTGCTGCTTAGGATGAGTTGTAAATCGTCTGCAGGCGTTCATGACTCAAAGCTACAGGTTGATGACCCCACTAACGACACGCATCCATCCCCCCGCCGACAATTTTCCCCACCATCAAATACCACCCACGACATTGTAACCGTCCAAGGCAAGCACAATAACGAAGCGCGTCATAACGCGTAAAACTACATTATACTCCCTTGATTCTATCGCACCGCCAGGATGATTGACGTCAACGACTTCATCGTCGAACGCGGGGGCAATCCAGAGTTGATTCGAGACAGCCAGAAGCGCCGCCATGCGCCCGTGGAAGCTGTGGACGAGGTGATTGCTATGTTTGAGGACCACAGGAAGAGTGAGTAGCTCCATCGCTCAGTTTTTCATGTATAATAATACTCCAGCCTTTCAGCGCAGTATGAGGCAACCCAAATCGGCACTCAAATAAATGCGACCCAGAAAGAAATCGGGCAGAAGAAGAAGGCATGCATTCAATCAGCGCACCACATAGGACACGAACTTACACTGGTGTTATATAGAACAAGGAGAATGCCGATGATCTCCTGAAAAAGAAGGAAGAGCTCACGAAGGCGAAGAAGGCACAAGAGGACGTTGCAGCAGAAAAGCTTATTGCGCTGAATAAGAAGGCAAAGAGCATAGGCAATTATGTGCATGCATCAGTCCCCGTTAGCAACAATGAGGTGAGGACCGTCTTGTTCAAGATCGCGAATGCCGATGGCTGATGTGCAAAGGATAACAATGAGAAAGTCGACGAATGGGCCCCTGAAGGTACTAAAGTTGAAAAGAAGGACTGCCTCTCCCACCACGAAGTGCTGACTCGGTTGGACGGCTATGATCCGGAACGTGGAGTGAAGATCGTAGGCCACCGAGGGTATTGTCTCACTGGGTACGGATTGTTCTTGAACCTGGCGCTTATCAACTACGGGCTCGAGTTTCTGTTCAACAAGGGATACAAGCCGAACCAACCACCATTCTTCATGCTGCGAGAGGCTATGGCGAAAACGGCGCAGTTGGAGCAATTTGATGAAGAGTTATATAAGGTCACTGAGGGCGACGATCCGGCAACGGACAAGTACTTGATCGCGACATCAGAACAACCTCTCTCAGCGCTGCATGAGGGCGAGTGGATCGTAGAGAAAGAGTTACCCATCCGGTATGCAGGCTACAGCACATGTTTCCGCAAGGAAGCTGGATCACACGGGAGAGACGCTTGGGGTATCTTCAGGGTCCACCAGTTTGAAAAGGTAAGCACCTGTTGACATACTAATCTGGAGTACAGGCGATGTACTGACCAGAATCAGATTGAGCAATTCGTTTTCTGCAAACCTGACGATTCTTGGGACGAGTTCGATCGCATGATTTCTGTGTCGAAGGAGTTCTATCAATCTCTCAAGATACCCTACCAAGTAGTGGCCATCGTTTCCGGTGCGCTCAACAACGCTGCAGCGAAGAAGTACGATCTAGAAGCATGGTTTCCTTTCCAGGGTGAATACAAGGAGCTGGTATCATGCTCAAACTGTACAGACTACCAGACACGCGAACTTGAAGTGCGCTTCGGGACAAAGAAGCAGAAGGAGGTCAGCACGAAGAAGGAATACGTACACGCGCTCAACTCGACCCTCTGCGCCACAGAGCGAGCACTATGTTGCGTGTTGGAGAACTATCAGACAGAGGATGTAAGTGGTGTGCCCAGGCCGTTCCTGTGTGTGGCTGACTTTTGCAACCAGGGTCTCGTTGTCCCAGAAGTGCTTCGCAAATACATCCCCGGTCAGCCCGAGTTCCTGCCCTACGTCAAGGATCTGCCAGCAGCAACGACGTCGGCAAAAGCGAAAGGCGAAGCAGGTGCTCCGAAGCAGAAGGTCGCAAAACCAGCTGAGGCCGTCGACAAGCTGAAGGACCTGAACATCAAACAGTGAATATACGAACTGGGTTGCAGAGTGTGTGGTACCACGAACCTACATACGGAGGATGTATGTCCGGCGAAGTGGTCCTCGCTTGTCGGCGTCCCCCGACAATGGATAGCAGTGCAGACTTTTAGCCTAATGGATAGAACAAGCCACACTACGAGGGGTTCATTCCAATCGAAAACATATACCCAAACCCTGGTCCATGTCCTTGCAATCCCACGGCCACGGCGACGTAAGCAGCACCCCCTATCCCACCCCATACCTGGCTCCAAGGCTCGGCTACGGCCATCGATCGCCGATCTAGATCAATCACACACTCCCTGCCCGCCTGCCTGCCTGCCTGCCCCTCTAGGCAAGCAATCCATGCAAGACACACACACACACACATACACACATATACGAACAAACAAACACCAATGCTTCGTTTCCCAGCCAGCACGTTCATGCATGCCACTTCTTTGCCCAACTCACAGCCTACTTGATTCCCCTACTTTACCTCCTTACCAGCGGCGAAATCCAAGGCCTCCCCTGTCAAACCCAACAAACCCCAAACCCGTGCAAGACGTACGCAAGATCCGTACATGACCAGAACCAAAACCCAGACCTGTACAAAGACCCAGAGCCTGTACATGATCTGGACCTGTACAAGACCCAGAACCTGTACATGATCCAGATCCATACCCAACCAGACTGCACCAGATCCGAACCCTTGATCACATCCCCCTTGCCTCTGATTATCCCTCTTACCCTCCAACTCTTCAAACCCCTTATCACTGCATGCAAGTCGATAACCGATAACCGATATAAACCGATATAGACATACAGATAGAGCTAGCTATACGTGCAGATAGGAATAGAAATCTCAGACGCCTCCCTGCCTCCCTTTATATCCCCTCGTACACACCCCTGAGCCCCTTATACCTCATACACCCCAACCCATACCCCTGTAAATCGGTAGAGATAGAAATCTCTCCGTTGGGAGGCGGAATATTGTTGTTATTGTGATTCGGTGTTGCAGGATATATAGTTTTTGTAGGATTGGGTGTGCTGTGATTGGGTGGGATGTGGTAGGATGTGCTATGTCGTGCTGTGCCGTATCGTACTATGCTCAGGGTTCGTGGAGCTGTGACGAAATGGAGCGAAGGAGTTTTTTATGGAGTTTTTTTTAAGGGTTTTAGTGGTTCTCTGAGTTTTTAGTTGTTTTGGTTTATTTCGATTTAGTTTGGTTTGATTGGGTTTGGTTTCTGTTGTGTGTTGTGTCTGGTAAGGGGGCAAGCGAACGAGGTAAGACGGGTCCGGGAGGGAGGGAGTGAGGCACGGGACGGGGGAAGGGGTTGGCGCTGGGGTGATGTAGAAAGAGAGAGAGAGATTATAGGGGAGATCTTGATACGCAGATTAAGGAGGGACTTCTGGGTTGTTGAGGACTATTTTCGAGGAGCTTTGTGTAAAGCATTGGTATACTCGATTTCGGGATACATGCTGGGGGATGTTCACGTATATGGCTGGTATAGGGGCGGGAAGAGTCTTCAGTATGTGTATGTATGTCTGTATGCTCTACGTAGCCGGCAGTTGATTACTCCTCAAGACCAGTACACACCTCAAGCCGTAGCCAGACTCACACCTTCTCCGCCACCAACGCCGTCTCCCCCGACTCCACCATATACACAAACTCCCGCACAACCCTGAGACCCACCTCCTTACAAATCCCCTCAAACTCCGCACGCGAGCGACACCCACCCCCAAACAGCGCCATCATCGTGAAATCCGCATACGCCAAATGCCAATGCGCGCCCCGCTCCGGCAGCACAATCTCGTCAATCATGAGCAGCGAGTCGGCCGCCATAGCCGCGACGCAGTGCGTGAGGATCTCGACGCATTTGGCGCGAGGCCAGTTGTGCAGGACGCGGCGGAGGTAGTAGACGCGGGCGCCGGTGATGGGTTGCGGGGTGAAGAAGTCGTGTTCCATGTGTTCTAGGCCGTCGACGGTGAGGCCGGCGGCGAGGGCCGGGGCGCGGTCTTGGTTGATGATGCGGCCGGGGAGGTGGGGGAAGGCTTCTTTGAGTTCCTTGCAGGTGCGGCCTGTGCCGCCGCCGATGTCGACGAAGAGGGGGCGGGAGGGCGTGGTTTCGACGGTGGTGCGGTCTGGAAAGGCGGCGGCCCGGTCGGCGAGCACGGCGGGGAGGGGGAGTTGTTCCCAGACGCTGCGTTGCCAGCGGTGGGTTTCGGCCATCATGGCGTTGAAGTCTGCTTCTAGGGCTGGGCGCTGCTTCAGCCAGGTGAACATGTGGTCGGACACGCCCTGGCCCAGCTGAAAGGGGGTGTTGGTGGGTGAGGTTGGATGGGCATAGTGTGTGGACTCGAAGAATGCTGGGGCGGCGGATGTTGCAGGGAGAATGCATTCATGGGCGAACCGAAGACCGGCTGCGTAGGCTGGTTTGGCGAGGGTTCTGGTGAGGACGGAGGTAGTGAAGTGTGAGGGGGAGGACTCGGTTACTAGGTGCTGTGACGAGAGGTATCGCAGGATACGAGCTGTGTGACGTTAGATCTGCCTGGTTACGCTTCGAGACGTAGTATTGTTGTTGATGGAGAGGTATTTCCACGCATTGTATTTTAGGTAGAGTTGAGTCCGGACAGAGAGAAAAAGCCTACCTAGCAGTCGCTCATCTACCTTGCACCTCACAGCAAGATCTGGAACAGAGGAGGGGGTGACATTATCGATGAGGGCGTTGAATATCCCGAGATCAGAAGCAAGCCGAGACACAATCAGGAGGAGAGGCTGCATGTCGTACTGTTAAGCCATTTACTTCCAAATCAATACGAACGGTAGCACTCACTGAACCTAGGATCCGGTGTTGAGTGGTATTTTCGTCTTCAATTCTTGTCTGTAAAGCTCTTGCTGCCTCCCACAGACGTCTCCGTTGACCAGGATTTTGAGGCTTTGGGAAATTTTCAATTCTGGCGATGAACTCATCGACTGCGGGATCAGTGTTCATGGTGGTTTGCAAGTGGCAACGAAATGCCGTGTTCGAAAATATGCCTTCCTCAACAAGCCGTTGTTGTACATCGTGAGCCTTGAGTTTGTGTGAATAGTGGAAACAAGAAATAGTGAATGATGGGCCTGATGCAGGCAGGATGTAAGGAATACAGTTCGCGGCGATGCGTGGCTAGAAGGTGATGACTAGGCAATGGAAGCGGACGTGGATCCGGATTCCCATCCTCACATCGGATAGGCTGCAGCGTACAGAGGCTGCATGTGACGAGACCTGAGGCTGAGATGGCTGAGCACTAGCATAGAACGAGAGCCTATGATCGGCTTGGTCGATATGGATGGGATCAAACACTCCGGACTGGGTCGGATTCAGCATTGCTGTGTTCTGTATCTACCTTGCCCACCCCAATATCGATCTGACTCAACATCGTCATCATGGCGGTGACGACTGTGGGACATGCTCATGGAATTGGTAGATTGCTGTTCTTAGATGCTGACTGAGATGCTCGATGAACACCTACCTGGTTCAGTCTCAGCCCTCGATTGGATACGAGTCAGGGTCAATCTCAGACGTGGATAAATACCATCCATTCAGACGAAGGGATCTTCGCCGTGCGATGATGCCATTCGAATTCAATCAGCCCCTATCATCTTTCACGAAAATATGTCATGGTATAGGCAGCAGGATCAAAGTAAAATCTTATCGAATGGCCAAAACTCTTAAATGGTATCTCCAAATGCACGCTCCTAGAAAGACAGCCCCAGTACAACAGACCTCCATATACCTAATTGGTTCCGAATCATGTACAATAACCGTCGTCATGATATCTGCAGTCATATACAATCGTGAAAAATGCTACTACTACGGCTTCAATGCATATATGCTATCGTTGTGCGACCCTCGTGAGGAAGCCAGCCGTGTTGTTGATCCAGACTCACCCGACCTGCCAGAGAGTGGGATCCCATGAGTCCCACTCTCCAGACTCTGTTTGGAGAGGTAGGATCGAACATTGTCCTTTACGAGTCCGAAAAGTGGACCTATGACTGGCATAGATGCACAAATGATTCCCACGCAGGCTTCAGCGATTGTCCAGAGGTTGATGTCGGCTAGTACCCATGTCACGTCAGCATTGGGATCGATACTGAGGTAGCTATTAGACAATCGGAGGAGACCAGCCGTGATTGCGCTATGCAAATGTTAGTAGGAGGTCCGTCAACGCGTGTGAGAGCAGCTTACAAGGCGCCGGTGGCAAAGACGGCAATCAAGGACAATTTTCGTGCTCTTTTCATGTGCAGGTTCCAGAGCATAGCCATTGGCAGAATGAAGATGAGGATGTCGAGCAGAGAGTTCAGAGCAGCAAAGGCAAGAGCAGCTCGCCCATTCTGAAGGTGGCACTTTCCATTCGCTGGAGGATTGAGTTGTACAGATGTCCACAAGAATGATACTGGTGAGCTGTCTTCAAGTCAGAGATTGATCTGAGATGACGAAGATTGCCACATACCACTGGAAGCCGGCAGCAAAGAATGCAGCCAGTGTCCATGAGACTGCGTACACTCCACAGGCGTAGCAGGCCAATTTGAACCAGGCAATTCTGAAGCTGAAGACGCGGTGGTAGAAGAAGAGGATGGAGAATTTGATGAAGAAATGAACCCATGCGTAGAGCAGTGTGAACGCCCAAGTGGTCTGTCAGTTGTGTCAATGTGAGATCTCATGTGATGATACAGGCTCGTGTTCGGGACTGACCTGAACGACCTTCCAAAGGACTTGCACATCAGCACCCCAAACGTGGCGCCCCAAACCCCATTTTATCACTGTAGACCAAGGTCAGTCTATCGCATCAATGGCGTGCACGCATATGATATTATATGGTGCGGTAGCAACCAGCATGACTCACTTGTGATGTTCAGCGAGCACATGGGTATCGCAATAACCTGAATCTGTTAACTTGGCTGCTTCTGCATTCATATAGGAAATTGCAAGAATTCACGCACCCAAGCTACAAGCGCAAACCAGTCATCGACACCGATGTGAAGAGATCGGCTGCGGCGCGCGATGAACCTCAGAACAATTGCGATGGTGGTGAGAACTATGAGCACGACGGAAACGGCGACGATGAGAGTGTTCCTGTTATCGTTCATCGTAGCCAACTGGTCGGGAGTGAGAGTAGCGACCATTATTGCTGATTTGGTTGAAGCGATTGGCAGCGATGCCAGACAATATACAACGCACACAGACAACCAAGAGGGGAGATGAACAGATGATGGACAATAGCTGGCGGTCTCACGGGAGAAGTACTGATGAGGATGAGGATTTTGACAGGGGTCTGTCTCTATTACTACCTTAATCACTCCGACCCTTGCCCTTGGCCGAGGTGGATGGAGAGTGAGTGAGAGGGTGGAGGATGAAGTGCAGAGAAAGGAGAATGGACGTAAAATGGGCTCACTGCACATGGATCCATGGCAGAACAGCAAGCGATCTCACTACTTCTGCTACGCTGGATGAAGTAGCTTGCAGCTGGCAAAGTATCACGGCCTGTCCGGACAAGGCGAGGGTGCAAGCCAGCAGATTGCATAGATGGCGAAGATGGCAAAGATGGCATACATGTCAAGTGGGTGGAAGCGACAGTGCATGCACGAGCTCTTCTCTGTGTAGCTGTGTAGCAAGTGCTGAGTGGTGGGAGTCGTAAGTCTTTTCGGGATAGTAACGCGAATAGTGATGGCGGCATAGGAGCAAGACATCAACATCCTTGGCTGGTGTAGGGGTTATCAGAGATGATATAAGCTTGCCGATGAGCTGACAGCATGGATCCAGAATCATGCGCTGGATGCCGGTTTTGCTTCAAGTCTAGACGAGCGATACAAGGGACCTAATAGAATGATATTGCAGTTCGAATTTGGATGCAAAGTGAAGAGGATTGAGGAAGACGAGATGGCAAAACGTGTGTGTGTTGATTGAGGTGGTCTAAGCTTGAATGAATGAAAAAGGATGAAAGAAGACTAGAACTGGAGAATAGAGGAGAATTGGAGTAGGAGGGGAGGGGTGTCCGAAGAAGGGTGCAGCGGAGACCGGGTGGCGGAATTTAGTGTCTTTTTGCGGTAGAACATGCACAGAATAGCGCGAACTCGGGGCTGAAGACGCCGGAAAAGTGGCACCAGCTGGCGCTTAAGGGGGGGTTCTAAGGATGAAAAGGATCAGATCCATAGATTCTGCACGCACCGTATTACCCCACTCCCACTCTAACTGCTGACTTCTCCCCGCCCTGCTGAACTTCACCCTGCTTGTTCACCAAGTCAGTAGAGCACTTTACACTCTGCCTGTGCCTGTACTTGTGCCTGTGGGTGGTGCGTGGCTATCAAGGTTAGTAGTCCTAAGGGTCTCTGACTTGTCATCCCAGGGAACTCACCTTGACGAACCAGAATCAATTGGTCATGATCCATCGTCCGCTTACATAGTACAGACGTTAGGGACTATCACGACACACCGCGTCGCAGATACGGCCACCAGTTCCCGCGCGCCGTCTGAATACCTTACCTGGCTGATGTCTGACGTTGCCATTGCCGTCGTGATCAGCAACGTCTCCCTTCGATGCGGCTGATTAATTCCTTCCGTCCATTCGTCGGACGGCCGATGCCCCGATTCTCTACTCATACCTAAGCTGGCCATGCAGGACTCTTGACTCTTGGAGCTCGAGCATCCCGAAGCCCATCGCAAATGATTGTGCCACCTGCCAAGAGCTCAGCTCCTTAATCTCCTTCTACTACCTATGCAAATTCTTCCTCCAAGCCTGAAACTTTTAATACCTAACCACGAATCTACAACCACCAAGACCATCATGACAACCAAACCCTCTGCTGCTCCCTGGGCGGACGAACCCTTCAAGCTCATCACGCTTCCTGATGGACGTGCTGACATTACCAATGTATGTGCTCTCATTGGCCCCTGAAGCTACCACTGACAATTCTTCAAGAAGGAACACTCCGCTGTCTATTGCGCCACGCAGATGGCCCAAGTCCACAACTTCATGATACGCGGTCTCAATGCTATCATCCAGCAAGCTCCTCACATACCCACCATTTCCGACCCCAATTACAATGAGCAGGATGTAAAAGACCTGATGAAATACGTCCAGATCTGGATTGAGGGCATGGAGAAGCATCATCACGTTGAGGAGGTTTGCATCTTTCCAGAAATTGAAAAGTTTGCCGGCAAGCCAGGGCTCATGGACAGTCCGAAACATCAGCATGAAACCTTCACACCAGGCCTGGAGAAGCTGTTGAAATACTGCAAAGAGTCATCACCGGAGAATTACCGCTGGTCAGGTCAAGGCGGGATGGAGGAGCTGATCAACGACTTCAGTGATGCGCTCATCACTCATTTGTACGCAGAAATCGACATTTTCCTGAGTCTGAAGACCTTGGAAAGTGCCGGACTGAAGAAGTGCTGGGAAATAGGCGAGAAGTTCTCCCAATCTGAAGGTTTCGTCGACATGCTAGTAAGTACCGAAGCTAGTTCTGACAGTAAACATATGCTAATCCTCCATGAAACAGTACACGACCTTTCCGATGGTTCTCGGCACCGCAGACAAGACCTATGAAGGAGGAACACCATTTCCGCCAGTGCCCTTCATCATGCCATACATTGTACACTACTGGTTTGCAGCTGGCAACAGTGTCTGGCGCTTCAATCCCTGTGATTTCTGGGGCAAGCCTAGACCGCTCCAATTCACATCTAAGTCGTAAGTCGAACAGTACGAGGAATAAAGCAGCTACTGCTGTAACTGCGTGAGCGATAGCGAGCCTAATCATACACGAATACGCGGAAGAAATCGCCACTTAGATGACACGAACTGTGTTGGAGAGATGTCTTGATGTGGCAAATTTAGACCCCATACAGCGCTGAAGCAACAAGACATGATACCTACGCCATCTCCTCTTGCAGGGTGCAAACAGCTACTGCCATTGTCATCTGAATTTTGCCAGCGCTCCAAGCCAACCAACTAACATGGTGCGGTAGCTCGCGCTGTCTATCATCGAGAAGTAGCATAAATGTTCATCGGGCTCAACGTGTCTCTGACACCAGCTAAACATGAGGCGCATAAATGCATATACTACAACGTGGACACGTGTGACAGCATAATCATGAGAACTCTTATGCAATTCAAGTACTATTAACGTCTCTTGTAGGCTCGCGAATCGGAGTCGCACATCTCTATGGCTAGACTCTGGAGTGTTTTGAGCTTCGAATCCTTCGAGTCAGCGATTCATGCAACCCTGCTGAGTGGTGAGCTACACTACGACCAGAGCTCATGGTCACAACCGGCAAGGCCCACAAAGCTGGAGTCGAATAGCTGCCTGTTCACCATGATAGATATACCTGAACGCCACTCATCTTCTTGGGGCCCCACTCATCCAAAGAATCGTTTTCATTCGTGGCCCAATTCCCGATAAAGAAAGCCACGACCGGCTATGCTTACCAAAACAATCCACCATAGCTCACAACACATACGTCAGGCTTCCGTTCCCTATCTTCGTGTCCATGACGTTATATCTGGATGTTTCAAGGCTAAAGAAGTGTCAGCTTGATCAGTCTTTGTTCTCGAATACCGAAGTTGACTTGATAGCTCTAGAAGAATTAGAATGTGGTGATAGCAGTGAGACTGACCTCCAGACTAGGTTTCCTATCGAGTTGCTCTTACAGACATCGATAAAGTCACGTACTCCACGCACGTCCTCCTTGGCCGTAGCCATTACCAAGGATTGTGCTGCCAAGTCAAAACGATCCTTGGACATGCGCAAGGCTGCAACTGATTTCGACACCGCTATCTGCAGGTCTCCACACCTAGCAAACGTCAATGGCACGATGCTATCAATGCATCCTTGTTTGATCTCTTTTCGAAGCGAAAGTAGATCATTGATAATCGATATAATCACGTTCGTCTCGTCCCAGATACCCTGCATGTGATGATTTTCCAGAATATATTGGGGCAGCTGAATTGGCAGAGAAAATTCTCCTACTGCGACTCCGATATAGACAGCGCTCGTGCCTAAACGGAACTGCCAATATTGCTCCAAAGTCGGTACAGTCCCGTCCAGTCTCAGTCTCTGCTCGTCCTCTGAGGCAATCATGAACCGGAAAATTTCTCGATAGAAGCGTCGACGCTGGTCCAAGGAGTACGACGTTCGGAGTGCATCTCCTACCACATCGAAACTCTGAATGATTGCATTGCGTGGCGCGGGAGTAATCTTGCTTGCTGAGAGGCCTAACGTTGCCGCTACGAACTCCAGAGTCTTCTCGCGATATCTCTGTGCTGCTCCAAAGTCATCGCTGCAGAAACCTGTCGGCGTATCAATCTCGTCGTCCCACGTGAAAAGCCAGATTATAAGGAAAGCGAGCGTCCGCAATCTATTTAGTGGAGCATCTGGCCACCATAATGCAGTGAATAACGCAAAGTCTGCACTCTCAAGCGTTTTCAGTTGTTTGCCATTGGTATAGAGCCTGCAACCGTTAGAGACAAACCTGCTTTTGCATTGTCCATTGGGGTCTCACCTTCTAAGTCTTTCTGTGACTATTACTCTCAACTCGTCAACGAAAGTGCTGACGTGTACTGTCGAAGCCCCTCTCCAGTCAGCGAAAATGGGGAGAAGATTGGGGATGTGTATCGTTTGACCTCTCAAGTCTTCTAGGACCTGCTCGCGAGACAAGTTGATTGACGGCATGGTATAACTCTTCTACAGAGTACTTTTGTGACAGCGGAGCAAGAAAGACGAGTATCTGACAAACGGCCACACCATAGACGACGCATTTCTATGCCGTGACGCCCGGGTATTTAACGCTAGCAAAGTGATAAAAGTCGGCGAACTCCACCGCTTGTTCACAAGGCACGTCTCAGCTCCGCCTGGCCGGGTATATATGATGTACGATCACTATCATCCATACTGGGCGAAGCACGTAAGCACACCCAGTGGACTAAGGATCGCTACAGCGGGTCCCATACAGTCAGTGCGACCTCAACCCTAGACAGAACAATTCAAGAGGTCAACAGGGTCCCGGCGATGCTCTCGAATTGGGCAGAGCGCCGATCAATCTGTCTGCTTCTATACGTTCGCAGCTGGCCAAAGAGTCTAGACATACTTTCGACCCCACGATACCTTCTTGGCCCTTGCTTCGTTGAATTTTAGTGGCGTCTGCGCCTGTTGACAAGAAAGTGAATAGGCCCAACACTGGGGGATCAGACAACACTAAAAACTCTATCATGTTCATCTATCGTATTCACCGTGTGGGCTGTTATATTCCGTCCTAGACGTATATATATAAGACTTGACCCAACCTACCAAGTCGCCAACAAGGCCACAAGCGTCTACCTTGTAGCATTGATCTCCCCATGGCTCTCTATACTTGGGCTTCGGATTTCCCACGTGGTGTGCTGGTTTGCCTTCTAGTTGGTCTTCTGGCCGGCTATCTAGGCGGGCTGGTTGCATACAGGATCTGGTGGCACCCACTCGCCAAATTCCCCGGACCGAAACTCGCAGCTGCATCGAAGCTATACGAGACCTACTACGACCTCTTCGACGGCCCAGGTGGTCAGTTCCCGGCCAAGGTGAGGGCATTGCACCAACAGTACGGCCCCATCGTACGGATCACACCGGAAGAACTCGCCGTCGACGATGTAGACTTCCACATCAAACTCTACGCTCCACAGCCGGCGGTGCGGGACAAATGGGCTCCTATAACGCAGATTCTTGGGACTACCGAGGGCACCTTTAGCACTGTTGAGCATCATCTCCATCGGAAACGCAGAGTCGCCGCTAGTTCTTTCTTCTCACTGGCGAATATTGCGGCTGCGGAGCCAGTGCTGCACAAACATATCGAGAGATGCTGTGCGTTGTTGTGGTCGCAGAAGGACAAGCCGGTGGAACTGCGAGTGCCGTTTGCTGCGTTGATGTTCGACTCGATGTACGATATGGCTTTCAACGATCAGCTCAATTCGCTTACAGATCTGGACATTGCGAATCAGTGGGATCTTACGACGGACGCGATATCGACATTCGCACCTTGGCTCAAGTCCTTTCCCTGGTCGATCAAACCGTTCCTGTTGCTCCCGATGAATATGGTCAAGAAGCTCTCGCATAAAGTGGCGCGTATTCTGCAGGTGTCTCATGTATGTTATGTGTAGTGCCTGTTGACAATCGTTCATGTCACATTCATGCTGACCCGTGTCTGAAGCGCATCAGAGCCCGAACGCTGCGATATCTAGACGAGACGGAGAAGAGCGAATACAAGGGCTCGATCCGTCCTGCGATCGTTGGCCGTCCCGAGACACTCTTTGAAGTACTCCAGCGCCGTAAACTGCACGACACCGAAGATGAGCTGGAACGTCTGACACAAGAGGGAACTGAACTCTTTGCAGCTGCCGCCACACCCGTTCGTGTGCTCACTGCCGTCATGTTCTATCTTCTGGATCGTCCTGAGACGCTGGCAAAGCTGCGTGAGGAGCTGGACGCTGCGTATCCAGATCGTATGACGATTCCTACTTTGAAAAGCATGGAAAGTCTTCCATATCTGGTGAGTGCCCTTTACACGAGGTCTATATAAGATAGCTAGCGAGCTCACTTTTCTCAGATCAATGTTGTTAAAGAAGCATTACGAGTTGCCTTCCCCGTTGGAGGTCGTCTGCCCCTACTCTGCCGCGAGCCAATGACATTCGGCAACTGGATCATTCCGCCAGGTGTAAGAGCAACAAAAGTCCCCCAGACACAAATCAAACTCTCACTCACCATTCACAGACACCCCTATCCGTCAACCATCGCAACCTCATGCTAGATCCCGCCGTCTTTCCCGAACCCACTCTATTCAAACCCGAGCGCTGGTTCGACAACGACCTCCTCGCCATTGAAGACCGCCACTACATCCCCTGGGGCCGCGGCGGACGCTCCTGTCTCGGAAAGGAGTCAGTTCCCACATTGCATTCCTCTTATCACATTCGCTGACGCAATCTCCTTTAGCTATGCACAAGGCCAGATGCAGATGGTGCTTGCGACGCTCTGCCGCCGGTATGAGTTCGAGTTGGTGGATACGACGTATGAGCGAGACGTGAAGATCTCGCGCGAGCCGTTTCTGGCACATGCGAGTCTGGACAGTCGTGGGGTGAAGATTAGGATTACGGGGCTTCGGGGGTAGATGATTGGTGCTAGGTACTGACACATATGCGATGCAAGACTGTTTAGGGAATGGTGTCTCTCGACACGAAAGGCTTGTGGTTTCCGGCTTATTGCTGTGGTGGTGGTGCATATGGCATTTGGAGACAGCTTCTTGACGGAGTTTATCCGATGGTAGCGACTTATTGTGCCATTCAATATGTTGGAAAAGGCTTGAGAAGACTTCTTGCCAATCAGCTATCGGAATTGATGTCATCATCTTGCCTGGCACGTTTTAATATCTGACAATGAGGTTCAATAGATCAAGGGTTTCATGGCCAGACGTCAAAGGCGCCCCCTCCCGAGCGCCTGGTTGGGAACCGGTCCGTTTTTTACTACGCGACCGTCGCGCGACCGGTTCGGCGGGAGAGGGAACTAGGGACTAGAGCGATGCACCCCCCTCCCCATATGCATGCACAGAAATTTAGGGCCCTATGATGCTTCATATCGACACGCTGAAATCTTATTGAGTCGAGATCATTAGTGCCTGATTCTCAGGGCATCGCTCGGGGTCGCCGTAGCAGATGCTGCAGTTTGCTTATTTACAAGTGCCGATAAGTGCCGCCGCAGAACTCCAAGGGGGTCCATTGGTGGATCGTGCTGTACTATGCGCTGCTCGTGCCACAATCTATGCCTGACCTGATAATATTCGGAGATCGCGCCACGTACGTGCCTCCATCCGGATCCATTGACCCTGAAACACCTGTGACATCTCTCTTTCTCAACTCACCCACTTTCTCTCTCTACTCTAATTACTTTGCGCATGCGAGGGTAGCGTACCGAACACCTTCTCCAATCGCGTGATGCACGCCGACGACCTCTTCTTCCGAGCTACATAGTGCGTAGACAATTGCGAGAACGGCGGCGAGGTAGAGAGGCGCTGCGACATGCCTCAGACGTCACGATGGATTGGCACGCCGGCGATCAAGGGCTCGAGTGAGAGTGTGCGCATGGCGCTGCTGACTGCGAGCTTGGTTGGGTTGCAGTGAGTCTTGCCAGCAAAGCACCCAGGCCGGAGCTGTCTTTTATTGTCTACATAAGCTGATAGCGAAGAACAGGTTTACGTGGGGTTTGGAGATGTCGTATTGCACGCCGTACCTGCTCGAGCTCGGGCTCACGAAGTCGAAGATCTCGCTTGTGTGGGTGGCGGGCCCGCTGAGCGGGCTGATAATGCAGCCTGTGGTGGGCGTGATTGCGGATAAGAGTACGTCGAGATGGGGTCGGAGGCGGCCGTTTATGGTGTATGGGACTGTTGTCGTGGTGTGTTGCTTGTATGTGCTGGGCTGGACGAGGGAGGTTGTGGGCTTGTTTGTTGGGGACAAGGAGATGCATAGGGATGCGACGATTTTTGTGGCGGTCATGAGTATCTATGCTATTGACTTTGCTATCAATGCTGGTATGTTGAAATGTGGGAGAGGAGCGGGAAATGAGGCTGACGTGGGGTGAACAGTGCAGGCTTCTTGTAGAGGCTTGGTTGTTGACACGCTTCCGATTCCAAAGCAACAGCTTGGGTCATCGTGGGCCAGTCGGATGGTTGCTACGGGCTCCCTCCTAAGCTATGCTGCCGGTGCGGTCGACCTGGAGAGATTCTTCGGTGACAGCATTGGTGACACGCAGTTCAAACGTCTCACAGCGGTAGCATGTTTTGCTCTCTGCTTAGCTGTGGGCGTCACGTCCTTCGCTGTCAATGAGCGCGTCTTGGTCATCGAAGGCGAGGCAGATGAGACGTCTGGACCCATCAACATGCTCAAATTCCTACTCAGAACCGCCCTGAACCTGCCGCCCAGGATTGCAGCGATTTGTAAGATAAATCTGTATGCGTGGATAGGCTGGTTCCCGTTTCTATTCTACAGCACAACGTGGGTCGGCGAGATCTACTTGCGATACGAAGCGCCCCACGTCAAACATGAATCAACAGATACACTCGGGGAGGTTGGCCGAATAGGCAGTAGATCCATGATTGTGTTCTCCATTGTCACTTTCGTTGGTACCGTCATATACCCGTTCTTCATAAAATCGCCACAGCAGTCGTCTAGTCGCTTTACACCAAGACCACCGGAAGGTCTTGAGTCCTACATAACCTCAATCGAGAAGTATAAGCCGACCCTGCAGACGGCTTGGATGTGTGGTCATCTCATATTCGCCGGGGCTATGTTTTGGGCGCCCGGCGTAACGTCAGTACGTGCGGCGACGCTGTTGGTGGCTATATGCGGAATGTACGTTTTCACGCACCAGTCTGATATACACCTGCTGACACTGTAAACAGACCATGGGCCATCCAAGCTTGGTCACCGTGGACATTTATCGGTGTTGAAATCAATCGGCTTGGGCAGCACAGCCACACTGAGTATGCCGATGAAAGGGGCCGTCGAGATTCATTAGAAATGAACACTCCGCTCAGTCCAAAGGGCGCAAACCTGCTAGATGACGATACACAAAGCGGAGCTGCAGAGCTCTCCGGAGTATATCTGGGCATCCTGAATCTGTACACGACGCTGCCACAGTTCATTGCGACGCTTATCTCGTGGATAGTATTTTCGATATTCGAGCCGGGCAAAAGCCCGGAATTGGCCAAGGAAGCTCATCCAGACGAGCACGCGCCGACTGGTGGGTATAATGGGATCTCGATCTGTCTGTTCATTGGGGCGGTCTCTATGACAGGCGCATCCCTGATGACCAGACGCTTTAGACGGATGGGGATGTGAAGGAAAGAAAAAAGATCGGAGAGAAAGAAAGATTTTCTGGAGAGGTAGAATCTTCCGCAGCTTCCGATGGGCTGCGTCATGTGGTGGTTCTGTGGCGTTCGAAATTTCTTGATCGCGCGCGGCTTCACAAACACACAATACCAATAGAGCGAGGGTGGTTTACAGCATTGCTAGAGGAATGGAAAGAGCGAGTAGTGTATAGAAGACATCTTCCATCTGTTCCTTGCGGTGCCACGTAGGATTGCACACACGGTTTCACTGCACGCATCAACTGACGGGCGGAGGATAGAAGAATATTTAGTTGGCCAAATCAAAACCCTTCCACCTCATCAAATCGTGTAGAAATCTTATTTGGTACGTAAGTGTCAGTTCGATTCTGCCCCGCAACGAGCGCAGGGCAACACGTGCAGCTGGAGGGGCATTTCCCAGGCGGTGTGAAAGCGTCTAGCGCGATAGATTTGCAAGTGCCCGCCAGCGCCTGTGTGGGACTCAACATCTTCAACCACCTCTCTTTCCCTCATCTCCAACTTTCCTGCTTCTCTACTACCATACACATACATATCCACAACCCGCTCAAGATGTCGGAGCCTATCCGCAACAAGAAGACAGAGTCTATGTCTGCCCCGTAAGTCGCTCGCTCCAAGTCTCCTCTCAACAACATTCTCAAGAGATCCACCTTTGGGTCTAAGCAGAATGAAAGCTCTGTAGTTTGTTCAGTCAACTAACATGACGACGCCCAGAACCCCTCAAAATACGCCCGCCAATGCTGCTCCAATCTCATCAAGAGCTCAGCAGCCTGGTGTGTCGAGTATCAAGGAGGGTACGTAAAGAGAACTGTGTTACGCGGCATTGCCACTGACTCACTCGCTCGAACAGAGGACATCGATCGCATGGCCGCCGCCTCAATCTTTGCCCAGAATCCGCAGCTTGTGTCCATGATCCAAGGCAAGCTTGGTAGCCTCGTCGGCCGCACATCTGGATACATCGAGTCCCTGCCTGTATCTGTACGTCGTCGCGTGTCCGGCCTGAAGGGTGTTCAGAAAGATCACTCCAAGCTTGAGGCACAGTTTCAAGAGGAAGTCCTCCAGCTAGAGAAGAAGTTCTTTGCGCTCTTTACACCCTTGTACGAGAAGCGTGCTAAGATTGTCAACGGTGCCGTTGAGCCCACCGAGGCTGAGGTCGAGCTTGGTGAGAAGAAGGAAGAGGATGATGAAGAGGAGGACGAGGACGACGAGCCTATCGAGAAGAACGAGGATGCCGGTGAGGATGTCAAGGGCATTCCGGAGTTCTGGCTGTCGGCTATGAAGAACCAGGTGTCGCTTGCAGAGATGATCACGGACAGGGATGAGGAAGCTCTGAAGAGCTTGACAGATATCCGCATGGAGTATCTTGACCGCCCGGGCTTCCGTCTCATCTTCGAATTTGGCGAGAACGAGTTCTTCACCAACAAGCTCATCACAAAGACGTATTTCTACCAAGAAGAGAATGGCTATGGTGGTGACTTCATCTACGACCATGCTGAGGGCGACAAGATTGAGTGGAAGGCGGGCAAGGACCTGACGGTCAAGGTTGAGAGTAAAAAGCAACGTAACAAGAGTATGTACCAGCCTATTCTTTCACCCTCCTGATTGTTAACACCGCCTAGACACTAAGCAAACCCGCGTTGTCAAGAAGACTGTACCGACTGAGTCTTTCTTCAACTTCTTCGCGCCACCCAAGCCCCCAGCCGATGACGAAGAGACGTCTAGCGACATTGAGGAGCGACTAGAGCTTGACTACCAGCTCGGTGAGGACATCAAGGAGAAGCTGATCCCACGTGCTATCGACTGGTTTACTGGCGAGGCACTCCAATTCGAGTCGATGGGCGAAGACTTTGACGAGGGTGACTTTGAAGACGAAGATGATGAGGAAGACGACGATCTCTCCGACGACCGAGACGATGACGAAGAGTCTGATGATGACGTGAGTGCAGCACCGAAGACGGCGCAGAGTCGGCGCTAGAACAATTGCCCCCCTTCGATTCTAGTTCGTCCTCTCGCTCGCAAATTGCCATGGAGTACGTGTTCACACATTTTTATAGGACGGTAATTCGAAACCGAAGCAGGAGGCAGCTGAGTGTAAGCAAAGCTAAATCGACCCTGTCGCGCATGGAGGTTAATTGGCTCATCGGCACGCTGCGGAATGGCTCGGAACGAGGACACAAGAGAGGTCCGGACAGACGTACGGATTGGGCTATCCACCACTTCTCAAGTAATTGCACTTTGCCCACGGATTCTGGTGCTGATTGTACAATGTAATTCGAGTTCGATCAACCTTTCTCTCTCTCTCTATTTCCGGCATCTCGGCCCTTACCTACTCCACCCCCTTTTATCATGATTCATAACTCAACCGCCCCGCCTCCCTCCCCCCAAAACCAGACCTTTCCTAGCTTATGTTGCGAGAATTTTTATACTCTACACTCATTGTCGGCGCTCGGTTCACTCAATACGCCTCCTGATTAATGCAGGCCGGGGGATGAGGTTGTGACGGGGGGAAGACTGGGAGAGTGGCATAGTGTGTTGTCGTTGGTACTGTTACTGTTGTTGCTTTTTTCAGGTGGAAAAGTATGGGTTACATGAAGTATATCTTGATCCATAGAACATTCTGGAATGTAAACAAAGTCTTTGTATGTCGTGATTTTGTTGATGTTTTTGTGGGTGATGAGTGATTGGGACTCTGTCAGAGTCAGGCTTCGTGCTTGGGTCATTCGTGCTGTGCTGATGCTGTGGACTAGATCGAAGAAAGTTACTTGCGTTCTTTTGTGAATGTTGTGAATCGTTGTTGAAATCGAGACGTATGCTTTTTCTTATGCTTGCGTCTGTGTTTGTACTTGACTTATTTCACCATACTAGCAGCGACGATCTGAGAAGTGTTTGGATATTTTTAGTCATTTGTGTAGCCCGTTCCGGATCCTCGCAAAAGGTAGCCTCTCCAATCCAAACCACCAGAGCAAGCGTCCTCTTACCACGGCAGACGCAACGGCCCTTTCTGCCCAGCCACCTCCGTGCCCAACACCGGCTCCGCAGTCCCAATATCAACCGAGCCCCTAGGCGCCCAAAACTGGCCCGACTTCTCGAGGTCAAACTCCTCATCCACCCAGCTCCGCAGGCTCTCCGCCGCCACATCCGGCGACACGGCGCCGCCCTCATCCCAGAACCTGTCGAACCCAACCCCTTTCGTCATCTCGGTGCGCATGAAGCCCGGGTGCAGGATGGCGACGGCAATGCCGCGGTCCTGCAGATCCAGCGCGAGCAGTCTGCCGACCATGTTCAGGGCTGCTTTGGAGGCGTGGTGGCCGTAGTTGCCACCGCCTTCGCGTGGGTGGCGCAGGGTGATGGAGCCTGCTTCTGAGGAGACGAGGATGATTTTGGCGCCGCTGGTGCTGGTGCTGCTGCTGTCGCTGGACTTGAGTAGGGAGGATTTGACGAGGGCTTGGACGAGGAAGACGGGGGCGATGGCGATGGCGGAGGTTGTGTACATTGTGAGTTGGGCGGGCCAGGAGGGGTCGTCGAAGGATTCGAGGCCGAAGTAGCCGGCTGTTATGATGAGGGTGTCGATTTGGGGCGCTTGGAGGTTTTGGAGGGTGGTTGTGAGGGTTGTTGCGTGGGTGGGGTCTGTGAGGTCGATGTTGTTGAGCCAGTGGATGTTGGAGGCGTGTGGGGAGGGGGAGGAGGGTCCAGGAGTCGAGCGGGCGGTTGCGTAGACTGTGTTTGAGGGGATGGAGGAGTATTGTTTTGCGAGAGAGGCGCCGAGGCCGCGTGTTGCGCCGATGATGAGGATGTTTGGCATGGTGAGATGGTTGTTTGGATGGTGTTTTGGGGTGTAAAGGAGGTCTCGATCGGTGTATGTGTCTGTCCTGGGAATGGATCTGTGTGTGAGTTGAGTTGAGTTATAGTAGTTGGTCTAGGAGAGGGTTAGGAAATCAATTGGATTTGTGGAAGCAGGCCTCATGGTATCAGCCTCGAAGCTACGATAGTCGACGTCATTCGAGAGGCAGCTGTCACGGGTGTTTACGATATCAGCGATACTGTTGATATGACGACTTTCCTGGAAAGTTGAGTCAAGGCGGGGCCTTTGGGCCTAGAAGGCGGCAGGGCTACAGTAGTACGGAACACGGAAGCCCGACGCCGGCGATCGTCATCCACTGCTTGGAGGGGTAAACCGGCGACCAGGCGGGCGCGAGCGAGCGGGAGTCAAATTTTTTGCCGGCCATGATGACTCGACCGACCGTAGTGGAGGCTTGTTATTATATGCATGATTTCCTGCATCTTTAAGAACGCCTCCTCCAGACAGTCTTCACAGTACCCTCCAATCTTGCCTTGCCGCACACAGTACACCTTGACCAACTCGTGTTACGGTCCCTGCATCCACCTCCGAAACTATGAGATCACAAGCAAGGGATATCGTCCCGCCAAATGGCCGAGACCGCGTATCACGGAGCATGTCGAGCAACAGGGGCGGACTGTCGACGTCGCCCTCCCTGTCTATGCACTCTCCTGCTGCCACCTTTTCTCAGCTTAGGAGGATGTCGACCGCGTTGAAACAGCTCAAGCCGTTCAACTCAAAGGAGATTAAGATTCTGTTGCTCGAAAATGTGAACGTTTCTGGACGGGAGATCCTGGAGAAGGAGGGTTACCAGGTTGAAGCATTGAAAAGCTCGCTACCGGAGGACCAATTGATCGAGAAGATTCGGTATATACTGCGTCCATCAGGTTGAAGGTCTGATAAGTTGCTGACATAGCTATCTCTAGTGACGTTCATGTCATTGGTATCCGCTCCAAGACAAAACTCACCGAACGCGTCCTCAGAGAAGCAAAGAATCTATACGTCATTGGTTGCTTCTGTATCGGCACCAACCAAGTCGACTTGAAGTTTGCTGCCCAAGCAGGAATCGCCGTCTTCAACTCTCCCTTCAGCAACTCACGCAGTGTCGCAGAGCTTGTCATTGCGGAGATTATCGCTCTTGCTCGACAGCTTGGTGATCGCTCTAACGAGCTTCACCAGGGCACATGGAACAAAGTCAGTGCTGGTTGCTGGGAAATAAGAGGCAAAACCCTGGGAATAGTCGGATACGGGCATATTGGTAGCCAGCTCTCAGTGCTGTCGGAAGCATTTGGCATGTCCGTAATCTACTACGATGTGCAGAATCTAATGGCCTTGGGAACGGCTCGTCAAGTTGGCAGTCTGGAGGAGCTTCTAAGACAAGCCGACTTCGTCACGCTCCATGTCCCGGAGCTCCCAGAAACCAAGAATTTGATCGGTGCCGAGCAGCTGGCGCAGATGAAGACAGGGAGCTATCTCATCAACAATGCGCGTGGCAGTGTTGTTGATATCCCCGCTCTCATTGAAGCTATGCGGAGCAACAAGATTGCTGGAGCAGCGCTTGATGTATTCCCGAATGAGCCCGGTGGCAATGGCGACTATTTCAACAACGAGCTCAATGCGTGGGCGGAGGACCTTCGGAGTTTGAAAAACATTATACTAACACCGCATATCGGTGGTAGCACAGAGGAGGCGCAAAGCGCGATCGGTATCGAAGTCAGCAGCGCTCTGACTCACTTTATCAACCAAGGCACAACGCTGGGCGCTGTCAACATGCCGGAGGTAAACTTGCGGTCTTTGACCTTGGATGAGCCGAACCACGTGCGCGTGATCTACATCCATCATAATGTTCCCGGTGTGCTGCGGAAAGTCAATGCCATTCTTGGAGACCATAACGTCGACAAGCAAATGACCGACAGCAGAGGAGAAGTCGCGTATCTCATGGCAGATATCCGAGACGTGAAGGAGGATCAGATTAGAGATCTATGGGCGGAACTAGAAGGTCTTTCTTGTGAGTACTTTCGAAGTTCTGTTCAGCTTGTGCCTAATGCTAATGTATAAATCAGCGTGTATTCGCACTCGGGTGCTCTATTGAGATAGCCATATATGCTTGGAGAAGAGGATGTTATAAAAGTTCAACTCTGGGATTGAAAAAAGTATTTTGTAAAGCACAGCAGCCCCGAATAGTCTTCAACATGGCGTTGGATCTGATGGCGTTCATGGGCGCAAAGTAGAGTTCAGCCAGCATATAGTAGTTGCATATATCTTTTCAAGAAACAATACCTGTAGGCAGGAATAGGCTAGACGTATCCGGCCAAATAAAAAGAATCAGTTAACGTCCGAGGATGTTGAGACCACATGCATCAGAGATCGGCCCGCCTGTCAACGGCTCGAGGTGTTTTTAATGGCATTTATCGTGAAACGCGAGAAGAGACAGAGAGAGCTGTTACTACTGGTTGGTGCTGCATTTTTAGAGAGTCGCAGGTTCAGGGGCTTTGAGCACCGACCAACCGCACTCATCCCTGTAAGCGCGTTCGTTCCACCTAGCGATCAATTCTCAGAGCCCTTTCTTTAATCCCTAAGACCAACCTCCCCTTCACCGCTCTCCTAGGACATCTACGACCTATATTCACAAGCTCTAATTATCCTCATCTTTGCGCATGTCTCCTTCGTCGTTCTTTAATCTCCGCTTCTTGTAGCGTGGGCGCCACGGTTTCTCGGTCTTAGTCCCGTATCCTTCGCGGCGTTTCCTTCAGACTCCAGGCGGTCCCCCAACAACCATCCAACTACGACACAGTTGAGAACATGACGACGCTGTACGATGTGGGGACGAAGGCATGGCAGCCAGATGCTACGGAAGGATGGGTGGCATCCGAAGTGGAATCGAGACAAGTGGACGGTGATAAAGTGAAGCTTGTCTTCAAGTTAGAGAACGGGGAGGTGAGCTACACTCTACGAATACTATCAAGAAAAATCCGGCTTGCAGTAGCTGATGATACTTTGCTTGCAGACAAAGTCAGTCGAGACTACCCTGGAGGCTCTTCAGGATGGCAACAACTCCACGCTACCTCCCCTCATGAATCCATCTATGTTGGAGGCCAGCGACGACCTCACGAACCTGTCACATCTTAACGAGCCAGCTGGTATGCTTCCCGTCGAATCTTAACATTGGCTTGCTGACGTCGATGCAGTATTACAGGCCATCAAGCTTCGCTATGCACAAAAAGAGATCTACACATACTCTGGTATTGTCCTTATTGCAACGAATCCGTTCGCAAGAGTCGACTCGTTATACGTGCCTGGCATGGTGCAAGTCTATGCAGGAAAGAATAGATCATCACAAGCACCGCACTTATTCGCCATCGCGGAAGAAGCTTTCGCGTGAGTCGTTGCACAGTTGGCAAACGTATTGTAGTGGCTAACAAAAAGCTAAAGCGACATGCTTCGGGACAACAAGAATCAAACGATTGTGGTATCGGGTGAGTCTGGAGCAGGTAAAACGGTCAGCGCCAAGTACATCATGAGATATTTCGCAACCCGTGAATCACCAGACCAGCCCGGTTCGAGGTCCAAGGGACGGATGGACACAATGAGTGAGACAGAAGAGGCTATCCTTGCAACGAATCCTATCATGGAAGCTTTCGGAAACGCCAAGACCACCAGAAATGACAACTCTTCTCGTTTCGGCAAATATATCGAGATTCTGTTCGACAAAAAGACAGATATCATAGGCGCAAAGATTCGGGTATACCTTCTTGAACGTTCGAGGTTGGTATTTCAGCCACTGAAAGAGCGCAATTACCACATCTTCTACCAGTTGATTGCTGGTGCGACTGATGCGGAGCGTGAACAATTCGGACTGCTGCCTGTGGAGCAGTTCGAGTACATGAATCAAGGCAGCGCACCGGTCATTGACGGTGTGGATGACAAGGCCGAATTCGACGCCACGAGAAAGTCGCTGGCCACCATTGGAGTTCCCGAAGACCAACAAGCCCAGATATTCCGGTTGCTGGCTGCCCTGTTACATATCGGAAACGTTCAGATCAAGGCTACACGTACAGACTCTTCTCTGGCTGCAGATGAGCCGTCTCTGATCAAAGCCTGCGCTCTACTTGGGATAGACCCGGCCAATTTCGCGAAATGGACGGTCAAGAAACAGTTGATTACCCGTGGAGAGAAGATTATGTCGAACTTGACCCAGCAGCAAGCTGTGGTCGTTCGAGACTCCGTGGCAAAGTTCATCTACTCCAGTCTATTCGATTGGCTTGTAGAGACTATAAACGCTAGCCTGGCTACGGAAGAGGTATTAGCCCGGGCGAAGACATTTATCGGGGTTCTTGATATATACGGGTTTGAGCATTTCGCAAAGAATTCCTTCGAGCAATTCTGCATCAACTACGCGAACGAGAAACTGCAACAAGAATTTAACCAGCATGTATTCAAACTTGAGCAGGAGGAATACGTCCGTGAACAGATCGACTGGAAATTTATCGACTTCTCAGATAATCAGCCATGTATCGACTTGATCGAAGGAAAGCTTGGAGTCTTGTCCCTGCTCGATGAAGAATCGAGACTTCCGATGGGCTCAGACGAGCAATTTGTCACGAAACTACATCACAATTTCTCTGGAGACAAGCACAATTTCTACAAGAAACCCAGGTTCGGCAAATCCGCCTTTACAGTCTGCCATTATGCCATCGATGTTACCTATGAATCAGATGGATTCATCGAAAAGAATAGGGACACAGTTCCTGATGAGCAGATGGAAGTACTGAAGAGCTCTTCGAACGAATTCTTAGGCAATGTTCTCGATGTAGCCGCGACCATTCGCGATCGGGAATCCGCTTCGACCACCACGAAACCGGGTGCAGCTGTCTCAGCTGGTAGGAGGATCGCTGTTAACAGGAAGCCGACTCTAGGAGGCATCTTCAAATCTTCGCTGATTGAGCTGATGCAAACAATCAACGGAACAGATGTGCACTATATTCGTTGTATCAAGCCCAACGAATCGAAAGAGGCGTGGAAGTTTGAGGGTCCGATGGTCTTGAGCCAGTTGCGTGCCTGTGGTGTCCTGGAAACCGTCAGAATAAGCTGTGCTGGATATCCGACCAGATGGACGTATGAAGAGTTTGCCTACCGGTACTACATGCTCGTACCATCGATTTCGTGGACCAACGATATACGAGAAATGGGAAACAACATCCTCCGGAAAGCTCTTGGAGCAGGAAAAAACGACGGTCGCGACAAGTATCAGATGGGAAACACCAAGATCTTTTTCCGTGCCGGTATGCTGGCCTTCCTGGAGGGTTTGCGCACCGCCAGGCTGAACGAAGCGGCAATTATGATCCAGAAGAACCTCAGAGCCAAATATTACCGACGCCGGTATCTGGAGGCTCGGGAGGCCATCGTTGCCTTTCAAGCTTTCACTCGCGGCTTTTTGGCGAGGGAGCGAACTGAGGAGGAACGACGCACCAAGGCCGCCACGACCATTCAAAGGGTCTGGAAAGGTTCCAATGCCCGCGAGGAATTTCACCGTGTACGCAATCAGATTATTATGTTCGAGTCGATCGCCAAAGGCTTCTTATGCAGAAAACACCTTCTTGACAAGAGGCTGGGCGATGCTGCTCGTGTGATTCAGCGCAACTGGCGCTCGGCATCACAGCTCAGAGCTTGGAGACAATACAGGAAAAAGATTGTGTTTATTCAAAGTTTATGGAGAGGACGGGAAGCCCGCAAGGCCTACAAGGGCCTGCGCGAGGAGGCACGAGATCTCAAGCAGATATCCTACAAGCTGGAGAACAAGGTTGTAGAGCTTACGCAGTCCCTGGGCACTATGAAGCGTGAGAACAAGGACCTGCAAAGCCAGATTCGCAACTACGAAGGACAGCTTACTTCATGGAAAACGCGTGGGAATACCCTGGAGGCGCGAGCGAAAGAGCTTCAGGCCGAGGCCAATCAGGCTGGCATTGTTACGGCCCGCTTGAGTGCCTTGGAGGCGGACTTTGCCAAACTCAAGCAAGATTATAACGAAAGCACAGCGAACCTTCGACGACTCCAGGAAGAAGAGAAGCAACTCCGATCGTCTCTCGAGGCCACCACGAGTGAGCTCGACCAAGCGAAACGCCGTGGTAGTCATGTTGAAGGGGAGAAGTCTTCGCTGAGGCAACAGTTGGCAGAACTACAAGATCAACTAGAGATTGCGAAGCGCTCAGTGCCTCTCAACGGCGAGATCACCAATGGCGTCAGCCATACTCCTGCCTCAGGCCTGATCAATCTGGTTTCATCCAAAAAGCCAAAGCGGAGAAGCGCAGGTGCGGAGCGTCTAGAGATAGACCGCTTCAGTGCTGCGTTCAATCCAAGGCCAGTATCTATGGCCGTGGGTGCTACTGTTCATCGCCAGCAACTGTCTGGCTCGACGTTCAACCAGTTTGACAATGTCGAGCTTGAGCTTGAGAATTTGCTGTCGGATGAAGATGGGCTCAACGACGAAGTTACTCTCGGCTTGATCAGGAACCTGAAGATCCCCGCTCCTACCACAACTCCGGCTCCTACAGACAAAGAAGTTCTGTTCCCTGCCTACCTCATCAACCTCGTCACATCCGAGATGTGGAACAATGGTTTTGTCAAGGAGTCTGAAAGATTCTTGGCCAACGTCATGCAATCTGTGCAGCAAGAAGTAATGCAGCATGATGGCGAGGAAGCCGTCAACCCCGGAGCTTTCTGGCTGTCAAACGTCCATGAGATGCTGTCTTTTGTTTTCCTTGCAGAGGATTGGTATGAGCAGCAGAAGACTGACAATTACGAATACGATCGCCTTTTGGAGATTGTCAAGCATGATCTTGAGAGTCTTGAATTCAACATCTACCATACTTGGATGAAGGTCCTGAAGAAGAAATTGCAGAAGATGATCGTACCTGCCATCATTGAATCTCAGTCATTACCCGGATTCGTCACGAATGAGGGCAACAGGTTCCTTGGAAAGCTTTTGCAGTCCAATAATGCTCCAGCGTACAGTATGGACAACCTTCTGAGTCTGCTGAATGGCGTCTACAAGGCTATGAAGGCCTACTACCTCGAAAACACAATCATCGTCCAGGCGGTGACGGAGCTTCTGCGATTGGTAGGAGTAACAGCATTCAATGACCTCCTCATGCGCCGAAATTTCCTGTCGTGGAAACGAGGTCTACAGATTAATTATAATATCACCAGGATAGAAGAGTGGTGCAAGAGTCACGACATGCCTGAAGGCACACTCCAATTAGAGCATTTGATGCAGGCGACGAAGCTTCTGCAGTTGAAGAAGGCGACCCTCAATGACATTGAGATCATTCAGGACATCTGCTGGATGTTGTCGCCTAACCAGATACAAAAACTTCTCAATCAATACCTCGTTGCCGATTACGAGCAGCCAATCAATGGCGAAATCATGAAGGCAGTCGCGTCACGCGTCACAGAAAAGAGCGATGTCTTACTACTCACTGCCGTTGACATGGATGACAGCGGTCCTTATGAGATTGCCGAGCCTCGAGTGATATCTGCACTCGAGACTTATACGCCGTCGTGTAAGTCTATTGCTTCAATTGTTCCAGCTGTACGCTAACGTCTTAACAGGGCTTCAAACTCCACGCTTAAAGCGACTGGCAGAGATTGTCTCTACCCAAGCCATCGCTCAACAAGAACGACTCGAGTTCGAGCAGAACAATGTCAATGGTCATGATGTTCACGAAATGATTGACGAAGAGGGACCTGAGATCGAAGTGGACCGCGTTAGTGTGTAAGCAAAGGCAATATATTTAAAAAAGAAAACACGCTTTTGTGACTTCCATTCTACTGTAATAGCAAAGAAATCTCGGGGGAAAGGAGGGAGGGGGTTTGGGTAGTAACATTATTAGCTTGGTCGTCGACCACACTGTGTGTGTGTATAGGAAGGAACTCATTCAGTGGCGCCCCATACCGTTCTATGGCTTGCGATACTTACGATACACTTTACTGTTGACGGGAGTTTTTGTTCCCTGAATGTCAATCAAACGACCTTTTCACACATACATCTTGCAAACTTCCAAAGCAGGAACTGCAGTTAGATTTTCTTCGGCTCGACCTTTTATTCTCTTTGATCTTTCTTCCACGAGCTTTCAGGCACCTAGGCGGACAGGGAGTCATGTCCTTCTCACTTTTTAAAGAGCGGCTCCTGCTTAGATGAGGGCGCACGTAGCACCAGCAGCAGTAGATTGTTGAGAGTATATAGTGTAGTGTACATGTGTTGTAGTGATTGATGATGGTCAACTTCTCTTTCTCTCTCTCTCTCTCTCTCTCTCTCTCTCTCTCGTCTCTCTCTCTCGTGCATGCATGATGGGCAATACTGACCTGACGATGATGTGTAATTATTCTATCTCTACATTCTATAATCTACCGGTGTGATCTGTTCATGTGGTATGTCCATCCATCCATCCACACATCCACACATCCACACATCCTATATGATGACAGTGCGAGGAATATACATACATGTGAACATACTACACCTAAACCCCCCCCCTACCCCTAACCTTCTCTTTAAATACACGTATCAACGAGAACGATAAGATGCTGGATAGAATGGGTGAATAGTTGGTAGTTGGTGTTTAGCTTCCGGGTTGGGCTTGGAATAGCAAGCAGTAGGGTAGGATGGGGTAGGATGGGGTAGGATGGGGTAGGATAGAATGGTAGCATGAGAGTTTTCGATACAGTTTGAGAGGGTGTAGGCGAGTATGTGTAGGCGGGTATGTATGAGTATGAGTATGAGTATGTGAGTATGAGTATGAGTATGTGTATGTGAGTATGTGAGTATGAGTATGCGAGCATGAGTAGGTGAGTATGGTAGGCAAGTATGTAAGTGTGTATGTGTATGTGTAGGCGAGCATGAGTATGTGAGTATGGTAGGCAAGTATGTAAGTGTGTATGTGTATGTGTAGGCGAGCATGAGTATGTGAGTATGAGTATGAGTATGTGTGCATGAGTAGGCGAGCATGAGTATGGTAGGCGAGTATGTATGCGAGTATGTATGAGTATGAGTATGCGAGTACGTGTATGTGAGTATGTAAGTGTATGCGAGTATGTGTATGCGAGTATGTGTATGCGAGTATGTGTATGCGAGTATGTGTATGCGAGTATGAGTATGAGTATGAGTATGCGAGTATGTGTATGAGTATAGTATGAGTATGTCTGTGAATGTATATGTGCAGATTAGGGGTATCGAAACTACCTGCCTACCTGCCTGCCTGCCTGTCTGCCTGTCCTTGAATCCAGTCCGAAACTCCTGGTCGGTGAATTGGGTGGATGTTTGTGTTTTGTGTTTGATACGGATGCCAGGCTATGCCAGTGCTCATGCTCATGCCTATGCCCATGCCTATGCCAGGCCAGTCCCGTCTCGTCTCGTTTCGTGTGGTATGTATCCTATTTCCTGTCTCTAGTGTCCAGCGTCCCATATCCACTGTCCAGTCTCTAGTGTCCCCTATCCAGTGCCCACTATCCAGTGCCCACTATCCAGTGCCCACTATCCAGTGTCCCATATCCAGCGTCCCTATCCAGTCTCCAGTCTCCACTATCCAGTCTCCAGTCTCCCATATCCAGCGTCCCTACCCAGTGCCCATTCTCCAAGACATACAAAATATACAAAACATACATACGTACATACATACATACATACATGTATACATACATGCATATACGCACGCAGTAAACCAACCCTCCTCCGCCCACGGTGTTTCTTAGTGCCGCAATTCACCGCAAAGAGACAAGACTCGCGAGATATACAAAAAGACCCGAGCACCAGGACGAAAGTTTCTCGTTTGACAAATGGCTTTCCTTCTTGCTTGCTTGTTGACTGCTGACTGCTGCGTGCTGACTGCTACCTGCTGTGTACTACCTACTCCCTACAACCTACTACCTACTCCCTGCTATACACACCA